CGAAAGCACCTTCCCTTTTCATAAAAATATAAATAACTCTTTGCATTTTAAATAAAAACTTTATGGATAAGGTTTAAGTGACCCACCATCACATAAGAAGTAATTTTAATAATATAATTATTGGAGTGTTTCCATTGTAAATTATGGTTCTGGATCCTCCCTTCCTCTCTATGATTTCAAAGTTTTTGTTTTCTTTTCAACGCTTTGTTGGGTGCCTCATAAATATACATCCAGAGAAAGACAAATGAGATTAAATTATTAGATAATGCTTCATGTCTCGCTTAGTATTGTGTAATATGATAGTGTATAATGATGAAATAATATTATTCAATGATATAAAATTATATAGATTGTATGCTTTGATAGATAAACAAATGGAATAATATATCATGGAATATTATTCTAAATCTTATGAATATAACAATTGGAAGTTATTTAGATGCATAGGAATGAAATCATTTAAACTATGTCTTTTCGGATCACAAAAATAATTTGAGATGTGAGTATAGATAACTCAAACGAAAAACAAGTTATAATTAATATAAAATAGTTTATTATATGACTCATAAATAAATTAGTAAAATAATTTATTATATTTTTTTTAAAATTATAATATTTATAGTTTAATACTTAATAAATTTTGTAAGTTAAAAATATCAAAATATTAAATATTTAAAATAATTTCTTTAAAATATTTTTAAAAAATATATATTTTTAAAAAATAAGTTTTATTTTTATTAACATAAAATTTAATCCTATTTACTCCTTTTCATATTTGTTTTTGAAGTTAGTTTAAATATTTTTTTTATATTTTTAATAAATAGTTTAATAGATTCAGTGATTATAGTTAAAATTTAAGGTTAAAAAAATTTGAAAAAAGTATCTAAGATAATAGATTAAATGAAATCAAACAATTTACACTCAAAATAGTGTCTAGAATTTTAGAAGTTTTGTTTAATTTTTTTTTATTTTTTCTATTGCATGTAAATTTATTTTCTAAATTTAACAACCAAAATAACTATACTCTTTTTGTATTAATATACTTTGAATTGTGATATTTGTGAGTATAATTAATTAAATTTAAAAATATTATGTATTTATCATTATTTTTTTAATAGCAAACAACTTGGCTAAATCAGAATAAGATGATGACTAAAGAGATGTAATTAAAAGTTAAAAAATGCAAGAAAATTATTTGTTGTATATTTTGCTTTAAGACATATAATATTCGCTTAAGTTAATTTTATAGAGTGATAATCATACAAAATTTTATTAATAATTTTTGCTTAAACTAAAATTGAATAATTTCTATGTTTGTACTATTTATTTAAACCAAGTAAATTTTACTTAAGCTAATAATATTTCTGCTTAAACAAATTTATTACGACTTAAGTGATATTCATTTAATGAGTTATTTTTTCTATAATTTTTGCTTAAGTAAGATTAAGATAACTTATGTGAATTTTCTAAACATTATCTTAAGTAGATAAGACTAATGTATAGAAAAGCTATAAAAAAAAATTAAGATAATATTAAAAAATTTATTAATACAAAAATTAATTTTCATAATAAATTGAATTCCTAAAAGTAACTATAAAAATTTTAATTCTAAAATTCATGAACTACATCTATATATAGAAGTTTGTGAAAGTTTTAAAAGTTTAGAGACAATTTTATAAATTTTTATAAAAAAATATAAAAATTTTGAACTATTAATTGTTTTAAAAAATAAATCTAACAATTTAAACATACTAATTAATTCATATATCACTTAATTACTTGCTTAAAACTTATGTTATGTAATGATTATCATAATTAAGTTAGTGAAATGATATAAATGGCATGTGATTGTTGATGTATATATGAAATGGTTTTTATTGAAATGAGTGATTGTATAATATTAATATATGGAAATTGACCCTAAGTGGATTTAAGGTTGGATAAGAGTTAAGAGGGATATGATGGAACCGGAGACTGAAGGATAATGGTATGATCATTGAGGAGTGGAATAAAATTAAGAAGCCCACAAAACAAGCAACTCCAATGACTAACTCTTGAGTAACGACCCAGCCAAAGAGTCGTGGTATCTATGACATATAAATAAACAACATCAGGACCATGACACTATTAGCTTGCCATAAATTCCATTGCTAAAATGTTATAATTTAGTTGCTAAATAAATTAACGACTGAATTAGTAATGTTAAATGTACACATACTTGATGAAATGATATTCATGTATATAATTTGAAAAATTCTATTCATCAAGTTAAATGTTGATATAATATTTCCATTGAAAAAAAAAAAAATAGACATTCAAATATTTTCTAGAAAGCTGTAGTATAAATATATGACAAAAATATCCTATGAAATCCAGACACCAGACATGTCTACATGATGGCATGACGTGAAATTAGTGTTGTTACTTGGAATTAAGCATGTAAACATACCAATATCAAACTTGAGTTATATATATATATATATATATATATATATATATATATATATATATAATTTTTTATATCGGTGTAAGTTTAAAATCTCTTACATTTAATTTAAACTTTTTATTTAATTTATATCTGTCATGTTATAATTTATTAACCGTTAAACGTAAGTTAAATAAAAATTTTAAATTAAGTATAAGATTTTTTAAAATTATACTGATTATTTTCTATGTATCTTCTATACGTAATTCCAGCTTAAAGGATTAAAGAATCCTTCAAGAATTTAATTTTATTATATTTTCTTTAGTTCTGTCCTTTTAGATTATTTCCTCGTTATATTGTAAAGTCATTTTTAATTATTTATAATGTTTCGAGAAATGATCAGAGCTTTTGAATGCCAATTTCTAACAATGCTTCCGAAAATTGTAAAGGAATGTTTTGTACTTAAATTATGAGATTTAAAATTTTAACTCTTACTATTAGTTTTTTATACAATGAGACCGACATTAACTTTTGACATTAAATATTTCAGTGAATGAAAAATATATTTTGAGAAATTAAATTTTATTCAAAAGGATAAATAATAAACTTTAGAAATGGAGACAAGTTTTTCATTTTGGCTGATCATGAACACCGATTTTGAATAGTGGTAAAAAATAAAGTAAAATTGTTAATCTTACAACTGATGATATATATTTTTTACATATTTTAGTTAAGATAAGTTACTGTTTAAAACTATTCTTCATATTGTCTAAAGTATCGAAATGTTAATTAATTTTATTTTTATATTAAAAAATATTCTTTTTTCAGTAAATATTATAACTATTCATTTTCGTAAATCAACATTTATTTAAATTCGCCCTTTTCAATCGACACTTTTTTTTAACAAATTTCAGCAGCTTATTTACCTACTTGAATGATATAGACCAGTAAGATTTAAAATATATTTGTTGTGATTTGCATATAGTTTTAAGAATAAAGAATAAGATAAATGTTTAATAATAATGATAACCACAATATTACTTTAAAATTGATAAATAAATATATCTAATGTCAAAATAACTTTTATTGTTATAGTCTTAGCTAAATACAAAAATTATTAGTATATACTTACTAGATTTATACTAACAATATATATATATATATGTTATTAATGTATCAAATATTAGTATAAATCTCAAAAATCATATTAGCAATTTGTTTTTTATTAGATAAAAGTTATAATTAAAGACTACTCTAACACTTGATAATTTTTGTGCTAGTAAATGGTATTTTTCTAGTAGTGCATCTTCGTAATATAAAAAAAGACTTGGATATTTTTTTTTTATATTTTAGTGATTTTTTATTTGTTTTTCTACATTTTGTTTTTAATCTTTATCGCTGTTACAGGTTGTAAAGAAATTATCATGTGTTAATTTTTTTAATTACATCAGTAAAGGGACTGAGAACAAAAAATTCATAAAGAAATTTAAAAATATATCTAAAGTGATTGAGACTAAAATTTCACTTTTCTCTCTCTCTCTCTCTCTCTCTCTCTATATATATATATATATATATATATATGGATACAAAACTTATTTTAAATTAAATCAATAAAGTTTTCAGTATACATGAATATTTTAATTATCCCAGCGAAACGAATCGAATTGGGAAAACTTAAGTGAACAAGACCCTTTTTTTTGTTGTTTTAATCTATTTAGAATTATAGGAGATCCTAAGACAGTTAAAAAGAACAAAAAAGAAAATGAAATATACAGCAAATGAGAGTATTTATTATTGAAAAGAAAAACACTTCTTTTTCTATCAAACGCATAATTTTTTTCAACCTAAACTTCATATTTATTCTCGGTTTCCCTATTTATTTTTATAATTTGTTGCAAATAAAATATGTCTAGTAATTGTCCAGTTTTCTTGTTAATTTATTTCTTTGTTTATTGGTTTATTGTATATTTATATACTTATTAAGATATATAAGATATGCACATGTGTGAAAATAGTATAATATTTTTTACACGTTCTTGTTATTATATGTCTTGAAAAAGGGTCACGTGTTCTACCTATTTGGCTGCATCGAGATTCTGACCATATAAGTAGCGTGGAATGAGATCCTTGTTTTCTTTTGAAGTTTCTTACACGAAAATATATAGAAATATGTAAAGAAAAAACTCTAAATTTTAAGATGAACCAAATGATAAAAAAAATCAAAACATGTATGTTTTACATTAACATTATACATACAGTAATCACACAATTAACACCCAAGTCTATGGCATAAACTAAAATTAAAAAAGGTTAATAATAGAGGACACGTAAGAGGAACTTCTGATTGGGTAAGAGTAATATTAATATACATGCACAGAGTACTGCAAACAAAAGCATTACTTAAAAAACAAATGATGATGTTAACACATATATTATTATATAAGCACGATGGGAGAAGGGGCTGGATCATGTTTTGAAAATGTTAGTGATCCCTTAAAAAATAATTAATCAGAACCCTGTTAACATGATCTAATAATTTAGCCTTATAAATACTAAACACTTGCTTGCTTGTGTTACTCACAAGCCATAGGCTTTTCTCTTAACAAAAAAAGAGTGTAAAGTTGTTAGAGAAGTTGCAAAGATGATTTCAGGTGTGACAGGTTTGCTGAATAGGGGTCAAAAGCTGAAGGGGACAGTGGTGTTGATGCGTAAGAATGTGTTGGACATAAACGAAATTACATCGGCTCAAAGTGCCGGCGGTTTAATCAGCGGTGGCCTCGATGCTTTGGGTAATCTCGTTGGCACCGGAGTTGATGCCCTCACTTCGTTTGCGGGTCAATCTGTGGGGCTTCAGCTGATCAGTGCAACCAGTGCTGATGGTACCTTCTTTTCTTATTTGCTTTCTTCATGTTTGTTTTTTACTTTTGACTTGGAGAGGAGACACACACACATATATATATAATAAGAAGATAATAGAAACTCAAAGAAAATAAAATGAAGTGAAGGGAAGGGAAAAAATAAATAGAAGAGTTAGCTTTTTTTGGATAAGGAAAATGAATAATCATTTTTACTTTTGCTTAAATAATTTTTATATTCTTTCAGTATAATAAGAAATAAAGTGGCACAAAGGGAACAGCCATATATATTATATAGCTAGTAGGATGAACAAAAAAAAAATAGGGAACAAAAACTACTAATTATAACACATTGTGTTGTTGAAAATTATAATTGACTTGTACCAAGTTTGATTTTGAATTGCTAGATGAACAGTTTAAGTGGTGAGTGTTAATTGGCATATGAAATTTTTGTAGGAACTGGAAAGGGTAAAGTCGGAAAACTAACCTATTTGGAAGGTCTTATTGCCTCCCTACCAACATTGGGAGCTGGCCAATCGGCTTTCGACATTCATTTTCAATGGGACAGTGATATGGGAATTCCAGGAGCGTTTTATATCAGAAATTATATGCAAGTTGAGTTCTTCCTTGTTAGTTTGACTCTTGAAGATGTTCCCAACCAAGGAACCATCCACTTTGTTTGCAACTCATGGATTTACAATTACGCTAAATTCTACAATAAAACTGATCGCATTTTCTTTGCCAACAAGGTAAACCATTCACATAGCTAGCAAGTACTTTCTTCAATTTAAATTTCACTTAATCATGTCTTTATAGTTCTCACATTTTTGCAAAAATTTGTTTTGATTTCTTAAAAATCATCACTTTATGTTCCCGATTATGACGTGATGATGCAAAAAATTGACATCAGAAATCAAGGGTGTTGAATTTAGAAAAATTAAAAACTGAGATCAAATAAAAAAAATTAACAAGACTAAAATCAAAATCTTACAAAATATGTAAGATTAAAGAAAAATTAAGTCATTTAAATCCAAAATTTGACATCACCAATCAGATAATTTATTAAATATAAATGTAGACATATCTCCCAAGTGACATGCCCGCTCCACTAGTCAAGTATAGAGAAGATGAATTGAAGTCTTTAAGAGGAAATGGAACAGGAGAGCGCAAAGAACATGAAAGGATTTATGATTATGATGTCTACAATGATTTGGGTGACCCAGACTCAAATAGCAGATTGGCTCGTCCAGTTCTAGGAGGAAACAGCACCTTGCCTTACCCTCGCAGGGGAAGAACTGGTAGAAAACCATCTAAGAAAGGTAAAACTATTCTGTCTAATACTTAACTTTCGTTCTATAATATTTTAGTGAAAGTGTTTGGTAAAATATGAAATTGTATTACAACTTAATTGACAGAGAAACTTTTGGGGTTGGATTGGTTTAGTTTTTGAAAAAAAAAAAAAAAGATTCTGAAATAATTTTGGACAAAATAATTTTCAAAGAATTGATATTAAAAGTTTATTATATTTATGAAAAAATTTAAATATTCTCATATTATTAAATAATATGGTATAATCATGTTAAAAAAACATTTTCAAATAAAAGCTACCGTGATTCATTATATGAGTTTCAAATAAATTTAATAAAAAAATATTCTTTTTTTCTAACATGACCCTATCATCTTACTTAATAATATGATCTGATCTAAATCCTTGTGAATATTATTTTGGAATAGCTTAGAATTTTTATTTATTTATATAATATAGTAAAATCACTTAAAAAATTAAAACATAAATATGTTTGTTTTTAAAATTGTAAGCCCTGTGATTTTAATAAATTGTGTTAGATGTAAACGTTTAAAGATTTCACATCCTTTTAAATCAATTATGTTCACTATAACCCCACTTTTATTCATTGTGAAAATTAGCCAAACAAAACTATCACTTTGTTGATCAATTTGTTTTATCGAAACTATGATTGTTGGAAAACAAAGATACAAATAGAAACCTTTTTTACGTGAACATTTGTTGCGTTTGTTTCAAGGAACCTTGAATTCTATAAAATTGAAGAAAGGTTTACTGAATCATAGAGCAACTTTGTTGGGGGTTGAAAATGGCTTTTGCTAATCGAAACAATTTCTATCTATGAATTCTAAAATTACTATTATCAATGTTGCTAATACATATTTTACTATTATATATATTAAACAGATCCTAAAAGTGAGAGCCGCAGTGACTCTGTCTACATTCCAAGAGATGAATCATTTGGTCACTTGAAGTCATCAGATTTCCTTGTTTTTGCGCTCAAATCTGCAACTCAAAATGTCATACCTCAATTACAATCTGTACTTACACTACAATTTAATCAGCCTGAATTTAATAACTTTGATGATGTGCGTGGACTCTATGATGGTGGAATTAAGTTACCTACTAATATACTTAGCCAAATTAGCCCTATTCCATTATTCAAAGAACTTTTCCGAACTGATGGTGAACAAGTCCTTAAGTTTCCACCACCTAAAGTGATTCAAGGTATATTAAAAACACGTTGCTATGTATATCTATATTAAAATACATGGTAAGTCAATGGATCTTCTGAAATATTCTTTTTTGGGTAGTGAATCAATCTGGATGGATGACTGACGAAGAATTTGCAAGAGAGATGATTGCTGGTGTAAATCCACACATTATTAAAAGACTTCAGGTAAATTTACTATTTAACATTAAGCAAGTACAAAAAATTAAAGTAATTTTATGCACTTATAATTCATTTTAAATTCACAAATGATAACCTCATTGCGAATTAAAATTATTGCAGGAGTTCCCGCCAAAGAGCAAGCTAGATAGCCAGCTCTACGGTGATAACACTAGTACCATAACCAAAGAACAATTGGAGCCAAACTTGGGTGGGCTCACTGTAGAACAGGTAAATACACATTTCCTTTTGCTATAGAATAACATTAATCAAAAGAATTCTACAGTTATTTGCTTCAAAATTGATTATTTTTTATGTGATTGAAATTTATTACAAGGACTTCAATATTTTTGGTTGAACAGGCTATCCAAAACAACAAATTGTTCATACTAGACCACCATGATCCAGTCATTCCATATTTGAGGCGAATTAATGCAACTGACACAAAGGCCTATGCTACTAGGACCTTCCTTTTGTTGCAAGATAATGGAACTTTAAAGCCACTGGCCATTGAGCTAAGTAAACCACATCCTCAGGGTGATAATTTTGGTCCTATTAGTAACGTTTACCTTCCAGCAAGTCAAGGTGTTGATGCTTCCATTTGGCAACTTGCAAAGGCTTATGTAATCGTAAATGACTCTTGCTATCACCAACTTGTCAGCCATTGGTATATATATTTTTGGCTAACAAAATTTATACAGTCAAACTTAGTTTATCTATTTATGAATCATTGCTTAATATCTTTACATGCATGACAGGTTGAACACTCATGCTGTTGTTGAGCCCTTCGTCATAGCAACAAACAGGCATCTTAGTGTGGTTCACCCTATTCACAAGCTTTTGCTTCCACACTATCGTGACACAATGAACATCAACGCACTTGCAAGGAATGTCCTAGTCAATGCAGAGGGTATTATAGAATCAACATTCTTGTGGGGTAATTATGCCTTGGAAATGTCCGCTGTTGTATACAAGGATTGGGTTTTCACTGAGCAAGCACTACCTGCTGATCTTGTCAAGAGGTAATTCTTACAAGCTAAAAAAGTTCACTGAAATTTTGATTCTAATAGTATTCATTACTTGAGATAATAAAATTGATCACAAATATATTTATGCTAATGTTGCTTTCTTTGCATGTTATCTAGAGGAGTGGCTGTTGAAGATGCATCTTCTCCACATGGCCTTCGTCTTTTGATAGAGGACTATCCTTATGCTGCTGATGGGTTAGAGATATGGGATGCTATCAAGTCATGGGTACAAGAATACGTCTTTTTCTATTACAACTCAGACGCTGTTGTTGCACAAGATACTGAACTCCAAGCTTTTTGGAAAGAGCTTGTTGAAGTTGGACATGGTGACAAGAAAAATGAAACATGGTGGCCAAGGATGCAAACACGTGATGATTTGATCCAGTCTTGCACCATCCTCATATGGTGTGCTTCAGCCCTTCACGCAGCTGTTAATTTTGGACAGTATCCATATGGTGGCTATATCCTTAACAGACCAACACTTAGTAGGCAATTCATGCCTGAGATAGGGTCCCCTGAGTATGATCAGCTTTCTCAGAACTTTCAAAAGGTGTTTTTGAAAACTATTACAGGAAAGAGTGATGCCCTTAAAGACCTTACAATTATTGAGATCTTATCAAGACATGCTTCTGATGAACTTTACCTTGGACAAAGAGATGAAGGTGATGTTTGGACTTCTGATACACAGCCATTAGAGGCATTCAAGAGGTTTGGACAAAGGTTGGCCGCGATTGAGCAAAAGCTTGTCCAAAGGAACAATGATGCGACACTGAGGAACCGAAATGGACCAGTGCAGATGCCCTACACTTTGCTTTATCCTTCAAGTGAGGAAGGGTTGACTTGCAGAGGCATTCCTAATAGTATCTCTATCTAAAGAGGTTTATGGTTGTGTTGCTGTTAAAATAAATGATGACAAGGAATACAATTCCTTCATTTCCTTATGTATGGTTATTCTGTATGTTTTTGGATATTATGATGTTGTTCATTAATAAAATTTGCTATGTTTTTACTTTGTACCGTGCTATATTTACAAAATGAAATGCACCTTCATTAATTTCTTGTTTGGAAGTTGTAACTTTATAATATGAATTCATCATCATAATATGAATTCATTAATTACTTTGTGACTAGCAATGAATTCATATTCTGATGATTCCCATTTTGGCTTTGCCAAAACTCCGGTAGCAATTGACATGATCATATTACGTACTCTTGGAGAAAGTTTGAGAAAGAAAAATAGGAGTAGATTACGGTAGAGGATAACAATATGAGAACGTTGAAGCTTTGTTCATATGTGCTGATTTTCTGAAAGTTTTGTGTTGAATGAATGATTTTTCATGTGTTGTATTTTTAAGAGAGAAAAAAAGTAAGTAGGATAAAAAACAAAAGGTAAATTTTGTAATAGCCTTTAAAACTTTTAAAGCATTAAATTTTTTTAACTAATAATACTTTAAACACATATTTAAGTGATAAATTTATTTAATAATAAATTATATATAATAATATATATTTTTTTATAATTTGTTACGTATTTTTTTTAGTATATTACCTATAAATTTTTTTTAAAATACCACATAGGACACCAAAACAATATTCATATCTTCATGCCCGTGAAATGAAAAGTAAAAAGAAGGGAAGAATTCTTTTGTTACGAATATAGCAATAGTAAAAGTTATTTATCTCTTAAAAGAAGTATGTTGAAGATATAATATTAAAATAAAAAGTGCTATTAATATATGCATTCAGAATCTATCTTTTACATAAATAAGTATTTTTTATTATTTAAATTTTTTAAAAATAAATTATTTCTTTTAAAATGTTCTTAAACATACACATATACAAGGACATTAAGAGGTAATATGAAATTTATTTAAGTTTATAAAAATAAATAATTTATAATTTATAATTATAAAATTTATAAAATTATTTTAATAAATTTTATTGTTAAATTTATAACGTAATTCTCTAATAATAAAAATTTATTAAATAACTACATACATCTCATATGTAAAAACAAAATTAATGTTGGTTTTGGGTGATTATCGAGCAAACTAACATTTTGCTTTTAATTTCATGCTGAATAAAAGAGGAGCACTTATATTTTTAGGTACATTTTCTCTCATAATCGAGTAGGGACAAGGAAGATAGTTAGAGGAAAAATTGAAAATGACACCAGGAACAAGTAGGAAACGGCGAAACGCCATTAATGCAAATGCAATGCATCTAACAAGGACCTACCAATAATAATTGAAGAATACTTAATAATTTTATTTAATACCTATTATATTTTAATATTATAACTTTGTTTTCACTTATCAATTTAAGATCATAGTTTAAAAAAAAAAGTGCTGAAAATATTTTTAATACGCTGTATTTAAAATATTTTCATAACTAATTTAAACGCTTTTAACTTGTTTTGAATAACTTAATTTTTTATTTAATGATAAAAATAAGTTACAAAGTGTTGTTAATTTTTTATAGCATTAATAAAAATTAATTTTAGAATAACATTTAGCTCTACTTTTTAGTGTGAATTTGCATAAAATTACACAAAGTGAAACATAATATTCGGATAATTAATTTTAATTTGTTGTTGATAATTTTCCTGTTAATTGCCTCCAAGAATGCATTGGTGTTGAATCATTTAACAGCGTTTGATTATGTACATATTTATGAATAAATATGAAGATATTACATTTTTTTTTCATGATTTGAGAAAAAATGATTTGTTATATTATAAAAAAATAGAGAAATAAGATAACATTTTATAAACATTAATACAAAAATAAAAGTAAACGGATCCCTACCCTTTTATAGTTGTATATATCGCTTAATGCTCATCAGAATACAATTTTTTGAGCTAAATTATTAAACAAAAATGTCTGACTAAACTTAATGCGAATTATATCATATGCTCTCAATGAAATTTAATTTTTATTCCTCTTCTATTTCTTATTTTTCTTAATCTTAAGAGCTTAAAATCTATCTATCTGTTACTTATTTTTGTATTTTCTAAACTACGTACAATTCTGTTTTGCATTTAATTATAATGTCATTTTGTGAAGAGCTAATAAATTCTATTAGATTATACTTCTATTCCTATTACTACACTCGATAAAAAATAGAATAAATATAAAAAAAAAAAACTACAGTGAGTTCTGAAATCAAATTTTATTTTATTTTATTTTCTCATTTGCCCACTCGTATGCCTCGTGGCCACTGCTAAGCAATATTTTAAATTGGGATATTCCACAGCCTTCTTGGATGCAGCATTTCAAAAGATATATCCAATAATGATAAAGTTATTCAGCAGCTTTCATAGATACACGCAATCATGTTTCCATTCACATAAAGAAGAAGAAAGAAAAAAAAAAAACCCCATATTGATCTGACACATAAATACGATATTTAATTGGTGTATATTCAAATTAATATAATATATGATTAAACTTTTAATGAAATAATTTATATAATATATATAATTATAAGTTATATCGATAAAAATATATTTTATCTAAAGTGAGAAAAGATATAAAATTGTTAAATCTTACGTTGATATAAATCAATTATTTTATTTTAATATATTTTTTCTCTTCCGAACTCAAAAGTGGGAAGAAAAATATAAATTTTAAATGCTTGGACACGTTTTTTTATTAGTTCTTGAAAAGGACATCATTACCCGTGAGCTCTTGTCCAGACATGCAACTTTTCTTATTTTCATAGGTGCTTGTGCTCAGTTTAAAGAGAAAAAAAAAACCTATTTTTTGTAGAAGAAAATATTAAAAAATGCAAATTTTTAAAATAAATTAATATTACATTTACATGGCGTAATAACTCTTGTGAGTTTTTTTTTTGGTTAAAATATGATAAAAGTTAATTAAATTACTAAAATAAAATATTAATGAAATATTTTTCTAAAATATTTTTTATTATTAAAAAATAAGTGTTTATCCTATAAAATCAACCCTCAAAGTGATATGGTAAAAAAAAAATATTTCGTAAATATTCTATGTCAGTAATTTATTTTTATTTTGATTATATATTTTTTTTAAAAAAACCAACCCTTGTAATTTACATCCCACTCGTCACGAAAGTTTTTGTCAGACTTAACTGGCTACGATAATTAGGAAAGGACGCTGAAAAAGGACCTTCTATTTTGGCTATGATTATCCATGTCTCTTCCATTTTTATTTATTTTTTATAGAATTAAAAAAATACAATTTCTCAAACATAAAAACTGAAGCTACATAATCATGAAAATAATGATCGCGCGAATATATATTATTTTGAGCTGTATTACTTACATATATATATATTTTATAATATACATGTTAAAATATTATATGTTTTATAATATTTAAAAAATAAAATTTTATTGAAAAAATAAGACTAGTATATTGAAAATGTGAGAAATTCTTTTCAATATAATATTATTTAAAATTGTTTAGTTTACGTGTAAAAACTGATTTATACAATTTTATTTTTCCTTCTGGAGCATGACGGGGTTGGATAATGTTTTACACATGCTCTAAAATGGGAGATCATGTTTGGGCTTATAAATAGTTGACAGACTTGGTTGAGTAGTGCAGAGTGAAGCGTTGTTGGAGAAGAAGAAGAGAAGACAAGTAGCAAAGATGTTTTCAGGGGTTGCAGGTCTTATAAACAGGGGGCACAAAGTGAAGGGTACAGTGGTTTTGATGCAAAAGAATGTGTTGGACATAAACGCACTTACCTCTGCTCAATCCGCAACTGGTATCATCGGCGGTGCCATCGGGATCGTCGGTGGCGCCATTGGCACCGCCGTTGACACCCTCACTTCCTTTTTGGGCCGATCTGTCGCTCTTAAGCTCATTAGTGCCACCGCTGCTGATGGTAACTCCTTTTTTTTTCTTCCTTAAAATATCACCTTCTTTTTATTATTTTTAAAAATTTTATTTAATAACCATAATGTATCTTTAAGAATGAGTTATACGACAAGAAAATTATTATAAAAATAAGTAAAACAAAGAAAAATTTATGTTTATCTAATTTGAATTTTTCTTAAAAAAATTTAAAAATAAATTATAATATATCTGAGATAATGTCATTTTATAATTTTAAAAAATTAAATTTGTGATGTTTTAAGAAATAATAATATATTTAAACTCGAATTATTTATTGCTTATCATACCTTCATAAAGTTCAAAACAAGCACAAATGGCGCAAATGATGGTTGAATGAGGTTCGATGATTCAAAGACACTCATAGCATACACCCCAAAAAAATGTATTTTTATTTTTAAGTTAAATCAATATTGAGGTAAATTTTAATATTTATAAGTTTATAAATAAAGTTAAAGGTTTATAAATAATTTTTAGTTACACGTGTACATTAAGGTTTCTGGATAATTGAGGAAATATTTTTTTGGTTTTATTAGAATATTAATAATTAATATTTATAATAAAGGATTGTAACTATATATTTTATCGTATAAAGTAGGGCGTGGCTATTATTATTTTAAGATGTTGATCATCAGAGATGATTAAGTCATTTAACAAGTATTACTAACGAAATTGAAAATGAACTTAAACAATTTAGAATTTGACAAGTGAAAATTTTATAGGATCTGGAAAAGGAAAAGTGGGAAAGCAAACTTTTTTGGAGGGTATTGTTACCTCTCTAGCAACTTTGGGAGCAGGCCAATCTGCATTCAATATCCATTTTGAATGGGACAGTGACATGGGAATTCCTGGAGCATTTTATATTGAGAATTTTATGCAAGTTGAATTCTACCTTGTCAGTTTGACTCTTGAAGACATCCCTAACCATGGCACCGTTCACTTTCTTTGCAATTCATGGGTTTACAATTCAAAGAAGTATAAAAGTGATCGCATTTTCTTTGCCAACAAGGTAAACCATTCTCCATAGTTTGTTAAATTTAATGAAAAATGGTAACTAATATTTACTAATAGTAAACTTGTACTTCAAAAATATTTATAATACTTTTATAATTTTATGGGAATGAGTTTTTTTAATAAAGATTTATCATTTTTAAATGCTTAAAAAATTGAGATCAATAAAATTTATGCTTAATTCAGATTAACAATGAAAAAATATATTGAATATAAATGTAGACATACCTCCCAAGTGAAACACCAGCTCCATTAGTCAAGTATAGAGAAGAAGAATTGAAGGTTTTACGAGGAGATGGAACAGGAGAGCGCAAAGAACATGAAAGGATTTATGATTATGATGTCTACAATGATTTGGGTGAACCTGACTCAAAGGCTAGTCTGGCTCGTCCAGTTCTTGGAGGAAACAGTACCTTACCTTATCCTCGCAGGGGAAGAACTGGCAGAAAACCATCTAAGAAAGGTAAGCCTTTTGATCTGTCTAAGACTTGGCTCTCTTTTCAATTCTTTTTCCATGATTTTTATTTTTAATTCATCATCTTTAGCATAAATGAAATGTTAAAAATATGAAATTGTATTATAAATATGTTTGAAAGTTTTTTAGTCGTTCAATTTTTTTAGGATTATGGTGTTTTATAATTTTAAAAATTTTTAAAAATGATTCCTGTGTGATGAATCACTTCAGTGACTGGTTAGCAAGGTGACAAGTAACATGACATGTCTAAATGTATATTACATCATCACATAGTTTAACTAATAAAAATTGCATGACTAAAATTATATTTAATCATATTTTCAGGTACTAAAAATATAATTTACCCTTTTGTACAAAAATTAAAGGGTTTACTATAGCATATGACTTTATTGGAATTGAAAAAATCTTTTGTTGATCTAAACATTTTTCTGTTATGATCTAAATTTATTGTCATTAATGTTGCTAATATATGTGTTTTTCTGTCACATATCTTAACAGATCCTAAAAGTGAGAGTCGCAGCGATTCTGTTTACCTACCAAGAGATGAATCATTTGGTCACTTAAAGTCATCGGATTTTCTTGTTTATATACTTAAATCTGCTTCCCAAAATGTTATACCTCAATTGCAATCTGCACTCAAATTGCAAATTAATCAGCCTGAGTTTAATAGCTTTGATGAAGTGCGTGGACTCTATGATGGTGGAATTAAGTTACCTACTAATGTACTTAGCCAGATTAGCCCTATTCCTTTATTCACAGAACTTTTCCGAACTGATGGTGAACAAGTCCTTAAGTTTCCACCACCTAAAGTGATTCAAGGTATATTAAAAACACATTGCTATTTATATTTATATTAAAATGCAGGGTAAGTTAATGGATCTTCTGAAATATTCTTTTTTGGGTAGTGAATCAATCTGGATGGATGACTGACGAAGAATTTGCAAGAGAGATGATTGCTGGTGTAAATCCACACATTATTAAAAGACTTCAGGTAAATTTACATTATTACTATTAAGCAAGTACAAAAAATTAAAATCATTTTATGCCTTAAAAATCATCTTAAATTTACAAATGATAACATCATTGCAAATTAAATTATTGCAGGAATTCCCGCCAAAGAGCAGGCTAGATAGCCAATTGTATGGTGATAACACTAGCACCATAACCAAAGAACACTTGGAGCCAAACATGGGTGGGCTCACTGTAGAACAGGTAAATCCACATTTCTTTTTGTTATGTAATAACATTTCTGTAAAGAATTTCAACAGTTACTTTTGTTGCATAAATGATTTGTTTTGACATGATTGAAATTAAAAGCAAGGACTACCATATTTTTGGTTGAACAGGCTATCCAGAGTAACAAATTGTTCATACTAGACCACCACGACACACTCATTCCATATTTGAGGCGAATAAATTCAACTGACACAAAGGCCTATGCTACTCGGACCTTCCTTTTGTTGCAAGATAATGGAACCTTAAAGCCATTGGCCATTGAGCTAAGTAGGCCACATCCTCAGGGTGATAATTTTGGTCCTATTAGTAACGTTTACCTTCCAGCAAGCCAAGGTGTTGAAGCTTCCATTTGGCTTCTTGCCAAGGCTTATGTAGTTGTAAATGACTCTTGCTATCACCAACTTGTCAGCCATTGGTATAATTTTTTTTTTCCTAACAAGATTTATACAGTCAAACTTAGTTTATCTATTTATGAATTATTGCTTAATATCTTTACATGTATGACAGGTTGAACACTCATGCAGTTGTTGAGCCATTTATCATAGCAACAAACAGGCATCTTAGTGTGGTTCACCCTATTTACAAACTTCTGTTTCCACACTATCGTGACACAATGAACATCAACGCACTTGCAAGGAATGTCCTAGTCAATGCTGAGGGTATCATAGAATCAACATTCTTGTGGGGTGGCTTTTCTTTGGAAATGTCAGCTGTTGTATACAAGGATTGGGTTTTCACTGAGCAAGCACTACCTGCTGATCTTGTCAAGAGGTAATTCTTACAAGTTATAGAAACATGTCCTTAAAATACTTAAATTCTTGGTCTATTCAATACTTGAGATAATAAATGTCAACAATATATTTTTATGTTAATGTTATTTTCTTTGCATGTTATCTAGAGGAGTGGCTGTTGAAGATCCATCTTCTCCTCATGGCCTTCGTCTTTTGATAGAGGACTATCCTTATGCTGCTGATGGGCTAGAGATTTGGGCTGCCATCAGATCATGGGTTCAAGAATATGTCTTTTTCTACTACAAATCAGATGCTGCTGTTGCACAAGATACTGAACTCCAAGCCTTTTGGAAAGAGCTTGTAGAGGTTGGTCATGGTGACAAGAAACATGAATCATGGTGGCCAAGGATGCAAACACGTGAAGAGTTGATCCATTTTTGCACCATCCTCATATGGACTGCTTCAGCCCTTCATGCAGCTGTTAATTTTGGACAGTATCCATATGGTGGTTATATTCTTAACCGACCAACACTTAGTAGGAGATTCATGCCTGAGATAGGGTCCCCTGAGTATGATGAGCTTGCTAAGAACCCTCAGAAGGTGTTTTTGAGAACAATTACAGGGAAGAATGATGCCCTTAAAGATCTTACAATTATAGAGGTCCTATCAAGACATGCTTCTGATGAGTTATACCTTGGACAAAGAGATGGTGGTGACTTATGGACTTCTGATACACAACCATTAGAGGCATTCAAGAGGTTTGGTCAAAAACTAGCTGAAATTGAGAAAAAGCTCATTCAAAGGAACAACGATGAGACACTGAGGAACCGATATGGCCCAGTGCAGATGCCTTACACTTTGCTTTATCCTTCAAGTGAGGAAGGGTTGACTTGCAGAGGCATTCCTAATAGTATCTCCATTTGAAGAGGTTTATGGTTGTGTCGCAGTTTTAAATAAAAGATGAGAAAGGAATCCAATTCCTTTGTTCCCTTATGTATGGTTTCTGTGTATGTTTGGGTGTTGTGATGGTGTGCATCAATAAGAACTCTTGTACCGTGCTATATTCACAAAATGAAATGCAACCTTCATTTTGGCATTGAAATTCACAAAACTAGCATGAAATTCAAATTATGATGATGCCTAAGTTGGCTTTCCCAAAACCATGGTAATGATGGACATGAATATATTTTGCACTTTTGGAAAATTTAAGATGGAAAAATGAGAGTAAAGTAAGGCAAATTTAGTGAAAGTGCGAAGGGTTGAAAAATTTAGAGCAAAAAATAGAAAGGAGATCATGGATTTCTCATCCTTGTTTGGTATTCTTATTATTACCTAGAAGTAACCTTGTTTGTCCTGCATGTATGCGTACATTGGTTGCCTTATTTTAATGGATTAACATGTATTAGAGCTTCTAAGATCAAGTAGTTTGGAATTTCTTTTGTTTATCTCATGTATTCTTCGAATAGAAAGTTAAATGCACCTATCATTATTCCATTTAAAGTTAAATTTTAGTATAAGATCAATGTACTTGTATATTATCACGCTTCTAGTCTCAAATACTCTTATGTGAAGCTACGTGTAAAATGTATAATATAAAAACGAACAATGTGCTATCAATATACATATTGGTTTAACTTACTTTAGATAAACAATTATTTTTTTAACCTTTCGAACAAGCTTTAAAAAATTAAGCTAATCCTTTTTTCGAAATAACTGCCACCAAACATACAAATATACAGTAACATTTGAAAGAATTTATGCAAAATTTATTTAAAAGAAATAAATTTTATTAAAAAAATAACGAATTTAAAAATTTGCCTAAAGAGAATAACTTTTAAAATTCTTATTTAAAACTACAAAAGTATTAAAAAAAATCATTAAATTAAAAGTGTGATTCACATAATATTTAATTTTTTACTAAATTTTAATCAATAATTAAAAATATGTTAAAAATGTGTTATTAGTATTTTTAAATATATAATTCATAAATATTATCTCCAAAAAAATTTATTTAACAATTATTATTCTGGCACAATAATTAAAGAACCCAGCTTATGTGTGCCTTTGACTCTTATCATGAAAAGTAGTTGAAAAAAGTTGACTTCTTTGGATGAGTCTATCTTAGTTTAAACTAGTTAAGATTCAAAGTAACTTTAAAAAATTTAAAATTTATAAATTCTGTTTTTATGATATGTTTATAAAAGTTAACAATTAATATTTTCGTTTGAATAAATATTATTATGTTAAAATAATAACAATTGTTTGAAACATCTAAAATATTCAATAGTTTGAGTCTTATATTAATGTTTTTATCACACTATACGCAACTCTTTTAAAAAAATATTAATCATATATATATATAATATTTATTTATTAAAATGATATATATTATAAATTTTCAAATTATTCTAAAAAATTATAATATTAAATAATTGAATAAAAAAGGAAAATGTTTTCTTAACATAAATTTCTTAAAAAATAAAAAAATTAATGAATGTAAAAATAGATATATATTCTTTATAATTAGCATAAAAAATACTCTTGGTTATTATATAAAAAGAAGATAATACCAAAATCATGGGGGTTAGTTAACAAAACCCAAAAAAATAAAATAAAATCCTAACTTAAATACTTAATCAAACGTATATATAGGAGTGAGTAACAGAGAGCGAAGAAGAGTATCTGAAAACCGAAAGCGAAGAAGCGAAGGAGAGAGAGTTGAATGTGAGTGAATGGGGAATCAGAAGCAGAAGTGGACTCAGGACGAAGAAGACGCGCTTATCGCGGGAGTTGAAAAGCACGGGCCTGGAAAGTGGAAGAACATTCTCAAAGATCCTCAATTCGCCCCCTTCCTCACTTCTCGTTCCAACATCGACCTCAAGGTATGTTACACCAATTCCTTTCTTTTCCGTGTTAGTGTTAGGGTTAGGGTTCTTCAATTTTACCCTTTCAGGATAAATGGCGAAATTTGAGCGTCAGCAATGGTTCTCAAGGCTCTAAGGACAAAACTAGGGTTCCCAAACTCAAAGCTTCACCTGCTACTCCTGCCACCGCCACTCTTCAGAACGTTGCTCCTGCTCCTCAAAACGCACCGTCTGACGTTGCTGTCGCTGACCCTTCTCAAACTGAGCAAGATGTCAAAAACCCTCCAAGGTATGTCTCCCGGTGCTGCTCTTTATCTATGTGGCTTTTATGTTATCTATTTAATCCAATTAACAGAAAATTTATGTTATGTTAGCAATCTAGTGGTGACTGTTCGTCACAATCATTGATCCCCTGAAAAATTGGATTTGTAGGCAGTTTTGTTTTGGATTATAGCCTGACAGTTACTTGTTGAATCCTTTCACCTTGTCAATGGTGATGACAACTGTGTTGCGAATGATAGGATACGACATGCAAATACCATAATTATTAAAAATGGAACCTTTTGTCGCCACGTACTGCGATCTTTTTCAACCACCCTATAGTTTATACTTTACAGCATTTCTAGTGGACTATCATTAGTTATTTGTTATAAATTTGATGCAGCATTTTAATGTTACAAGCTATTTATTCCGTCAGTTTAAATCATATTATGAGGGTTATTGGTAATTTTATCCTTTTCATCAGGTATAATGCTATGGTTTTTGAAGCTCTAACAACACTGAAAGATAGTAATGGATCCGACCTAAATGCCATTGTTAGTTTCATCGAGGTTAGATGATCTTCTTTACTTTTATGTTTCCATTATTCTTGTCAACAATCTTAGTATAAATTTTGTAAACTGATTTAAAATGCTCTGTTTCTGATATTATATAGTAGGGATTTTGCGTACCAAAGCCTAGAATAGAAACATGGATCAATTTCCTTGTATAATTCTGCAATTATTATCTAGGTTGTCAATAGCACGTGATAATGCTGCTATAGCAGCAACGCATCACAGCAGCTGGGTGCTATTTTCACATCACTGTGTCCCACTTTAGTGTTGTGGCTATTGCTGCTGCCAATGCAGTGAAAATTGTGGTTTGTTGCACGCTCCATGGTTGCAGTGCGGAAGACGATAAAAAAACTCAAATCATAGTTATCAATCTCAGATAGCGGCGCGTAGTATACCATTCTCAAAACGCTATAGCAGGATAACTATTATTTTAAAGTTTTTTAGATGGGTATAAAATATATACATATGCAGATAATTATGTATATAATTGTCAAAAAATATGCATAAATGACATAGGAATAATTATAAAAAAATATATAAAGAGAAGAAAGAAAGAAAGTGGATTTTCTGGGAGAACATAACTAAAGTAGTACTGTAGAATTATAGAATAGAGAGAAGAAGAGAAGTGGATTTTGCCACAGAAGGCATTGAAGATGAGTGACTCTGCTAGATTGGAAATTGTTGTAAAGTAGAACAAAGAAAAAGATGAGAGGAGGGAGTATCGAACAAAGAAGTGGAGAAGGAAAAAAGTGGGGTTTCGTCATGTGTATCCAGTTGCAAAGCAGAACAGCAAATAGAGATGAGTCATGAGAGGACGGGGTGTCAAACAGAGAAAGGAAGAAGAAAAATGTGGGGAAAAGTGAGGTTTTAAAAGTGGGGTTTCGTCATGTGTATCCAGTTGCAAAGCAGAACAGCAATAGAGATGAGTTATGAGAGGGACGGGGTGTCAAACAGAGAAAGGAAGAAGAAAAATGTGGGGAAAAGTGAGGTTAGGTTTGAAAACCTCAAGACTGTGTCAAAGGGGGAAAAAAAGGAAAAATCAGCTTATTTCTAAAAGATTAGAAGTCTTTTTTAACCTGACAAAACCCTAAAATTCCTTCATTTTGAGGTTAGAAAAGGAAAGTTGGTATCTTTTCCTGTGGTGGTGCTATTGCGCTGCATAAGGCCACGTTTTGGGCCATGAATACCACTGCAATGGTCACAATGGCTGCAATAGGAAAACTACTCTGCTATGCCAGATATTTGGGCTCTGCCACGCACTGCTATCGCTCGCTATTGACAACTATGACTCAAATATGCCCTAAATTTTTAATGTTGGTTTGGGGGTATTTTGGAGTTTTCATGTCACAATAAAATGGGTTTCAAAAGGATTCTCAAGAAAAGTTAATCTGTTCCTCTTCTGATTTTTGTGCTCTCTTCTATTTAATCTCTGGCCCTTTATTATTATGCGACTCATCAGTCCATTGCTCTTCAATGACTTTCCAGCCACGTCTTAGTATTTTCCGGTCAGTACTTGGTGTGTTCTGGTTAACCAATGCTCTTTGTTCACTGATTATGCATTTTCGGTCAAGTGTCCTGTTTCCCTTTGTTCTCACTGTCCTGCTGGTTGCTGTTCTTTCCTTTCCCTCTTTTTTTCTTAATTTTCTTTTTGTGTTTTGTTGATTATGGAGTTTCTATTTTTCTTTTTATTTTGTCGAAGTGCTCTCCTTGTTCTATTTTTTTATGTTCTCTCTAGTCCGAGGGTTTTTTTGTCATCTGTCTCCCAAAGACCCAAACTTGTTATTTTGTCCAAGCTCTCTCCTTGCTATTTATTTGAATGTTTTGTTTAAGACTTCTGATTTCCTATTGTTAATTATGAATATGTCATGAATTTTGAATATTTTTTTAACTTTTTAAGCATATATATGTATATAGTATAAATTAAGTAATTTGTATTAAAAAATTTAGAATAGCGGCTGTCTTGCTATGTGCTATACTGCCATAGCATTTTTAGAGTTGGCCGCTCAATGCTGCTAACCGAGATTGATAATTATGATTATTATTATGCTTTATAGATCTAGGGTTGAGCTTTGGCTGTTTATTAGGTTGTCTGACTCCCCTGAGCAATCTTCTGTGAAATTAATAGATAATTTTTTCCTATTAAGGATTAATAGTTCTAATGACACCAGGGATGTTTGTAACTCTACTAATCCCTTTGCCATCTTCACTTTATTTTTGGGTATTTAAGACCAACTCTTCAATTGAAAAAAACTCAACAGTATTTTTGACTTGGAGATGATAATTTTTGCATCATGGTCTTTCAAAGTAGTATGTTGAAGCCCTGCATCTTTTCTTGATGGGGGGCATGGGCATGTTGGAAAATGAATTTAATATGGGGGTGTCTATTGTGCATATTGTTCTTTATTAAGTATTTGCTATCTTCTATTTTAGAATTTTAGAAGTAACAACTGCATATAATACTGCAGCAAAAGCATCAGGTTCCTCAAAATTTCAGAAGGGCATTAAGTACAAGGTTGAGGAGGCTTGTTAGTCAAGGGAAACTTGAAAAGGTAACTTAATCCTCTATTGTGGTTTACTGGTTTATAGATATATGGTATATTGCAGTTGAGAGTGAGCCTTGTGCACTGGTAAGGTTGTTGCGTTATGACCTGAAGATGGGTCCAAGTCCTGGAACCAACATCTCTGCTTGTGGGGGTAAGGTTATGGATATAGCCCACCCCAAACCCAACCAGGTGGGATCCTTGTGCACTGGGGCTTTAATGTATGTTATTGTAATTATTCATTACTTTTTATTTTGACTTGTGGATATTATGTTCAGATTTGTTGTTGAAGCATGTTACTTGGCTGACAAGGCTTTAATGCATGTTTAATCAGTTATTTACTGATTGTTTTTCTTTTTTTCTAAAGAATGAGCATCTGCTTGTCTCCTCAATTTTATTCCCTTATTTTTGAGTTATTTCTAAGTTGCTTAGTCCTCAGACCTTATGTTGCTCCAAACTTCACCCTTATTCAAACTTGTTAGTCTACCATTTCTCTTAACTACATATCTGGATTTATGAATCCAATAAGAGTTCCTCAATGGACTGGAAAGATATAACATATGTTCTCTGATTTTGGGTGGGAGAGAAGTGGAGATCACTTGGATGTGTGAGAGACTTATAGCCAAGTAGGAGGGTGATTTGGAGTTTTGGAAATCTGGTGTCTGAAAAGATTGCTTTGGCAATTGACCTTGGTGTTTTCCACCAGAAGCTTACCAATGATGTGGATCATAAGTTGCAACTTTTGTTTTCCACCTAGAATGTGCCATATGCCATACCCAGAAATCTATGCAACTTGAGCCTTTTTGAAAAATGTTTTGTGAAATATATTCTATAGGATTGATTTCTTTGAAAGAGGGTAGGGGCTGAGCCCCATGTTTCTGTAAGGATTTTTTTTTCTGTCACCATTACTATAGCTTTTCCATTTTTCTCTGCTTCCAAAAGGTGGCCCTTCCTACAGACTTTGCATTCTTGCCACATAAACAGAAATTTCAGTTAGGCTGAATGATCTTGAAGCTTGATTCATTCTTAAGGTGGATTTCTATGATCTTTACCATCTGCAGGTACAAAATTGTTACAAGATAAAAAAGGAGACCTCCGAGGGGACAAAATCACCTGTACCAAAACAAAAGGATGTCCGGCCACCACAGCGGCAATCACCAGCCTCTGGCTTTATCTCATCTAATGAGACAATAAGGGAAGCTGCTGATGCTGCAGCTTATAGAGTTGCTGATGCTGAAAGCAAATCGTATCTGGCTGCTGAAGCTATAAAGGAGGCAGAAAGAATAGCATGGTTGGCTGAAGATAATGATTCTATGTTACAGCTAGCGAAGGAGATTTATGAACAATGTATTATAGATAAACGATCCTTCCTGCCTTATTTGTGAATTTTTCAACCATATGATTCTTTATAATAATAGCCATTGATCTTGTGGGTCTACTCATGCAGGTTCGCGCGGTGAAATTTTCCTCTTGGCTTAAGTTGGTCAACGAACGGTCGATTAATAGATTCGTCCGGATGTTGGGTTCTAAATGTAAAAAAATTGTTGATCGAATGAAATGGTATTTTAACATTTTTTTGGGGGGTACTTTATCAAATTCCTTTAGCATTTTTATTTCTTAAAGTTGCATGAGAAGTCATGTTCAGGTCTTATCTCTATTCAGTAGAGTCAGTCAGTCCACCAAATTTGTCTAGATTTTGGATCCAAAGTGGAAACAATAACTCATTTGTCATGTCAGTGATGTAATATAAATCATAATAGTCATTTGCGCGTGTCTTGACCTAATAACTTCAATTTTTGAAAGAGTTAGTTTTTTGCATGGTATGAGTCCTTTCAGAATTTGATCCTTCGTACCCTATTCCTCTAACTGAAGGTTAAATTTCATAACATGATAATCGAGTAGGGACATATTTACTAAAAGTCATTAAAATGTTCTCAGTAGTTTTCAATTAATGTGTTTTCACTTAATAGTTTAAACTTCTGTTGTGGTAATGGGATCATAATACATTTGTCATCACTCGGCTAAACTTTTGGTTATCTTAAATCGGAGCCATAGTATTTACCTATATCTTCATTGAACGTGACTACTGGTATTTTTTTTAGATATTATATTATTTTTAATTTTATATTGTTTTAATTAAAATTTTCAATTATGTTTATGTGTATTTATACAATTAAGATTAATTTTACTAACAATAGTTGATAAAATTATTTCGCTTCCCTGGATCATAATTAAAAATTAAAGAGTATTTTTATTTTTAAAAAAAACTAATTCCATTATCTACATATAAAAAAAACATAAAATATCCTCTCATTTTACAAATTCTCACTTTATAGAATACTGTAAAATTCACCTTAAAATTAGAGTTTTATTTATACATTACTTAAGTGAAACTTCAATTCTGATTAAAAAATAATTCATACCTATAATATTGTACTTGAATTTTGTGCTTTTCTAAATTGTTTAGAATAGTGACTTGAACGAATAAATCAAACCAACTAATCCAATCTATATTTCAAAACAATAAAATACACTCACAAATTATACAATAAAAATATGATAAACCTATTATTTGTTACATACTACCTAAATATTATATCAAGCATTACCTTTTATATGCAACACCACATTCTAATTTGCCTATGAGAAACTAATCCATGTTTAAATTAATTTTTCGCTTTTCATACATGATACAAGAATTATAAATGATAAATTAATTGTTCAACTGGTAAAGCAAAATTAAGGTCTAACAGTGGATCACCAAATATTTTGCAACCGTACAAAGTCTACCAGCAAAAAACCATTCTCAATCCTAAATTACCAAAAAACCATGACAAATATCCGAATTAAATTACAGAAGCACAAGCCCAAGCTCTGATGGCTTCAATGCATGCCTTATTCGGTAGTTGTAAAGATAATAATGAAGTTTCCCATCACCTGGTCCAAACTTCAGTTCCCTCAAGAAGGTTTCATTCTGCATGACATCCAATGCATTGAAAACATCATAATCCTTCTGTTTTGCAACAATGAGAGCATCATTCATCAGCTGAAGCAAAGGGGTGACTGTGGAAACATTATAAAATGAATAAGCTGCTTTCAAAGTTGAATAATTTTGGTTGCCAAGGATGGTAGAAGGAAGAGTGTAAAAACTACAAAAGTCAGTGACCTCGTGAGTTTCAGGACTTTCAACCAGATAACTATCAACAACATTCTCCTTTGGTAGAAGCCAATGCTCCACATCATTTTCATCAAAATCGGGTGCAACAACAAAATGGCTCAAGTAATTCCTAATTAGCCTTGTAACTGCAGGAACATCATGAATTTCCATCTTTCTAAACCCTGGGGTGACTGTTGATTCTGGTAGCTTGTAAAGCTTGATGGTTCGACTCATTGTCATTCGTGCACCAAGCCGAGAGAAACCAACATCAATTAGCTTCTTGGGATTCAACGATCTGTGCCAGTATTGGCAAGTTGCTATTGGTGTAGGAAGAATCACTCCAGCAGTGTATGCTGCCTGCCACATATTCTCCAAGTGCACCCTCCTGGTGACCTCTTTGATCATGACAGGGGCAAGCCTCTTTGTTCGAAGCTTCTTGTGGACACAGAGAAAATTAATCTCCGCCATATTAACAACCTCGTCACGAACTCGGATTCTAGCAGGAACACCTGTTATAAAGGCAACCATCTTCTTGGAACTTTTAACACGGACACCAATATGCCAACTCCTGAAATAACCATGAGGTTGTAGAGCCCAGTGCAGAAATTCCTTTGAGTAGTTAAATCTAAACATGTTCTCATCATCCTCAACATAATTATTAGTAAGAAGGTTGTATACCTCATCACACATCTGCTCAGAATTGATGTCACAAGTAACCCATTCATAGAGGTTAGGAAGGTTGTATGGTTCTTGTTTTACCTCAGATAAGGGGGTTGGAGGTTCAATGCGGCCTTCTGGTAAACTGGTGTTCCCTATATCCTTGAACTGCCCAACAGGTTGGGTTTCCCAAAATTTATGTCTTTTATCCAAAGAGAGAGACTCTTGAACTTTTTGTGCTAGATTATCCAATGCAAGATCGCTTTCAGAAGGTGCATTCCCATCTGGGATGGGATTTTGAGTTTCTTCAGGTGATCCAGAAGAAGTATTGCTATCAACCATTTGAAATGTTTTTAGAAAGGTAGTCTGAAAGAAAAAAAAATAAGATTCTTCAGCAAACAGGTTTGATAGAAGAAAGCAAAATTTTCTCTCAACACTAGATGAAAGCAAAAGTTATGAGATTCAACAAAAAACGAGTTTCTTGTCAAACCAAACAATACTTCTGTTAATACAGTCAAGTTCATCCATTTCTTGATCAATGCCTTCTGACCAACTATTATCTACTTGTATTTATGTCAACAAGCAGAAACCGGTATTATATCATACAAAACCAAAGCTAATATCTAGAGCTAAATACCAGCCACCCAATCTTTATGATACAAATACAAGTCAAAATTTGTTTTGGGCAAAAAGAAAAGAAATACAAATATTTACGGGCTATCTCACATCTTGATTTACAAATGGATTAAACAAACAACTTAAATCTTAAAGAAATCTGATTATTTCCGAAGTATTCTTTACAATGCAATGTATATTTTGAAGATGTACATTTAGTTGAAACATGTTGCCATACTATGAAATGGACTAGAGCAGCACCAACTGATAATGATAGGTACTAATTTCCATAAAAGTTAAAGCCAGTTAATACCTTGTGCAAGTACTAATCAACTTGAGCTAATATGAATTTAGTTTACACACCCATTATACAAGACCCTTTGAAGAAATGTTTACATGTTTTATAGTGATCTAGGTCTAGTTTGGGTGAACTGGGGGATATGTCTATATAAGAGAAGAAAAACAATATGAAAAATGAATAACACTTATTTCATAAGTCAAAAATAACTTATCTTCTCAAGTTTTAGAAAAGTTAAACAATAGAGCTTATAGAAAAATAGAGAACCAGAAGTTGATTTTAACTTATGGAATGAGTTTGATTCATTTTACTACTTAATTTTTTATTCCTACAAGTACCTATTAAGATGTTTATCCAAACTGGGCCCTATTCCAATTGGAGAACTGCCACTTCAGTGGAACCCATGCAGCATTAGCTTTGGCCTTGGCTATTCAGAGGATAAAATACTCAACTTGAAATTTAGCAAGTGAAATCTAGTACAGATCACAAACAGAAATATGTGTAATAAGAGAATGTCAAAACAAAAATATTAAACAGTAAAATTTCCAAAAACCATTATTAAACAGCATTAATATTATCCACATTCAACAATAAACAACAGATGGGAAACATAGATCAAAAGGTGCAGTTTCTATCTGGGTGTTGGGGTTTTGAGTTTCTTCAAGTGATCCAGAGGAAGTACTGCTATTGACCATTTGAAATTTTTGAGAAGGCTAGTCGGAAAGACAAGGTGACCATGTTCCAACAAATAGATTTTATAGGCAAAAGAAAAGTTTTCCGTGACACTGGGTGCTGCAAGAGTTTTATAAAAGATATTCATCTATATTTCCTAGGTGAGGAAGCACCTAGCCTAAATTTCCCAGACAAACTACATTTGATCTGTTGAATTTCCAAACTAGTTCATTCCCTTAGTCACTAACTTTCCATTATTCAACAACCCAGCCTTTTATTCACATCATATCCCCTTTTGGAACAGGCCAATATGTGAAATTTTGTTAGATGACCACTCAAGAAAGAAAATGCTGACCATTCACAATATTTAGTTGCTACAACTCAAAGGGAAAGCACAGTATTTCCTACTTAAAGAAAAACCAGTCAACACTCAACAGTGAGATTTCCTTGTTTAGATGGCAGTGTACTACAAATTTTCCGTTTGACTTCTGGAACAAACCCTAATCCACAGAGCCAACCAAGCAACTCCAAGTGTTATATGCATTGTGTCTTCGAGTGAAAGAATACAAATACAGAATATAAACAAATCAACCTAAGATCAAACGTGAAGAAGAACTTCCCATTCCATTAGTAAGCATGATATATTGAAAGTGACATTAATATTAATACTATATAATGTTTATTGATCTAAAATAAATAAATAAAATTTATTCATAAGCTTGAAGAATGTTTGAAGCTGAAAATAAAGGAAATCAACCAATCAAGCAATAAAAGAGTAAAAATCAGAAAATGGTAAAAAGAGTGAAAACGACACAACCCACAGATCCAAATGGTAGTAACTAATAAGTGCATCTAAATATCTAAGCAGAAACAAAGGGAACAAAAATAGGGTTCGTAGATTAAGAGATTAAAGTTGTTGTTTTGGAGAGTGAATTAACCTGCAAGCGAGTGAAGAGGATGAATTGAATGGAATGGAATCACTCGCTGTGAGTCTCCGCTTGACTCAATTTCGTGAGATTCAATTTCAATGTGCTCTTACACACACAAGCAAAGTGGAGGTGTAGGTTGGGCCTGTTCAACGGGGCCAGGCCCATTTATCACAATTATTGTGCAATATGTGATTATATTATAATTTATCTTATCTTTTTTTGTCAACAAAAAAATCTTATTTATTTTTAGAAAAAATTATTTATCTTTTCGAAACAGAAATTTTTGTTACAATTATATCTATATTACCTAAAAATATTATGAATTAACAATCTTAACATTAACTATACATTTAAATTAAACTATTTGTTAAAACCAAAACTTAAAGAATTTTAAATAAAGCTACACACCATTTCACCTCCTTTACATGGCGTTTAATTAAGTTAAATTAGGTATATAACCCGGAATTTGTGCAGGACTTTTAGGTATATTTTATAATAGGATTTTTTTATATATTTTTAAAAATTACTTTGACTTTATATATTGTTAGATGTAATAAGTTTTTATACATTGATGTAAATATTATTAAATATAATTAATTTTTGAATGAAACCCATCCTTTATTTATTTTTTAAATATCTTAGTTTTTTTGCTAATTAAATTATCTTAATTGGTGAAACATATAGTAACTATAACATTACGTTAATAAATCTAAAGTGATTTTACATTATTTTTTATTTTAGTTTCCATTTGTTTTAAAAGCAGTAAATAATTTTTATAACACGTAATGAATGTAATAAAATTTATTTCTCATTTCATTTATTTATTGATATAAGCCAAAAATGAACATAATTTATTTTGAGATAAAAAATGAATATTATTTTTTTTAGAGAAAACTTACAGATACCACAATCAATATTTCCAAGTTACTTTTTTCTATCTAACATTTCTAAATTTTAAACTAATTTATTAAACTTTTTTATTATTATTATAGATTGTGTAAATTTGTTGAGAATATCGTATCTTATTTTATAACTTGGTCCAATCTTTATTAAACTTATTTTTTTAATATAAAATACAAGTTATATACTAAAAAAAGAGAAAAAAAATTACAAACTAAGAATTAATAAACTTAACAATGACACTAGAACAAAAAGATGTACATCAAAGAATAAGCATATGAATAAAACAAATTATTATAACATTTTATAAATATTTACCTCTGTAAATAATAACCGATTAATAATATTATATATATATATATATATATATATATATATATAAGTAACAATTTATAAATCTTGTCCTCTATAAGTTAAATAAAATTATTATAAATGACATAATTATCTTTTTAAGTAAATAATATTCATATAAGGTTACTTTAAATTAAAATGAATAACTTTTAAAATTAAATCTGGCTTAATTTACAAAATTTTGTGCTATCTTATTTGTATCAGAATTAAAATCAAAATACAAAATAGAAGAGGGTATATTATTGATAACTAATTTAATAAATTATTATATATTGATCCGAGATGATGGAGGCATGTGAAAGGGTAAACGTGGAAACCTACGTTGTTTGTCTGTGTATAACACTGACTCTTCCTCTCTCTTCGCCTCCCTTCAACTCCACGGTGCAGATCCGAGGAGTTACCTTTTTGCTTCTCTCTTTCCTTTTTCTGCAACCAATCATTCAACCTTTTACTTTTACCAGGTTTCTCTCTTTTCCCTTTTCTATTCCTCAATTTCTTCACATCGTAAATCAGTGATTTTGTGCTATGAATTGGCCTTGATCTATTTGTTTCTCATTTTCAAATCGACCCACAAGCTTTTGATTCGTTATCTCTTTGTATTTTCAGTTTTCTGGCATAAAGATCACGTTTTTAGATTTATTGGGTATTGCATATTTGGTAGATTGATGTGTTTTTTTGTGATACTCAGCATGCTGTCATGCGTTAGTGTTGAAGTTTCACTTTGATTTTGGCACTGTTTCACTGAATCTTGGAGGAGTGGGCAAAGTGGGTATTTGATACTGAGATTTGATTTTGGTATGACATGTATCCTTTTTGCTCCTTAGAATGTCTTCTCCACACATCAAACAAAAACAGAAGTTTAATGCTTGCACTTCTTTCTGTGTGGATTGCAAGTTTGGCTCTTCTGTTACACGTGTCTCAGAAGATGTTTTTTTCGTATACATGGATAATAGTAATGTCTCTCCCAAGCTAGTGATGACATGTATAGTGGAGTCACACTAGTTTTGGTTATTTGTATGATTGATTTTTGTGTTATTTCTGAACGATTCCTTTGTTAACAGAAGTTTTGCTTCTTGCAGTGATGGCAGGTTTGGCTCCAGAAGGAACACAATTTGATGGTCGCCAATATGATGCTAAGATGAATGAATTGTAAGTTCTTGTATTATATTCTTCCCTTGTTGTAATGCTTGAATTCTTTATTTCACATCCCATTTTTTCCTGTAACTTGATGTCTTGCAAATTAAATACACAGGCTTGCCAGTGATGGCCAAGAATTCTTCACCTCGTATGACGAAGTATATGACAGCTTTGACGCAATGGGATTACAAGAAAATCTCCTGCGAGGCATATATGCTTATGGTATGTACTGGTAGATTGATCCACCTTATTCTTATTCATATCTTTTATGGCATCAATTGGACAGTGAGAAACTTCAAAATTCAGTTAAAAAGTATAAATAGCTTGTACTGGACTAACTGAAATTTTATGTTGATTCATTCAAGAATCATCAAGATTTATTGTTTTGTGGTTGATTATGTACATGTAAAATGGGCGTCAACTTTTTTTTTTTTCGTTACATATATGAGTGCAGTTTTTGTATTTTAAATTAGCTGTGCTTTAAAACTATTTACTTGCTGGAAGTCAACAAAACAAAGTGGATTAATGGGATTGAAATCAATACATCTTTGATATTTTAATAGTTTTGAAACTGCTTACATATTTCATGAGGGTATTAGTGATGTATTTCTGAAAGAAAAAATTTTACTTTTTCTTCACTTTTTCACAAAATCGTGTATTTGATGTTTTATTCTTGTTCTTAAGGTTTTGAGAGGCCTTCTGCAATCCAGCAAAGGGGAATTGTTCCTTTCTGCAAAGGTCTGGATGTGATTCAACAGGCTCAGTCTGGAACTGGGAAGACAGCAACTTTCTGTTCTGGAATTCTGCAGCAGCTTGATTATGGATTGGTTCAGTGCCAGGCTTTGGTTTTGGCACCTACAAGGGAGCTAGCACAGCAGATTGAGAAGGTTATGCGAGCTCTTGGCGATTACCTTGGTGTTAAGGTTCATGCTTGTGTCGGTGGAACAAGTGTTCGTGAGGATCAGCGCATTCTTCAAGCTGGTGTCCACACTGTTGTTGGCACTCCTGGGCGTGTGTTTGATATGCTGCGGAGGCAGTCTCTTCGCCCAGATTACATAAGGATGTTTGTTTTGGATGAGGCTGATGAAATGCTTTCACGTGGTTTCAAGGATCAGGTTTATTGTTTTTCTTAGTTTCCACTATTTCATATTAAGTACACTTTTATCCTCAGCTGTCCTATACTTGACTGTCCTACGTCTATTGTTTGTAAATGTACTGATATTTTGAAGGATGAATTTCCTTATGCTTATGAGCTCGTAAATAAATTTCCCTGTCCAAATCAGGGAAACCTAGTATTAATATGAACTTCTCTACAAGTCTCTAACATCCTATCATGTAATTCTTAAATATACTTTAGTTTAATTATCATGCATGGCATAGATAGGAGAGGGAATCATAGGAAAAAAAAGCAATATTTATTACACTAGACGGGGGTTCAATTGAAAAATGCACACAACTTTTGTTAGACAGACAAAAGTATGTGTTTTCCATCTATGACGTTATGAATATATCGATTGGTGTTGCAGATCTATGACATCTTCCAGCTGCTGCCAGCAAAAATTCAGGTTGGAGTGTTCTCTGCCACAATGCCACCAGAAGCCCTTGAGATTACAAGGAAGTTCATGAATAAGCCAGTGAGAATCCTGGTAAAGCGTGATGAACTGACCCTGGAGGGTATCAAACAGTTTTATGTCAATGTTGAGAAGGAAGAATGGAAGCTAGAGACATTGTGTGACCTGTATGAGACTCTGGCTATCACTCAGAGTGTCATTTTTGTGAATACCAGGCGGAAGGTGGACTGGCTCACTGATAAGATGCGAGGCAATGATCACACAGTCTCTGCCACCCATGGTGACATGGACCAAAACACGCGTGATATCATAATGCGTGAATTCCGGTCTGGCTCTTCTCGAGTTCTGATAACCACTGACCTTCTGGCCCGTGGTATAGATGTGCAGCAAGTGTCTCTGGTCATAAACTATGATCTTCCAACCCAACCTGAAAACTATCTCCACCGTATAGGTCGAAGTGGTCGTTTTGGAAGAAAGGGTGTTGCTATAAACTTTGTCACATTGGATGATGCCAGAATGCTATCTGATATTCAGAAGTTCTACAATGTGACTGTAGAGGAGCTGCCATCAAATGTTGCTGATTTGCTCTGATGAGTTAATTTTTGTTCTCTGTTAAGTCATCAGGGCCTTTTTTGCTTGGCAATTACTATTTTGTGCTCTTTTTTTCTTTTTATATTTTACCCATTAGAGATCAAAGACGTCTCATCTGATGCTATTTGTAATGGATTCTATAAATTTTGTTTAATTAATTAATTAGCAGGGTGTTGTGCATGCCTGCATTTATTTTTATTGTCTTGTCTGTATTTCCTTCTTCAATTTCTAACCATCTTGCTCTGAACACAAGCAGATTTCAGTTAACTACCTTATTTATAAAATGATCTTGAAGTCTAAAAAAATTTCTTAATGCATCAAATAAATCCAATCAAGAAGTTTTTGTTAATTGTTCTGGGAATAAGAAAGCATCGAAATTTTCGGGCAGTTCAATCTTAATTGCTTATGATTTTAAATATTCAATATAAAAAACACCTAAAGATATTCACTCTTAATGATACAAAAACCATTATCCAGTATCTAAACCAATCTTTCGTTCAAATATTTGATACAACAATTTCATTTAGGCTTGTAGCTACAGTAATGGACCATATTTGAGCCATTTTTTTATTTTTATTTAAAATGCGTTGGGAAAAAAATTCCACTCCTTTAGCCTCGTTTGCCTATTTTCAATAATTTTTCTTCTTTATGCATATAGAAGCAAAAGGGATAAAAGAATTAAAAAATTTCACCTTCTAGATTGCTGATCCCAAACACACAAACGTGGTGGGATTAGGGTACTGTTTAAGATTGGTTTGAGTTTTGTGAAAATATAACTCAAAGAAATGAGGGGACGCTCCTCGATCTCACCTCTATTTATATTAACCTGAATTTCTACTCTCTCTATTACCTAATTTTTTTTTTATCTTAACAATTCCAATTTGTATTCTTACTAATTCTTTTAATTATTAAAAATATATTAAATAATATTTATATTTTTAAATAATAAAAAGCATTAAAAAGATAAATATAAGATTATAATAAATTTCTTTTTTATCCACTTGCATGATATCAAATTCAAATGCTATTGAGTTTTTCTAATAACTGTTATTTTGATCTCAATTTTCTCAATTAGTGCTAAAATCATGTGGACAAAATAGGATCCATCAACATTTAAGAGCACTGGTAATCTATCGAAATAGTAAAGTTCACTTTCTCATCTTACTTTGTAATTAATATTTTTGTAAAGATAGAGCAGTCAAAATGGGCAACCTGGCCTGATACGGGTAGCGGACTTAAACAGGTCAAGCTTAATTAGTCCAAGATAAAAATGAGCTTATATTTTTACTATCCAATCCTTACCCTATGCAAGCTTTTTTTTATTTTTTGTAACATGTTATTTTTTTTATTATTTTTATAACAACAAATCATTATTTTTATTGCTATTTTTAGTGTTTGTAACATATCAAGTTAAGCTATTTTTGCAAGAACTTAATAGATCATTCATTTTTTATGTCCAATTTTTATATTATACTATTTATTTGTTTTTTTTTCAAGTTGTAAAAGGCCATTAGTTTCTTTTTTTTATTACTTTTGTAACGGTGTAAAAGTATATAATTTAAACTTGTAATTTTAGAGTTTTGAAACTAAAATATATTCCCTTTCAAACTCCTTAAAACTCAGGGTTTAATCTTAATATATATATATATAGGGCTGCTCGAACCTGCATGGGCCAACCTAGTTAAAGTCTTATCGGATACTAGACTTATCCAGACCGAACTAAAATAATTCAAGATAATTTTGGACCTTATTTTTTTAGAACTCAACCCCACCCATTTAACGAAATTTTTGACTCCTAATCCATACCGACTCTATGTAAAGATCATTAGTAACCCAAGAAATAGTTATTTTGCAACTTTAGCTAAGAGGGTGGTGCATTAATTTGTATTTTGTCAAAATAGCATTACTCCTTTGCATGCAGCCAGCTACCTCCATGCCATAACCAATTTTAACACTTACACGTGTAAAAGTTGGTCAAACCCACAAAAGCCCATGCAATTCTGCCATGTTAAGCAAAGTTGAATCTTTGGCTGCCCCCACAAGTCCATTAATGAAAACGACAAAATAAAGAGTAACATTATCATCTTCATCTGTCGCCTATTCAACAAAAGATTTGATTATGTGAAGTTAAGAAAGAGAAACAATAAATAATACCAATAAAATACAACTAGAAAAAGCAAATCAACCAACCAACCACCTATTTTAGCTTCATTCTTTCTCAATTCTCACCTTAAAACACCATAGTTTTTTCACTCTTGGCTAGTTTGGTTCCCATCATGGAATTCAGATCCAAATCATGTAGGGATGAGAGTCTTCAGATTGAAAGCTACACTGGAGGAAGAAGGGTGGCCCCGACAAGCATGAAAGATCTGAGGTGTTACAGTGCAAATTATGCTGCTTCATCTGCTTATCCAAACAAGATAGCTAAGGAAGCAAAGGTGGATAAAGGGAAAAGCACAGTTGGCAAAGCTTCAAAAAGTTGGAGCTTTAATGACCCTGAATTGCAGAGGAAAAAGAGAGTAGCTGGCTATAAAGTATACGCTGTTGAAGGGAAAATGAAAGGCTCTCTGAGGAAGAGCTTAAGGTGGATCAAGAACACATACACACAAGCTGTCAATGGATGGTTGTGATTAAGCCCTATATATATACTAATATATTATATACTATAGTAATATACTACTGTTTTTCACTTTGTTTTGTTGTGTTTTTCTTATTTTAATATGGATTGCAAATCTACTTAAATCAAATTCCCTGTCATTAGAAATGTTAAAACTTCACTCACGTATTGAACTCTATATGCAGGGTCATCCTCACAGTTCCTCTAAGCTTTTAGGGAGGCATGATCTATAAATTTTAGCAAGTTACTGCTGAATTTCCTAATCCTTAGCAAGTTCAAACTTAAAAGTAATGCTTTTGGTTTTGAAATAGAATTCGATTGATTGCTTCAGAATTTTATTTTGATTGTCTTACATAGAGAACAGGAAAAAAAAAAACCAAAGGGCTTTGTGGGTGAGTGACTCTTCTTGAGCCCCTTATGAAGGCAGAAGATGAAATATTCTTTCACGCTTTAGTATCATTACTCACTTTGCAAGGTTGATGACAAGGATATCGAATTTCTGATTACATATAATTTTTTTATGGTCAATAACTAGAAAAGTTAGCACATTAAACCTGCAAGATGCAAGACAGTATGAGTTTAAAGTAGTGAAAATTTTGACGTGGTCACACTTTAACACGTAGTGCCCTGCTTTGCTCCCTTAGTAGCTCCTATCAGTGGGAGTTTAGGACACTTTTCCAAGCTTTTCATCTCACATATCCTTGTTGCTTATTTCTATTATGGTATAGGTGCATGGAAAGCAGTGTTTACAATTACAGCTAGCATATTACATTGTGTCTCGTTCATGCATCTGATGCAAACATAATCTCGAGATACGCATCAACAAGATCAATGTAAACTATATCATACATCTTACTGACCCTAACTACCATGGTATTATATTTATGACTGCAACCAACCCTAACAACTCCATTTGCATACTACGAACTGAAAGGGACACGATTAGTGTAAAATGACAATATTTGAACTATTCTAAATTAGAATTTCAAGTTTCATGCACATTTAAACACACCATTTTTTAAAATTCTTTTGGTTTTGTAGTTTGCATCCCAGTCCAAGTTTATGAAAAGTTATTATATACGTGTAAACAAAATATTTTTCTTTACTTGGTAAAATCCAATCCAAAGGATCTCTTATTAAGACGTCAAATGAATCCAATCAAGAAGTTTTGTTTATGGTTATTTGATAGGAAAGCAAATAAGTTTTCGTGCAATTCAATCTTAATTGCTTATGATTTTAAATATTCAATAATTCTAAGACTGTCATTTTCCTTTACCCAAAATCTATTAAAGCTTTGATTTCATAGTCGATACGAAACGGCATTCTAGAAAAGAGTTCTGCGTAGAAAATAATGGAAAATGTTAATTGTCCTGACTTTATATAATTCATTATATGACGTTTTAGTCCCATTGCCATTATCATTTGTTTTACTAAATGGGATCATTGAATCCGCCGAGCAAAGGAGGCATTGCCTCTGGCTTTATTTGTATTTATTAGGATGAAGGACGGTATCGTTTTACTCAAAAACAATGATATATTAGCATATCGCTCATCTTGAATCTTACAAGTTCTCGATCCAGGTTTTTTTTTTTCTTTTTTCTGGAGTATGTCATTCTTTATTTCTAGGTCTAGAAGAAGAAGAAGCTCCTCCTTTTCTGATTCACAAGTTTTTTTTTTTCTTTTCATTATCTTTGATAAAACTTCACTAATTGTACAGCATATTTTGATGTCTTTTATTTGCACCCAATTTAGGTGCCTCTTAGTGAAGGTATTTTTCTTTCTTTTCTACTTTTTCTGTGGGACAATATCACGTTAGGATAAAAGCAATTAAAAGCCAAAGCAATAACATGGAATTCCCCTCTATTGTCATGCAAGAAAACTTCGATTGTTATTAAAACGACACAACTCAGGTTCACGTCTTGCTCACAAAATCTGATAATTCCCCTACTAATAGATTTACAATGATATGTAATGCTTTAAAAGGAAGAAAAATGGCTAATGAACGACATGAGAAAATGATAGTAAAGGTGAAGCAGAAGTGCAGAACATGTCTGTATAACACACTGTATGAACAGAAGCCTTTTGCGAGGGCATTTTAGTTAAGGAGGAAGCTATCTAGACATATCTTTATTGTATACCTATGGGGACGATTCCCAACTTGTTCGCAGTTTGACTTCAACACAATGCATAGACAACATTCCATTCCTTAGTTCTTGAAAAAAGAGTATATGCCTTTCAGAATTTACAAAGAAAGATGATCGAGAGTGGTAGCTGCTAATATTGTACCCTCTCGTCGTTGAAATGCAGGCTCTCCATACCTCTAAGAGTTGAGTCCAAATTCTTTATGTTTGATGTGTTTCTGCCAGAGGGTGCTCGGTTGTGTTCAGATGATAGGATAGCTGAACTTCTCTGAGGACCAGAGGTTTTACGAAGTGCTGCCTGACTTGAATCCAGGGTCAGAGGACGAGAGGACTCAGACTCACCGCCAATAACTACATCCCGGCTGCCTGAGACAGCACCTTGCCTGGCAGATCCACTGGACCGGAAGAAATGAGAACCTGACAGCTGCATAAACCACGCACAGAAATTTGTAAGTTATATGAAAGCTAATTGCCATATAAACAGAGAACCTTGTATAACCTTAATCAGTAGGAAATATGAAAAATGATAAGAATTTTGAACTAAAAACGAAGGCAATCACGGAGAATATCATGAACACATACTAGACATGGCCTATATTCTTTTTTTTTTCCATGAATTACAAGCACCAGAAGAATATATTTACACCACAAACTATAAGTAAAGGATTGAAGAAGTTGAGTCCAGAGAATGATGTATCATGCATAACATGTCTAATTAGCAGATAATTGAGGAATATTTATATTACCTGCTTTTCCTATGTTTCAGCTGTACATATTATGTATTTGGTCATGACCAAGAGAAACAAGATGCAACAAAACAAAGCTTCACTAGATTTTTGTCTAGGATAAACAATAAGCAGTTTTATTTTATTTTTTCCCTTTTAAAACAATATCATTCCTAATAAATATTAATTCCCTTAATCAGCTATGATTTGACAGGGATAACAATGTGGATTTAAGAATTCTGGAAATTATGGCATAAAGAAACCATCTTCCAACATTCTGCAAGAAATATGTTGACATCATAGCACAGGCAATAACCAAATCGCAAATAAATACACACACCATAACATCTTTAGATCCAGTTGCGTCGTTTGTAACAGGGGCTTTTTGCCTAGATAACACTCCATCATTAGCAATAGGTCCAGAGTTTCTCCTACGAGTAGGATCTGATGAAGACCAATTATTATGCCTACCATCATCTCCACCTACACAGAAGTTACCATATCAGAAAAATGCAACAGTGACATATCAAAGAAGTATGAAAAAAATGAGTTAAATGACAAAAAGCATCACAGAATATCTTAACAGATTATTGAATGGTATGACACTAAACTCTTAACATTTGCAGCAGGGATCTGAAATGAAAAGAAAAAATGTATACCTAACTGTCCATCAACATTTGCAGCAGGTGGTGGCATACCAGAACTTGGTCCAGCAGCAGGACCCTGCAAGTGTCACTTCCACTGAAATAACCTATTCTCAACAATCAATCAGCTAATGCAATGAGATAGCATACTATCACTTACAATAGCACGGGCAGCAGGAGTGGAAATTTGAGATTGCTGATATTTCAAAATAGTCCAATCAAAGACATAATCAAACTGGAATCCTAGTGAAATAAGACAACAGTGAATACAAAAAGTCATATTAAGACTTAGCCATCTGATGTGCAAAATATGTTTATCAGGGACTACAATACATCCCAAAGTATCACATAAATAGGAAGACAAGGATCAAACCTTCACGAATGAAAAGGTCACGTAAAAGTCTTTTCAAATATGCATAATCTGGTTTATCGTCAAACCTCAGTGATCGGCAGTAATGGAAGTATGATGCAAATTCTGAAGGATAGCCACGACAGAGAGACTAACAAAGAAGCAATCCACAATCAGTTATAATTTTAAAAACAAAATATGGACATGCATAATATGAAATGAAACACTTTTTCATTACACTAACACAATCACACCTCAATAGAAGTAGAAACTTTCTTCTCACTGATCTTTTCATACTTCTGCTTCTTAGTACCTGCTTTCAATCCCTGCCAAGGCAGACTGCAGAACTACCAAATGAAAAAATAGTAGGGGGTAAAGAAATATAGGAAATACCAAAGGTGAGAGGGTAATTACCTTCCTCTTAAGAAATACATAAGAACATATCCAAGTGACTCCAAATCATCCCTCCGGCTTTGCTCTATTAAAGCGTGAAAATATCAAACTCGGGTCCAAATCAATGGTCTTAAACAAAGAAATAAGAAAGGGTATTGATCAAGTGAGACATAAAAGCATACCAATTCCAAGATGAGTATTCATACTGGCATACCTAGCAGTTCCAGTCAAATTCTTATTCTCTCTACAAAGGATTACAAAGAAGTCAAATTCACAAAAAACATATGAAAGTACAATGACAACTCAGAACCACAGAATCAAGTGCTATCTTGATGATTAAATAAATAATTTGGAAGACTAAGTAAAGTAATAATATAAATATAAAAAGACTAATTTTACAAATTATTGCAGAGAAACTACTCAAAGAATTGGTTTAAGTAACAATTACAAGTCATGCATTAATTAAAGATATATATATTCAATTATTCCCAAATTACAAGTGCATAAAAATTGTATGAATATTTGGAACACAAAAGCATGGAAGGTTCCAGACTTCCAGTGCAAGCCAAAGTAGTTTCACATCTTAAAATAATGGCAATTTTGAAGCTGCTATTCTTCTACAAGAAAACTCTCCCACTAAATAGTCAGTTACTCACATAAATAATCAACAACTTTGTAACATCCAGATATAGCCATATAGGAGTTAATAATAGATAACGGTCTTAATTCCTAAAAGTTGAAACTAGTTTGCAGCCAATGTTAATAAAATCCAAAAAAAGAAACATAAAGATGTCATAAAAGTACCGGTAAGGAATATGCTGATGTGTAGTGGTGTCTCTGTATTTCTTAGCAAGACCAAAGTCAATGATATACACCTATAAAAGAGGTAAATTTGAAAAGGATACATTAAATGCAGGAGATGGCAGAGAAACAAAAGTTCAGAAGCAAGAATTAAACACACTTGATTTGCACGCCTCCCTAAACCCATGAGAAAGTTGTCTGGCTTGATGTCCCGATGTAAAAATGATTTCGAATGAACAAATTCAACTCGATTTATCTGCGAACAATTCAAAACATTAAAGAAAATTAGAGAATGTAAATTAAAAGGAAGTTCATGCAAATGCAACATGAAAAAACCTACCATCTGATCAGCAAGCATGAGAACAGTTTTGAGAGATAATTTCCGACTACAGAAATTGAATAAATCCTCAAGACTAGGACCAAGTAAATCCATCACGAGGACATTGTATTCTCCTTCAACACCATACCATTTCACATTTGGGATCCCATCTGCCACATAAAAGATGGCCAACCAAAAAGATTAAAGCTCAGTGAATAATACAAAATCAATAACATGAGTTCCCAAAGACACAAATTCCAAGATGAGAAATTACTTCCTCCTTGCAGTATTTTATACAGCTTTGATTCATACAACAATTGAGGGTGCTTGGTTTTGATACTTTCCTGAATCAAAGGGAAAACAGAGAAAGAAAACACCCAATTAAACACGTCTACGAAGGCACTCAATCAATTTATTTTCGCAGCAGAAATAGACACAACTTCAATCGCCAGGCAATTTAGCAAAAATTAACCAACGAGTCCGGAACTAGAAAACAAACTGTAAGCGCATCAAAAGACATTCAATATCCCATAGCTCCAATTTCAACTCTACAACTATTTCTTAGGACTTATCATTTCAACGCCACTGAAAACATTTCAACTCTCCTAATTCCGGAATCTTCTTAAATTTTCTCAGCAACAAAACAGGAGTAGGTTAAACATAACAAAAATATTTTAATTTTGCAAACATGAAAGAAAATACGTTAAACATTATTTTCCAACTTAGGTTAGGTAGTAGGTCCGAAAACTCACAAGCTTAATCGCAACCTCTTCATTAGTCTGAATATTAGTTCCTGCACCAGTATAATCAATCGATAAATAAATCGAATTAGCGAAAACTCAGAAATTCACAGTAAATACGCAAACAGTGAAAAGCGAGTGGAAGCAGAACGCACCGAGATAGATCTCTCCGAAAGATCCGCTACCAATCTTCCGACCGAGACGGAACTTGTTCCCAACTCGAGCTTCCATTCAACCAAAACCTTTACAAGGTTTAGGCAATTGAAATTGGGAATTGGAAAATCGAACACGAACTTGAGCTACGACTTCAAGTAGGTCATCGTAGAAGGAGAGGACAAAATTGAGAAATGGAGAAAAAACAGAGGACAAAATTGGAAAATATGAAAAGGGATAAAGAAAACGGAGTCGACGAAGAAAGGAGAGAGAGAGTGTGTGGGAGAACTGAGAATGATCGTTGTCACACGCTCACCCTCCTCGCGCTATCGTTCATCAACCTACCAGCTTTTTGTTTTACTTTGAAAGTTGAAACGACGTTGTTTTGGATTTTAGGAATATATTATTTATCTGCTCATGCTTCCTTTTTCTCGTGATTTAAGTAAATTAAAGATTTTTTAACAAGCGCAAACTTCTCGTATTCAAGATTTTTTTATTGATTACTTTTACTGTTTTACAAAAGTAACAGCAGAAAAGAGAGGGGAAAAAAATATATTCGAATGCTTACCGTTATTTTATTGCTTATTAGCCTGCATTGCATGATTATTTAATGTCTATGGGTATTGATCTCCTACAGTTTTGGTCTGTTTTCGCACCAATTTAAAATAGGAAGGTTTCCATGATTCCATAAAAGAAGACACGTGCATAATACAGTCAGTATACGCAAAGAATTTGAATAGATCAATTTATTAACAACGGATTTCATCCTTTTGGAAGAAAATTTGGGAACTATATTTTCTAGCCAAAAAAACAGTAATTTTTCATTTCTTCAATGTCAATTGAATAATAATCATGTGGAAGAGAATTACACACCGCACGCACCCTTCTACGTAAATATGTTACATACAACAGCTTCCATTCTTTTGTGGGACTTGAATTTGCCCGTTTAATCAAACAATATAAGGAACCCTAAATATACCCAAAACTGTTAAATTATGTATAGTGTCAAGATGGGGACAACATAGGCAACATAGATTGCTTTTTTTGCAGCCTTCCCTTCAATTGCCTGATCTTTGCTTCCACTCTTGCTGTGATACCAATCTTGGTTTCCTGTCTGGCTTTAGAACGCTCTCTTGTCCACATGTGTTGATCTTCAATATCCTTCTTGTAGTACTTGATTTCTTGGATAATGTGATGATCCATGGGATGGAAACATCTTTGGAAGGATATGTGGGCAAAATAAGGAAGATTGCAAGTAACTGCAACTAAAAGGGTTACTGTCCAATAAATAGGTGCAGGAGCAAGAGCTTCAACTAGAATTTGGTAGGCACTGTTGGAATATTCCGGAGAAATCATTCCATACAAGAAGAGAAAGATGTACCAAGTGACTATGCTGCCCCATACAAACACATGCTGAATCCATGTAAAGTGGCTCATTGTCAGCGCAATCTGGCAGTTGACGGCCCAGATAATGCAAGTGAACATAGTGGTCCCGACAGCAGCCATGTCAGCCGTCTGGCCATCAACACGGAATGCTTGATCATAGAAAATGGTGACAACAAGGAAGAAGATGACGAGGGAGGCATAGAGACCATTCCCCATCCATCCCAGTATTCTATACCAGTCAAAGAACAAATTCTTGGGTCCTTGTTGATACAGTGCAGGAAACTGCAAAGCATAATAGGCAACAGCTCATCAATAGGTCAGATTATTCTAACATGGATAAAACACATTGAAGACATTTCAAGAGAACAAACAAACCTGTAAACAAACTTCTGATGGAACATCTTGTTCAAAAACACCAAGTGAAATGACAGGTAATGATGTCAGAACAACATTGAACAATATCATATACCAGTCATCATAAACCGATTGACCAGAGAAGCCTGTGAAGGCCTCAAAATAGAAGATGGTGAGGCCAAATGCAATATTCTTGTAGAAGAAATAACAGATCTGCATGCACAACAGACCAGTTGAGAAGATAAATACTGGAATCAGTTCATGATAGAAAGATACAAATTGCTAAATATTTTGCATGATTCTCTATCCAAGCTAAGGATGCACAGCGCACAAGAAAGTGAAGACAAGGCATCCAACATGTGAGAATAACGATCTATCTAGATGAATATTAGGGAATTACCATTAGTGCAATTCTCTTGTAACACCAATGTCCATGGACTACCAGAAGTCTCTCTAAAAATCGAAATTGGGCAATAGCAAAGTCACTAGCCATCACCGCCTGAAAGGAAGTTGCAGGCTTGAGTTTAAAACTAGCAGAAATATTACAAGATTCCGAATAGAAAAGCATATATGTAAATTTTCTTGACACGCAAGAGTGAAGAAAATTTGTTTTTTAGTATATACAAACATTTGACATATAATATCGACTGCATAAAATTTAAAATGGACATTAGAAAGTAAGAATTTCAAGCGTTCATAATATCATTTGAATTTACAGCAGAAAGTTTCATATCACTCCTTATGGGTCATCGAAAAATGTAGCTTTTCAATATGATCAGAATTAAGAAATAACTACATTCAGATTAAAATGAATAAAAGAATTAAGAAAATAAGAGAATGCTAAATAAGCTTCACTTGAACTAAAAACTATCACCTTTTCCTCATTATATAGAAGAAATTATACTGTAAATAATTATCAACAATGCAAAATTCACTTCTCTACTGCATTGGATCAGCACTAATCACAAGAGGGCGAATAGAAAGGCTTGACAAGAAGCCTGATCCACAGTCTAGCTTGAAAATGAAGCCCAAACACGTGAGATTCTCTCTCTCAAACCATAGTATTAAATTTTTAAAATGTTAAAACTATAATATGGTTTTGTATCTAAAACATAACATGTACGGCATTGCAACTTGCAATATTAAAGGTTAAAATCAAACCATCAAACGCACTGTATTAAAGAGCCAGTCATGTAAGCCACTAACCTGCATACCTTCAACCCCACTGATTCCAATACCAATATCTGCTTCTTGAATCATGCCAACATCATTTGCACCATCACCTATTGCTAGAGTGGTCTTCCCAGTACCTTGTTTCACTAACCTTGTTACCTGATAGCAAAAGATAAAGGAAATAAGACATCATACGACATCACTTAACTTTATTTCTCCCAGTTGATAGATATATCGACAGAGATTAGATAAAGACTACCTATACAAGTGATGCAATGACTAATGTTCCCACTGCACAACTAAACTTATGGACCCATCTGAATTTAACCAGATCTAATTTTTCCTATCTAGTTAAGATGGATCCATGTGAGTAGTCATGCAAACATTTCTCTAATAATCAACTAAAGAAATGCAGCATAACATACTAATAGAGAATAAAAAAATCATAACTGAAGAAGGTAAAAAGGTCCTACCAATGCCTTTTGCTTGGGAGACACACGACAGCATATGACAGATGCACAATCAACAGCCAATGCCAAAAATTGGTGCTTCATATCATCTTCCAAAGCATAAGTCAGAGTTTTTCCATCAATAATTAAAGCAAATGCAGCATGAGGATCCTTCTCCAGCTTTATCATTTGTGAAGCATTGGTGATTTGATTCAAAATGTTGTCCTTGATGGCCTGGGGTGTTAAATTAAAGAACTAGGCCTAACATCAGATGAAACTGAAGTCCATAAATTAAACTTCTTTACTCTTTCTCAATGAAAAAGGTACCTGTTTGACATCATTGGTTACTGAGTCTGAAACCGGAGTAGTTATACAGATCTGCTTCATGCCCTGTCGAAGTAAACTGCAAGCAAATCTGTACCACAGAAAAGAACAGTTATATCATATATTTCACAGAAGCATTTTCTAGTAAATTAAATCTTAATTATTTAGAACAGAAAAAATATAGTTTCATATGTTAAATGATTTGTGGTAGACAGACCCAATGTTGATTGCGGTTTCCATCTTATCCCCTGTCAACACCCAGATCTTGAGACCAGCTTGAGCAAGTTTATCAATACATTGGGGCACCTGAGGAGGAAATAAATGAATTGGGTTGAAGTAGAAAAAACAGCAATATACATTGACCATCAAGAATGATAAGGCCCACCCCTTTCTGCAGTTTGTCTTCCACAGCAGTAGCCCCAACAAGAATCAACTCTTTTTCCATCATATCTGATACCCTCTCAAGCATTGCCTCTCTGTCAGCCCCAACAGCTGCTTTGGCTTTCAGAAATTCATTGTTCCAAGCGGAGTACTCTTGCTCATCAAGTTTTCTATAAGCTAGGGCTAGTGTTCGCAAACCAGCTTCTCCATATTCATTCAAATGTTTGGTAGTAGCCTCCAAATACTTTTTTCCATTCTTTGACATGCGATCAAATATGATACTGCACAACCAAGCAATAAAAGAATGGATGTCGAAGTTTAAAGAGAGATGTTGGAAATATCTCTATAAGCATTCGTGTGTGTGATTTACCATGCTTCTTTCTTTGGAAGCAGGTAATAGCAGTGATTATGTTGTATATTTAGGGGTAAACAAGTTTAAACTCCACAGTATTGAATGGGATTTCAATTTCCTTTATTTTAACATAAATTTGAAATAAAGTTCCTATTGGCCATCAACAACCATACGTTCTGTCAGTAACGAGTACTAAGGCAAGAATAACAGATTCTGCGGCCTAACCTGTCAGCCCCTTTGCAAAAAAGAAAAAGTGTGCCCTCCTCATCACGCACAATCACTGTCATCCGCTTTCTTTTACTCGTAAAATCAAGCAGATTCAAAAGTTTGTACTCTCTGCATAATTCACCCAGAAGTACATAAATGTACATAACACACGAATAAAGACAGGGACAAACTGATTGAAAGAATTAAATACCAAAAGCATATTTTGGAACCCCTCTGAAAAAGGTGGGCAGGGAGAGTAGATGAACATAAGAGTTTTCACGAATGCTTACCTTTCAACCACTTCCCGAGAAGCAGAAAATCTTTCACGTATGAAAATACTTGACTGTGTCCTTCTACAAAACTCAAAGCCAAATTCTCTAGCTGCTACAAGAAAAGCCCCTTCATCAGGTGACTCAGCTTCATATGTATAAACTCCAGTCTCCTCATTCAGCTCAGGAATGGCCGTATGGCAAACTGCTAATATTCGGAAAAACAACAAAAGGTCATCAGCATTGGGCTCTTTCAACCAATTACAATTCATGAGACGGTCATCTTCAAAACCAAATCCCTTTATGGCACGCCTTTGATCCTCATCGCCGTTAGAAGTAACAACAGTCTCCAGTTCAATTTCTTCAGCTCTTTTAACATTTTCCCATGAAACTTGTGTGTTGGCCTTGGGCATGGGAAAATTGGAGAGATCTGAATCCTGGTCCTCAAGATCAGAAGCTATCTGCTTTGCTGCAGCAAGTTCAACTTCACTGGAACGCACACCATAGGCAGAACCAGCAATGGAGCACTTCAAAAAGTCCATCTGATTACAGGTCAAAGTGCCAGTTTTATCTGAGAGGATAGTGTCAACCTGACCCAACTCTTCATTCAAATTTGATGTCCGTGCTTCAGCGGGAGTCCCAGTTTCGTCATCATACATTTGGATGTCTTGATTAATAAAGGTTGCCTGTAAAACCTTTACAACCTCAATGGAAACATAAAGTGAGATGGGTATCAAATATCCATAAAGAATGAGCGCAGTAATCAGATGACTCATTCCAGCCAGTCCAATTTTCTGGGGATCGTACTGGGATTCAATATTGTCAGGCCGTAAGTACCACCATTTTGTGGTTTGGTACTTAGCCTTGACGATAAATCCAATGGAACTAATAACAGATATCAAAATAAGGACAGTGAAGAGGGTGTATATGATATAATCCATCTTCTTTTCTATTCTGCTCCTTTTTGAAGGGGATTTTGTGGAATTCTGCATGACTTTGCTGTCATGACCAGTGAAAATGACCACCCCATAAATGTACTCAGTGTTCCTGAGCTTAGAATCTCGAAGAAGAATTTGACTTGGATCAAGAGGATAAACCTGGCGTTCATACTCCAAGTTTCCAACAAAAGTATAAAGATTGGGGTTTGGGTCTTCACAACGTATTGTTCCAGAGAAATCTTTAAACACTTCATCATTATCTAGAGTCAACGTAACCTCCAAAGATCTTTTCACCTTCAAGTTGGTCTCACCATCTAAATTCATCGTTTCCACATAGCATATGCCATCCTCATAACTTGTTGACAAGAGAAGCAAATCAGCTGGAAAAAAATTATCTTTTTCTACTTTTACCACATCTCCAACCATAATGTTCTGCCACGACCTGGGACCAAAAGCACCATCGCCTTTATGGCGATTAACCTTCCGGTGATTAACCTTGACATCCTGAAGGAACCTGCGTGAATCTTCCAATGCTTCCTTTGCCATACTAAGGCCAACAACAAATGCCAAAGGAGCAATCATGCTCGCTGGGCTGAAAGGTGAAATTGGAGAGGCTGAGAGACACGCAGCCAAAAGGAAGTATATATTAGCAACCCTACGAAATTGTTCAAATAGTGCCTTGGGGAAAAAGGTAATAACATTGTATTTGGTTGTGGATATATCATTCTTGCAGTAATATAGAGGTCTCTTTTCATGTAACAGAGGCTGGTTGCAATGCACAGTTCGTGAGAATCCCGGACCTTGAAGTGGATGTGGTGCTTCCTCAGTGGTAGAAGGCCGAAGGCAACCAAATGTGTAAAGATGGCTCCTACGGAGCCTAGCCCTTATCCTCCCCCGTGTCATTTATCCAGAATTCAGCTCAATTTAGAGTTATATTTAACACATACTCTCCAAAAAGGAACCCAAATCTAGATTCTAGGGAATCTTCAAACTGCCCCTTGTCCTCAATTTGTTCTTCTAAAACCTAACATCACCACATACACGTACAAAAAGTATTAAGTCGAGCACATAAACACTACGATCATTCAATACATACTACTGAATGCGCAAAACAAATCAAAGTTGCATACAAATTAAACCACAGAAATCCAAATTCATGCACGAATACCGAAAAAACATTAAAATGCGAAACCAAAAAGAAAAGCCAACCGAAATTCAAATTCCTGGATACCCAATTTTTCAAAATTAATATTAAAATAAGGCGAGAATAATAACAAAAACAACAACAACAAAAGCTAAAAAACCCGACACCGACCACCGAGATCCTGTGACACACTCGTCCCCTTTCCCAGCTATGAGAGAAAAAAAAACGAGAATTCAAATCGAAGAGCTAAACAGCTAATGCAGTGTTACGCGACAATGTCTCAAATCCAAAAATGCGTTAAAAAAAGCTATTAGAAGCCAACGTCCTGCACAGTTTTTTTCTCATTATTATTCTCCAAAATTTCTCTAATAAAAGGAACGATCCAGCTAAAGGTGCGAACTAATCATCAATGCCAGAGAAGATTCGTTGCAACCAAATCCACCAAATTGAATAGAAAACAATTTCCACAAACCAAAAAAAAAGTTTTAAAAAAATTCAAACCCACAAAATCAGAGAGTATATATATATATAAAAGCGAAACACACCGAACTAAAGGGACCCGTTCATGTTGAGTAATGAACGTAGCAATGCAGCAAAATGGGAAGGAAAGAGAGGGAAGAGAAGAGAGCAGTGTTACTGGTTGCAGATCGAGGAAGGAGACAAAATGTAGAAAAGAGAAAAAAAAAAAAAAAAAAGTTAAGAGAGAGAGAGAGAGAAAGAAAAGAGGGTTTTAGGACAAAGAGAAAGAGAAAGAAAAAGAGAGACGCACACTCTCTCTCTTCCTCTCCCTTTCCCCTCCTCAGATGCCAGCAATTTCCGGGCCCTCTTTCTCCCCTTTTCTATACATTTATATTTTTTTCCCTTTTTCTTTTTCAATTTTCGAAATATCGCAGCTATTTTCGCTCCTAATTTAGGTATACTGTGAGCTACGGAGAAATATAAATAGAATACTTTTTTATTTTTATTTTTATTCTGTGTGTCTGGTTATTGTTCTATTTCTAAATTCACGTAATGATCTGGTACAGTGAAAGCATGGGCCCCACCTTCTCCTACGTGGCACCACCTGAACTCAAACCACGTCACCATGGCGTTCCCCCAAAAACCGAATTCCATGTTCTTACTTTTCTCATGTTCGTTCGTTCGTTCATTCATGTGTTAAAAATATTATTTTATTCTCTATATTAATAAATTAATTTATATTTATTTAAAATTTTAAAATAAAAGACAATTATAATATGAGAATATGTATTAAAAAAAAATTATGCAAAATAACTGCATGTACAAATTTAAACTCAAATGTCGTTTTTTCCGAAGAATATCAATTTCGATATACACAAAAATAAAATAAAAAATTTCCTTTTTTTGTCAAAAGGAAATTAAAATTACGGTGATGGAATGAGGTCACAAGTCAGTACCAGGATAGTGGAATGAGTTGGCTTTTTTATTCATTTAATTAGGTGTTTCTGGGGATCATTGGTATCAACTTGGGGAGGAAATCTTAATCATTAACGAGGTTTTTTATAAATAACTGAAACATATCACTTCATAATAGTTTTGAAAGAGATAAGATATAAATTTTCAGTAATCAGAGATATGTAAATAAAATCAAACCAGCTAGCATTGATGGCACTCGTCAAAGCTTGTTTTCAAGGATAAATTAAACTTAAATTTCGTATAAAGCGGTTTAAAAAAGCTTTCTTCTTCTGTGCTTTTGAAATAATGAACGCAGCACGATTTGTTGTATTATGAGGGAGGGACGTGGACACAACAAAACTATGCTTCGATTTGGACAAGTCGTACTTTTAAAAATGTGCTGTTCGAATTTGATTTGAAATTTGAAAATATTTGTGGATTACGTTGGGTATAAGACAGTACAGATTCCAGGGACAGTGTGTGTTTATTTAATTTATAATGTTTATAAGGTGATACACTTTGGTGAATGATCAACCCATCAATAACTAAAACATTTTTATATGTTTAGGATAAAAACAAATGGGTGAAAAGGACCCACTCAAGGTAAGGACCACCATGCCCTCTTCCATGTCATTGCCACGTGACATGGTCTTCAACGTTCCAAATGATATTCACTTTCATTCAACTAGTTCTAAGGTTCTAATCAAAACTGAATTTCTTGATCTAAAAGCACAAAGAGAAGAACCCACTTTTGTCTGCCAATATTGGAAGAAAGAAAGAAAAGTGATGTATACGATGTGTCATTGTACTCCACTGTAATTGTTGTATACAATAGGATTTATAATAAGGACTTAATTAGACTAAAACAAAGAAAGTGAATCCTAACGAAACCTTTGCGACGAAGTGATTGGACAACGTTGTTTGTATGCAAGGTTGATAAGAAATGAAGGTGGCACAGTAACAATGAAGTTATTTTCAGTTGTGTCTCTCGCCAACATAGCTTTTGTAACGCATTAAGTGGATCGCGGGTTCCACTCATTATTGACATTCTACCATATGTCCACATTTCACACTTCCATCTAACCTCTATATTCTCTGTTTTCCATTAATTTTTGAAGTTAGCATGTGCTCTTGTTTATGATTTGCCATTGCCGTGGCTTCAAAATAACTCAATCAAGGAAAACAAAGCAACCTTATTGTCTTTTTACTTTGGAAATTTTGTAGAAATTTAGTTAGGATAAATAATACAACAAAAGAAAATTTTTTGAATCCAGATTTTCTTTCTGCAGTTTTAGATATAACTGTAGTCTACAGTTTAAATTCATTTAAGCAAATTAACAAAAATAATTTTAGTTTAAGTTAAAAAAAATTTACTTAAGCAAATTTAGTCAAAAGTGATTTTTGCTAAAATCAAAAAATTAACTTTCAAAAATTTATTTTCTTTCTTTTTAAACTGTAAAAAATTAAAAAAAAAATATTTCTTAACAACGACTATTTAGTTATCAAAAATTCTTACACATTTTATCTTATCAAATATTTCAAATGTATTATCTAGTATGCTACTTGTAATAAATATTAGTGAGATAAAATTATTTGGAATCAAGTTAAATTATTAAGAATGATAATAAAAATTATAAGAATGATAACTTTGAGAAATAGTTACATTATTACATATTTTGAAACATTTAAGTTTTTATGGTATAACTATAAGGTGTGACTACATGATCTTACACAAATATTTCTCAACCTTTTTGTAATTTAAAGAGGAAGAAGATGAAGTTTTGAAATTTTTTTAAATTTTGATTTAAGCGAATTCTTTGACTTAAGTTAAAATCACTTTTTGACTAAATTTGTTTAAGCGGATATTTTGGCTTAAACTAAAATCATTTTTTACTAAATTTGTTTAAATTTTTTTTATTTTAACTAAAATTACTTTTTGTTAAATTTACTTAAACAAATTTTATTTGACTTAAGTAAATTTAAACTAGTGGCAGCAATTTCCTTTAAAACTGTAGAGGATCTAAATTTTAATTTTTCCCTGTCTCTTTTAGAAACTTTCAAAATTTTCCATTTGAATGCAAGCTCTTGAGGAAAAAATTATAAAGTTGTTTATTTTCTTATCATGTATTAATTAATAAAAAAAAAATGGGAAGTTGATCAAAACTAAGTTAAGATGATTAGATATAGAGTAGAGTGGAGCTGTGCAGGGTTATGTCAACGGATGTACCGCTAGCTTTGACACTTTCATGTAAGCTCTAACTGCAATATTCTTTTGATTTTTAGACACATTCATTTGAATAAAATAGTTGGTGTTGAAATTTGTAGTAACAACACAGCCACTAAGAAACTAATTAATTTTGGAAACAAATTGTTAAATTTGTAATATACCGTTTGGTTTTAAGATTTTTGTAATTATAATTTTATAATTTTAAAAAATGGAAAATGTTTTCTAAAACTAAAGAATCCCTGATATTGAAGTTGTTTTCAAAATCGTTGACATATCTCGTAGTTATAGTCAATCTACCAACTTTCAACTAACTGAATATTATTTATATAATTTTTAATTTGTCATTTATGAAAACACAGATAAACACAAACAATTTCACATGATTTGGTGGATTAATTTGGCATTCAAATAGGTCATTTTTTTGGGGGGTCAATTTGATTTGATCATAGTTCACATTTTAAAGGCCCATAGGATCGAAATGAAGGCTTTCAAAAGGATCAAAGAGTGGGCCGTGTAACAGGCCTATACAACAGTCAAACAAAGCTCTCCTTTTGGACTCTTGGATCCTGTTGTGGGTTGTAAGACTCTTTCTTTTTCTCTTTGGGTCAAAAAATGGACCTTTTCTGTTAACCCAAATTAGAGATCGGAATAATGTGAAAGAAAGATGTGGTAGTACATATGGGGTTTTTTTCTGGTCACTAGTCCACATGTTTGAATCAAGCTTTTGCTTTCCATAGAGTTTTGTGACAAAAGAAAAGATATAAAAAAATGAAAGAAAAATTATATGCTATTTTGACTGATGTAGCTAAGTAGTCAACGGTGCAATCCCCAATACCTCACGAAGGCTTACATTTATTTAATGGAAATGCCTTAAGCTCAAAAGTCTTACTAACTTGATGACTTTTAGAATGTTTTGTATGAAAATATCTTCTTCTATTAAACTCTCAATCTCAAAAAGATACGAAGATACTATTGAAACAGTCTCAAATCCTTCTAAAATTAAGGAATTAAATGCTTATTTTTTTTTTCTCTTAATTCCTTCTAATATTCAATTACGCGTCTAGGAACACCAAAGTCACAAAGGTGCATACTTTTTCTTCTCCTTTGATTGCCACTCACTAAAAGGTATATCTATTGTACTATTTAATTACTCACGTGGGCATCTCAGAAAAGTGTTGTGTTCTTTGTCTCCCGTATCACGTGGTTTGCAAAGTCATTAATCCAATTTATGCACAAGATAACATTTTAAAAGACAAAAATGGCCATAATATATGTACTAATAAACAAGGGTAGTTTTTAAGCATCTCTCTCGCATATTCCAAAGCAAAACCTACATCTCAATTACTTAAATGGACCCCATTTGTTTTATGGAGACCCAAAGAGATAACTTTCATTTTTTACCATTTACCTATATTTAATTTAGTTAGGGTAGATAGTCGAATTTGACAGATGATGTAGATGTAGATATAGATAAGGATATATATCTACTTATCTATGTATGTATGACCTTTTGTAATAATCATGTAAGTGATTGAGCAATTGCTTTGTTCCTTTCACGAACATTTTCCCATTATCAAAAAGCTGTGAGTGTAGTCAAGTCTACATAACATAAGAACTACGGAAGCTGCTAATAACTAACACTAGACCTTATTTCATGTTATGGGTAGTGTTGCATCTTCCTCTCTTCACAAAAGGTACGATGTTTTTCTAAGCTTTAGAGGTGAAGACACCCGCAACAACTTCACAAGCCACCTTTACACTGCCTTGTGCCAAAAATCAATAAAAACATTCATAGATTACAAGGTTCATAGGGGAGACCAGATATCCTCAACAATCCTCAAACAAATCGAGGATTCGTACATAGCTTTGGTGGTTTTTTCTGAAAACTATGCTTCCTCTAAGTGGTGCTTGGAGGAACTGGTGAAAATACTAGCATGCAAGGAAGATAAGGGACAAAGTGTTATACCCGTGTTTTATAAAATTGACCCATCACATGTTCGAACACAATCTGGGAGTTACAAAGAAGCATTTGTTAAACATGAGAAAGATGAAGATTGTAGGCAGAAAGTGTTGAAATGGAAGGCTGCACTCACTCAAGCTGCTAATTTAGCTGGTTGGGACTCTTGCAACCATCCGTAAGTGTACATACATTACATTCTGTTCCTGTTTCTATGTTTCTATGTTTTTCTTTTCTCTTCCAATTTTGCACTGGATAATAAATCAGCTCTTAGAAATTACGAGTTATAATTACTTTAATCTCTAAAATTATCAAGTGATAATTTTTTTTTTTTTTGCTATTATTTGATAGTGTTGGAATCGTATTAAAAAGAATTAAACTTTCTGAACCATAATAACCAAAGTCATTTGTTACTACTATGAGAATCTAGGCGTAAGTCATTATTTTTTAATTAAATCATCTTTGAGAGTTTATTTTTTTAATGAGATGTAATTTTTTGTATTGAGTATTAAATTTTAATTTTTTATTCTTTTCAAATAATTAATTTTTTAAAACTTAAATGTAAATATATAAATTTAAATATTTTTTATGGATAAATTAAATTTCAAGATTGGATAAATGCTAATAACGGTGCCTCAAAGGTATTAATTAAGAATTGAGATTTGATTTTTTTTTAATTGAAAAGAGTAACAATGGACTTTTCTTCATGTTTTTAATGCCTTCTAATTTAATTTTCGGCAAAAGCTTTTATTTATTTATTTCTTAATCAAGGTACTGATTAGCAAAATTCTTAAGATTATTGTAATTTTAATGAGTGATTCTAAATTTTCCTAAAATATTTTCTTACAAATTATATTGGAATGAATGCATTTTCATTTTTTTAAGTCCAATGGCACAAAATAAAAAAACATTAAATTTTTATTAAAAACTTATTAAAAATTAACCTTTCTGGCTGGATACATATTGTTTAATTAATATCTTCTCATTCATATTGCAGGGACGAATCTCAACTCGTTCAGAAAATTGTGAATGACATTTTGCAAAAGCTATATAGAAGGTACCCAAGTGAATGGAAAGGTCTTGTTGGAATTGAGGATAGTGTTAGACATGTAGAATTGTTACTGGAAAAAGTTCCAATAGTTGGAATATGGGGCATGGGTGGCATAGGAAAGACAACTATTGCTAAGGCTGTGTACGCCAAACATTCTTTCCTCTTTGAAAGTTGTTGCTTCTTGGAAAACGTAAGAGAAGAATCACAAAAGCATGGACTTAGACATTTGTGTGATAAACTTCTCATTAATCTTCAAAAGGAAGAAAATTTCATCGGTAGCAGCTTGAAAGTTGAAAGCTCTACATTTGAGATGAGAAGACTCAATAATAAGAAAGTTTTCATTGTCCTTGATGATGTGATTAGTTCTGAGCAATTAGACTATTTAGCTAGTGAATGTGATTCTTCCTTGGGGTCTGGTAGTAGAGTCATAATTACAACAAGAGATAAGCATTTGTTGATAGGAAGAGTTGATGAAATACACGAGGTCAAGGGATTGAATTCTCAAAACTCTCTTAAGCTTCTTAGCTTAAATGCCTTCAAAGAAAATCACCCCAAAGTGGGATATGAAGAGCTATCAGAGAGCGCAGTTATCTATGCAAAGGGCATTCCACTAGTTCTCAAAGTTTTGGGTTCACTTTTACATTCCAAGAGTATAGAAACATGGGATAGTACATTGAGAAAACTAGCAAAGTATCCCAATGTGCGCATCCAAAAAGTTTTGAAATTAAGTTATGATGAATTAGATGATGTAGAGAAATTCATATTTCTAGACATTGCATTCTTCTACAAAGGAGAAGACAAAGATACTGTCATAAGGCTACTAGATGCTTGTGGTTTCTATGCTGCTAGTGGAATCGACACCCTTATAGATAAAGCTCTTGTTACTATATCAAATGGCAACAGAATACAAATACATGATTTGATACAACAAATGGGTTGGGAAATAGTTCGTCAAGAATCTCCAACAGACATTGGAAGGCGTAGCCGATTGAGGGACACTGAGGAAGTCTATAATGTATTGAAAAATAACCAGGTAAGAGAATGAGGCACTAGCTCATTTTTTGAACACAAATTGTGTTACTATTCTGCTGCAATTGAAGGCATAGAACTTGTATCTATTTATGATAATTTTCCTTTTTGTCAGGGAACTGATGCAGTAGAAGGTATCATATTGGATTTGTCTGAAATTGGAGATTTAAAATTGTGTGATGACACGTTCAAAAGAATGACTAAACTAAGATTTCTTAAATTTCATTCTGACAAGAGATCATGTAATGTGTACCTTCCTAGTGGTCTTAAGCAATTTTCTGGTCAATTAAGGTATCTTGAGTGGAATGGATACCCTTTGGACTCTCTGCCATCTAGTTTCTGCCCTGAGAAGCTTGTTAAACTTTACATGCCACACAGCCATGTTCAAAAACTTTGGGATGGGTTGCAGGTATATGCATAAATAAACATATAATTTTAGATTTTCTTCCCATTGAAATTTGATAACTTTTACATTTGTTGTCTCACTATTTGATGATCACAGGATTTTGTCAATTTAGAAGGAATAGATCTTTATGGATCCAAACAGTTGATTGAGCTCCCAGATTTCTCAAAGGCATCGAAGCTTAAATGGACAGATCTTTCCCTTTGTGAAAGTTTGAGTTATGTTCATCCCTCCCTTTTATCTCTCCACTCACTGGTTACTTTGAGACTATCTAAATGCAAAAGTCTCAAGACTCTTCAAAGCAATATTCATCTAAAATCACTTGAATATCTCTTTGTTGATGGTTGCTGGAGTCTCGTTGAATTTTCATTGACATCAGAGAAAATGAGACAGTTGGATTTTAGAGGGACATCAATCAAAACATTGTCCTCGTCCATTGAGCTTTTCAGCAACCTTGAAGAGCTCTATCTCTGTGACTCACTCAAGAATCTTCCAAACAAATTGTCTTCCATTAAATCTCTTAAGGATCTTAGCCTTGCTAATTGCAGACAGCTTGACACATCAAATTTGCACATACTACTTGATGCTTCAAGGTCTCTCCGAAGACTGTGTCTGAATTACTGTCACATATTTGAACTCCCTCACAACATAAATGTCTTATCATGGTTACATGAACTAAGGCTAGATGGAAGCAGCGCGGAGAGTTTGCCTTCAAGCATCAAGCATCTCTCAGGTTTACAAATTCTTTCCTTAAGAGATTGCAAGAGGCTTTGTTCTCTACCAGAGCTTCCACCATCCATTAAAAAACTAGATGCATGTAACTGCATATCATTAGAGACGGTTTTCACCATAGCCACTTTTAGATTGCCAAAAAGAAATGACAACAAGCGCTTTTTATTCCAAAATTGTGTGAAACTGGATGAACATTCAGTCTATGGTATCGTGGAGCATGCACACTTCACAATGAAGGAAGCAGCATATGGGAATGTCTTGATAAGAGATGAAATTCCCATATGGGGACCTAATGACTATAACCGTGGTGCATTTTGTTTGCCAGGAAGTAGAGTTCCTGATTGGTTCAAATATCAAACCAAAGAAGCTTCATTAACTGTTGATTTTTCTTCATCTTCTGACTTGTTGGGTTTCCTTCTATCTGTAGTGTTTGGTAAGTTCCCTTCAAATGAAAAGTATGCTGCTACCATTGGATGTGAATGCTACTTAGTAGATGGTGGAAAGGTGGGTTACACAAGCAACTGGTATAATACAGATATCACACAATTGAAGTCAGATCATGTTTATCTATGGTATGATCCTTTTTTTTGTGACATGGTACTGATGGCAGTGAAAGAACGTGGGGTTATAAGTGATCATAGCAATATTTATAACCCAAAAGTTTCATTTAAGTTTGTTGTTACAATTTATAAATGTGGTATGAATGTGAAAGACCATGGTTGCTTGATTGGTATGAAGGAGTGTGGAGTTTGTCCAATATATGCCTCAGAGCATCACAGTTTCATGAATCAAATGAAATTGGAGTTAAAGTACAGTGACATGACCAAGAGAAGTAGGGAGGAGCAGGAGAAGGAGCACTTCCCTCCAACGAAGAGATTGAAGGAATCTTCAATGATTGAACTTGATGATTAAGGAATTTGTACCATTGGAATTGGTGGTTTAACGTATTTTATTTTTTCATTTTGTATAAACTACAAATCTGATTGATCTTATTGTTACCCTACATGAGGCATTTTCTTTCATTGTCTTGATTTCTTGTTTCATGGATGTTTTGTGTGCAGCTTATTGCTTTCTTTTAAATCGCAATTAATGTTTATGTAAACACATAAAAGCGGAAAGTTTTGATGCCAAAAATTTGTTTCTTATCCACGGGTTCATATATATCTTGCATGATGATTGGTTACTTGGCTCAAATGTCAAAATAATGAAGTGATTGTTACGTGTTTTTCTTTATCTTTTCCTCCAAGAACAGACTAATGATGCCCTATTTTTGGCAGAATGTCGTTAATAATTGCGCTAAAACTATTTAATGTGTGAGTAAGTGTTTTTCATTATCGTAATTGATGAGAAATTAATGAGGCTGGGGTATGAATTCTCTAGTGTACATGTGAGGTCTGCATGTAAGTAATGCACTGACAAAGGTTAAATCTGACTAAATTTTTATAAGAGAAAAAAGTTAACATAAAAAGCAAATAATTTTTTTTTATAAATTAAAAATAATTTGTCTTCTCAAAATTTTAAAGAAATCAAAGGAAGAAACTTTAAAATAAATTAATTAAAATATAAGTGGTTTCTAAGTTATATGAAAATTTTTATTTACTTTTTTATATTAATTTTTTTCTCTTATAAAAACTTCTTTAGAATTTTAGTCAAAGTAAGCTTTACAATTTTTATTTCTTTTTTCACTTTCTTATAAAGTTTCTGACATCCTCTTCTAACATTTTCCCCCAAAAGTAAAATAATTTGATTAAAAATAAAACTTAGGAACAAACTGTCTCAAATAAGTGTCTCAAGTGAGTTTTCCTTAAGCCTTTTCAAAGACTTAGTCAATGATAATTTCTTCCTTTGAGAAAATAAATCTTGAAAGTATATATTTATCAAACAATTCTCTTTTTGTTGTATAAAAAAGCATATAAAGTTATCATACAAGTAAATATTCAATTTTTTAAATTGTACTTAGTAATATTACTACTTTTCTTAGTTTGTATAGGTAAATCTTAAACGTGACATATTAAAGAGAGGAGAGAGTAATTAAAAGGATAAAACTTATTAAACATATTTTATTATTAATACTCTTAATCTTAATTACCATTATTGATAAAAGGAATAAATTGAGAATTTGTGCCACCAAATAGTTGCACTAATGCAAGGACTTCTAAATTCGACGTAGCAAAGCACTATGTGCGTGTGGAAATGTTAACCTACTTTTATTTGTTCTCATTCTAATTAATACCTATAATTAGTGGAATCATCGTTTTAAACATCTCTTTGTCGTTGGCTGTCTCAAAGAATTTCCAATATTGACATATCTACAAAGTGGTAAAAAGGAACAATTTTTGTGCGAATCTTTGGCTAGCTTGCTCCATAACTTGCGCGTTCATGCACTTTCCTTAAAGTTCATTCTATTGCTTATGGTAGGTGCAATGTATATACTAATTAAGAACTTCCCAGCCATCCAATTAGCTATTAAAAACTTTAATGGGTGCCTGTTTATTAAAACAATAGTGTTAAAAAATGCACGCGTGAACGTGTTGATTAAATTGGGAAATTAGTGTCAGATATAGTGTACTATTATCTGGTTTAAAAGATTATGTACAAAAATAATATAAAATTATTAATATATTTTTGTGTTGTTATATAATAAAATGTTTCATATTAGTGAGTTAGGCAACAAATTAAAAAATATATAAATAACATAATTATTTGTTTCAATTGTCTAAAGTATTTTAAATAAATTAGTCACTTAAACTTAAGTTCAATCAATCTTTTTTACTTTTGAATTAGAGTTATGTTCAAATTTTTTTTAATGATTTATAACATAATGTGAGAGTGTAAGAGATTCTTAAGCCAATGTTTCTGCAATCAACGAATAATGATAAATTAATGTTTATAAGTGTCTTAATCAAAAGTATTTATTAAGAACAAAAAAAAATTAAATGTTTATATTTTAAAATAATTAAAAATATGTGATAAAATATATTAAGATTCATTTTAGATAAATTTTGAGAAAAGTCTTCATAAAAAAATTAATATAAAAAATAATAAAATTTTTCTTATAAATTAAATATAACATTTTTTATTTGACTTATCTAAATTTTAAAAAAAATGATATAATTTTTTTGTTTTATACTATTTTTTTTAATAAAAACTATTTTAGAAGTTTATCTAACGTAAATGCTTTTAATCCCAAACTCATTAGACATTCATCATCACTCTGTAACATGTAGAAGTGTAGGTTTACTTTATTTTGACAATGTTATCTTGAAATTACAAAGCAATTGTGTCCAAAATCATAATGGATGAGTAAAGTTGTTTAGTATTAATAAGAGTCTTGTCGTTTTTTGCATATGAATCACTTTTATTCCGCCGTCAAACTGAATATGGCGGCTAGTGGTGCACACTGCACTCTCTCAATAAAGAAGTTAATAATATTAAATAATTTGAGAGCTGTCAATTGCACTCATTAATGTCAAGAGCTTTAATAGCTTTAATCTCAATAAAGAGTGATTAGTGTTTTCTTTCTTTCTTCAATAATTTTAATAGCTTTGGATTTAGCGCAGCAGATATGCATACTGTAAGTACACTTTTCTCAGTTTTGTAAAATCAGATTGTTTAATGTAACCACCACTTTTCAAGAAAAAGCTGTTCATGGTGTTGTTTATGATTTAAATCACTCTTATTCTTCACTGGAATTAAGATTTAGGACCCCAATTCATGCAGATCGAGAGAATCTTAATTAGAAATATTGTTCTATTAGTCAACCACAAATATCTTTGATTAGCATTATATCACATACTCATGTTTATTTAATAACATATATGTATATAACTTATCTATTCAATGAAAAGTATTATGTTCCAACTCTATACTTTAATAGTATGATGTATTATATCAATGTTTGATTATTGAGAGTATATATTCATATTTTATGCAAATAGAATTATTTGTTTGTATAATGTATGATGAAGTTAGTTATAAACTTATATTAATATTTTATTTTTACTAGAAAAATTATGCTAATAAAAGTTAATCTAATATTAAACTGTCAGTAAATATTAATTTTTTATAGTGTATGAGAAATTAGCATGTATTACAATTTTAATCTATTTTATTGTAAATTATCCTTTCAGGGTCAATTTTCCCTCTCTTTTTATGATTCTTAGTGCTGTCAACAACTAATTTTATTTTTATTGATTTTGAAACTTTAAAAGATGCAATAAAAATGTCCAATGAAGTTTCAAAATTGATAGTATGAATACTTAAAACATTATTTTATTTACGAAAGTTTAAAAATTGAAAATACAATGTTTAAAGTTAGCTAGCTGTGACGTTAAAAGTTGAAGTGGAAAGAAAAATACCTTAAGAAATTTCCCCATAATTTCTCTTTACCACTGTTGAAGTACTTGTTTACAATGAACTAAAGTGTAACACATTATTTTTAGGAGAATAGAATAATAGTATTTTTAAAATGAATGGGAAATTTAATATAATTAAAGCACTACCTTTAAGAAAGATGGGTATAATTTATTTAAAATTTTAATATAGAATAAAAAATAATAAAGTTGAGAAATTTAGGATTGAAAAAGTCTAATATAAGAAATAAATTTTTAAAAGTAATTAATAATTTAAAAAAGTAATTGATAATAAAGCCATGAATTACAATAAGAAGGAAAATATAAAACAAAACAAGCATATTAAAACACTGATATTCACAATCCAATCGCACTGAGGAGTTTTGGCTTTAAATAAGTGGGTTCACTTCGATCTTGATTAGTAGTTAAAATACTACACATAACCCTGATTACGTGCAAGTCTTTTTTGATCAGAGATTACGTGCACATATTCATATTATCTTTCTGGTTAGGATCTAGTGCATATATTCGCAACATCTATGGCCACTGGTAGTGTTTGTTCCTCTTCCTTTGCTTCATTTTCTCCCAGAAAAAAGTATGATGTTTTTATAAGCTTTAGAGGTGAGGACACTCGCCATAACTTGCTTAGCCACCTTATCACTGCTTTGTGTGAAAAATCAATAAAAACCTACGTAGACTACAAACTTGAAAGAGGTGATGAGATATCACAAGCACTCACCCAAGCCATTGAGGACTCCAATATGTCTTTGATTCTCTTTTCACAAAACTATGCTTCCTCAACATGGTGCTTGCATGAACTCACTAAGATACTTGAATGCAAGAGGAAGCAAGGACACATTGTTCTACCTGTGTTCTATAAAGTTGATCCATCACATGTTCGCAACTCCAAAGAGAAGGTGCAAAAGTGGAATGCTGCTCTCACTGAAGCTGCCAATTTAGCTGGCTGGGACTCTAGGAGCTTCAGGTAAGTGAGTATATATTTGCTTCTTTCTATTCTAATTATGGTAATAATTCTTATATTTTCAATTTTCATAGTCACTTTCACTTAGGTCTATTCTTTTCTTTTTATTTCTCTTCTTTTCTTATCACATCATTCGTTATATCTTTTATTTTATTTTTCTATCTGTTTCTTTCTCTACTTAGTTTTAGCATCCAAACTTTGAGCATAAACATATCATTTCTGTTACCCTAAACAAAACTATTCTACGAAACTTTCTCAAAGGTTATTATGATTTTCGTTTTCAAATTACCTATGTATATAGTTGCTAGTTGCCATATATTAGTGATAATTTCCAAAGTACTCGTACATATATGGTTTACATGATCGACATCTGTAATATTTCCGTCGTGATAGAACATCAGCCAAAATAAATTCATTCAACTGTACATGCGAGACGATATTACCAAAAAAAAATTATATATATATATATATATTAAATTAAAAGAGATATATAACAGTGTTCGGGAGCTAGAAGTGAACTATACCTCCAAGTGAATTTTACTTGTAATGTCGGTGTTTATACGTTACAATCATTATTTTGTGAAGAATTTTAGTTAATCACAACTATTCTCTAAGGATTATATATATATATATGCGAGGGCGTATCTTAAGAAAGAACATTTTTAACATGTGAGTGGTAAATTTCTCACACATAAATGGTTAGCATTTAAATATCTGAGAAGTCATTTAATTACTTGAAAATATTATATAACCTTTTAAAAAACTTACATAACTGGTATATTTTAAAATTCATGATAAATTATTAAAACTTATTTATTGTATTATCTTATGGATAAATATATTCGTTCAAAAATAAAAAAGAGTTTTCAAATAAATTTATAAAATATTGTCTTACAATAATTATTTTTAAGTATTAAGAATATTTTAATTTAATTATTTAAATTTAAAAAATGTACGTAAATTTAAATAAAATAAAGATTTAAATTCAAAAAATTAAAAAATAAAGAAAGTAGTACAACTTATGATAATAAATTATTCGAAATAAATTATATAATATATATATTATTTTACTTTTATATTTCTCTATGTTCACTTTTATATTAATTTTAATTTTAGTTTCTTTATAATAGTTAACCATTATACTAAATATATTAATATCTAATGATTATATAATTTTAATAGGTTTTTTTAAGCTATTCTTACAAAGTTAAAAAAGGAGAAAACATAAAGAGATTACAAACCGTTAACTTAATAATAATTAAAAGAGAAGAATTAAGTTTAGTCTATATAATTTTTTTGTCTCATATCACTTTATAGATTCATTAATTTTATATGGTATGTTTGCCTATAATATAATTAATTATAATATGTTAAAAGTTATCAATTTTGAACATATATAATATAACAAGATAGAATAAAAATTAATCAATAAAGAAAATTAAACATATCATTAATAACAAGAATCACATAGATGCAAATAATTCATCGTAATCTTAACTATGAATTTAGTTAAACATAATATAATAAAAAAAATAAAATAATAATAAACTAATTTATAATTATTCAAAGAGTAATGCAAACTAAAAAAGTCTTTAATAAATAAGAAATAAAAGAATTATTAATCTTAAGATGTTCTCTAAAACTTCAAAAGTTGTCAACTGCTGGCCGAAATCAAAATACTCAAGTTGTAGTTCTCAAAATTTTTTAAATAGGATTTCAAAATTCTAAGAGTTCCTCTAATTTAATTCTTTTGATATAGAGTACAATTAAACTGGTGCACACCAGTATGCGTAGTCATACATAAGTTTTGAAGCATGAACATGTTTATCTTGTTTTTTTATCTAATTTTAGTTCAAAATGCAGCTCAAAACAAATTGCGACATTATAATGCTAAACTGTACAATTTATATAAAAAATTACTGTAAACTATATTCAAATAAAGATAAGTACATAGAAGTAGGATACAAAAAAATGTTAAAATACACTTATCGTATTGACACGTAAAAAAATTCTTCAATCTTAGCATTTGTGTTAGGACATACGAGAGAGTTAAAACACTAATTAATGAATTGCGAGTAAATCATCCAAGTAAATCTAAGTACAATATTTAACTCAAAACTTTAAGACTTTAAACTGTTGGGACTCTTGTTTCTTATATTTGTTCAACTTTTCTATTTCGCTCATACTTGCTACCCCAATCCCCAATACATTACCTATATTTAGTTTCTATATTTGCTTTGTATGCTTCTTTAGTTTTATTTAATTTTGATAAATTTATTTTCGGGGGTGTTTATTCTTTTTAATTTATGCCAGGGACGAATCTAAACTTATCAAAGAGATTGTCAACGATGTTTTGCGAAAATTATATCATAAGTATTCAAGTGATCAGTTAAGAGGCCTCGTTGGAGTAGATGAAAATTGCAAATCAATCGAATCACTACTGGAAAAGGTCCCAATAATTGGAATTTGGGGCATGGGCGGTATTGGTAAGACAACTGTTGCCAAGGTTGTATTTGCCAAACTATGCTCTCAATATGAAAGTTACTGCTTCTTGGAAAATGTAAGAGAACAATCACAGAAACATGGGTTAAATTATTTACATGATAAGCTTATCTTTGAGCTGCTGAAGGATGAGCATCACCATAATACCACAGCCGAAGTTGTAGGATCCAAATTTATTATGAGAAGGCTTGAAAGTAAAAAAGTTTTGGTTGTGCTTGATGATGTCAATGGTTTTGAACAATTAGAATATCTAGCAAGAGAATTTATTTGCTTGGGATCAGCTAGTAGAGTTATTATAACAAGAAGAAATAAGCATTTGCTTATTGGAAGAGTTAATGAAATACATGTAGTCAAGGAATTGAATTTTCAAGATTCCCTTAAGCTTTTCAGCTTAAATGCATTCAAAGACAGCAATCCTCAAATGGAATATAAAGAGCTATCAGAAAGGGCAGTTATGTATACTAAGGGAAATCCATTAGCTTTGAAAGTGTTGGGTTCTCTTTTTCATTCTAAAAGTATAGAAATATGGGAAAGTGCACTTAGCAAACTCAGGAAATATCCAAACGTACAAATTCAAAATGTGTTAAGATTGAGTTATGATGAATTAGATGATGCAGAAAAGGACATATTTCTAGACATTGCATTCTTTTTTGAAGGAGAAGATAAAGATCATGTCATAAGGCTATTAGACGCCTGTTATTTGTTTGCCACTAGTGGAATAGAAACCCTCCAAGATAAAGCTCTCGTAACTATTTCAAAAGACAACAAAATACAAATGCATGAGCTGATTCAAGAAATGGGCTGGGAAATAGTTCGTCAAGAATCTATTAAAGACCCAGGAAGGCGTAGCCGATTGAGAGACACTGAAGAAGTTTGTGAAGTATTGAAAAATAACAGGGTAAGTTATAGATGTTAAACTTTTTTTGCAAATGTTTGTGTAGAAATTGCAGCTAGTAGCATTGTTTCCTAACCATTATTTTCCAATTTTCATTTTTGATAGGGAACTGATGTAGTTGAAGGCATAATGTTAGACGTGTCTCAAATTAGGGAACTGCCCTTGAATGCTGACATATTCAAAAAGATGGTTAATCTAAGATTGCTCAAGTTCTATTCTCCCTTCAATAAGAGATCATGTAATGTGCACCTTCCCACGGGTCTTGAGTCACTGCCCCATAAATTAAGATACCTTCATTGGAATGGATATCCTTTAATGTCCCTGCCATCAACTTTTTGTGCGGAAATGCTTGTTCAGCTTTGCATGCCACATAGCCATGTAAAAAAACTTTGGGATGGATCACAGGTATACACATACATATACACACACAGTCATGAAAATGTTAAGGAATTAAGAGTAGAAACTTCCTATTAATTGGAATATGCAAGACATACTTACTTCTGTGATTTTCAGTGCATTATAACATGATTTTTTAAGAAAAACTTATTATTTATTGATTCTTTAAATACTGCCTATAGGGCATTGGTTATTAACCAAGACTCACACACACTTACCTGTACATATAAACATGTATGCTAGTTTTAATTTTGATTGAAATTTGAGGATTATTGTATTGATTTTTTTTTAAATGGTTAACAGGATTTTGTCAACTTAAAGGAAATAGACCTTATTTTCTCCACGCAGTTGATGGAGCTCCCAGATTTATCCAAGGCAACAAAGCTTGAAATACTAAATATCTCCCACTGCATAAATTTGAGTCATGTTCATCCATCTATTTTATCACTCGATACCCTTGTTGATTTTGTTCTATATGGTTGCCAAAAACTCAAGTCTCTTCATTTAAGATCTGTCAAGTACATTGTTCTAAATGGATGCTTCAATCTGAAGGAGTTTTCATTGACCTCAGGAGAAATAAACGTGTTGGACTTAAGAGGGACAGCAATAGAAACATTAGACATGTCCATTGGGCGTCTCAGCAAAATTGAAAAGATCTACGTCTGCCAATCACTCAAAAATGTTCCAAAGGAGTTACCTTCTTTTACATGTCTTAGGGAACTGAATCTTCATAACTGTAGACACCTTGATACGACAAATTTGCATAACCTACTTGATGCTTCACGAAATGTACAAAAGTTGATTTTGGATGAGTGTTGTAACTTGCATGAACTCCCTTACAATATTAAACATCTTTCATGCCTTGAACATCTGTCACTCAGGAATTGCATGAGCCTTAAATATATACCACAGATTCCACCATCTGTTGGACAGTTAGATGCTGTGAATTGCACATCCTTGGAGATAGTGTTGGCCTCTGTGATTTCAAGACAACAGGGGCAAAAGGGCATAAGCATTTCATTTGAGAATTGTTTGAAATTGGATGAACATTCAAGGTCTAGTATTATGGAACATGCATATTTCACAATGAAGCAAGTTGTGCATGCAAATGTCAATGTTCCACCCTATCTGAATAAAAGTAGTGGTGATGTTTGTTTGCCAGGAACCAAGGTGCCGGAGTGGTTTGAAAACAAGACAACAACACAAGCTTCCATAACTGTTGAACTTCCTTCACCCTTCCTCTTATTGGGTTTTGTTTTTTGTGTGGTTCTTTCTCAGTTTCGGTCAAATGCCAAGTTTGAGTATCATCAGATAGTATGTCAATGGTGTTTGGAAGATGGTAGAAGAATTGGATGCACACGTAGGTGGTATTACAAAGCTATCACAGCATTGAATTCAGATCATGTTTATCTATGGTATGAACCATCTTGTGACAAGATAATTGAGGCAGTTAAAGAAAGCCAAGCCAATGATGATGAGTGCATCACCCTCAACCTGAATGTGTCATTTGAATTCTATGTTGAAACTCATAATCTTTGTGAGCCCAAACATATTGGTTTGATTGGCATAAAAAAATGTGGTGTCTGTCCGATATATGCCTCAGAACATTACAGTTTCATAAACCACATAGAATTGGACATGAAGTTAGAACATAGAGATAGAGAGATTACAATGGGGGTTGGAAGCTTTGATGAGAAGAAAGATGAGACTGGAAGCAGTGGAGTAGAAATTCAGGAGCAGAATCAAGAAAAAGACTCCTGTTATTGCTTACCTGGTATGAACTTTTATTCTACATCCAAGCTAATATTTATATATCTTATTGTGTTTAAACTTTTCTAAGAAAGACACTTATGCAAAGTATTATAATAAGTATTTTTGGTATTATTTTTAATTAAAATTAAAATTTTATTTCGATAATCTATATTATAAAGGTTGACATACATTACTGAAATATAATTTTACTTTTAATTAAAAAAAAATAACAGTAAAAACACCTATTTTATTGTACTAAGTTTTGTTCAATCCTTTATCCATGAATAACAATTGTTTAACACTAGAAAGTAAAAAAATGGCAACTTTTTTTCAGCAAACTTGAGTTATACAAAAGATACAAATTTTGGATCATGAAGATGTAACCTGTTGATTCACTATTTTCATAATACTATAATATAACCACCTTGCATTATAAGAAAACAAAGAATGTACTTAGTAAAATCAATTATTTAACACTTCGTATGCTGAAAAAAGAAAGGATAAACATTGATCTTGAATAAAGCTCGTGTTAAACAGGTCTCCTGTTGAAGCAATTATGGAGATTGGTGTCAAAGCAGTGAAGAAACTTGGAAATATCTGGACCTTTTTTCTTCTATTTTTTTTATCGAGAAGTAAATGGAGAAAATGTAAAATAGGAAAAATACATCAGTAGTAGCCAATAACGCAGTATTAATATGATGAGGATGCAGTAAATTAAATTAGATACAGAATGTATGTTAATAATGAATGTTTCTTTCCTTCAAATGAAAACTTCCCAAGATTCATGGGTGGATAGAAAACGAACAAAAGATACAAAAATGATTGGTTGAAGCGATTATTAAAGGGCTAGGAGGATTTGCTCGGATCAAAAGGAGATGTTCCAAATTCAATCTTTTTGGATAGAGAACAAACCCAGTGGATTGAAGGCTAATGCAGTGTCTCTGATTTTGGCCTTATTTTAAGTAGAGAGCTATGACCAAAAAAGAAAAAAATAAATAAATAGTAAAGTGTTGATTTAGGATAACAAATTAACTTTGTAATGCATATAATAGTAAAAAAAAAAAAAAAAGATTTTGATTTATGACATTAGTTTGATTATTTAAAGCACATGTTGCTTGCTTTATTGATCAGAGCCTTATCATTAGTTGATTTGTGTTTGGTGTTTAACAAAGATGGAAATTAAATATCAATCTACTTCTATATTTTAAAGTGAATTTTCATTTTAATGGAGAACATTTTTAAAAGTCTTCATCAATAAGAATACTTCATAAAAATACATAATAAAATAATAAAGTTTAATTATATTTTTAGTTCCAATAAAAGTAACATTCTTCTATAAAAATAAATTATTAAGATTTAACTCTCTCAAAACATGTTTAAGTCCGTTAATAAATTACTTAGCAAAAAAGGTTATTATAATTAAACATGATTAGTTATTTATCAGCAAACAGCGATTTCCTCTGGTCTTCCAATTTTCTTTCGTTTTCCCTCTGAATCCAATTCAATTGAATCCTAAAGCTGGCACAGTATCATCATTCTCCACTGTATTTCGATTCCTTCACTTTCCAGGGAAAATCAATGGCTATGCAACCAGTGGAGACCTTCGCCAAATCGGCGACCTCAGGATTCTTCCAGGGAGAGAAATTTTTTAATTATTTATCTCATCCCTTAATATAGTATAATTAAGAGTAAAAGTTAAATTTTTATATTTTAAAAATGTTAGAATTAAATTTTGATAATTTATTTAAATTTTGAAATAAGTCAAATCATATTAGACTCATAATAGGTTATCAACGATTTTTAGCTCTCAAAGTAATTGCTGAAAATAAACTCTACGAAATACAATACGATGAAGTGATGAACTTTTCTTTTGGTAGCTCTCATTTACATTATGTAGTCTACTAATCTATCTACTAACTATATCTCACTTCTTACAAGGAAACATGTCAATTTATTAATCTACTTAATAATTCTCTTAATAATTATTTTTGTTTTGTTTTGTATAGTTAAAAGCTAATTAAATAAATCATAATTTATACTTTTTATATAATTTTTACCGAAAAATATTTTAAATAAAAATTATATAATAAAAGAAAATGAGACAAAAAATAATTTTGAAATCAATAAACTCATAAATATATTAAATAGTATAATGTAATTCAAAGCATAATATTGTCGAGAAAATAAATTAATATTTTAATTTCATAAATAATATACACTAATATAAGTATGAGCAACACGGTAATTTTTAAATAAAAACATACACGTGTATATAAATTCAAATTGAGTAAAATTTAATTGACCTTTAAAATTGCATTCATAATATGATTGAATCTAATAAAAAAATATTTTTAATTTTCAAATTTCAATTTTTATTTAATTTTACTTTTGCATCAGATTCCATCTGCTTATAAACATTTTGTAGTTTGTACTCCATTTTTGTTTATCTATTCACTTTTTAAAAGAAAATTATGTTTCTATATTTAGTTAGAAATTAAAAATAATAATAATAATTGTTTTTAATTATGTATTTATTTTTAATCAATTTCCAGGTGTTTTAAGAACTTATCATAAATAAAAAATATTTATAAAATTAATATTAGGAAGCTTACAATAATTTTAATATCAACAAAGATATTAGTTATATTTCTCAATTTTTTTATGAATAGTTATATTTTTAATCTGTATATTATCTATTTCAGTAAACAAATAAATAAATAATATTTTAAGAAACGAGTTCTTTCTTTCATCAAACTTAAATAAAATTTAATGGAGGCAAGACAGATAACCCACACTAGCAATTGCATTTAATTTGCCTAAGAAATTTTTTTTTTCTATTATAATTATTAGAATAAATCAAATTGTTAGCCTTCTAGTAATTCTGTCACAAACAAATAGCAAAGTCAAGTCAACAGAATAAATCAAATTGTTAGAATAAATCAAATTGTAATTTTTTTTTCTATTATAATTATTAGAATAAATCAAATTGTTAGCCTTCTAGTAATTCTGTCACAAACAAATAGCAAAGTCAAGTCAACAGAATTAAATAATTAACCTTTCCAAAGGGTATATTTAAGGATTAACTTTGCACATATTCTCGGCCAGCACATGAAGTTGTTGAAGAGTTCATTTGATAGTAATTTTCGTTTTAACTGTACAGATTTTTAGTCCTTTAAAAATGAGCTTATTTTTAATCCAGTTCCTTAAGTTCATTTCCTTTTCATTTTGGTTTGTATAATTATATAATTCCATAACCTATTTGTTCAAGTTACTATCCCCCATATTGAAAAATAAAAATAAAAATAAAAATAAAACACATATGTGAATAGTATACGAAATTGGAGGTCTAAGATAGCAAGTAAATTACGAGGAATTAACAGAGAAATTTCCCTCACCAAAGTCAATTCTATAGCTAAATCATTAAGGTGAAGAAGTTTTCTTACTAATCATATAAAAATAGATGAATGTAGATTTCGCGTAGAAATTTTCGGTCACATAAATTGATTTTAAAATCCCAATTTGGATGCCTTTCCCACTCTTCCTCTCTCACCTTCGTTTCCGATTTGAAAGAGTTGGTCATTCATTGGTTCTCCCACTTGACGCTGCAACCGATTTTTGAATGGTTAGGCTAACTGACCATTCCCATGCTTGTAACTGATATTATATAAAACTTTTTCAGTTCTAATTCCATTTATAATATGTTTAAAGTAAACTAGCTGGTACTTTGCCTGAGCTCATGATAATTGTTTGTTATATCTGAAAATAATTATTTGCTATGCTTGTTATATCTGACTTTTCTTCTTACGCCTTAAAATGTAATATAAAATGCTCTAATGATTAATAATATCTCTAAGAATTTATTTTTTGACTGAGTCCAATGGTATGATATTATTCATGTTGCATATCTCACTTAGTAGCTAGGGTAATGTCTTGTAGTTATTTGTGTTTATGCAATGTGCATGTGCAAGCATTAAAGGCAGACGATCTTTATTTGTGTCATGAATAGGATATGCAGGGTGAATTGGCGGATATTAAGAAAAAAGGGAAGATAATCGTCTTTAGTTTCAGCTAAACTCCTCTTCTGACGATTGTAAGTACTGGTATACATAATCAAATTGATTGCAACTCTGTATCAAGTATCATTTGTTTCTCAAATAGACAGAAAGAAAATATGACAGATTACTTTCTAAATTTACTACTCAAGATTTAAAAATGACTTCTAGTTTATTAATTTGTTTCAGTATGCATCCTAAAAGCCATTTGACTTTTGTATAATCCTCTTTAGCCACTTTCTACGATGTGTGAAAAGATTTCTCTATGCCATTACTATGGGATATAAATTCATTAGCCAAATAGCAATTATTTAAGTAAAGAAGGTACTTCACATACTTGGTATCCGCATGAAGATATTTCAGTTGTGTTTATCTTAGGTCCATCGGTAACCAACTTCCCTGCTCTTGGATCTTCTCAGTGATCTTTCATTTTTTTTCTCTTGCCTCTTTGCTCTCTGCAGAGATTCTCTCGTTTACCTTTCTTCTCACACTTAAGACTAGCCCTTCCCACACAATTATTAGGCATGAAAGAGTAATTCGATGGCATAACTTGCTGCTGTGAAAAGTAATCAGAATCCTTGCTGGTTCAATAAACTAGTTCTGCACTGCATTTCAGAACTAGTTTATGAACCAATCCATAAACAAAGTGGTTCTTCCAGTCCAATTCAAAAAAATGGTTGTGTTCTTCAAAAACTATTATTAAAACTAGTGTGCTCTCCTAGAATTGATACTTTTTAATGGTCTTATAAGCTTTTTAACTGACACTTTTTTTTTAAATTTTAGTTACCATCTTTGGCTGCATTTGTCATAGGCCTCTCGCAACACACATTATCTAAGGTGTGAATACCTTGCTAGGTGTTTATTTGGTGTCTATTGTGTTACAATAATAAATTTGAGGCTAATAACATTGATTGCGTTGCTTTTTCTCAAGTTTGATATAGATTTAAGCCATGTGATAATAATAATAATAATAATAATAATCTGAAGGTGTACAGGAAACCATACTCTGCTCTCTTCTGTATAAATACCAAGCCGTTAAAGGAAGAAAAGCGTGTCTGGAATATGTTTCACTCTCCCAGAAAGTACGATGTATTCATTAGCTTCAGAGGTGAGGACACCCGCACCACATTCACTAGCCATCTTCGGGATAGTCTCTACAAGCAAAATATCCAAACATATATTGATTATGAGCTTAAAAAAGGAGATGAGATATGGCCAACACTTGCCAAAGCAATCCAAGACTCTCATATATCCATTGTTATTTTCTCAGAAAACTTTGCTTCCTCAAAATGGTGCTTGGATGAACTCCTCAAAATACTCGAATGTAGAGAAAATCAAGGACAGGTAGTTATACCTGTGTTCTATAAAATAGATCCATCAGATGTACGTTACCAGATCGGTACATACAAAAAAGCATTTGCAAAACATGAGAGAGCTGTTAGGAATAATGAATCCTTCTTAAAAGTTTCTGCATGGAAAGAAGCTCTAACTAAAGCTGCCAATATATCTGGATGGGACTCTAGCACCCATAAGTAAGTGTTACATATTCTTAAGAGTTTAATTTTGATACACTAACCATGCATTCTAATGAAATTCAAATTCTTATTTTATGCATGTATATTTTTGAAACCACATATACTTACATTTATGCCAAATTTGTGATGAACATGATGATTCTAGTTGATCTACAGATACAAATTACTACATGATATGAAAATTTGATGCAGTATTGGATAGTGGTTTGAGTTTCCACACCAAACAATAGTATATAAGCTTTTCCGTTCCGCTCTACTGTTAGACATTCCATTCCAGTATGTATGACTATTCTGTTGCATAAATTCGTCCGCAGAAGAAAAAGAAGTCTATTACCATGAGTCCGGTAACTTTTACCGGTCATCTCACCTGTTGAAAACATTGATAGAGATCTGATGGTTTAGCATGTTTCAAGATTCATTCTAAACAAGCTCCCTTTTTATTCAACTGACACACTTTCATAAAATATATTTAATTTAAATTTCAAAATAATATAGTCAGACATGTAATATATGCAAACTCCAAAAAATCCTTAGATGCAATAAAAATGAATGTACATGATGAGTTTGCCAAAGATATAAAGCTCACAGATACAAGATAGACAAAGCACTTGGCCAAATTTAACCATTCCATTAGTTTTATTTGTTCATTCTTTATTCCTTATTTTTATTGATCTATTTGTTTTTGTCCAGGAATGATTCTGAAGTCATCCAGAACATTGTGCAAGATGTTTGGCAAAAGCTGTCCCTTAAGTATCCTAAGGAACTTAAAGGCCTTGTTGAGATTGATGAAAACAGTAATTACATTGAATCATTACTGAAAGAATTTCCAAGAATTGGAATTTGGGGCATGGGTGGTATAGGTAAAACTACCATTGCTAGATCTCTGTTTGCCAAACACTTTCCAGAATATGAGAGTGTCTGCTTCTTGGAAAAAGTGAGAGAAGAATCAGAAAAGTTGGGAATAACATCTGTACGTAAGAAGCTTCTTGGTGAGCTATTAAAGCAACAAATCACCACATCTGATACTCTTGGAACCACATTCATAGAGAGGAGGCTCAGTAGCAAAAGAGTTTTGATTGTACTTGATGATGTGGACAATGCTACACAATTAGAATATTTGTGTGGAGGACTAGATGACCTTGGACCAGATAGCAGACTCATCATCACAACAAGAGATAAGCATACGCTTAGGGGAAGCGTTAATAGGATATATGAGGTCACAAAATGGACGCATCCAGAATCTCTAAAGCTTTTTAGCTTAGGAGCCTTCCAACAAAGCCTTCCTAAAGAGGGTTATGAACATCTCTCAGAAAGGGCAGTTGCATATGCAGGAGGCATTCCATTAGCTTTAAAAGTTCTAGGTTTACATTTTCGTTCCAGAAGTATTGAATTTTGGGAATCTGAATTGAGTCATCTTGAGAACAAGGACGAATCCTGGGATGAAATTCGAGAAGTGTTACAAGTGAGCTATAAGGGATTGCAAAAGCGAGAGCAGGCAATATTTCTGGATATTGCATTCTTTTTCAAAGACCAAAATAAGGATTCTGTCATAAGGATACTAGATGCCTGTGGTTTCAGTGGTACTAGTGGAATACAAATCCTTCAAGATAAAGCTCTTATAACTATTTCAAACAGCAATAGAATAGAAATGCATGACTTGCTACAAAAAATGGGCCTGGATATAGTTCGAGAAGAATTTAGTAATGACCCTGGAAGACGTAGCCGATTGAGGGAAATTAAAGATGTTCCTGATGTACTTAAAAATAGCAAGGTGAGAAAAAAAAAATATATCCTAACCTTTATCAAGACATGTTTTTTGATAAAAGTATATAACAGCTAATTTTCTATCGTTTATTTCTTGTTTTGTTAGGGGACTGATGCAGTTGAAGGCATAACATTAGATTTGTCTCAAAGAGTAGATTTTCACTTGCCAGCTGACACATTCAACAGGATGACTAAATTACGAATTCTTAGATTATATGTCCCATCGGATAAGAAAAGATTAGCTAATGTATGCATCCCTCGAGTCTTTGAGCAGTTTTCCAATGAATTGAGGTACCTTGAGTGGAATGGATACCCTTTGAAGTTTCTTCCACAAAATTTTTGTCCTAAGTCTCTTGTTGAGATTCACATGCCGTATAGTCACGTTAAAGAGCTTTGGCAGGGAATGCAGGTAAAGATGTATATGAATGCATGCTTACACTTCAGCTTAGTTGAAATATAAGGATGTTCCATTGTGATGTTGTCTCCTTTTGAATATATTGTTCCAGGATCTTGTGAATTTAGAGGCAATGGACCTAAGTGAATGCCAACAGTTGCAAAAGCTTCCAGATTTGTCCAGAGCCTCAAAGCTTAAATGGGTGGATCTCTCTGGATGTGAAAGCTTACTTGATGTTCATCCATCTATTTTGTCCCTCGACACACTTGAAACTTTGATGTTGGATAGGTGCAAAAAACTGAATACTCTCAAAAGTGAGAAGCATTTAAAATCACTTGTGAATATCAATGTCAATGGGTGCATAAGCCTAAAGGAGTTTTCGGTGTCATCAGGCTCAATGGAAAGGTTGGATTTAAGCACTACAGGAACCAAAAAATTGCACTCATCAATTGGCCGTCTAAGCAAACTTAAGTGGCTCAATCTTGAGTATTTAAGATTGGAGAATCTTCCAGAAGAGTTATCTTTCTTGATATCTCTTGAGGAGCTTAGGATTTCTAACTGCAAACTAGTTAACAAGAAAAAGCTGCATGTCCTGTGTGATGGGTTACGGTCCTTAAAAGTACTACATTTGAAGGATTGTTATAAGTTGTTTGAACTCCCTGACAACATTAGCTTCTTATCATCATTACTCGAGTTAAGACTCGATAGAAGTGGTATTGAGATGTTGCCTGAAAGTATCAAGCATCTTCAAGAGCTGGAGATTCTGTCCTTATTGAATTGCACAAAGCTTCAATTGCTACCTGAACTTCCACCTTATATCAAACAGTTACATGTTGTCAACTGTAAATCATTGGTGATAGTGTCCACTTTGAAGACTTTTTCAGTCATGATGATAGGAAAGGAGAAATTCATATCATTTAAAAATGGAAAGAAACTGAATGAACATTCTCTCTTTCGGATCATTGAAGGCTTAATGTTTACAATGAAAAGTGCTGCATTTCACAATGTCTTAGTAAGAATGCTAAGTGTTGATACCCGCAGCTATAATTATAACAGTGTTGAGGTTTGTTTCCCAGGATGTAGTGTTCCAAGACAGTTCACATATCAAACCACAGGTTCCTCCATCACCATTGAACTTCCTGATCCTAAACTACGTTCTAACTTGTTAGGATTCATTTACTCTGTGGTTCTTCCTTCATCCCATGAAATGAAGCAGCATGGTGTTATAATCCAATGTCAGTGTCGTGAGAAAGATGGTAAAAAGGGAAATGCAACTACGTGGCATCATAAAGCCATCAAGGGATTGAATTCGGATCATGTTTTCGTATGGTATGATCCATTCCATTGTGACAGCATCCTCAGACATCGTAAACAAAGTATTATTTGCTTTGAGTTCTTTGTTACAATTGAAAGTGAGGAACTTCTTGTTGGTGATTTGGTTAGTATCAAACGATGTGGGGTCCACCTAATTTGGTCCTCAATGTTAGAGGTCCATAGTTTCTTACGAGAATTAAACTTGGAATTGAATTTGAAATTGGATTTGGGGGTGAAATTGGCATTAGCATTAGAAATGGAGCAGGGTCGAGGGAATTGGGAAGATAACAAGAGATTACTTCATGCATTGGAGAATGGAGATGAAGTGGATGAATCTTTGAAAATGGAGTTAGAATCACGACGTCGTGGGATTTTAATGTTAATTGAGACAAAAAGTATTGGAAGCAAATTGTGAGTGAACTAAATTGTATTATTCATTATCAATGTTGATATCTTCTTTTTATTTGTCGTTTAAAGTTATGCTATATATATTAAGACATTTAATTGAAATTTTCGTTTTTGTTATTATTTTCTTAAACTATGTTTTGTCTGTGTCCCATCTCTCAAAATCCCACGTTGAATAGGAGTCGAGACTAAAGACAGTTTATAAACACTTGTCCGTTACGACCTACTAAATTGACTTTCAAGAATAAAATCATGACTCGAGCACTAACATGTACAATACCTTAGTTGTGGTTAGTCTAACAATACTGTCCTTAGTATGAAAGAATAAGTGGCCACATTATTTTACACAAAAGCATCAGCTTTAATTTATTCTTGTTAAGTAAAATATTTGTCTATAAAAAAGTCTTTGTTCTTAATTTCGTTTTTGTTTTACTAAATGGAACAAAAATAGTTAATATTAAATTTTAGTTAACTTGAGACATCAGTAAGATAAAAGACAACAATTTGGATCATATACTGTTTTTATCTTCGAGTTAAAAAATTATAGGTGTTGGAACAACTTTTTCTTTGAGCAGGTTCTTAAGGTACTTATGGAGACTAATCAGTAGTCAAAAGGGTGTCGAAGCATTAATGAAACTCAAATTGTTGGTGTAATAAATGGTGATAATATTGTGCAATTCCTAAAGAAGGAAATAAAAGTTAAACAATAAAAGGAGTAGAACTTGCGTTCCTTTGCCACAACAGCCTTGTAACATGAATATGAGCAGATCCTGGATCGATATCTATGCTACCTAGTATTGTTCTAATATCGACCTAATTATCCGCTGATTGTTGATTACTTGTATTTTTATATTAAAGTAAACTTCCACATTTAAGATACTGTTTGTAATAGTTACATTCTTGTGTTTTATTTGGGTTATGGCTGTACATATGGGTTTGTCATGGGTATTTTATAGTGTAATGGTACCAAATTGTTCTTCAATGTTATTTTAATCCCTTATTTCTCCATTAAAATCAAAGAGTTAAGAATTTTATGAAATATTATCTGAAAAAATTCTTTTACATCTTATTTTTCATCTTAAATCGTAAAAATCAAAGTTAATGACTAGGGAAAGTAACGTAAAATGTCTTTCTCCCACATAACTTACCGAACCTGTTGGCTAGCAAAAAAAAATTCTTCAGTTACATGTCCCCTTGGGTAAGAGATCAGAAACCAAGTACCAATGTACAGTTCTTGAGACATTTCTGATAAATTGAACTACATTGAGACATTGAGTGGAATAGATTCCCTTTTAAGTCCCTTCCACCAACTTTTTGTTGTAAGTTTCTCGTTGAGATCTCTTACCATATAGTCATGTTAAAGAACTTTGGCAAGGGATGCAGGTAAAGATATCTAATAACGTATGCTTATATATTCAGGTTAATGGAAATATGACGATTTCATATTGTGATGTTGTATCCTTTTGAATTGTTATAGGAACTTGTGAATTTGGAGGCAATTGATCTAAGTGAATGCAAACAATTGATAAAGCTCCCAGATTTGTCTATGGCCTCAAAACTTAAATGGGTGTATCTCTCTAGTCGTGAAAGTTTGTGTCATTCGTCCACCTCTTTTATCTGATATACACTTGTTTCTTTAATATTAGATGGGTTTATATTGCATAACAGCTTTATGTTGCAGGATTTGCGGTAAAGGAGCAAAAAGAAATCCTCCTATGCAAAATTTGCTCGTTCATTTTTTGAGTCCTTATGGTCTTGTTTGGAATGCATACTCATTTCCTTTATGTAATAATACTCACTTTTTGCGTGTTAGTTTTTCTTTGATTTATTTGTTTTTTAACTAGAAATATAGAGGAAGTTACCACATTTTTTTGGTCAATGAAGTTCCCCCATCTTGGGTTAGCTCGTTATTTACAAGAAGATGATTTCATTGATTATATGACCCACTACAAGCCAGCAATACCACAGGCAATGAATGACCCCGATGGGGAAATAATCAAAAGACAAAATGCACAGGAAAGTGGTTGCATTATTTTAATTAAGAAAATCTGGGTTAATAAACCCATCAAATAGGACTATTGTAGTGAATCTCTTGCCCTTCATGGGACCTGAATGAAGGGTTATGATATATTATAATGCTCTTATTTATTATACAAAAGTTTTGGTCTTGTATACACTATCGGTACCTTCTGGACTCGGTTTACTTGACTTGACTTAAGGACATAATATCTGGAATGAAAAACTAAAAGCATATTATATGATTTTTATATTTAATAAAATTTTAAAAGAATACTAATAATAATTTAATATTATATTATAATATTTTTAATTTTTTATAAAAAATAAAAGACTAAATTATCAAAACTAAATAAAATAATTAAATTAGTTATATTTTTTATAAATATAATTTTTATTCTAAAAATACTATGATATTAAATAATAAAATTAGTAATTTATATATTTAATTATACTAATAAAAAATAATATAAATTTTTTGTAACAATTAATATATTTTAAATCTATTATTTATTTTTTATAATAAAAATTAAAAAATATTTTATTTTATTTCTCGGAGGTAGTATAAAATAATATAACTTTTTAAAAATTAAAATATTTTTATTTATAAACTTATTAAATAATTATTTAATTAAATACTGTTCCTAAAGTTGAATATAAAATATTTATCGTGATGAACCAGCGAAGGGTGATTCCTTCTTGAATAATAAATAAATTTTATGTGTAAAATAACGAATGAAAGTAGAAGATACCGTGATCTTGATTTCTTCGCTCTGACAATTCCAAGTCGCTGGCAAATCGGAACGGAAAATGTCTTCCTCTACCAAAAGCTACGATGTGTTCATTAGCTTCCGAGGAGAAGACACACGTGCCAACTTCACCAGTAATCTCCATTCGGCTCTGCAAATTAAGAGTATCCGTACATACATAGACTATGAGCTTAATAGAGGAGATGATGTCGAAGAAGCACTTCCCCAAGCAATCCAAAACTCCGAGATCTCGATCGTCGTTTTCTCGGAAAACTACGCTTCATCGAAATGGTGCTTGAAAGAACTTGTTCAAATTATGAATTGCAGAAATTGTGAGGGGCAAGTTGTTATACCTGTCTTCTACAATATTGACCCATCGCACGTGCGGAACCAAACTGGTAGTTTTGAGAAAGCATTTGCCACACACGTGCAAGATCTCACAAGCAATGAACCCTCACAGATCGAAGACGAAGTTTCTAAGTGGAAAGATGCTCTCCGCAAAGCTGCAAATTTATCTGGCTGGGATTCTCGAACCTTTATGTAAGTATCATTTTTTATTTTTTATTTTAAAAACAGTATATATTTGAGTAAATTAATTTTACACTCCTCGCGTTTAACAAATTTTTTTTTTGTATATTATTTTAATTTCTATTAATTCATATAGCCATATTAGAAATTCATGATAATTTGTGTAATTGAGAATAATAGGCAATGTTTGTTGTTATATAAGATAAGAGATGTTTATATAAGATAAAAAATAAAAGAGAGTCAAATTTCGTTAAACTTTAGAAGATGTGAATGCAATTTGTTCTATATAATATATTTGAGAAAAATTAAATAAAAATAAAATGTATTACGTTGAGATGGAAAAATATTTTATACTCATTTTTATGAAATAATTTCTTATGAGTTACTTTTCCATCTTGTTACTTTTTTCTTATGTTTAATTAGTGAATGCTTTAATTGATGATAACATACATATAAATACTCTGCTCTAATTTATTTATTTTAGTAAATTATTACTTTAGCCTTTAACTTTGTAATTTTTTATTTTTATTTCTAACTTAATGAATACTCCATTTTAGTTATTAAGTTATTAAAAACTCTATCGCATTAGTCTCAATCATTCTTAATGACAAATTAAACCAATGTTGGAGGTTAGACAGTAGATGTCAATGAAGAATTTAAGATAAATTAAAGAGAAGATAACAACTTTTAAGTTTTGTGAGTGGGGTAAAATTGAGTGCAAATTTTAATTAAGAGCACAATTCATTTAATATATCAAGTTGATATTTAATATGCCAGATAAGTAATTTCTTTATTAATGTTGGCTAAATGTAAGGATTAACTTAAAATATATTTGAATAAATTAGGAACTAAAATTATGTCATTATTAAGAAATAATTTACTCTCTATTTTTATTTACTATTTAGGATAACTTTTTAAGAAAGAAATTTGATACACACCTTTCTGATGTATCCAAAAAAAAAGAAAAAACGCACCTTTCCGTAAAGCTTATTTTAATATTAAAAAAATGTTCATTCTCCTAGGACCAAAGGAATCATAATAAAAAAAAATTACTACTACGCATTTACCATGATTTTTAATATATCTTTAATGTTATAATAACATTATAATTAAAAAAATTATTAAAATTGAGTAATACTACACCAAAGTAAAATTAATTCCGCTAATTTAACAATATTTGTTGGATAAAATAAAAACACGCGCATATATATGTTAAAATTAAGTAATGTTACATAAAAGTGGAATTAACCTCCCTAATTTAACAATAATTGTTGCATGAAATAAAACAATATAGACAATTTATCCATGTAAAGGTTAACAGGCCTACCAAATTATTGTATAGAAAAATCTAGATTAATTGTGGCTTACTAACATTTTTCTTCAAATTATAGAGTTTTAGTTTCTTGATTCATTTGTAGGCCTTCATATAACTTAAGCTTTTAAATATACTTTTTTTATGTTAGGTTAAGCGTTTATGTATTCGTAAAATGCTCAAGCTGAGAATAATTTAAAAACAACTTTGGGTCTATCTGAGCCAAGCTCATTTCACCGTAAACTAATTCTAAGGCTTTTTCTTTTTTTTTTCTGTGAACTAAGAAGTAGATCAAAAGACAACATACAAGCCCCTAACAAAGATAGTATCTGTTAGCACGCAGCAAAGTTCAAAAACTTGAACAACTTCATTCTATTGAAGTATTACTTGTTTCTAATACAAATATATAGCATAAGCAAAGCTTGAGGAAACATATCATGTAACCAAGTAAGATGTTTTGCTACAAATAGGAATTATTTTCTTAAGACAGTCCAAAAGTATAGGTCACCATACCTATCTCTTATTTGGCAAAAGAATCTGCAACACCGTTTGCTTCTTGATAGGAATGTTCCAAGATTGTTGCTTCACAATGTTCAGCCAATTTTGTATGACATGATGCACTATATTAGCACAAGGATGGTGTAGTGGAACTTGGAAGGCCTTATTGAATGAACTGGCACGGTCCATTTCCAGAACAATCTTTCAAAAGCCTCTATCCAAAGCCAAGCTCAACCAATAGAAAGTCCTTCATAGTTCCCCCATCATAATAGAGCAAGCACCAGTGTTGGCAGAAAAGCTCACTATGTATGCAGTGAAGTGAGAACATTTTTCGAGTTATTCGACAAAAAGTTGAAGACCTAGGAAAACTAAGCAGCATCAACATATATAATAATAATATATATACCTATGTAAAGCATACATATTGATGTATAATGCCTCTATTCTATGTTAGATCAATGTTGAGGTTGACTAGCACATATTAGAAGTTTCTTTGAATAGCTTGTTCACTTATAGTAATTTAAATCTTCCATTTATATTTCCTTTATATGCTAGGAATGATTCTCAAGTCATACAAAACATTGTAAATGATGTCTTGCAAAAGTTATACCTGAAATACCCTAATGAACTGCAAGGTGTTATTGGAATTGAAAATTACTATGATGAAATAGAACCATTGCTCGAAAATTTTCGAAGAATTGGAATTTGGGGCATGGGTGGAATAGGAAAGACAACCACTGCTAAAACAATATTTTCCAAACACTTCCCCAAATATGATAGTGTATGCTTCTTGTCAAATGTAAGAGAAGAATCACAGAGGCTCGGACTGACATATACACGAGACAAGCTTCTCTCTGAGCTACTAAAGGAACCGATTACAACCTCAAATTTTAGTGGATCTGCATTCATGAGGAGGAGGCTTAGTAGTAAAAAAGTTTTCATTGTACTTGACGACATGGCTAGTTTTCGTGATTTGGATTATTTGTATGGAGAACTTGGTGACTTGGGAAACGGTAGTACACTCATTGTAACAACAAGAGATAAGCATTTGCTTAAAGGAAGAGTTGACAAGATATGTGAGGTCAAGAAACGGAACTTTGAAGAATCTCTAGAGCTTTTTTGCTTAGAAGCCTTCAAGCAAAGCAACCCTAAAAAGGGTTATGAGCATCTCTCAGAAAGGGCAGTTAAATATGCAGGAGGCAATCCATTAGCTCTAAAAGTTTTGGGTTCACATTTTCATTCAAGAAAAATTGAATTTTGGGAATGTGAATTGAGTAATTTTGAGAAGAAGAAGGAATCCTGTGACGAAATTCTTGAAGTGTTACAAGTGAGCTATAATGCATTACGAAACGGAGAGAAGGAAATATTTCTAGATATTGCATTCTTTTTCAAAGACGAAGATGCAGATTTTGTCATAAAGATACTGAATGCTTGTGGTTTCAATGCTACTAGTGGTATAGAAATCCTTCAAGATAAAGCTCTGGTAACTATTTCAACAAGCAACAAAGTACAAATGCATGACTTGCTACAAGAACTGGGTTTGGATATAGTTCGAAAAGAATTTAGTAAAGACCCTGGAAGACGTAGCCGACTGAGGAATATTGAAGAAGTTCGTGATGTACTTAAAAATAACAAGGTGGGAAAAATAAGCCAACCATGTTTGACACATTTTTATATTGAAATTATAACTTCTCTTCTATCAGTTAACTCTTGTGTGATTTTTGTAGGGGACTGATGCAGTTGAAGGAATAACATTAGATTTGTCTGCAAATGTAGATTTGCAATTTACTGCTGATACCTTTAACATGATGTCTAAATTAAGACTTCTTAGATTATATGTTCCCTTGGGTAAGACGAGATTAGCTAATGTTGAACATCCTGAAGTCTTTGACCGGTGTTCTGATGAACTAAGGTACCTTGAGTGGAATGGGTACCCTTTGAAGTCTCTTCCCCAAAATTTTTGTGCTATCTTTCTTGTTGAGATTCGCATGCCGCACAGCAATGTTGAAGAGCTTTGGCAAGGGATGCAGGTAAAGATATATGCTTACAATTTTGACACAACTGACATTAAAAATGAAGATTTTCTATTGTGGATTTCTCATTTTGGATTATTACAGGATCTGATGAATTTAGAGCAAATTGACCTAAGTGAATGCAAAAAGTTGGTGATGCTCCCAGATTTGTCTAGAGCATCAAAACTTAAAACGGTGGTTCTCTCCGGTTGTGAAAGGTTGTGTGTTGTTCATCCATCTCTTTTATCTGTGGACACACTTAAAACTTTGATATTGGATAGGTGCAAAAAATTGAAGAGTCTCAAAAGTAAAAATCATTTTAGATTTTTGGAGGATCTCAGTGTCAACTACTGTTCAAGCCTTGAGGAATTTTCAATATCATCAGAATTAATTAAACAATTGGATTTAAGCACGACAAGTGTAAAAATATTAGACTCAACAATCGGTCGTCTAAGCAAGCTTGAGAAGCTGAATTTAGAAGGTTTACAACTTAAGAATCTTCCAAATGAATTATGTTGTCTAATATCTCTTCATGAGCTTAGGATTTCTAAATGTGGAAGTGTGATTAACAAAGAGATGCTGCATGACCTATGTGATCGCTTAAGACTTTTAAATGTACTACATTTGAAGGAATGTGATAAGTTGTTTGAACTCCCTGACAACATTAGTGAGTTGACATTTTTACATAAAGTAAGTCTCGATGGAAGTAGTATTGAGAGGTTGCCTGAAAGCATCAAACATCTTCCAAGGCTAGAGATTTTGTCCTTACAGAATTGTAGAAAGCTTCAGTTTCTACCTGAGCTTCCACCACTCATCAAAACTCTTAATGTTGGCAATTGTAAATCATTGGTGACCGTATCCCCTACAAAACATTTTTCAGTCCACTTGATCGAAAAGAAATGCGTTTCATTTGAGAATGGAATGAAACTGAGTGAATTTTCACTCTGTTCAATAATGGAAGACGCCTTATTTGTGATGAAAAGTGTGGCATTTCACGATCTGTTAAAAAGATATAATGGTTTTAAAGCCAACAGCAAAGTTGAGGTTTGTTTACCAGGAAATAGTGTCCCACGTACGTTTACATATCGAACCACGGAGTCTTCCATTACCATTGGACTTGCTAATCCTGACCAATTTTCCCACTTGGTAGGCTTGATGTACTCTATTGTTCTTTCTCCATCCCCTTGGATGAAGCATCAAGTTACTTTCATCCGATGTCAATGCTATAGGGCAGATGGTACAAAGGTTGGAAATGCCACTACATGGCAACATAAACCCATCAGGAAATTGAATTCAGACCATGTTTTTCTATGGTATGATTGTTTTCATTGGTACAACATTTTCCAAGGACATGCAAAATTTCTTGTTAGCAAGACACATGTAGAAAATCTGCGTTTTCAGTTCTCTGTTATACCTTATAGAAGGGCAAGTAATGACCAGATCAGTATAAAAGAGTGTGGGATTCACCTAATAGGTTCCTCAAGGTCAGAGTTTTACAATTGCTTATATGAATCAGACATGACATTGGAGTCCAAGATTATGTGTGGGTTGGAATTTGACATAGCACATAGATTTAGGGAAGTGGATTGGAGATTATATTGTGCATTGCGGTATAATGATTTTGCAACAGATGCAGAGGTTAAAAAAGAGCAAGAGTCAAGACGTAGAGCAATGTTATGGGCAACTAAAAAGTTAAATGAAAAAAAAGCATGGTACAAGGACAGCCACTGAATCTAGAATACAAATGGAGTGAAAAATATTCCGTTTCCCATGACTACAAGGTATAGACTTGACTGATGGCTTTCACTTTTCTAGTATATATTGTTTTTTGTTTTCTTGTGACCCTCGTGAATAAATAGCATGCAATTTGGAATATAATGAAAAAACACAAAACAAAATAAAAAAACAACCCCATATAAAATTTATCTATAGAGGAGCAAATAATTCTCTTTTCTGTTTTGCTAATGAAATCAAACATAGTTAATATTGCATTTTTGTGGAAAAAGCACAACAAATTTGATCATACAGATACTTTTACTTTAAAAGTAAAAATTTTCCATTCTAATCTTTTATTAATTAACGAAATCATAAGATTAACAAATAAGAACACCTTGTTCTTGAACAACTTTTTCTTTGTGCACAAATCTCTTCGGGAAACTTGGATTGGAAGGGGCGTCAAAACATTAATGAAACTCACAAATTTCTGCTGTAATAACATGTTACTTTATATTGCAGAGAATCGTCAATTTTTTTTCTTTTGTACTAAAGTATTGTTACTAAGAATTTATTTTTATAACTTTTTTTTGTTCTAGTAATGAAAACAAAAATAGTTAACACTGCATTTTTATTAATCTGACTTTAACACTGCATTTTTATTAATCTAACAATTTGGACTATTTATACTTTTGTTTTTTTTTTTTTAAATAATTGTTCTAATCTTTCGTTATTTTACATAACATTGTACAACATTTTCTTTGAGCAGATATCTTAATGTTCTTCTGAAGATTAATCAGCTATTAGTGAAGCCCACGTTTTTTGGTGCAATGGTGATAATATGATCCAGTTACCAAGGCACAGAAGGAAAGTTAAAGAAAAAGGGAAAAGAAGCTTAAGTACCATTCCTGTGATACAACAGCATAGTAGCATGAAGACGAATTTTCTTATGAAATTCTGTTCTTTTTACGATGTTAACTTAGCAATTTTATTCTTGGCAAATTCTCAAAAGAAAAGTCTTTCGGGATTACTAAAAGTACAACACATCTTTGAAAAATTTTAGGTACTTTTAGTTAGGGTTGAAAATGGGCTAAGATGGGGTTAGTTCAGAAGTTAGATGGATCCGGCCTATTACATACAACTAAAGTTTAAGTTTAAACTTATGACTTAAAATAGGCTAAATTTTTAAGTTTGACTAAACTTTTTTAGAAGCCTAATTTAGTTCAATAGTCTATTTAATAGCATATTTAACAATAATTTTTTTTAATAAAACTAATAATTTAAATTTACTAGACTAATAAGTTAATGAGTTAATAATTAAAAGGCTAGCAAGCCGAAAGACTTATTATTAGTAAAATAAAAAATATATAATAAGTAATTATATTTAAATATTATATTTAGTAAAAAAAAATATAAATGACATCACAAATATTATATCTCAAAATAATCATATTCAATAACTCCATAAAATATTATATCTTAAATAATCTAAAAAGGTAACATATCCATATTATGTAATATCAAATATCAAACTAATAATTAAGATATTTATTACGAAAAGAAAATAAAAAATAAGACTAGAACATATAACTCAATAAACACTTATCTGAGCCATTGAATAAGATATCAAATCTTTAACGTGATTACTTCAAGTTATGCATCTACCTTAAATACTCTAATAGTATAATTATAATTATTATATTATTAAAATATAAATATTAAACTATATTATATATTATATTATATATATAATTTTTTTAGATAATTATATTTATATTAAATTATTATAAAATAATATAATTATTTAATTAGCCTGGTTTAATAGGTCTGAAAGATTTTTTTAAAAGTTTAAACTTGTCCTTTTTATTTAAATAAACTTTTTAAAAGATTAAGTCTAAGATTTTTAATAAATAAGCTGAACCAAGTAAAGTTAAGCCTAAAATAGACTAAGCCATGAGCCTTTAACAAGCTTGTTCTTATCCCTATTTGTATTCTTCTTCTGAAATGTAAACGCATTTACTTTACTTACAAGAAGATAATTTCATTGATGACATGACCCACTGCAAGGTAGCAATACCACATTTTGATTGAAGATATTAATTATCAGCTGGACTTGTTGAAAATAAATACAACACGGAGCTCCGTCGTGATTAAAATCACCATATTACTTGTCTCAAATCACCAATAAAACAAATAGGAATAATAGTAATTTAATACACTTGAATTGTCATTATACCAACACTAGTAACCTTAGCCTTAATGTGCAGGCAAAATCATCAACAAATCTAGACCAAAATTAAGATGATTCACCCTCATATTTTTGAGGTGATCTCATTTTTTAGCATCATCTCTGTTCATAACTATGAGCAGAACATTTCCTAGTCATTTCTTTCTTTCATCGATTCCGTTCTGGTCGAAGGAACCCAAAGAAAAACAATTATTTCTCCTAATTCAATGTCAATTTTGACAAAGTATATCTCTTCCCAAACTCTACACGCTTGATTCATATCATTTAGAATTTTTTGTACACCTATGCAATTCCCGACTAAAATACTCTTCAAAATTTTATTTATTTAATTTTAAGAGAATAAATATTTATTTTTAATTAATAAAATTTGTTAAATTGAAAAAAAACCATATATATAGTTATTATTAAATTTTCATTTAAAAATTATTTTAATTTAAGAATAGCAATTCGAAGAACGCGTAAGCTTTTGTTCATGTTCCTGGAAATCTCGTGGCACCTTCCTGCAACCTGGGGGCTATTTTTTTGCATGGAAAAAACATTAAAACACTAAATTATGAAATTTTGAAAAAAAAATTATGAAAATGTGAAAACTTTTCAAAATTTGCAACAATTAGTAAAATTATTTGTTATTGACAATTTTTGCTTTTAGCTATTTCACGTCTCTCAATCTCATGTTATTTTTAAATATTATATATATATATATATATATATATATATATATATATATATATATATATATATAAACCAACTTGGAACTGGGGGGGTTTATTATATATACAAAAGAAGTAGTTCGCGTTGTGCTTTTCTTTGTCGGAACGAAATGATGTGTTCCTCTGCAGGTGTTGGAGGATATCATAGAAGGTACGATGTATTCATTAGCTTCAGAGGAGAAGACACAAGGACCAACTTCATTAGCCATCTCCATAGTGCTCTCATAAACAAAAAGATTCGTGTTTACAGAGACTATGATATTAATAGAGGAGATGATGTTTGGCCTTCACTTGCGAAAGCGATATCGGACTCCCATATATCGCTTGTTGTTTTCTCACAAAACTATGCCTCTTCAAAATGGTGCTTGCAAGAACTGGTGAAGATAATGGAATGCAGAAGAGAACATGGACAAGTTGTTATACCAGTGTTCTACCAAATTGATCCATCACACGTGCGGAAGCAGACAGGGAGCTACGAGAAAGCATTCGCACAACACGATCAAGATCGATCCAACCAACTCACAGGGTGCTGTTGGAGAGATGCTCTCACTCAAGCTGCCAGTATTGCTGGATGGGACTCTCGAACCCAAAAGTATTTATATTTTGAGAATTTAGATCCCCACTTTAGACTATATTGACAAATTCTAAAACTTCCATTATAATAAAATTAAGGCACGAGTGTACTTCTTTTAATATTTAGCCAAACAATGAAAACTAACAAAATATGAGGGGGCTTAAACTTATATGATCTTAGCTTAATTGATATTGCTAGATTATATTTTATGAAGATTAACATATGTTTCATCAAGTGTCATAGATATGTGAATATTTAGAAGATTCTTTAATTGGGTCTGTCCATGTGTCATAAAAATATCTCCTTATGAATCGTTTACTTTTTTTTATGCTAGGGACGATTCTGAAGTCATCCAAAACATTGTCAATGATGTTTTGCAGAAGCTATACCCGCAATACACTATTGAATTGAAAGGCATAGTTGGAATCGAGGAAACATGTAAACACCTTGAATCATTACTGAAAAAGGTTCGGGTAATTGGAATTTGGGGTATAGGTGGGGTAGGTAAGACAACTATTGCTAAAGCTTTATTTGCCAAACTCTTTCTCCAGTATGACAATGCTTGTTTCTTGGAAAATGTAAGAGAAGAATCAAAAAGGGTAGGACTAAAATCCTTACATGATAAGCTTGTTTCTGAGCTACTAAAGGGAGAAAATCCCGTATCTAGTGTTGTAGGATCCACTTTCTTGATGAGCATACTCAGTAGTAAACGAGTGTTCATTGTACTGGATGATGTAGATCATTTTGAGCAATTAGAATATTTGTGTGGAGAACATAGTGGTCTTGGAGAAGGTATCAGACTTATTATAACAACAAGAGATAAGCATTTACTTAGTGGAAGAGTTGATAAGATATATGAGATCAAGGAATGGAAGTACAAAGAATCTCTAGAGCTTTTGTGCTTAAATGCCTTCAAGCAAGGGCATCCTCAAATGGGATATGAAGGTCTCTCAGATAGGGCAGTGCATTATGCAGGGGGCATTCCGTTAGCTTTAAAAGTTTTGGGTTTGCATCTCTACTCTAGAAGCCGAGAATTTTGGGAATGTACATTGAGAAAACTCGAAAAGCATCCCAATGAGGATATTTTGAACGTGTTAAAAGTGAGTTATGATGGATTAGATGATCTAGAAAAGAAAATATTTCTAGACATCTCATTCTTTCTCAATATGAGAGGCAAAAATGAAGTCATAAAGATACTTGATGCTTCTGGTTTCTATGCAGCTAGTGGAATACAAGTCCTTGAAGATAAAGCTCTGATAACTGTTGGACTTGGCAATAGAATACTAATGCATGATTTGTTACAAGATATGGGTTTGGAAATAGTTCGTCAAGAATGTAAGGAAAACCCAGAAAGACGTAGCCGGTTGATGGGTAATGAAGCTTATGATGTGCTTAAAAATAAGAAGGTAAGGAAAAGATTCACCAACCAATTTTCAAACAAACTTTGTTATGAAATTGTATTTAATTTGATACTGTTTACTTATTGGCTGTTTTGGCAGGGAACTGCTGCAGTTGAAGGAATAACATTAGATTGGTTTCCAATAGATTTTCAATTTAGAGCTAACACATTCAACGGGATGACTAAATTGAGATTTCTTCAATTATACACTCCCTCTAGTGAGAGATCCCATACTGTGCATCATCATACCGTTCTTGATGCAGTTTCTGATGAATTGAGGTACCTTGAGTGGATTGGATTTCCTTTTAAGTCTCTTCCACAAACTTTTTGTGCTAAGTTTCTTGTTGAGATCTACATGCCTCACAGCAACGTTGAAGAACTTTGGCATGGAGTGCAAGTAAGGATAATATATATATATGTGTGTGTGTGTGTGTGTGTATGAGAATTTTCCATTCTGATGTTGTCCCATTTAAATTGTTACAGGATCTTGTGAATTTAGAGTTAATTGATCTAAGTGAATGCAAACAGCTGATGAAGCTCCCGGATTTGTCTAGAGCTTCAAAACTTACAACGGTGTATCTCTCCGGTTGTGAAAGTTTGTGCGTTGTTCATTCATCCCTTTTATCTTTGGAAACACTTGTTCATTTGAGGCTGAACAGGTGCAAAAAACTCAAGAGTCTTAAAGTTGAAAAACATTTGGGAATTCTGCAGGATCTCTATGTCAATGGTTGTTCGAGCCTCACAGAATTTTCAGTGTCATCTGAGCTAATGAAATGGTTGGATTTAAGCCAGACAGGAATCAAAATATTGCACTCATCAATCGGTCGTCTAAGCAATCTATTGTCACTAAATCTTGAAGGTTTAAGACTTGAGAATCTTCCGAACGAGTTATCTTGCTTGACTTCTCTTAAGAGGCTTAAGATTTCTAAGAACGGACTAGTAATTAACAAAGAGAAGCTACATGTCCTGTGTGATGGCTTGGTATCTTTAAGAAGACTACAATTGAAGGATTGTTATGCGTTATCTGAACTTCCTGATAACATCATCAACTTATCATTGTTACGAGTACTAATTCTCGATGGAAGCAGCATTGAGAGGTTGCCTTCAAACATCAAACATCTTCTAGAACTACGGATTCTGTCCTTAGAGAATTGTAGGAAGCTTCAGTTTCTACCTGAGCTTCCATCATCCATCCTACAGCTTCATGTCAACAACTGTACCTCATTGGCTATGGTATCCAATTTAAGGACATTTTCAACAGATAAGGAAGATAAGCAGTGGAGCATTTCCTTCAAGAATGGAACAAAATTGAATGAATATTCACTCATCTGCATTATGGAAGACATCCATTTCACAATGGCAATGGCTGCATTTAACAATGAATTACAAAGAAGGTTTGGTAACAATCCTGAGGATTATTTTTACAGTAGTGTTGATGTTTGTTTACCAGGAAGTAATGTCCCAAGGATGTTCACTTATCGATCCACAGAGTCTTCACTTGCCATTGAACTTCCTGGTTATGACAAACGTTCCAACTTAATAGGCTTGTTTTACTCTATGGTTCTTTCTCCATCCGATAACATGGTGCTGCAGCATGGAGCTAAAGTCCAAGGTCAATGCTATCAGGCAAATGGTACAGCTGTTGGATACCCAGTTACATGGTCTCTCAAAGCCATTAGTAAATTGAATTCAGATCATGTTTTTGTACGGTATGATCCATTCCAATCTAACTTCATTCGTGACTGTTCTGAACAAAATCTTTATTTTAAGTTCTATGTTACAACTGCTAGTGGAGAATGTGATGATCTGATCAGTGTCAAAGAGTGTGGACTCCACCTACTGTGTTGTTCAGACTCACAGTTTCACAGTTTATTATCAGAATTAGACACAGAGCAAAACCAACTTGGGAACAGAATGAATGGCAGACTGTTAGATGCATTGAAGTTGTAAGAGTTACTGAGATCGGAGGTTGAATCATCACAAAGCCATTTTAACAGCAATTGAAAAGAGACATTGAAAGAAATCTAATGAATTGATATTCCCTCCCCTTCCCAAGATTGCTTAGTTAAAAGGTACCAAATCACCCTCTCTTTTCATATATATCTCTAAGCCTTCTAATTAAAAGTTTATATAATGTAGATCCTATACTAAATTATCATATCTCTAATTGTTTTATCATAGACTTGGCTCCCTTCTCATGCCTAGAATTGCAACTTTTGACATCTTGAAAAACAATAAAGCATGAGAGAAAATTAAGTTTATTGATGAGTTACTAACTTATCTAGAAAATTAATGATTTTTAGCATATTTCATTGAATTTAAATTATAAGTTAATGCAATTAATTGAGAAATTCAATGGAATGTTGTAAGTGCTGAAAAATAGATGAATCAATTATATTCTGATGGCTGACAGTTTAATTTTGAAGGGAGTTAAAAGAAATTGGCACTTTGGACTTGAGGAGCTGAAGTTGTGTGTTCCAGGACACTTTTGTGGGGGAACACAATGCTGACTGAGCATATAAAAGCAAAAAATTTCTGAAAAAGCAGCATCTTGACATTTTTATCTTTCTTTTTTTAGAACATTCTGGAACGCAGAAACTTAAGTTTTTACATACAGTTTACATAGAATATGGTAGTTAGGATATTGTCTTTACATCTTTGCTTGAAAATTCTTATGAGAACTTGAATTTTATCTCATTTTCTCTGGTTTATGTAATAGAACAATAACTTTTTCATTTCATCCACTTGTTGTAAGCTCTTCTGTAAACATGAATTCAGTATTTGTAATATATTTCAGTTTTATATTATCTCCTTACATTATGTCTAGCTAGATATCTTTGGGTTAAGTGAGGACTAACTTATACCTTTGTCTTTTGCAATGAACTAACATTCGATATAGTTCAAGATACATGCTTTATTCTAACATTTTGATTCTGAACATAGTGTCTGTCTGTTCTACGTGAATGAGGTCGATGAAAAAGAGTTTATTGCTGGAAAGTAGTAAGCTTTCTTGAATAAGGATTAATTTGTTCATTATAAATTATCTAGAAATAAAAATTTATGATGATGTAATTAATGGGTTTAATTCTTAATGCTAAATATTTTTAGTTATATCTAAAGAATTAGGACACTAATTTCATTTTAGAATCAATTATCAAAAAATTGGAGTTGGATATTTTAAAAAATTTGATCATTAGACAAGTTGTGTTTTGAGTTATAAATATATTTGTATGCAAAGAAAAAAGAATAAGAGATTATGAACTCAACCTGTCTTTTAATTGTGTTTAGACCCACTAATTAAGACATTTAAATTCTACAATTATTCTAAATTTACTTTCTGCAGTTATTTTATTTATTGTTTCAAGTTTAATTCTATTTTTACAATTCTACACTTATTTAATTTTCATGTTGCTTATATATATATATATATATATATATATATATATATATATATATATATATATATGTGTGTGTGTGTGTATATATATTTGTGTGTTTAACTGAAAAATTAACTATAACATTAAAGGGTAGAAAACGCTTCCCCATCTCCTCACCTGAAGAGGGTAACTTTAAGGTTCCTAGTCCTTAGTTTCCAATATAATTAAGCTATAATATCATAGTTGGCTTATCTTTTTAACCTTTGAAATATTTCTTTGTACTGTCAATTTTCCATTCACATTTTTTCATTTATCATTATAGGGAACCTTCTATCTTAATGATACGCAGCACTTGTCAGATATGCATCATGCTATGTATATATGTGAGTTGAATTCCTTATTGCCGTCTGATCCCAATTGAACTTTCTTACCCTTTCTGCTTGTAAAAGTAACTTGTTCATGTCAAGAATTCCATTATAAAATTCTTTTCGTTTTGCTATGCTTAATAAACAATTTTAGATTTAGAATTCTTACAGACGTTACATATGTAACATATAACTTTGTTCATTCACCGTTTCTTCTTGCCTCTTCTCCAGTTATCCAGTGATTGGGAATCACATTTCTAATTTGTTGCCGAATTCTCTAAGAAAATTCTTTCTAGATAACCAAGAGATAGCAAATCTCGGATTAGCTATTTTTGCTTCACAAGAAGAGAATTTCATTGCTAACTAATGGCCATATTGACCATTGGGAACATGAATTACAGGAATCAAAAGATAAAATTTACTGGTATACATTATTTTAATTGACGAAGTGGGTTTTCAAAACCAAGAGATAGGACTGTTATAGTGAATCTCTCACATTACACGTGACTTGATGAAGGGTTAACGATATATCAGATTGAGATAATTGTGGACTAAATGGTAGTTTTGTATAGTATGCAAATATATAGAGGTTTTGATACTATATTCGATATTAGTGTTGTTATTATTCAAAAGTTGAACAACGTTGGTCTTTTGGTGTATACTTTTAAACTCGGAGATATTTCAAATATATTTCTCTATATTATTAGTGTCCTTAAATTCTTGTAGTTATTTTGGAAAGTAGAAATCATTTAAATTTGTATAAGGCAACTTCTTGCTGTAGCTGATGACATATTGCTAACTTTTAGCAGATGTTGGACTATATTTGGTAGGTTAGTTTAAGTGCAGCAAATTAGTGTGGAACAACTGATCCAATCACATCCGCTTACCTAATTTACTCGTAAATATATCCTTAATTGTTCCCTTGTATAGACAAATTAACTTTATCTTAATTATTTATTTCTTTATTTTGGCAAATCAGTTAATTAAATCTTTAAGTGGCTAACGTGGGTTAATCCTAGTCGGGAATAGGACTAGATCAAACTTAGCGTTGGTAATTATTACTTAATTCAGTTGTTCCCTCATACTCTGCATCAGCATACGTGGAATGAATCAAGTCTGCACAAAAGTCAGAAGTGTGGTTTTTTAAATAGTATATATAGCTTCTAGCCAAGCAATTACTTAGCTAATAGTTAAGTTGAAAAATTCATACACCATCCGTAAGGAAATTAGGGATAAAGCTCTGATAACTATAACGTACGTAGTATACAAATGCATGATTTGTGTAAAAAAAAAGGTTAAGAATAGTTCGTAAAGAATGTATAACAAATATCCTGGAAGACATATAGCCATTTAAGGGGTAATGGGTTATACAAACTTGATCAGTTAATCCTGGAAACCAAATCTTAACCGTGACACGAATATTACATTATAGAGCTTGCTTTGTTTTTTCCCCCATGCTTGTTTATTTTGGATTAATAACTTCTTCCCTGAATTTCACAAATAATAACTGAGATACAGGAGGAAAAATTGTCAGCAAAATGGTATGGTGCTCATGACTCAATAACTCACAAAGTAGGGGATTAAACAACTCTCATTAACAGACAAAATATATACTCAAATATGAGTAGCTAATTTTCTGTGTATGAAAGCATCATTTTAAAAGGGTTCTTGTCAAATGTTCTCTGGCTGTAGCCCAAGCTTGAGTTAGTGTCTGCAATATCAGAAACTCATTGTCAGGTGCCACTGTTATGCTAAAAATTTAATCCATCAAAAAGTCCAAATTGATTCAAAATAGAGCTTCCAAAAATGGCTTATAAAAATTAATGTTAAGGGATATGTAAGTTTGAGGAATAACCAAGCCACATTTGGTCTATTGCAAGTTATGTGCGTTTGAATAGAAAGCATATATTACTAACGGAAACCAAGCTGAAGTAGAGTTGCATTACCTGCTCCGATAAGGGGGCATCAGCATCAAAGCTATGAGAGGTCACTTTTTCAGCAATAAGAGGTCCATTTGTTTCAAGTATCATCCTGTAAGGTAAAAAATAAATAGCATAAAGCAAATGAACTAAACATTTACAAGAAAGAAAAGTTGTGGCTAAGAAATACATGCATACCCTCCATCAACTATTTCATCAAGACATAAGAGAATGAGATCCAAGTTCTCAAGTGCCTCTCTTTTGTCAACGTTGTTCCTGTAAAAGGCACATAAAGGAATAAGCAAAGCAGATCAAGTCGAATAAAGGCACATCTGCTTTTAAATTCAGATAGTAAATACAGCCAAAAACACCTCAACAGAAGGGTGACTGCATCAAAGAAACCTTGAAGAACTGATGCTAAAATGAGCTCATTTTCATCATCACCACCGGTGACAAAGAAATGCAGGTCTTGTACAAATTTGTAAATGATGACATTGTTGTCAAGTAGTGTTACCTCGGCTGCAGATAATTGTAAACAATGTATCAGTTTCAAAAGAAACAAGATAAACATGAATAATACTGACAATAATAACATACTATCATTAGTATGGTAAGATGAAAAGTGCTTTCGTTGAATTGTCAGTTCCATGTTCCCATTATACATTGGAAATCAGTATAATAAACTCCTGTTACTGTTTACTGCCACTAGTGACAGGGTAATCAACTTCTCAATCTTACTGTTTATCAATTAACATCAAAGGGACAAACCAAAATACTACATGTTCAGTAGCATGGATGACCTGCATTAAAAATTTGATACATTAAAAAAATGGCTTTCTGCAAAGCATTGTTTTAATGGCTAAAATAATAGAAAGGATGTCTAAATTTTATACTTAGAGCACTTGAAATTTCAAGCATTGTCAGAGAGGAATGCACAACTGAGTAAAGAATGGCCCAACCTATTTCTGAACTTGACGTGCAGGAGACAGGAATGCCAACTCATAAGAATGTTAGAAAAGAAATAATTCAATTTTTTAGTATACTGAAGCAGACACAGATTGATGTGACTATGCTGAGACACAATATCCACTTTCATCCATGATACAAAAGGTCACAAAAACTCTTCAATTTATTATTTAGTCGAAGGCCTATGCCTAACGTTATGACTTATATTTTAATGAGGTTAAGAAATTAGCTCTAGTGAGAATAAATGGAATTCTTGGCATAAATGCCAGCAAATAGAAGCTCTTAAAGACCAAACCAAAATGCATAATAAAGTAATCAATAAACAAAATTACAAATCCATTACATCAAGAATCATGGTTAGATTGATAAAGCAAGCCACCGATCCCCAGCATCTAATCCAAAATAAGGTAACTTCACAGATGAAATTATTGTCGAACTCTGCTGCTTACCTTCTGTCCGAGCATTAGTCTTAACAGTCTTACTAAATACAAACTTCTCAAAAGCTAACTTTGCATTGTTTGTTGGCCAGTCATCTGAATAATACTTGACTGCCACACGCTTCCCTTCAGAGTCTAAAAGAAGAATATTTTTTATTGAAGGACACAAACCCTACAAATGTGGCGATATTGCAACAAGTCATTAAGGAGCACTGTATGATATTTATCACAAATAGCACAAATATTGGAAACCTCTCCCCAACCGCCCTAAAAAGTTGGCAAAATTGTTGAACATAAAAGCAAATGCAAGCAGAATGCGTGCAACATGGCTCATTGATTTTAACACACCATTCAAAGAAAAACTTGTAATCAGCATTTTTCTTTTTGTTAGTTCCCACTCCCAACTAAGTTGAAATATCAGCAGAACTGCTGATTATGTCATTTGACATTGGAAAACGCACTAAAAATCCCCCAATTCAAATAACAGGTTTTCAATACAGGTAATCACAGCCAACATATAGTAAAAAGAGTATTTCCTTCATACAGTTAGTTCAAATATGTTTTTCAGCACATTCACTAAACCCATCAACAAAATCATACATTTCTGTCGGAAAGTTTATTAGCGTCACGAACATACACACAGAAGGCAAATGATCTAAACAGATCTGAAATGATATAAAACAAGTATCTCAAATTTAGACATCCATTCGCAGGTATATCATTATTCAAACTCCAGATCACTTGATGATCCAACCAGCAGAAACAAAATAAGATTTTATCCATTTCGTATATCTTCCTGAATCTATCGTTTTTAGCTATTAAATTGTGATATGGGTGCACAACAGGTTGATATTTGACATGAAGATTCTTTAGAAGGAAAAGAGACTTACTTGAGAAGCCATGTCTGAAAAGAGAAGAGTGAAGTTTTTGCCAGCGCTCTGAAGTTCTGAAGATCTGCGATGTGAGGGAGGGAACAAGGAATTATCAACTACTGTTACAGGAGAAGGGCAATTTGGTAAATAACAAATGCTTCCCTTTAACGACAATGGCAGCTATAAAAAGTGGATCAAATATTAACACTCAACACTCTCACGGTTCACAAAACCCGAACTAAAACTAAAACTGATATTTTTAAGGTTTGGATATTGTTGTAATTTTGTAAAACTAATATTTACATTGCATAGTTATATTTTAACGGCTTCAAATAAAGTTTTTGACAGTAAAAAATTATTTTATTTTATTTTTTTAACGTGAGTCTAAAGACATATACGTGTTGGATGTTAAAATTTGAATTTCTTTTGTTAAAAACAAATATTTGTTACTTTAAAATTATAAAAAATTAAAGGCATGTTTTTTTATAATAATTTTAAATATTTAATAAGATATATTTAGTTTTTTTTTAATATGTATTTTTAAGAACACGTTAAAAAAATTATTTTTTAACAAAAAAATTGAAATACTATTATTTTTAAGTTTTGTTAGTATTATGTATTAATTAAGATTAATACTTCATTTTAATAAAATATTTATATTTAATTTTATCTCATACTACTGAATAAATTTTTATTTTTATTGACCGGGAACACAAATAACACTTATATCTTAGTTTTTATAAATAAATGCCCAAAAATGTAGGAACAAGTTACAATGCATGAAAATAGACTGCATTATGCATTATAGTAATGATAGCTAGGAGACCGGATTTTGAAAGGGATCTTACACTTATAGTACCTTTTGTTTATATTTGGATCACATTTTAAGGAACTGACTCAAACATATAACATGTAATTTTTATAATTTTTAATTAATAATAAATTATATTATAAAAACGTGTTACTAATATTACACATAAGCACAGATAATACGAATTTATAAGTTTTTTTAAAAGATAATAAATTTGACATATTAATGATATAAAATGTTATATAAAATTTCATTACTTATTATTGATATTTTTAATGTATATTAAGATATATAGTAATAAATAAATAAATAAATTTTATTGAAAAATATAACATTTAATATTATTAATGAATTTAACAACATGATGTGATTTTTAATAAATAAAAAAACATCTATGACACTTTGAAAAATGATTTTATTATTTACCCAAAAAAGTGTTATGTGTAATATCTAGTGATCACTGTATGCAGGTATCAGTATTAATTACTTGTTGATGTGCAGCTTTTGGTATTCACGCTTCATGGGTTGATAGCTTCGTTTGTTGTGCATGGTTAAGGTGGGAATAGTATTGGACTCTTGGCTATAAACTTGTATTCAAAGCAGAAAGGGTGTGTTAGAGAACAAAAACATAATTATTCTAAACGAATGTGAGAGAGTGAATATTAACCTATGACTAATTTGGTGAATGATGACTCACTTGACACTGTGTTATTGGTTGCCACCTCTGGTTTTGCTCTACATTGTCTCTACTTTAACTGGGCTCATTTTTTTCTAACTAAGGAAACCATAGGACTAGGACTAGGTAAAATTCTAGAATGGCCAATTAATTGTGTGCTTTATTGTAAGAAAAATTGTTATTGTTAGTCTTTAAGACCGAATTATTATTATTATTATTATTATTAAATCAATACTAAAAATTAAAATTAACAAACTTTTTAATGTAATTGTATCTTTTTATAATATACAAGAGAATTAATTTCACATAGTTTTCTTACAATAGAATTAATGTATTAAATTTTTTTTAAAAAATACTAACAAAAATTAGTTTGAGTTTTAAGTGACTCAATATCATTTAAGTAAAATTTTGGAATTAAATTTTTGTATATACAAAATATATTCATTGATAAACTCACTCATCACATTAAAGTATGTAGCCTAGATTGGATCTGAATTAAATTAAATAGAAAACAAAAAAGAAAGTTTAAATTATTTTTTTAACATTATGGATGCTTTATAAATAAATACTTCATTTTTAAAAAATAAGTTAACTAATGGATGGATGAAGACTAAAGAGTGCAAAGATTTTTCCTAAAATGTGAACATCACTCTAAAATTTTATTTAATAATGAATAAAAATTATAATAGATGTATGACATTTTATTAATTTATATAAATAAGTCATATTATATATATATATATATATATATATATATATATTATTTTTTTTCATTACGAGTCTCGTACAAAAATTGAGAGGCTTTGCTTTTAATACTTCATATTATAATTGACGTTAACATTTTTAAAAGTTAAAAAAATAAAAATAGTGATGTGTCCATCCACATGGAAATGAACTCATATCGGGTAAACTGATGAATAAATTATTTTTTAATTAGAAACCTAATAATAAATATTTAACATGCAGAAAAGTGTTGAAGTCATGAACATGTTTGATACCACCAACTTCAAACAACTATATTATGTTTAGATGGTTGGAGCACTTTGTTTTCATTAGATTAGCATATGAGATTTATCTGATGGCATTAATGGTCATCATAATGATGACTTACTAAAATTCTTTCAATATGACATTTTTCACAAACTACAAAGAGATACTAAATATGAACTTGAGGTGGATATCAGAACAACAATATTGAATGGATTTAAACAGTGTTCATGGGCTGTAGAAGGAAGGACCACACTTGCATTTCCAGCTCTCAGGCTCATAATTTGCATACTGGATGCTCAAATGGCTGTGCCTGCTGCTTGTATTGGGCACTTGGATGGCTTCACATGGAACACAACCATAGCACTTGTGCTCACAACTTGGTGGACTAGACCCTATTTTGCTCACTCTATCATGTGCCTCCTGCATTGTCTCTGACCCATCTTGTATGCCCATAAAACCCTTTAACATATAGGGAAAATAAACACAGTACAACAACACATTAGTCACTAGGACACCAATGAGACCCTCCTAGCAGCTCCAAACATGCACATGAATAAACACATACCTTTCTTGATTCTATAGTGTATGGTGGTGAAGATTGTAAAGCCTCTTCTTGGGCTGGAAAGAAGGGTGAGAAGAGTTAACATAGGAACAAAAAAAGGAAGCCTAACAATAGTCTAAGAAAAATGTTCACTGAACTCTCAGGGTAGACAAGGACAAGCACTTAAAATCCCATTTTCCTGTTACAAATGTTTGAAAAGTTTTAGAGGAATGTCACTGCCAATTAAGTAAGTTGAAGGTTGAAGCTGAGGCATGATGAGCCCATAATTGCAAGAAAAAATCTAGCTCTAGCAAGTAATAGAAAGAAGCCAAACTTCAAAATAGTCTTTTTATACTGTAACTAACCTGCGAGAAACGGCCTTCTTGCTGCAGAAACAAGACTCGCTATTTGCAAAGCTAGCAGAAGACAAATGTATCTTCCCTTCATTTTTCTTTCTTCAAAAGCTCAAATGATGAATGTGATGATCTTTTTATGCTTATAGCAATGTTTGTGATGAAGTTTGTTGTTGATGGCAATGTTTGTGAGAGAGGTGGCAGATTTGAATCACTCAGAATAAGTGGCTAGGCATGATTGGTGGAATATATGAAGGGACCAAAGGGGCTTGCAAGCTGCAAATCCCAAAAAGCAGGCCAGGACCTCCAAACATTCTAAGGATACTCTTTAAAACCTTTGAATTGGCCGAGAGATTTTGCTTCACAAGCAAGTGATTCAGGTTTCTTGTCACACAGTTAAAAACCTCAGCAATTTTCAACTTCATTTGACAACTCACTAGAAACTTCAAAGACTAGTCTTTTTTCCACTGTCTTTCCGCCTCTAACCTTGGATAACTTACCTTTCAATACAAGCCAAAGCTTTCTCTCTCAAATCAATCTAAATTGGTAGTACTATATATGATGGTCCACAAATTCAGAATAACAGCACCCTTTTTGGGCCTGATTGTCTGAAGCACCTGCAAGACCCTTATAAATATCAGATATTTTATTGACCAAAAATTTATATGTATATCAGATATTTCAGATTTCATCATTTTCTTTAATAAAAAACTTTGACATATATACCACACACTTACACAGGCTTTCCCTTTTTCTGATGCTTTCTTTGCCATATGGGGAAGAAAGAAATCAACAACAGAATGCCAGTTATATGAAGCATCAGCTTCTGAGCATTCAGTTCTGCAGGAAAGAAAATTTAATGAGTTAGTTAAAGAATTAAATAAGGTACTATTCTCAACTTTCTATAGGTTGGTTGTTGGAGAACATACAAGTCTCATCAGTAACATCCAATCTGGGCTATTCCTTTACTGGTTGGCATTGAATTTGGGTGTCCCTCCTCGCCTGCTGGATATTTACCACATTCAATGAAGAGCATATTCCGGTTACATCATTTATTACAGTTCAAAAGGCACCATGGATAAAAGTGCACCAAACAAGTTATGCACAAACACAAAATTTAGGTGCAGTTTCTTAAGTTTAGTGTTGTTCATTAATTAAATATAAATATTTTATTAAAATAAAACATTTTAATCGGTAAACAATACTAATAGCGCCTACACAAATTTTGTCCTATTCGCAATTATATGAGGTTAGAAAACATAAAGCGTTCAGTGAACTAAATAGATGAAGTATTGCTTATATATTACTCTTCCCTTGTTTCTGCTGACCATATCAGACACTATAAAGTTGCCATTGATATATTCTAATTGACAACAGTCAGTGCAGTTTGTGTGATAATAAGTTAGCAAGCGTTTCACAGAGATAAGCAATATAAGAGATAAGATCGGTGATGTTGTATAAACTGTAAAGGAGTTAGAGTTAAAGCCTCAAATTAGTGCCTCAGATTATTTATGCAGATGATTTTAGTCTTCAAAATTTTTAAAATCCTTCATTGGTCCCTAATTTTGCAAAATAACATTTACTTTAATTTTTAGTGCAAAATGATAGTAAAAAATAAAATAAAAAAGGCTAAAATAAATAAACTTTTATAAAGTCACAAATATTATTCATAAACATTCAATTAGTAACAACCCTCATTTAACATTCTTTATCTCTTTCTTTCTCTCCCTTTCTATTATATCGTGTACTTATTACATCTATTACACCTTTATGTAAAACAAATTATAAAGGGTAGTCAAAATGACATGAATAGATCATCAATCAGATTAAAAGGCAATCAGGGAATGGCACGGCTAAACAACAAATGCAACTATATATACACTTCTCTATAAGGTGGTGTACACTATTGTCTGGTAATTATTACTTGCAGTTGTAGGACAGCTGAGTGATTTGAGTAAAAGGATATTTCATATGTTGATGTGCTATAGTCAAGGAAGCTGATGTTATCAACCTACTAACCTACCAGACAGTTGCCAAGAAAGTTAAAGAAAAAGCCCCTCCCTAGTAATAATATAGAGTTTAGGGTTGCTGAAAGGAGATAAGACTCAAGAAAAAAACAACGAGGGATTAAAAAAAGACAAGTGTTACGGGTTGAGTTGGATCCTGTGCACGAATGTTTGCTATGGTAGTGACTTTAACTGGGAAATGAAATCATAAAGGCAACATTTAAATAGGTTTTAAAGTGTTTAATAAAACATAAACTCTGCTTAGATTTGTGTATAAAGTGTAAAGCTTTTTTTTTCTCTTGTGCTCTATTTCTCCAAAAAAATAAAAAACTTAGGATTGCGCGTGGCAAAAGATTTAGGAACTAAACAAATAAAGCAAAGATTGAGCATATATTCACTTTTGCATCATTCAACGTGGAAATTAGTTCTTGTAAGGATTGCCATATATTTACAAATTTTTTTATGTAGCCTATAGGATGAGCAAAATCTTACCAAATAATGAAGGAACAGCAGCAGTCATTGCATTATCAAGGTGGCCAGTAAGAAGTTTAAGACTGCTGTGTATATAATCATTAAAATAAAAACTCATCTTATGTACCACATCCAAGGCAAAGGCATAACATCCGAAAAGTGGAGAGACCAGTCCATATATTCTTGAAGGTCATGCATAAGAAGAAAACCTTCCTAGGATTAATCAATAACTTGAGCCACTGTATCCCCGACTTAAATGGCATCAAAATACCCCTGCTCCATCAACGATACAAAACTTGAATCGAGAACCATAATCAAGATTTAAATTTGGGGTTGTAAGATTTAAATTTGGATCAGCAAAGATGTAGATTGGCAAGAGTTAACATACACAAAAACACATAGAACTAACCATGCGAATTGAATGTAATTAAACACCAATATTAGAATAATTGAATCCCAAATGAAATTCCATTTACAGGTGACATGAAGATAAACGCGTTGTTCGTACAAAATCAGCCGCCAATAAGTAATAGGAAACATAGTGAAGTTATTGATCACAATCTACCGTAGAACTTTCACATTGATAATGAACAAGTCCAGGGATAGTTTTTCTTTTTCGGAACAAAGGATTTACCATTCAAATATACTATTAAAACAGAAGAAAAATTTACTATTCATATCTAAAGGAAACAACAACACAGGAAAAATCAATAGACAAAGCAAACATGGAAGTTTTAACTCTTCGGCTTCACATTCTTTGTTACAAAATAAATTAGGCACATCCTAGCCATCACTTTGATGGCGTGTCACGAGTGTCAGATTCTTTCTTGGGATGAATGGCCTCAACTACAGCTTCAATCTCCTCCTTCACCCGTTCAAACACACCAGGTGCTTTAACTTCATCAGTTGAAGTTTTCTTATCAATGTCATCACTTCTCCCATGAGTTTCTTTGTGATGGCGAGGCGTTTTGTCATGATGAAACACTGCCTCAATCTCCTCTTTAGCTCGCTCAAAAATGTTTGGTGCTTTTACATTTTTTTCTGTCAAGAAGCAGAGATCAAAGGGTTATAATCCCTTTTTTTAGGCAAAAAATTACATCTTGTTCAAGAAACACGTAAGAAAGATTCATAATAACAAGTTTTCTAACGAATTTGCAAAATAAGACTATATATATAAAGTTTTTATGAAAATTAGAGGATCCAATGAACTGAGAATCATACACTAACATTGAATGTCATAACTTTCAACAAAATCATACTATTTATTGATTTCTTATAGCAGGTTCTTGTGTCTATGTTAAGAAAATCGTAAAAGAAAAATTCGAAGAACCTCTAAATCTTCCCCACAACAATAAAGGAAATAACTTTCATCAATGAGGAAGAGAAGAAACATGTGGGTGATATTGGTAAGTTCTCTAATCTCAAATTTCCCTCTTCCCTCTAAATCTTCTAACTCTAAAACTCAAAGGGTATTCCCGTATTGTAATCAACATTAACAAGAACGTCTAATGGATCAGAAGGCACTTTTTTGAAACTAAGGTCGCAAATGAAATCAGAATTGCAACAGATGAAAGATTTCGTTCCATAATAGTAAAGCTGGAAGCATATGAGAGTTTTGGATGATGATACCTGAAAGCGAGTCTTTAGGCTTAGGTTCCATTTCTGACATTCAAGTGTTTTAGGTACGCTTGAGTTTGAGGCTATAATAAAGTACAACGATTTTATACTTTTAGTAGTTAAACCAGTTTCTTCTATTCTTTTGTTTATCAACTTTGTTGGGGAAGGGTGAATAAAGAATGATCATTATTTTGATATTTTTAAATATTTTTATTATTTTGTAAAATGAGTTTAATTTTACATGAAATTTTAAAGTAATTATTGTAAAAGTTTTTGTTTTTATTTTTATGTTAAGATGAATGTTAAGAATATATTTGTATCGTATTTTTTATTATTAGTTAAAAAATTTAAAAAATAAACAAAAAAATAAAATTAAAAGTGAAATGTATATAATTTTTTATTTTTAATGAGTTTTTATCAATAAAAAAAGTGTTATAAATCATTCGTATATAAATTTATAATCAGTAATGATAATATTAAAAGTTATTATATCATTCAAGTATTTTAATTAAAATTGTATTGTGTATACATCACTAAGTAATATGAATGACTAACAGACTAAGGTGTAAATGAAATTTTACCCTAAAAAAATGGAAAACGTGCCTCAGCATTTTCCAATCTTTTTTCTTTGGTGGTGATAGCATTTTTCCTTGTATATATTATCTTATTAGATTATATCGTGCTGGTCCTATATGTTTACGCATAGAAACCCTTCTTCGTTATGCTTTTGGCACATAATACAATAACAATATTTTTTTATTATAAGCATTTCAATAATATCAATCTTTATTTAGCATTTATTAATATCTTTTAATCTTTTTCATCTTATTAGATTATATCAATACTTATATTTATTATTAAATTTTATTAACTTTAACCTTTAAGACTGAATACAAATACCTAAAAATAGGGTTAAATATTAAAAATAGTATTTTTATTAAAAAAAAATACATTATTACATCCTATCATTTATTTTTCGTATGAAAAATCTATAGCATGCAGATTTGAATTTTCTCAACTGTTGAATGTTAACATTCTTTATTAAATCGGAGATTTAATCAAATTATGTAGAAGCTTCTATACTATCATGTATACCATTGCAATCAAATTAATTTTATAGACTTCAGAATTGACCTTTGGACCTACGTATAATTACTACATTTAATGAAGTAATATCATTGCCGCAGCATTCGCAAAGCTAAAAATCAACTGTGTATAAAAAGACTGTTTTCCATTTCTTTAATTCAATATCGGATACTTTAATACACTCATAAAGTATTGAATATGAATTATATTAAAATCATATATGTACTAATTTTTCAATAAGCTTCATTATTCATTTTACCTGTAGATTACATTGACTGAATACTTGTCCTTGTTACACTTATTTGTTTTTGTCAAGAACACATGTTTGTTCTTCCTCTATATAGTGAGGTTGGGAATAATGTTGGTTAATTCTGAACATGGAAGAACACAGCATGGAACACACGAAATTGTGCATGAAAACGAAAGTGATGATTCACGACAAGGGTCTATAAGAAACTGGGACCGCATGGAGCTGAGTCAAGGTCGAAGTAACGTTTTGTGCGAGCAAAAACAATATATATACATTTATGGCGATGAGTTTCAAAACACGAAGAATGGTTCGTGATGACCATCAAGAGGAACCGCGTTGAAAACAATGAAAAATCATCCACTTATTTTATTAGTTTCATGACTTCGACTAATTAAAATCATGTACCAAAATCGACGTTTGAAATTCAATATGAATATGATGCTGCAGTTTGCGTCTGTCCCAGGAAACACTCGTTTGATGTTTCATGCTCTTTGGATTTTATTGTCTGATTTATATTCCTATGTTTGATTTTCTTGTTCATTCTTCGCCTCTAGTATATAAATTATTAAATGTTAATTATTACTATAATTATCTTTGTTTTTTCTTCCACATGCAAACTAATTTATTATATATTTGATTTAAAACTAAGAATAGCACAGCAAAGTAACTTGATTAAACGAAAAAATCAAAGATGATGAAATTTAGAAAAATCTAAAATTGATTTGATCAAATGTAAGTTTAACTTTATTTTTATAAAAACAAAATAGAAAACCATATGACCATTATATCACATCTTATTGTATTCTCTTATAATATAATATAAAAAAATCTGACTTCCTTTCTGGAAACATATAATTTTTCCACCCCTTGAAATCTCTCTTCGCAAAAGAGATAACCATTAACACTGCAAATGTTGTCAAAAAGGAAAACAAAAGTTCACAGATTCATGCTCTCCTACTCTTATGCCATTATCTATCTTTTCTATTTATTTAAATTTATTAAAAATTATAAGTTTCAATTAATAATACAAATTAAATTTTAAATTTATAATAATTTAGTTAATAATAATTTTTAAAAAAAATATTAATTTTTACCATTTTTTATATATCTTTTTTCCATCTTTTTTCGTGTGTGTGAGCACATCTCAGAGTTCAAATATATTTATTAAAAAATGTAAGATTTGGATCAATAAATCAAAAGTCTAAATAAACTTATGCCTTTTTTCAACTCAAATTAAGAAAAACACATACAAATGTGATTAATGTGAACTGACACACATAAGTCTATTACCGATTATATTATTATTATCATGCAAATTGACTCACGTAAATTAAGTTACACTAAAGTTGTGATTTTAAAAGTTTGTAAAACTTTAAATTTCTTAAACTTAACTCACGTAAACTTATTATCTACATTCAAACGGATCATGTAATCTAAATTAATAGCTTTAATTTATTGTTCTTAAATACTAATATATAACTAACAATTAAGAGAGAAAAATACATAACATAAAATTCCAGTCCTGTCTAAATATTCACTTCTAATCGATATTTTGAGTCGTGTTCTCCTCTTCATTCAAGTCATATATAGCACTATGGTTGTATTATCAGCTCTTACATACTAGTCGTTGGGATATATATTAGGGAACCTAAATTTTTGTCACTTATTCAACTTGTCCATTAATTCCTATTTTATAAGAAAAATTTTACTCACACTAAATACTCTAACATTTAACAAGGTGTTTCAATCTCTTCGTTGATGCACAAGAAAGCTTTATATGAATTATTTTAAATTTTTTATTTAAAAAATTCTTATAAAAAGGATTAAAGAGAATAAAATGAAAGTATTAAAGTTATTTTATATAAGTATAAATTGTTTAAAAGGTTAATATATATATATATATATATATATATAAGATAATTTTTAATAAATTAAATGTTATTTAAAGTAACTTAAACAAACTATCTTTTAAAAATTATATATTTTTTTATTCAACAACTCGACTAACTTATAGATAAAAAAAAATGTCATAAACTCATTAAAAAAAATACTCTCTCGTTAGGGCTAGAGGTTTCAAAAACTTTTTATTAATCCATAACTTTATAAAATAATATTTACTTTAATCATTTTTAATGCAAAGCAATATTAAATATATAATAAAAAAATATTTTTTTATAAAATTAAAGATTAAGAGTATGTTTAATTTCATTTTTAAAAATAATTTTGTTTTTAAAAACAAAATGTGGTATAAATTTGTGTTATATTTTATTTTTAAAAATTATAAACTGTTTTTTAAAATGATATCAAACATATTCTAACAAATGATATTTCAAGTTTTAAAGATTATATACACAACTCATTTAAGTTTAGAAACTAATTAGTGCTTATTAAAAACAAAAAAAATAATAAATTAAGTCTACACTATATGAGATCTAATAAAATTTCACGCAAAATTCTTCCTTTGACTTAATTCCCCTATTTATATGTTATTTATTTATATAATAAAAATATACTACATAAATTAAGAGAAATTTATATAAAATTTTATTAAATCTTACACAAAAGAATCCAATCAACATTTTCGTTTATACATCACGCCCAAATTCTGTTTGCAAAACAAATGCCACTAACAACTCATTTTAATTGGATATACAAGCCAAGCAAAGTTATTATACTATCATTTGTATTTCATATGAAAATGTTGCAATTTTTATGCTATCATTTAAAAATTTGATGAAATGATCAGAAATTAATCCCAGATAAATCAACTCTATCTTGTTTGATTTCACATCTCAAAATAAGAAAAAAAAAACCTATAAATAAGATAAAATATTTTATCTTATTTTAAATTATCTAAATAATAAAAAATAATAGTGTTCCACTTTATTAAGTCAACAAAATTCTTTTAATTATTTTAAAAAACTATCTTAATGTTATTAAAAAATGTTTAATGAAAAAAAATTAGTATTCTAAAAACAAAATTCATTTAATATATTTTTGAAGATTTTTCTATCTTGTATTTAGAGATATTAATTAAAATTAACAATTTTTATTAAAAATATGTTGAAAGTACACTATTAAAAATTATAAATATTATTAAATATTAATTAACCAGACATTTTAAAGGGTGACCGTACTTAAATAGCAAGCTTTTGACTGGTTCTGTTTCTTTCACATCACCGCGTGTAAACTTCAATATACTCATACAACACTTTCAACAAGTCACATCATTCATTTTCCAATTTCTCAATTCAAATTAACCCATTTTATGGGATTCGCAGGTCACGCAAATGTTCTTATTTTCTATTCAAACTAAACGAGTTCATAAATCATAGGTAATTAAAATTCCAAAGGGTCATATTTTTCTGCAATCCCTGCCTCTTACGTAATTGAAAGTGCCAACTGAAAAAGCTTGCACCCTTTTCATGTATTCCAAACTTGTGCCTTATAAAAGAGAAGGGAAGTGCCAAAACTCAAGTGCTATCTTAGCATAAAGTGAAGCTGACTTCATATTTTAAGGTGACACCGTCTTTCTGACACTTATGATTATTCAGTTATCAGTTTTCAGTTGAAAATGCTTATAGTGACTTTTATATGTCACCTTGAAAATGAACATATCCTATGTTTTCAAGGTTGTTGTGTGGTAATATAGTATACTACTTCTTAATTGAAAGTTTTAATTACTTGTGAATAACTCAGTTTTTCTTATTTTGTTGCAGAGTGCAAATGGTAATTGTAAGAGCCGTGGACTATGAATCAAAGGAAAGAGAAATCACATTCAGAACAATGAGCTTCAAGAAGGGAAGAAATTATGATGACTTGTATAAACCTGAAGAATTGGATCATGTTATTACTGAAGAATCTACATGTTCCAAGAGAAGAAAGATGGGAAATTTGAAGCTGCAAACCACATTTTCATTCAAATATCTACTTTCTGATAATTCTGGTTCAAAGAATGAAGGTGAAGGCCTGTTCAATGTACAAAGCCCCACAATTGGGTTAGCAAAACCAGAAATTTGGCTTTCACCAAAGTCCATTGGAGAACTTGATGTAGCTGCAATAAAGCTACAAAAAGTTTACAAGAGCTATAGGACTAGAAGAAATCTAGCAGATTGTGCAGTTGTTTGTGAGGAACTATGGTTGGTTCAATAAATATCTTAAGTTTTTATTTATATTTTTTTATGGCTAAGGAATTTTAAGTTTTATTAGGAATAAGTGATTAGTGCTTAATGTATTTTCCCTAGTGATTGTTTTAATTAATTGTTTTCTATGAAATCTTGCAGGTGGAAGGCTTTAGACTTTGCTGCTCTTAGCAGGTGTTCTATATCACATTTTGACTCTGTTAAATCAGAAACAGCTGTTTCAAAATGGGCAAGGGCTAGAACTATGGCTGCTAAGGTACCTTTTTCGTGTCAAAGGCTAGTAATGTCTTTATATATATATATATATATATATATATATATTGTTTTGGTTTCTAAAAACACGTATTATTTGCTTGAAATATAATTGACTTTACATAATTTGGCTTTTCCAATTATATGTTTGACTGGGACCATAGAGAGGAATTCAAAGTTTTCATTCTCTTTCCGACAAATTTTCTTCTTGAGATTTTGTTATTAATATAACTTTTTGTTTTTTAGGTGGGAAAAGGTTTGTGCAAAGATGATAAAGCGCAGAAATTAGCTTTAAGGCACTGGCTTGAAGCTGTATGCTCATCCATCCATACCTTGACTAATTTTTAAATTTTATTTTTCTGGGCCCCTCCTTGACTGCTTTCTAATTTGCAGATTGATCCTCGTCATCGTTATGGGCACAATTTGCATTTATACTATGATGTTTGGTTTCATAGCCAAAGTTCACAACCTTTCTTCTACTGGTAAAATTACTTATAATGCCCTTAATAGAATACTTATTTTGTAAAAATATTTGAGCACATTTCTGATCGCTATAATTGTATATTCTCATAATTGCATGTCGGTGCGTGAAGGTTGGATGTTGGAGATGGAAAAGAAGTAAATCTAGAAGGGTGCCCAAGAAGTGAATTGCATAGACAGTGCATAAAATATCTTGGACCCGTAAGTAGTTTCATCCCATGACATTGACGATGTCACATAACGTATTATGAGACTTAAATGTTTTTCTTTTTATATATATATATTGATGGAAGTAACGAAAGCCATGTGCTATATATATAAATATTGGTCAATTCTTAAGTGCCAATGTTGTATGGACTTGCCTAGCTTTGTTGACTATAAAGTTAAAATTTAGGCACAAAATCCATTGATTAGTAAACTATCAATAGGGCATTTGTATCAATGCATTCAATGCACTTAAGACTACACCCAAAATGCTTGAGTTTTGTTGCGAATATTAGTTTTGGACAAATTATTCGCTATGCTTTTCAATAGTTTTGACTTTCCACAATATTAGCAGCCACCAATATTCTTTATTTTGAGAGGGGTTCATTTTGTTGCTTGCAAATGCAGAAAGAAAGGGAAGCATATGAAGTGATTGTCAAAGGAGGAAGGCTTATATATAGAAAAAGCCAAAACCTTGTGCATACTGTTGAGGGATCCAAGTGGATTTTCGTTCTTAGTTCATCTAGAATATTGTACATTGGGGAGAAAAAGAAAGGCCAATTTCAACACTCAAGTTTTTTAGCTGGGGGTGCTACTATTGCATCTGGAAGATTGGTTGCCCAAGATGGAGTTCTTAATGTATGTCACATTTTTTATACATTCATACCTTTGATAATTTTTTGACACCACAAAATGAAAATGTTTATTTTTACTAGTACAGCGTTGTAATTTTGTGATAAAGGGAAAGCTCGATTGGTTACAGGACTATAGGAATTCCTCAGCACCGAAAGAGAAACTAAGGAAAAAATTTGAACAGCTTGCATTTTAATTTCCTTTATATTCAAATTAATGTTCATCAATTCTTATTCAGGCAATATGGCCCTACAGCGGTCATTACTGTCCTACAAAGAAGAACTTTATGGAATTCATTGGCTTCTTGATGGAACATAACGTGGACTTGACAAATGTAAAGGTAAATGACTCATTTCAAGGCATTCTTTAATTACTGTTGAAGTTGTTTATTTTGAATCATTTAACCTTGAATTGAGATCACTTAAGCATCAACCCGTTGAAAATATGAATGACCATTCGTAATTTCATGATTCCCTTCTGCAGAAGTATGCAATTGATGAAGATGTCCCACCTTCTATTGATGAGGGGCCACAGTTTGAGTCCACAAAGGCTAATAATGCTAGTTCCACTGCCAAATATTGCAATAAAGATAATATGGGTCACTCTGTGACCAATATGGAAGCTTCACAACTTAAAGAGAACAAGGCATTATCAATAAAATGGACCACTGGTGCTGGTCCTAGGATTGGTTGTGTAAGAGAGTACCCTCCAAAACTCCAAGTTAAGGCACTTGAACAGCTGAATCTGTCACCTAGAGTCAACCATGGAAAAGTTGCTACCAAGGCACCCATTCCTTCACCAAGGCCAAGTCCAAAAATCCACCTATCCCCTAGGCTTGTGCACATGGGAATTCCTAGCCCAAGAGTGCATGTTACTCCCGCAAATTAGTGTACCAAAAATCACTTACCTGCTTAGGTTATGTGTTCAATATTTGAGCTATGTTAAGCATAGGAACTGCTTCAAGCTTTTAATTTAAACCATTAGTATGGAATATGTAGGATAAATGTCACATCACACAACACAACACAACATCTAAGTCTAACCCATGGTTTATTTTTTTTCATTTAGTTTTTTCTTGGCCAATTCTTTTGGTCATTTAGATTCTGATGAATCATTTTTTTTCCTTCTCTCATTTGTTTACCCAATTGTATTTTGGGAGTTGGGTCAATCTTTTCCATTCTTGTAAGTCAAATACTATTTTTTTAATGATACTTTTCTAATTTCTAACAATGTGCTGTTACTCCCTCTTTCTTCCTCACCAAGTATTCTCAGCAATTGACCGGTCATTATGGTGTGGATATGGCATTGCGTCAGTGTTGAGCAAAATCGGTATCATATTCCACATACAGATAATATGGACATACTTAAACCAAACCATGCTACGTTGACATGCCAAATCTTTTTTGAACTGTTAAAGGAGATATCTCCCGTGTTACTTTGTAATTTTGATGTACTTTTTATATGTCTGTATGAAAATAATTTAAAAAAGGTGAAAAATAAAATAATGATATAAATATTATGTATAGTGTTAACAAATACTTTTTAACATATTTTTTTAACACACTTTTAGTTAAAGTAAGAATAAAAAAATAGAATCTATCTAATTTTTCAATTTCAATAAATTTCATTTAATATTTAAATTCTTTAAAAAATATATTATTAATATTTTTTTTATTAATTCTTAATGGTTTAAACAACGATGCAGTCCCTAATGTCATGACTGGTGACAGTATTGTTCATATGCACTTAATTCGGTAGGTGTTTCAAAGTCAAGATATGGGTTGTGTTACCAGAAGAAAAAACAAAAAGATGAAAAGGGTCAAGATTTGATGTGGTTCAAAGACATAAATGTTTCCTAGTCATGAGCCAAATTGACCAAATTTCACTGAGTCGACAACGAATCTAGAGAGTATTTTCTACTATAAAGATTGAAAAATCTTCCATGTCGTGTTTAACTGGTCATAAATTTACTTGGTCCCTTTTCTTTCACCCTACTCCAAGTTTAGGGAAATGAAGCCTAATAAATCAACTAAAATTCATTATGACTTTGTTGACAAAAAAAATCATCAAAACTTTCAACTGGTTTTCGCCCACAGAGAAACTAAATAAAATTCATTGTGATTTTCATGAGTCAGTTCTGTATAGTAAACATGCCAAATCAAAGTTGACTTACCATTGTAGTATGTAATATGCTTTACATATGTTTAAATCCCATTCACTTCATTTTATAATATGCATTGTCTAAGTTTTCATATTAAATCAAATTGATTGTTTTTTCTTTTGAAAGACTATCAAACATGCTGAAAACACTTCTCATCTACTGATCCAATGAAACAAAGAAACACAAAAAGGAAACGCTTAAATAAAAAGCATATGAATTGAAAAGCTTGACGAAGAATCTCTAATCCACTGATCCAATGACATTAAAAATGCTAAAAGAAACACACAAGTGAAGAACCTAATCTACTCGGCATTAGAAGTAAAAAGTTCAGAAAGATGAAATGATTAAATTGTAAAATAACGTCTTTGAAGCATCCAATGCAATTCGTTGAAGAGTAATTACCAATTAGTAATAAATTTAAAATTTGAATTAACAACATAAAAAATAATTCCCAACCTTTTTAATTTTGTGTATATAAAAAAAATTGTTTATTATCATTCTTTAAGTGTCACTCCTAATTAAATAATTTTTGTCTAAATTATATTTCTCTCTCTCTTATAATCATATGAATGATAAAGGTATTTTAAATAAAAATTACTTCCATAAGAGTAACAACAGACACTTATATAAATATGTTATATGTGTGTGTATTTTAATTTATATTTTCAAATGTAATTATTATCATTATTTTTTATCTGCAAATCTAATTATACTGCAGCAGTGCATCCCCAAAACAAAATCGACATTTTGGGCTTTATTCCAATGGGCTTAGATGGGCCTGGAAGACTCTCATCTTGAAATGTGAGCGTTTCTGGCTAGTCAATGGTGGCATTGGTGACAAGTCAACTCTGAGTGTGGGACATGGGAAAATCAGAAAAGCAAAAAAGTCTTAGTATCCGTTATGAACTTTTTCTGTTCATTTCGACTTTTTCTTTTCACAAACATTTCAAATTTCAAAACACTTCTTCTTCTACGCATTCTCTCTTAATTAAGCCAACAAACATTAGCTCCAAGCACACGACAAACACTGCATCAACATCTACTTGCTGTTGCAATCTTTCGCATTCTCAGAATCTGACACTGTCCTTTCCTCTGCAAAAACGTGTTCTTTTCCCAAATGGGTGGTTCAGGAAGATGGCTTAAGTCGCTTATTTCTCTCAGAAAGCCATCCGCAAATGATCAAGTTTGAAAAATTTTTCTGGGATTTTTTTTTGTTGCTTTGTTTTGGTCTGGCGATGTTTATTTAGTATGATTGTGCATTTTTCAGGAGAAGGGTGGTGATAAGAGTAAGAGAAAGTGGAAGTTATGGAGGAGTTCTTCAGAAGGCTATGGGATTGGATCCTCAATGAAGAAGGGACAGGGTGGTAGTGGTGGTTTTGACAAGTCTTCTTTTGTGGTGGCTGATGAAGCATTTGCTGCTGCAGTGGCTGCTGTGGTAAGAACTCCACTCAAAGACTTCGTGGTGATCAAGCAGGAATGGGCTGCTATTCGCATCCAGGCTGTGTTTCGAGGCTTCTTGGTAATTGTGAATCTTTGCCTAATTTCAAATCTTGTGTATGATCATGATGCACCTTCTTCTGCTTTTCAAATTGTTTCTCTCTTCAAGTTTTTTTAGTTATTATGGGTTTCTGTTTCTAATCTTGATCCTTGCAATGAGTTATGGAGTTTTCTTTGGTGCCTATTTGCTTTTTGTTTAGTTTAAAGTTGAGTAAAAATGATTTTGATAAAATTAATTTTGAATCTTTGGATATGACTGAGATAAGTGCATATAATCAGAATTATATATTTTTGTTAGAATGTATATTTTTTTTATTGGGAAGTGTGAGACATGATATTCCATATAAAGTAAAGAAATCCTTACTTTAATAGGGTAGCTTAAGGGAATGCTGAACTATGGGAATATAATTTAGCACATGTTTGGGTTAACTTATTTTGGATAAATAATGATTTACTTTTTTGATAGGTTATGCTTAGGATGTTGAATGTATATTTCTTGTGCTTGCATTTGTTTTGTCTAGTTTTTATTTTCTCTCCTTTCGTAGTTTATTTTGAGACGTCTTGTTTGTGTTGCAGGCAAGACGAGCTTTGAGGGCCCTGAGGGCAGTGGTGAGGCTGCAAGCTATATTTCGTGGTCGGCAAGTGAGGAAGCAAGCAGCAGTTACTCTAAGGTGCATGCAAGCTCTCGTGAGAGTTCAAGCACGTGTCAAGGCTAGGAATGTGAGGAAGTCTCCAGAAGGGAAAGCTGTGGAGAAACTATTGAATGATCATGCTGATCCTGCTAAGCAGGCTGAGGTATCATAAGTTTTTCACAATTTGCCTCAAGATTGTGTGACATTCTGTAATGTTGATGCCTTTTCAAGTTGATTGATGTGTGTTTCGAAACACGTTTGCATCGCTAAAATCACGTTGAATGAATGCCCAACATGTTTGGTTGGTCCGAACCGAATTGATTTTTCCTCTAAACTCATTTGAATAGACATAAATCACATCACTTTAAATTGACTTTAAAGCAAAATCAATTCTACAAAACCAAGTTTACAAACATTCACCTAAACACACATACAAAGAGTTGTTAACTAGTAGCAAAATTTTCCATGTCTATTGTCAGCAAGGATGGTGTGACATTCCGGGAACAGTGGAAGAAGTCAAAGCAAAATTACAAATGAGGCAGGAAGGAGCAATCAAGAGGGATAGAACAATGCAATACTCTATCTCCAAGCAGGTAATGAAGCTTAGAAAAGATGTACTGTATTTGTGGTCTTAGTAATGAAATGATTACTAAAACATATGTGCTTTATAAACTTTGCTTGCTTTCAGAAATCAACAATGAGTGCTAGTCCAAACTCAAGAGGTGCTAAGTCAGTGACTGGATGGAGCATGTTAGAACGCTGGATGGCATCTAAGCCATGGGAAAACAGGTTGATGGAAGAGATGTATTTGGACTCACCTGACATGACTATAGTGACCAGTAAAAGTGATGATCTTGTCGTTCCCTTTAGTTCAAATCAACAAAATGGCTCAGTCAAAGCAAGAAGGAATGGTGTGACAACCAGGATTTCAACTAAATCTCTTACAACCAGTCAATCAACTCCATCATCTTCAGCCATAAGCTCTGAATGCATGTATGATGATAGTCCCGTGTCAACTTCATGCACATCAGGATCACCTACTCTACCATCTACCAACAATGTTATGGTGGAAGCAACTGAGGAAAGAAATGTTGGTAAACCAAGCTACATGAATCTGACAGCATCAACCAAAGCTAAACTGAAAGCCTGTAGGTTTTCTTCTCAGAATTCAAAGAGAATCTTTATGGATGATTGTGTGTCACTAAGTGGAGTTACTAGAAGCAGTTCTGGCTCCTATCCTTCAGCTAATATATGGAAGGATCTATATGCAACACCTCTAAGGGCAAGTTATCAAAAACGATATACATTTGAAGATAAGTAGTTGCCATGACAATGGCTCCAATTTTCTATTTCAGTGAGTCCAACAGCTTGTTGTTCATTGTCACCTAAACTTGGTGAGATGAATGTGTGTGTATGAGAACACATATATAAGTTGTAATTCATAGTGTAGATAACACAAGTGGTTTGGTGTGAAGATGAAAGAGCACATTGTTTCAATTTGTAAGGTGTTTTTACACCAATTTTTAATCAGTATCTCTTTGTTTTTGGGATTATTCATGTTAAACTCTTGGGAGAACATTTATAATGAGTATGATGTTACACTATCAAGAAGTTTGAAGTACGAAATATGAGCTTTAGGATGAAGCTGACTCTTCATCTAAGCTTTTGTATGAATGCATAATGCAGGCTTTTATGTTAAACATTATGGTCAAGCGAGTGATTTGTTTCATTCATATGGTGTTTTTTTAACACTCATTTGTATTGCAAGTACTACTACATCCATGTCTTTGCTATCTAAAATATCTAGAACAGCAAGGATGAGAGTTGGGACATGTTCTTACCCCCTTTTTTTTTTCTGAATTGATTATTAATGGTATTGGTGTGTAGAAACCATGAAACCAAAAACAGTTGGCAGAAAATGGTATTAGAGTATAGTTGCTTGGGTTAAACAGAAGTTACCTTGAACTGTTGGGTATCATTTTTTTAAAATAATAATAATAACGAGTTTAAATATGTTGTACTGTTCAATATCAGAAAATAGCGCTCTTAGAATTCAACCACACTAGTCATTCCCTTCATCTCCAATTAATAAAGTATTTGAGTATCAATTCATGCTATTGATTTAAGAATTCACCAATTCTCTCATTCAATAAAAATTAGATTTATAGTTTCATTCTTATTTCCGCCATGCTTTGGACCTTTACTTTTGGGGTAGATCAGCAATATTGAATCTCCTGCCACAACTTTTCAACTCTACATAAATATTAAATAATCAAGATCAACAGCAAGTTTTGGTTCCAGCTCATACTGTACAACATATTAAAATTGTTAATCTCGAGTTCTCAACCATTAATATCTTCACTTTAATCTATAACGAATAATTCCTTTTATTTCTTTCCAACCTTTTTCTTATTTGTTTTGCTGCTTAAATGGCTCAATTTCTCAGGCCCATCAGCCCAAATTTTATTGGAAATTTTCAAGATTCAACCCAAAAACTGCATGTAGTATATAGTAACTAAAAACTATCAAATATCGATACAATTAATGACTCAAAAAGAATGTCAATATAATGAGAAACATTACAAAAAACATCAAATCATGCAAGGTTAGAATGACTAAGCTTTATTAGACAAGTTCTTATCTCCGCTTAAGCAACAGAGAATAATTAATTGGAAAAATCTTGTGGTCCATGATGAAATGATAATATGTAATGATGCAACAGCCACTATGGCCCATTTGGTCCAGCCATTCATGCTCTAAAAGGACCACAGTTATCACGGTCACCAATACTTCAAAGTATATGTGCGTCATTTAACAGTTGAACATCAAAGAAAGAAGGTTGATGGACACAAATAACACTAATAAAATATTTTTCAGTTCAAAATAGACCAAACGGTGAAATAGTTCACAGGTCAATTTCAGTGCTATGGACAAAAACTGGTAAGGCTTTAAAGACAGTATCTCCAATGCGTTAAAGTTTGACTTGTGTCTACTGCATGGCCTACGTGAGGTTGCTATTGGGTTCACAGGTTTCCCACGTGAGAATATGCGCTAACAATGGCAAGAAATCAGGAAGACACCAAAAGTTGTAATTTTTTTTGAAGGGTTTCTTCTTATGTGTGAGAAGCTTTCTTTAATTTGGAGTAAGTATGCAAACTTCCTTTCGTGGGGTGTTGCCATGAATAGAAGGAAGATGAAGTGGGGTCTTATAGGACTATAGGAGTGCTACTTTCTTGGATATCCCTTTCTCTGTGGGGCAATTCTGGTTTTGTTTCTTTGCCTTACAAAGAATATTACCTCTTTTTTCATTTCCTTTACATTATTTGCACCACCAATACTTTTATGGCCAATATGCCCCTCAAGTTACGTATATCAGTATACCAATTCTTTATTGGTATCATGAAAAGTTGAAATATATTCTTGTTCATTTTCTCCTTTCATATTTAATGGAAAAGTGTGAATGACAATGGGAAACCTTGTTTACCATAGTCTTGTTCCCATCCTGTTGTGCATGCATGTGTGTAAGCAAAGCAAGTGTTCATATGTGAAACAATAGTATGTTGAAGTTCCATGTCATATATGTAGTGATTTATATGAAGTTCACTACTATAAAATATAAATCTTATGACTACTCAGCTATCCAATGAAAAATATCATATATGTAGTGATTTATATAAAGTTCAATGTTAAAATATATACACTAAAGTTTAAGAATAATTATAGTAATTCTGCTAACTAAAATATTTAAATCTATATATATCCTCTAGTTATTTACCAAGGTATCATATGTGACTTGAAGATATGTTTAGGTAAGCCAGAAGCTACCTTATTTTCCTGTTTTGGGTCTTCGTTGTATCTCAAGGGACAATGCATGTTGATATTTCTTTCCTTATATTGGGAAAAATTCTCCACCCTCTCAAGTCAAGAGAGGAAAAAATAGAGAAGAAAAAGAAGAGGAGGAAACAAGTTTTATTTGACTGAAAATGACCCATACCAAAACTAATGTGGATCAGGACAGGACAAAGAATCACATAGCATTCTTGCATGTACTTGATATGATTTCTCCATATGCTTGGAAAAAACAAAACTCACAAAAACTATAGTCCCTTGATGGCTCAACAAATAAAGAAAAAGAGCTTTGTTGTATTAAATGTTGCATGTGCAACAATTAATTACGAATCTTGTTTTGGACTAGCTGTTTCTTCTAACATAAGCATTCTAAGCCCACACTTTTTTCTCTCAGAAGCAACACATTACAGTAGTACTCCTAGATGCTTGGCACCCTCCTTTACCCCAAGACCACTTCCTCTTATCTCATTTTACTAGACACATGTTTTAATTAAGAATGATTCTAATGCCAATACATTTATTCTTTCTACTGATGAAAGATCAAAAAGATTAGTTTCTTTTTCATACTTTGGCATTAACGAATTCGATCAACTTTCTCTAAAGTGTGCATTCAAAATAATGAAAAACAGCGCAGGAGCACGACACCAAATGATGGTAATTAGAGTAGTGAGTAAAACAATAGTATCCACACAAACATATATCCAAAGATTAGGTGATCAATAGAAATGTGAATATGTACGGTTTTGAGGACTTTTTTTTTAAATAGAAAAAATAAAACGACACAATCATGATAAAATAATGAAGGTAAAAAATCTAAAATTAAAAAAATAACCACCATTTTGTAGGGACAACTAAAAAAATACTATATAAAAAATTTATATAATTTTCTTTTTACAGTTACAATTCTGATAGACTTATTTTTAAAGTAAATATCTAAACGTCTCACAATAAATAAAAGTACAAACTTAAAGTATTTTTAATCAATGCAATTTAAAATAAAAAATTTTAGAGATCAACTTTTTTCAATACATGAACAATGTAATACTTAAAGATATTTTATTTCAATCAATTTTAATATTACAAATCATAAAGCATCGATATTTTATGTTGCACTACAATAACGACATTATTTTTAACTTCACTAAATTCGAGTCCGAATATCAAGTGCTGTGTCTCATAATGTACGTCTAGCCTATTATTAACATATTTATTATTAAGAATTTACTTAAAATGAAATTTAATATTATTTAAAAAATAGACATAATAATTAAGTTTATTTATGAAAACAATAATAATTTTAATATTATTGCATTAAAATTTTTATTTTAATATTTTACAAAATTATACCACCTATTTAAGATTTAAGCCGGTTGATTTGCACAAATGCTTTTGTTAACCTACATGGATGCAGATATGTTGTCCTATATGAAAAACTTTACTGCAAAATAAACTTCCACAAAGGTTGTAAAATCCATTGGTTGGCTTAGTTTAATTTAATTTTAGGGGAGAAAAAAATATGAATTAATCAAAATAGATTAGTTCAGATTGGTTTATATATATGATTTTTATTTTGGTCAAACTTGAATCAAATCAACTAGATTAATAATGGGTTCGTTTGATTTAGTTTTTTTTTTTTGAAAAGTATATATATTTTTTTTAAAAAGATAAAGTTTAGGATAATTGATTAGGAGAACCATCACTTTTAATCAAAATCAGGTTATATAAATGCATGAATATTGTTTAAAAACTGGGTTAGTTTGAGAAAAAAGAATTTGTTGCCTAACTTTATAACAGTCCAGTGCCTTGTATTATTATCACCCATGTTATGGCAAAGGTATTCAACAATAATAAGTATAAACAGTAAGGTGCAAGACTTACACTGGGATTTGGTAACCCAGAAAACACAAATTAGAGAAGAAACAAAAACTGGGATGCATGAATTGAAAAATGAGAATTGAGAATTGAGAAATGAGATAATTGAATGACAATGATTAGATGACCCAGTTATGCTTAGCAATATGATAGATGGAATCCCTGAACAGGATTCAAAAGCATACTTTTCTCACTTTGCTTTCCGTCTTATCATAATGAGATATTGTACTGCCTATTAGATTCTTCTTCTTGTCCCCGTTAGCCTACCAATGCCATTGCCTATTCCTATTTCAGATTTTCATTGTTTTTAGCCAAGTCTAATTGGAATTCTCCTCACTCTTATTCTGCTATTTTTTTTAATTTCCAATTAGCTTTTACTCGAATTTTATTTTCCTCCTTTGCCTGAATAATTAGAATGAATTATGTACTTTGATCATTTTCAAAAGATATACTTGCATTTTTGTCCTTTTAGTTCACATTATGTGTAAGTTTAATCCTTCAATTTTTTTAATTTTTTAATTTTTGAAAATTTAATAATCTTTCATTATTTTTTTCTACCTTAAATTCTTACATTCTTATTATTTTTATAAATTAAATTATCTTCAACCAAAATATTAAAAAATTGAAAAATTCTCTCTTAAAATTCTAAACTTGTATTGTATAAAATTCTTTAAATTTTATCAATATTTTAATATCTTTTTTTCTTCTCAGACTTTAAAATTAATTTATATTCTAATTCTATTACAAACTCCCAAAAATTAGGTAAGAAAGTACAAAAATGAGAATTTCAAACATAAAAAATTAATAGGAAATCAAATTTAAATAATTTTAAAAATAGAAAGACTTAAGTCTTATGTAAATCAATTTGTAAAGAAATTCTTATCAAAGAAAAAATTAATATAAAAAATAATAATTTTTTTATAAGATAGAAATAACTTATTATAAAAATTAAATATTAAATTTTATAAAAAAATATAGAAGTATAAGTTGTTTTTAACTTTTAAGAAAATATTTATTATTTTTATATTAATTTTTTCTTTTAAAAAAATATTTATAATTTTACTTAAAATGTGTTTTAATTAAGTAGAAAAAGACTTGAGAGACTAAAATGTGAACAAACTCTAGAGAGATTAAGAATAAAATAATTATTTTAAAAATTAATTATCTACTTTAAGTAATACTAATTTATAATTAAAATATATTAACAATATAATTTTTTATATCGTTATCCAATCATAAATAACTGTATCAACAAAAATTATTAATTTATACACCCATGCAATATTAAAAGCTGTTTCTCAAAATTTAAAAAACAGCACAAAAATTTATCCATTTTCATTATATATAAAACATTTCCAGTATGAATTTAAACTTAATCCTGCATTTTCTTTTATTAAAATGATTATGATTGGACAAGAGACCGGAAGAAGCTAAAGAAAAACGAAGTCAAAATTGAACAACGAGAGACACCAATCAAACAATAGCTGCAGAATATTTCTTGCAACGAGAAAAGCTTGTATAAATAAATCTAATGTACTCAATGATGAAATGTGTTTAATGCTGTTTAACTTTATTAAGAAGTAAACCCAATGTTCCCAATTTCAAATCAGTATATTTATGCAATTATTTTCAGTTGAGCAGACATTCATAGTTCAATGTTTTCTTCTGATGGAATATGATTCAAGATGTTTTACCATAATAAATTTTGAACGTTTGTGCATTATCATGTCACTTCTCAACGAAACATCATTACAAAAGCATATATTCACCTAATACAGAGTCAACCACGTTGTTTTTCTGCACTGAGCCATTATATTAGAAAACAAAACCATTTCAAGTGTCATCTTTTTTTGACATGTCTCGAAATTAAGAGTCGTTTCTCAAAGTTCTCAGATAATATTCATTTAGACATAAGGTAAAAATAAGGTTTTTTCTTTTTATCTTGTTTTTCCCTTTTATTTCTTTAACCATTATCACATAGAGCCATTAATTTTTTTTACATGGCAAGGTAAATTTTGTTCTGCAATATATTTTCAATTAGTATTACTCATGCAAATATGAAGATAGATATGAGTGTTTTTTTTTAAATTAAAGTATATATATATATATATATATATATATATATATATATATAAATACTATAATACTCTATTCAAATTTTATTAATTGTTGTCTCTATCAGTGATAATCCTTTAGCATATACGTCAATATTCATTACATAATATGCATAAATGCACATTTGAATTGTATGAAACGTTTTTTAGCATTAAAAAAAAAACGTGCATTTAAAGTAAAGTGACACAGAAGCAAAGACGTCGTTAAACAATATTAATTGGATAAGGTTTTTGTATAATTAAGGCTAAAAAGTGAAGGAAATATTACTTGTTTTTCATTTAACATATAATATTAAGTATTATGTCAACTATTTAATAATTTAATAATAATACTGATTTTTCACAAAGAAAAACTAGCTTTATAATACTTTTAATTTGATGCAGTACAATAGTTGAAAAGGTCATCTATATCAAATTATTTACAACTTTGATTCATAATCAGTTAAAAGTATCATTACTTATTTAATCATTTATTTTTTTATCTTTTTTTTATATCACATAATCTTATTTTTTATTTTTATATCTAGGGGTAGATACCCCAAACATTTTCCAATCATTTACCCTTCCAAAAACAATCTCAGCCGATCAATTCACATACCTTTTTCAAATTATTACCATTCTCAAAAGGACAAAACTGGCAAGGTAAACAATGAGCAAATTACAAATATAAAGTTTAATTCACTGACTTGTTGGAAACTTTGTTCATCTGCACATATATGTCCAAGGTGGGACCTGCCAACACATAGGGTCCCACCACCTGCATGTGTGACACGTGTACAACCCATTAGCCCAATGGGCAAAATGAAGGATCCTTTATAAGTCCTACAACTCTCACAGGGTGACAATGCAGCCTTTAGCTCTTTCCCACAAACCATACTTAACTGGGCCACCATGGTACAGCTTCCACATTAAATTCACCACCTCGGTGTACATTCACTTCTGCTTCTGCATCATACCATCCATTTCTCTGCTAATTCTGTTCACGCCATTCTTTTCATAATTCAATGCAACCTCTTGTAAGTTTGTGCTAAAGCTAGAGATCACTAGAGCATCCTTTGTCCTCCCTTTCACATTTTCTTTAATGATACCAAACCTGACATTGGTGTCCATTTGATGTATGTGTTAGTAGTACTTTGAGAGTTGAAACTGAGATAGGGAGAAAAAGAAAGAAAAACATGGGACATCACTCTTGCTGCAACAAGCAGAAGGTCAAAAGAGGACTATGGTCACCTGAAGAAGATGAAAAGCTCATCAACTACATCACAACTTATGGACATGGTTGTTGGAGTTCTGTCCCTAAGCTTGCAGGTATATATATAATTAACAACTCTATCACATTATTTCAAAGCCCTTTTACTTCAAAGTTTAGTTCTCATTATCTTTATATATATAGTTTCTTGAAATATTTGTGAGTTTCTTATCATATGTTCATTCATGGTGTGCTAGGCCTGCAGAGATGTGGAAAGAGTTGTAGATTAAGATGGATAAATTATCTAAGACCTGATTTAAAACGTGGAAGTTTCTCTCCTCAAGAAGCAGCCCTGATTATCGAACTTCATAGCATTTTAGGCAACAGGTATAAGCATCGGTAGCCACATGCTTCTTTGTTTACACCCTTTTTTCTTTTTCCACACTGTTCTTTTCATGTGCATCATCACCAACATTATTATCAAAAGGTTGCATTATTTACTTTTTCTCAACAATAGTAAACTTTTTGGGTACAGGTGGGCGCAGATAGCTAAGCACCTACCTGGAAGAACAGATAATGAGGTGAAAAACTTTTGGAATTCAAGCATAAAGAAGAAACTCCTCTCTCATGATGCTGTTCCTCCTTTAGCCACATTTTCTGATATTCACAGCCCCTACAATATTGCTTCTATGGAAAGTTTCTTCCCTTTAACTGCAAACCCTAATATGATCCTAAACTTTCATCATCACCCTGCAGACCAACTCTATCTTCCCTCCCCATCTCCAATCCTACAAGGTTTTGATCACAATAATGATATTAAGTTAGACATTAACAATTATAATGCCAATTTCCTTCACATTCAGAATCCAATACCAGAAACATTACCACCACTTTCCAATCCTTCCTCTTATGATGATACATGGTCATTGGGTTGTGTAGCTCTACATCTTAATCCAAATCAAGAAAATCAAATTTCTAAAAGTGATAGCACCCCACATTATGTTGTTGACAAATTCATCAACCCAACTGCATTGCAGCAATATGAATGTCACTTAGTAGAAACCATTGCGCCAAAAGTGAGTGAGAGCATTGAGGATTATGTTTGTAGCATCCCATACTCATCTACCTCCCAGGATCAACATGAGGCTTCAGCAAAATTTCAAAGTAATCAACAAGATCTAACTGTGGTAGCAAATCAATTGGAGTACATCGATGCCCTCATGTCATCGTTGCCATCTTCAACAACCTCGTCATCAGTATCAAGCAGTCAAATAGTGACAAACCCTATTATTCCTTCAGGATGGGAGACTTGAGCATTGGCATATATTGATTGAAATTTGATTTTATCTATTTATAGTATATTTAATTTAATAATTGGGGTGGAGTTGGGGGATCTCTATCATGGTCAATTAGGTCAATTATTTCTATGCATTTAATTATTTCTTGAACTTTTGCACAAGAATGTAGATCATCTCCTGTTGGAAAACCTGAACCATGCCAAGTTCAGGCGCAGTTTCCATTAAATGATATGCTTGCTAAAGTTCCATAAATATGTCTAGGTTCTTTCACATTGTCACATGTTTATCACTTAAACTCATGTATGAATCCAATTTTGTTATTTGAATATTAATTTAATTATATTAGAGTTTAACGTTGGTGCACTGTAAGTGTAAAAATTTCACTCTGCTATAAATATGATAATGTACTATTATGTAGTAGTGTAAAAAAAATTATACTATTAATATATTTAAATTAAATTCTTTATATTATATATAATATTATATATAATATAATGTATACTGTTATAAAAAGAATTCTTCAAAATTAAAGAAAAAAACACAAAAATTCAAAATGCATCTCTCTCTCACTCTCTCTTTCTGACATTACGGATGATGATGTCGAACAAAGACAAAAGACGTACACACATGATGGTCAACTCGAGGCCAAGGTGTCCTTAAATGTGACCTAGCTAAGACGACATCATGCAAATACTTTATGGTGTGATAAGAACCGTTTAGAGCATCACCAATCTTAACTATACATCTTGTAATCGAAAATAAACTTTTCTTGTTTAAGACTCCTCGATGTTGATTGGTAAAATTATACACTTACTAAGAATTACAAACATTGCATGCAAAGGCCCCAAAAGACTTTGGCATCTTCGTTAATATTACTAATATATTAATAAAAAATTTAAATCTTATTCATTTTCTCTTACATTTATTTTTTATTTATTCTTTATTTTTATTTTTCTCTCTTTTTTCACATCATAAATTAAATTTTAGTTTGAATAAACTTCTAATTATGTACTTATAAAAGAATAAAATAAGCATAAAAATATAAATATAACTTTTTTTGTAAATTAAAAGTAACTTATACTCTAGAAAATATGAAAGTTTACCATAGATAATTTTTTAAAATTAAAAGTAGTTAACGTGAACACAATTTTGAAAATATCTCTGAAAATTAAAATATATTTTTCATGGAAAAAAACTCGGAAAATAAAATCTTTTATAGAACTTAATTAAACAGTCTTTTAGTTTAAGACTTTGTTCGAGTTGAATAAAAATATAATAAGATAAGGATATGCTATATATATATATATATATATATATATATATATATATGTTTATCTTATTTTATATTAATATGTATTAGAATAATAAATTAAATATGTTATGTTGTTTTATTTTATCTATTTCAGATTAAAAAATAAAATTTATGTTAGAAATAAAATATAACAAATCTGTAAAAAATTAAACTTTTGTTGGTTAAATAAACATAAAAATGTAATAGAATATAAAAAATGATTCTATTGAAAAAAATATCTTGTTTATCAAATAAACCTGAAAAGAATTAAGTCAAAGCTAACAATGTTAATACCAAACACGACTCAGACATGCTAAATAGATAAGTAGAGAATAAGACATAGGAAATTTATAAAATAGACTTATCATAAAATAAAATAAAAATTATTTAATTTATTAATTTTATCTATCAAATAGACATTAAAAAAGCAGATTTTATTAACGAGAAATTAGTGCGAATGACAAACGGCTTAGTATTTCTTAAATAATAACTCAAATTTATCTCTAATAGTAGATTTTTCACAGCATTCACATTTAGTGCGCAATTTGAGTACATGCACGAGTTTCAATGCTTCGTTTTTGCATGGAATACCAATTTGTTGCTATTCTCCTCTCTCGTATAAAGGTTGAAATTTAGCGTTCATTCAATTGATTTAACGTTAACAGAAAGATAATTACATTAGTTTTTGACAAAATTCATTGAGTTAGTATATATATGAAATATTTTAACTCTTTAATTGTAAGAGTTATAAACATAGCATGCAGACACCAAAACATTGTTGTGATGATCAAGCAATAGCCTTTACATGACAGCTGATAATTACATTAATTCATTGTTCATTCTTCACGGGAGATTCTGATTATAATATTCCCCCCTATATGTGTACCAGAAAGGAAATATTCCCCCTATAATGTTTAATTACTGTCAATATCATATAGTAGAAAGTGATTTAATTAGAGATTCCATGTGTTAACCAAGCAGAAGACAATTTTAACCACGTTATTTTCTGTGCTTCTCTAAGGTGTTCATGTGAGAGAGAGCATGATTCATGAACATTGTCAAACTACGATGATGTCATAAGATATGGACCTTCTGAAAAGAATCTATTTCAGAACCACATTGCCCCTCTCCACAATAATAAGCTCTTTTTTGGATCAGGGGGTGTGATATCATAATCTTATTTTATGCAGATAATTAAAATTCCATGTTCATTAAAAATAAGAGAAATAAAAGGAAATGTGAGAAAGAGATATATACATAGCTCAATTATTTTAGATATTTTGGAGAATTTCTTCAATTAGAAGATCAATGTTCTCCCTATACACAATAGGATTTAAATCTAGCACATTCATAAAAGTCAACAACATTGCTTTATTTTATCTGTGTTGCTAAATATGTGTAGTTTTCTTTGGCTCTTAATTATCTTTCAATCATTCATCTTTTTTAATAAAACAAAGTAGACAGAAAGTTGAAGAAAGTCCTCGTACTGAGTACTGACAGGCAGCACTGCGTTTGCTCCTTAACTTTCCCTGTAGAGACTCGTGGGTTGCTCTTCTTTTTGGGCCGGGTGGGGTGGGGGGACTCAAGTCAATTTCCATTATCAAGAACATTGAACGTTTATCTTTCTTATGGGACACGTTCAGAGTCATTTTATTTTCCTGCACCTTTTCTTCAAATGGAAGTGAATTATAAAGATGATAATCTTTTTATATTTTTTATCTACTTTTTATTATTGGGTAAAATTGACATCAATTCTATTCTTATTTAATTAGTCTGATTACTTTATGCTACCTAATGAAATTCGCGTGAATTAAAGTATATTAAGGATTAATTCCCAACAAAGGTTAGGTTAGTCAAGTCATGTTCCAGAAGATAAAGAAAAATATATATATCTTGTCTTTTTTTCTTCTCACTAAAGGTAGATATTTTGATTGAAGAATTTTAATCGATTTGATTATAATAATTGAGTTAAATTAAGAATTAAAATATTTTAAGTGTAGGAAGAGTAATGAAAAACTAAATTTGTTAAATTTTGAAAATTGAATACTTGATTTACATAAAAAAAAAAACTAAAAGTAAAATTACACATAAATCTAAACTACAAGTACAAAAAATATATAATTAAACCAAAAAAAAAATCCCTTCCACAAAAAAGTGCCTTCAAAAATTGTGCAAAACAAAATTTGGAAGGGTTATCCAAGATAAAAAAAAACACTCATGTTTAGATGCAAGGAAAAATAGAAAAAATAAAAATAAAAATGAGAAATAAAGTAAAAACTATGAGTAAAAATAAGAAAGGAAAAAATATAAAAATTTTCTATTCTTGATGAATAAAAAATTTAAAAAATAATTTATATTAAAGAGTATTTATAATAATCACAAAAATTTTAAATAAATTAAAACAAATTTTTTAATATCATATCTGTTAATTAAAAAATTTAATATTTTTAAACAAAAGGAAAAAGAAAGGTGACCCTTACTCCCTATTTCTCAGTTTGGGGGTTTCTCATTTTATTTTAGTATGCTCTACATCATTTAAATTTCCTCCCCACTTTTTCCCATAATTCTCTCCCTCCTTAATGTCCTTTGTCCTTAATACAGGCAACCAAACACAACCTTAAGGCCAGTTTGTATACTTAGTCAAGTGAAATTATCACACTTGACAATGCACATTCCCTTGCGATTTGTCTCACATCAACTTCGTTCGCTACGTCATTTTCATTTAATCTATAAAATCCTCATACGCCGATAAATTGAAATAAAAGTTTTACAAGCACAACGCAACAAGTATCTTCACACAAGGTAAATTACATTATTCTGCGGTACTCGACATAAAACTAATACCACAATTACAAATTATTGCAACTATTGACGACAATTTCAAACAGACAAAAAAACAGAATGTTAACATATCCATACACGATAGTTGTCTGAAAAATTAATCATTGTAGACTGTACTCAGAACAACTCCACCCCCACCCCCTCCAAAAAAAAGGAGCTCTTAAAGGTAACAATGTTCAAGTTCACCCTGTATTACTGGGACTTAACATGAAGAGCACTAAGTTACTAAATTGAATCTTTAGCTCCAATGTCAATGATACTAAGCTGTAATCCTTGATCGACCCTTGGCTATTCTTCGAGCAATTACTTTTCTGCCACCTCTGGTTGCCTTCCTGCTCAAATAAAAGAAAATCATGTCATCTACACAGCACATTCTGGTTGAGGATGCAAATTTTCACATCAACCACACAAAAATTTCAGCAATTCTGTCCTATTAGTCACAAAGTGAGAATGCCAAACAATTTCATACTGGTCACTGTGGTCAGGAAGCAGGCCAATCATTTACTCGATAAGGGCCACTGACATTTCTGAAAAAATAAAAACCATTAAGAAAAAGAAGCAATGGTCCTGGGTTGGGCCTACAAGCATGCATTTCGTATGCCACTTTGCCTGGTAATAGTGTAAAATGTGACCTATTTATCCACTTTTTTTCATGCTTGATGCCCACATTATCAACTTATCTAATCTATGCCAAAAACAGAACAACCACAGTCTAGAGACATAGGCAACAGAGGAAAAATGGCACTCAAGTGTATTGTCACATTCAATGAAACAATCTGTATATAATTCAGGCATAGTATAGGCTTTACTTTATATTCATCGAAAAGGTTTTCAAATATTCTCGGTGATTTCCAAGTCATAGAAGGTATGATGAAATTGTATGATGCGTCAAGATTAATTTATAGTCTAATTCCTTCAAATCCTCTGCATAAATTAGGTCTCTTTACATAGTCATAGAGCATGCTGAACAACGGTGACGTCCTCCACAAGAATTTAAAAATTTACTGAGTATGATGCTCATATATAGAAGAAAAGGAACATCCAGGGTTAACTAGTCAACTTTTCCAATTTTTTTACTTATAACAAAATAACATCTAACCAGAAAGATGAGTGACTTACCGTGCGAAAAAACCATGGTTCCTCTTTCGTCGGATAAGGCTAGGTTGGAATGTCCTTTTGGGGAATAAGAGCATTGAATCATCTGATGAAGAAACATCCCCTGCAAAACAAAAATGATAAATTCTAATTAAAAAATTGGTAGGAGGAAGTCAATTGCTTAAAATTTGAATAAAACACCATCTCGTGTTAAAGCATGTACGAGATAAAGATTAATAATTGCACCCCTCTTGTGGTAAAACTTTATTTTCAACATAAACATACTTTATCCTCCTATATATCATTATTTACATTACTCAACTAGAATTAAATTAAGGGGATACAGAAGACGAAACAACAGAGAATGATAAATACATTTGAAGAATGGTGAATGAATGTAACTGAAAATGATTGTTAATAGAGAACCATGTATCACAATTAGTCATCAACCGAGCATTCAAGCAATGAAACACAACAAATGAAAACTGCACAAGGAAACCCAGCATTTGTAATTGGTGAATTGAATAAAACGCAGATCATAACACATGTTTTCATGTTTCAATAATCAATTAAAAAAAGGAGAAATTAGGATAGGAAAAGTAAGAGTACCGTCAGGTAAGAAGAACGGTAGCGAGGGTAAGCCACAAGGGTAGAGGAACCATTGGCACTGAGAGGCAACGAGTTTGTTGGGGGATTCGGCGTCGTTTTCGGGAATGGGGAGCCTACGGAGCGAAGGAAGGAGGTTAGAGTTATTGGATTGGAGAAGCGATTTAGAAAGGCGATTGAAGATGGAAGCTCCACTTCGGAGAAGGTTCGTCGACGCCATTGTTTCTTTTACTCACACTCAGAGCAGCAATTCCTAAACCCTAACATTGCCATATGCACAATCCAAGCCTGGTCCGAATTCAAGTTCGGGTTGGTACTACCCGACCCAACACGTTACTTTTTCTGCTGAAATAGTAAATTTTAATACATGAACAATATGATATTGATTACAGTTAAAAGAATTTAATGAAATTTGCCTTTCAGATTATTACTATTCATCATTTTTAATACTGCAAGATGTGTTTGTATATACACAAATTATTTAAGTGTTTATTCAATAGTTTTTTTCAAACAATAATTTATGCTATAAATTTTATATTAAAATAAGATTAAAGTAGTTTTTTGATAAACTATATCAAAATAAATTGAAAACGGTTTATAAGAATTAAAAATTATTTTTTATAAATTATTTGCCCACAAATTAGTCTTAACTTTTATGGACTTTTTTAAAATCATCTTAGTCCTTTTCAGCTTTTGTAGTACCAAGTTAAAACCCGTGAATTTTATTAACCAAGACAAATTCGTACGCCAATAAATTCATAAACTAAATTCCAAATTATGACTATCTATAAATATTCAATTACTTGCTTAATTTTCTTCTAAATGAGTGTAAGAGGTAATTATTCCACCCTGCCTTTTACAAATTATCAATGTAAGCACTTTCTGAATATTATATTTGTATTTGGACAGAATAATTTAAAACTCTTATATGAAATATATTTGAATAGTAAAAAAATATTTTTAAAATACGGAAAGATTTTTAATTAAATAATTTTCATGTTAAATAAAAAAATCAAATAACTTATTTTTGGAGAAAATTAAAAGTCTATGCTGACTCATGTCATACTTAATATATATTTTTGACTCTAATCTTGATCCCCTTTCTTAAAACCAGCTAATTTTCACCGGTCATGCATTCAATCACTTTTGACAGCATGTGGTGCAATTCCAAACTAATATTAAGCAATCTTTTAACCATTTCATTTAATATTTTAGGAGGTTGAGATCCTTAAAAATATTATGCAATGATCGTGGTCAATATGAAATTAGTTTGAAGAACGAATAGTGTACTGCCACATAAATACACTGCTTCTAGACATTCAACCAGAGACTAAAAAACCATCAAGCCAATCTTCAAACAACAACAAATTACAATTACAAATGCACTAGCGTTTTGCTAGTAGTTTAAGTTACAAACAAGGGAAATGACATTTTTTTAAAAATGCCTAGAAGATTACAAGAAGCAATTAAGCATTTGCTTCATATCAAAAGTAACTAGAGACCAAAAGAAATGAAACAATGAAGAGGGGAATAAAAAATATCGTACACGAAAAAGAACAATACAGATTGATATCAACTATAAAATAGTTGTGACTGCTGCTTCTTCCACCTTTGCTTCTAGGCGGAAAATAAAATAGAAATAGAATCATCATAAATCTCAAATGTACACAACCACGCTTAAGCAGAACTCTGTTTGAATTTATTGTTCACTAGGAAGAACTGATGAAATCCAATCAGAAACTGCCATTTGAATATTCTTCTCAGTATGAGGAGAAAGAGAGAGAGCAGTAACTGCAACCTGTAATCCAAATCAGATGCAAGATTCGTTCAGATGAAGTAAATAAACTTGATTGCATATACAGTAACAGCTCAACGAAGATGCTTGCATGCCGCCCTTAAGATTATGGAAAAGTATTAACTGAAAAAATTAATAACACTTTTCCACATTAGATAAGTATGCTCAAAGATAATTTAGTTCTCCAACTTACAAATCCACTTTCAAGTGCCCCGTAATCCAGATTGTCATCTATATCTTCCCGTTGTTTTTCCAAAAACTGCAGATACTAGTATAGCTAAGTTAACTTCTAGAAACAATTTAAAATCATTTAATTGTTATACAAGTTACAACTACAACATAGAAAAGCACTGAAACCACAAATAACTAACTTGTTTTTAACTAAAACTCACTTTGCAGCAATTGAAAATGTTATTAACTGAAAGCTAGTAGGAATAGGGTTTCAAAAACACTGCCAGATTGAGAAATATTGGCCACTTATTCATGGAGGAGATTGCCATTGTTTTGGATGCTAGGTACAAATTAGACGTTAAACTGTTGAAGTACTTCTTTCCCAAGCACTATGGAACTCATTTCTTTGAAGATTATCAGCTCAATCCATGGGCATAATGGAATGTTCCGCCAAAAAATTCAATGATGAGGGGTTGAATTCAGATATCCTTAATTTTAGCAATACTCATTGGTTATGACTCATTTGTTATTGAATCAACGCATGTAATGAAAGTGTGACTTAGATCACTACTTAAAAGAGAATGTCTTGCCAATATCGTTATTTAATATTCTTGGATGGTGGAAAAAAATGGAATCAGGCAGGGTGAATTGTTTGCCTTCCCATTTCCCAATCCAATAATTTCTAAAACAGACCAACCTGCCTTGCACCTTTTTTGGGCACATCCAGGGCAGGGCAGGGTGGGACAGGTTAACCCATAATGACAGGTTTACCTCTAGTCTGAAATACTTCTTTATCCTGTTGGAATCAGGTTTTCCTGCAGCTCCAATTGATTCAACAATCTCCAAATTCTTTCTCTGTGTAGTTAATTTACGAGCTGCACCCTGAAGTACACCAAGATGTGAAAGATTCTACTATCGGCATTGATAGACGAACAGAAATGACCAATTTACACAGAAACAGAATGCACAAGGGATAATAAGATTTTTTAGGACACTCACAGCAGTAGAGGCATCTCGGCCAATCTGTGCAAACTGAAGACCAAGCCCTTGTTTACTGGCCAAGAAATGACCGGGAGGATAGCGGGTAGTTGAAACTGCTTGCCAGTTTGGAGTGGATCTCCACATACTTTGCTTGGTCAATTTGAAGCCCTATCAACAAAACAATACCCATACCACAGCAGCCATTTCAGAATCTACGGACCAAAAATAGTTCACTAAACTAAAACAGTTAACAATGTGAAAGAAAATATAAGAATGGTGGAGCTAAAATGTATTGCCTAATAAGAAAGGGGACAGGGAGGAAATCGAGGTCAATTACAATGACAAACTTTCAAGTTTCAATATCCTCTTTAAGAGGAAATATCGGAACAAATGGTCCATATATTCATATCGTTAAAGTTTTAAAGATTAATGTTGTCTCATGTACAATTCAATTCAATCTTCATTAAAATGTGAGAATAAACATTCCTATCCTACATACCATGTTTTCTATGCAACTCAACTAACTTCCAGGGGAGAAAAAAAAATGAATAAGAAGAATCACACTTAATTGTGTAAAAGCTGCAAATATTTCACCCCCAGCCCAACAATAAAAAAGTTCATTGAAATCAAAGCCTCCTTTCTGAGGGTTTCTCATTAGTCATTATTTTGTATGTACATACAAGGCCCAACAAATGTATTTCAACTTTCATTATAATAAAAGACACCCCTAAAAAGGGCAACAAAAGGTAAAACCTCAAAAGCAGAACCTAAAAGGAAAGCACTTATGCCCAAAGACCTGAGCAGCCAAGAATCTCATCCATATTCGATTTTCTACAATATATAGCCCAAACCTAGAGCACTCTCATAATGCAGTAAAGTGCTTGATAAAATTATCCAAATTATAAAATTTGTCAACCTTGCTGCTTAAAGGCGATGTAGGAATTTCTATGTTCAAAAAGCAGCTTTTGGGGAAAGTTCCCTTTACAATATCCCTGATAGCAGCATTTATTAATGGTAGACAGAGTACTACTGCATCCTTGAAATCAGTCTCTTGACTTTCATCCTTCTTCCTGCAGCCGGATAAGGTACCAATTCATAATCTCCAGCAATACAGTTCAAACTGGAAATAATAAATAATAATCAACATACCAATTTACTGATATAGACAATGAAGGTACACCGCATAACAATGCCTCCCTTGCTCCAGCAACTACACCTGAGTAGAACCTGGTGAATTTTAAAGCATGAAATGAACTTCAGTTCATGTTTAATACAAAACCATGATAGAATATTCTCTGGGGTAGTTGAAGATTGTGTACTAGTATAGATTTACAATTTTAATCCTATGCATAAAGGGAACAACTTACATGAGATGACCACAGCTTGTTCCCCTGTTAATTCCACTAATAACCTAAAATTAACATCATGTCATCCATAAACCATTAGCATCTTGTTAATGAGAACAAACACACAAATAGTTATCAATTGTCTGATATAAATGCTAACCAGGGTAGGTCTTGACCCTGAAAACAAGGCCCCAGATAATGCTAGTGAAACACAATCTACAGGAGATCCTGAATTAAAAATCAGAAAAGAATAAGAAATATATGCAAGTATCAGCAGCCACAACAACAACAAACGCAAACAAGCATTACCCAACTCTGTATGCATTATATCAGTGATATAACAGCCATAATATGAAAATCAATAGCTATATGTCCTGAATTTCTCTATGAAGAGATTTTTTCCCCTCTACACAACTAGAAGCAGACCACTAAATCCACATCATTCACGAACCAAGTTTACATGAACTTTATACACCGGATCTAACAGGAAAGCGGTGAACACAGAACAGTAAGTAAACCATTAAGTTCAACTCCGTAATAAAAAGGCATAAAAATTCCAAACAACTACGAATCCTTATAAATTTCTTGAAGAAAGGGCAAAAACAGAATAGAAGGATTAACAAAGTTAAGAAAATTGAATACATACCCGAAACTTCAAATGCCGCAGCACCACTAATTTCAGCAGAAGACGCTTCCACGGTTTCTCTAAGAGTCACAGAGTGCCCCGAAACCGATTTGTCCCTAAAGCAACCATTTTTACGAACTAACAAATTACAAAGACATTCGACATTCAATAACAACACAAAAAAATAAAAACAAAACAAAGACCAATTAATCATACAATAAAATGGTTATAGAGAATGGTAACCGACGATTGAGGAACGCAGACATGAATATCGTAGAGGCCTTGACGCAGGAGCGCATCAACGAGGTGGGTGAGACCTGAGGAATCAATGCCATCACTGTTGGTGATTAATACAACTGGCTTGGAGCTACCATCAAGAACAGTGTCCTCAGTAGATGAAGAAGAGGAGAATTGTGAGTGGGAATGCGAATGTGAATGTGAGGGTTCAGCATTGTTCTTCGTTTGATGATTACTCTCTTCTTCTTCTTTGGTAGGGTTTCTGTTGAGAAACACTTGGTGGAGATTGGAAACGAGGGTTGGGGGAATCGCGTTTTTCACGGAACCGGACGACGTCGTCATTGACGGAGGCCGAGAGATTCAAAATCAGGAATACTGCTTCACTGGGATACAGAGTTGTTTCGTTTTACTCATCATTACTCTGCATTTAGTTTAATGAAAGCTTAATTACACTTTCGGTATTGTATGTGATTTTTCTAATTTTAATTGTTGTTATTTTTTTATGTTATAATTTTATTTAATAATTAATAGAATGTAAAATTTGAAATTTAAGTTAAATAAAATACTTAAATTGAAAATAAGAAAGAAGATCCTTCTTCATCTAATATATATATATATATATATATATATATATATATAAGAAAAGTATATAAAAGAATTAAATAACACAAAAAAAAAAAAAATTTATTTTAATATTTTATATTTCATTAATTATTAAATAAAACTTTTAATATAAATAACTTTATTTAAATGATTAAAAATTAAAAAATTGAATATAAATAATTAAAAGTAAAAAGATTAAAATTAAACAAATTAAAATATAACGATAAAAGTATAATTAAACTTTAAATAAATATTTTAATTTCCCTTTTAAGAGAAAAAATTAAAATATTATTTAGATATTATAACTAATTATAAGATATTGTGAAATTTAATATATTAAAAATATTAAATTTGTAATTCTTAATAAAATCTATTATTTAATGATTTTTGTTATTATGTATTATTATAAAAATATAAAATATTAATTAAAATCACATGGTGTTGAGTTCAAAAGTCTAAGATTAGAACAACCAAATAACTTAACAGAGCATCCAAAAACTAGTATATATAAGAAGAAGAAGAAGGGAAAAAAATGGGAAAATGAGGCTAAAGTGCATCCTTGTTCATCTACGCCAGCCACCAGTGCCACCGCTACTTCTACCTTGACGCTCCAACTTTTTGGGTGGCAACGGTGGTAGCTGCTGCCAACAACATCAATCCCCAAAATCGAAATCTATTTTATTGTCGAATATGTTGCACCTTTCACTTCCTTTCCTCGCCCTCTTCGAAACTCGGCGTTATTGCGTGGACTAGAGTCCAACTTTCTCTCAGGTTCTCTCTCTCTCTCTCTCTCTCTCTCTTTCGTGATGGGCTTTTTATTTTGCCTTCAATTTGTTATTGACTGCTATGTATCCATTTTAAGGTTCCAATTAATGAGCAATCGGCACTTGTGGCGATTTTCATTCTTTAGTTTTTGGGGGAAGGGGGGGGGGGATGCCGCTGAGCTGTAAGATGGAATTATGTGAGAATGATTTATGGTAGTGAATTTCGTAATAATCATGGAAAAATGGATCGTTGGGGCTACTATATGGTTCCTCTATAGGTGAAAGGAAAACAATAGTGCCAAAAGGAATTGAATTCATTTTCTTTCCTTTGGTTGGTTCGACCATAAAGTTAAAATAGAAAGAGAAAGATAAATAAATAAAATAAACCTACATAAGACTGCTTTAGTTTTAATCCTGCAAGCATCGTGGTGCATATTTCTAAAGTGTAGGTGTACATGTATGTTTGCAAGCAGATTGTGTCTTTCGTTGCTTAAATTTTTAGTGATAATAGACTTATATCATAATTGTGAAGTTTCTCTTTTTCATCAAGGTGGTGCAAAATTGTGGGATAACTTGGAAGAGATGTCTCTGGGCTGTTAGTTTGTAGAAGCAAGTTTAGCAATTTTAATCATGCTTTGGCTCTAGCTTAAACATGGCTCAACAACAGTATAAGCAAGTTAATGTGATCCAATTTTCAGTTGGCAAAACAAACTTCAACCTGAGACTTTATCTGAAGGTCAGCTCTGAAATAATTAATTGTAATATACTAATATTGATATGCCCTTGTCCTGTGTTGTTTTATCTTTGCTTAATGAAGAGTAGAATGCTATTGCATTTGCATCACAAATTGGGGCTCATTCATAGTTATTTCATTTTGTGATTCTTGGATATTGGACAGTTCTCATTTCTTTCCTAAATGGAGTTCAGTGAAGATCCAGGACCAATTGATAATTATGTACTTTATGATCAAGATAATCATGTTTCTTCAGCAGTTTGGGATGGACAGGTGGGTGGATATTCTTTTACTTATAATTTTTGTTACGTCATGAAATTTTTCTCAATATTCATATTATTATTATTGGATATGATCCTATTGTTCACACCAAATTGACAGGAGCGTGGTGTACTTAGATGCCATGAACACACTTCGATGCTTGATCAGTGGAAGCTCACACCTAAACAGATTAAGTTGGTTGAGAAGGCTGGTTTTGGTTACCTACGATTACTTCCTGCTATAAGTCTTGACAATGCACTGATAGCAGCTTTGGTTGAGCGGTGGAGGAGAGAAACAAATACCTTTCACTTAACTGTTGGAGAATTGACAATAACCCTGGAAGATGTAGCACTATTACTTGGATTAGCTATTGATGGAGAACCTGTCATAGGTCCAATAAGTGCACCAAGTTCAGTTTGTGAAAAATTACTAGGGAGAGTACCTGAGGACCTGAATGGTGGAATGGTGAAGCTTACTTGGCTGAAGGAGTTCTTCTCTGAGTGTCCTAAAGATGCGTTGCTGGAAGAAATTGAGCGCTGTACTCGTGCTTACCTTCTATACCTAGTAGGCAGTACCATATTTTCTACAACAACAGGGAACAAAGTCCCTGTTATGTACCTTTCTTTGTTTGAAGACTTTGACAAGGCTGGGAAGTTTGCTTGGGGTGCAGGAGCATTGGCATTTTTATATAGAGCACTTGGCAATGCTTCTCTTAAATCTCAAAGCACTATCAGTGGCTGTTTAACTCTAGTACAGGTTATAACATTACTTCCCTTAACTCTTTCTTCTACTGCTGATAGTTACAGTCTGAATACTGACCAAATAATATTTTACTATTATTATTATTTTTCAGTGCTGGAGTTATTCTCGCCTCAATGTTGGACAGCCAAAATTTAATCAAGAACCAGATAATAATTGCTTTCCCTTTGTGCTTAAATGGAAAGGAAAAAGTGGTTCTAGAACGAAATGTAATGTAGTGTCCTACAGAAAGGCTTTGGATTCTCTTAATCCATGTGATGTAAGTGTTAATAATGCAGCTTATTTGATGAATTAGTTAGAAGAAAATAGTAAATTTGCTTTAGTGTTAATACGCAGGTCCAGTGGCTACCTTACAAGGATATGGACTGTACAGCCATACCAGAAGATATAAAAGCTAGTCTGATTTTACGTGCATCTAGGACTATGCTACTATGTTTTGACAAGGCAGAAAGGCACCTTTCTGATCGATGCTTAAGGCAATTTGGTATGCATCAAACCATCCCAAAAGATGTGGAACGATGGGAGAGGAAGAGTCGGATAGTGGATCATGGGGTAGACTTGATGGGAAAAATGGACTTGGCTCTCAAAGAGTGGTCAGAACGATGGCATCATTTTATTGAAGGTGGTGACATTGCGGATGAGGGTGAGTACATGCTGTGGTACCAAAAGATTACCCGGAAATATATTGGGAGAGTCACATCATCTCTGGAGTCAGAGTATCAAAGAACAGTATGTCTGTGCTTAGTTAATCTTACTTACCTTTCACTTAAATGTACGTTATGAATACTTGACTGCTACATACTTTTACAGGTTACTGCTATGAGGGAAATTGCAAAGCTTGCAGATATTGTCTCAACAGAAGGGTTGGATTCTTATAACAGAGAGTTACTTGATGAAGTGAAAAATATTGTGCACAAATGTTTAACAGAACAGTTTGAAGAAATACCAAATGAGAAAGTGAAAAAGAAAGGTAGTCGAAAACGTAGGCAAAAGGACCACCTGAGTATGGAATATGAATAGCACCTGCCTAGAGCTGTCTGAAGCTAATTCTGACCTTATCCCACCGATATGTATAACCTATGGTTGGTCGGTATATAATCAAACGGTCAACTACAAGAACATATTATATACAAGAGGATGGCTTACTTATTACTGATTTTAAAAAAAATTGAGACATTTGGATGCAGATAGATTGTAAGTATCTACTGTAAAGCTCCATTTGATCTTTTTTAGGCATTTATTGGATTTTTTGCCCCTTGTTCTTGATGTATGGCCTAGTTTTATGACAGTATGGTGCTGCTCAACCTTTTGCATGTCTTGCAGCATGTTACTGATCTACGTTTGATTGACTACCATTTTCTCACTCAACAGAAACATAGATTGGAAAATTCGTCTTAGATGACAAAGAAAAGCTGCATAATTCTTTTGATAATTTGTTGGGGTTTAAAATTTGATAATTTTTTTCATGGGACATTCTAATAGTTGCTTCACGAGCCCCCGTCCCCGTTAAGTTTTGTATTTTAACCATAATCTTCGTTTACTCTGTTGAGTCTGCAGAATCAGAACATTTGAGTAAGAGAAATCTCTTAAATATGCATAATATTTGCCAGATCGTTGAAGTGCAACTAAGGTGGGATACATTGATAGCTCCTAATTGTTACGAATCGGAAAACGTTCTTTACTGAAAATGGGTTTGCAGGGAGTTAGAGAAATTAATGGAAGATGATAAGTCTATATATTTTTTTGGATGAGGTGATTAGATTATATGTATTTGAATAATAAGGAAAGTATTTTTAGAATAATTCAAAATTTTGATTAGATAATTTTTGTATCAAATAAAAAGAATTTCAAATGATATTTTTTAGCTTGTTTAAAAACTCGTGAGGTATTTTTAATTGTTTATAATTATTATTTATAACTCTTCATTCTTCACTATCTCTTAAATTATTCTTCATTATTGATTTTATATTGTTTTAAGAATTGTTAAATTTTCAATCAGAACATAATTTTAGGTTGTCCTGTGTGCACATATAAGCTCGATGAAATTTTGGCGTGAAAATAATTGACATTAAGAAGGGACTATCAATAATTTAAAATATTTATTTCGAGAAAACTTTATTACAATCTGAAATGCAAATGGATCAAAGATAAATCTTTTTTAGTAGATAAAATGGAGAGAACACATTAATTTAAGAACACCTTAATAAGTTTGTCATCATGCACTTTCTCTGTTCCTTTATAATAGTTTCCATTTATTTGAGCTTTCTTCATGCGCCAAGCACTTAATCTTGTGATGATGACATCGGAAGTTCCATTATTGAAAGCATATAATCGTGCTTTATCATTGATTGCCAGCGTGGGATAAACTCTGGCTGTGATGCAAGCCCTTCCTTTTCCTCCAAAACTCTCTACTACTGAGTGATCAATCTATGAAAGGGAGAAACTCATGCATTAGGAGGGAAAAGGGCAAATATGATGAATGGGGAAAAAACTATTAAATTTGATTTTATTTAACTTATTTTTCTTAATTTATATCAATTTAATTACAATTAAACTAATCAACCATCAATCGATTATTTTACAAATGCAAGGATTGGCACAGTTGTTAAAACATAGTGAATTAGAACATATACCAAGGTTCTCAGAGATAACTTTTGAGGGTCCACGTCCAAAAATGTTCCATAAGTTGTCTTATCATTGTCTTTATTCAACAAAGACCTATCGAAGGTACATTTGTATATAATAAGATTTGGAACTTGTATTAATTTGAAGAGAAGTTGAGTAGGTGGGAATAATTAAAGAGGGTACATTCAAACCTGCTTTGGTCACTGCAATAGAGCACCAAATATTTGTGTTGGTATCTGAATATTCTAAAGAACACTGATGTGTACTCTTCCAATCCCTTTGAAGCAAAAACTAGCAAACCAAACGGTCCCAATGCACTTCTAACGGTTGCATCCTTTCGACTACATAGAATTTGTGGGTCTATCCATTTTTTCAATACCTCAGCATCTTCAAACTTATTCACTTCAAATAACTTCCACGTCAGCCTGCAAAGAACAAAATGATCACACTAATTTAGCAATCATACGCATTTTTATTATAGAGAAAAATACATCTATATTCCATCTTAATTTAAATTTTAATATGATTATCTTTTAGATGATGATCAACTAAATTTCGATATCTATAGAATCTGATAATCAACAGCATAAAAAACATCGAATGAACCACAGAAACATTTTATTAAAGCAGTAAAATTTATAACTATCCATTGAAAAAATTAAAAATGCTATTTAAATTACTTTTGTACCAATAATGTGTGTATCGATCGGTTCTATTCAAATTGTGCCCAAATATAAATACAAGAACTTTGCGGATAACATATAGTTGTATACATATGTTGTATTAACATTACTCTTACTAGATTATAAGTTATAATAAGTGAAACTTACCTGTGTTGCAGTGACACCATTAATTTGAAGCAATTGACCTCCCTTGAGTACTTTGGTGGGCCATTTGACTGGATTTTCACGTAGCTTTTCAATTTCTAACTGTTTGCCAGACTTATGCAACCAGATAGCCCTTGGAATTGCCTGCAAATACATCTGCATTATTGATGAAATTTCACGCCCACTCTTAGTAAAGTGTTTTTGGAAGAACCTAATCAAAATTACTAATAAAGAAATTGACACAAAATTTGCAAAGAACCTGTTATGTACGTGGAAGGATTTATTCTATGCTCAAGTTAATTAATTAAATTCATAATCCATTATTATAAACCATGTCCAATGAACTAATCTAAATTATCAAGTCAAGAGTAATTTGTTTTTTATAATTTCATCGAGACTTGTCTTGAATTCAGAAAATGAGCAAATCAATAACCAATTAATAAATTGCAACAAACTTACATGGATTCCAGACCATCCTTTCTTGATATCATCTGCAACACTTGAGGATTCATTGACCCAACCTAGCAAAATCCTTCTGTTCAGGCATAATATTTTCCATAATCATATCTTAAGACAAATTCATTATGCTTAGGTCCTTTATCCGGAATAAAGATATCCTTGGAAACAATATATGTCCCAATCTGGTAGTAATCATGTTCTTGATCACTCAAGCTAACCTTGAGCACATGCCTAACATCATCACCATTCATAGATGTGTTAACACCCAATGAGCCATTATTCAAAAACTGGAAAGAAATCAGGGCACTCCCACATTCCAGTGCCTTTGGCTGAGTGTAATGGATGTTTGACTTGAATCCAATTGACAAAGTCTTAGCTTTTATACAAAAGTGCAATTCCCATAGTGTTTCTTTGACTCCCAAGAATCACCCTCCATTGCCCATCTTTCCCTAACCAAGCAGTAGTAGGGTCTCTAAATGAAGTTACATTAATCTTATTAGCACTAGTTGGTGACATTATAGGATTTTTAGGTGACTTAACCCATTCCCTAAGACATGGGTCTGATAAATTTTTGGGGTAAGCCAAGTTTTGAACTTGGTGATTCAAAGGGTTAACTCCTGTGTATAAAATGACGGGTTTGCCTCCATGAAACAGTGTGGTTGAACCTGACCAACAACCATTAATATCATATGGTTGAGATGGGTGAATGGCAGGATCTAGTGGGATCCAATTCACAAGATCCTTTGACACAGAATGTCCCCATATAATGTGTTTCCCATACTACACCTTTAGGATTGTATTGATAAAATAGATGATAAAATCCTCCATATCTCATTGGTCCTATGTAGAAGTCATATGTAAAAACATTAATTTTTCAGACAAAAATAATAAGAGATAGAAAATGACTACTTGCAATCTAAATTATTAAAATCAAATTTTAAAATAGAAAAAAAAATCAAAAAATTATATCAACTGTGAAACCCTATTTCAAAACTAATTTAAGCTGATCAAAATCGAATTTATAAGCAGAGTAATAACTATCATGTTACTCATATGTGTAAAGATAGATAATCTTGACATTATTATTTTAATTTATTTTTCTATAATCTTATTATATAAGTTTTCTAATTATCTTAATTTATTATCTCTCGTATAATTTTATTATATAACTTTTGTGTTTTGTTTTATATTTCTGTCAAAATTACAAAATAAATTACAGTAAAACAAATGTAAATTTGTTTGTAACCAAGTGTTGGTTGTGATAGTGTGTAAGTTTGCTATCTGTAGTTTGGATTAAAATAAAATATATTGATTTTAGACGTGTTCTAATTGACATATGTGTTAAAATATCTTACATCCATTAAAAATATGATGAAAATATTTTTCATAAAATTTGAAGTTTTTTTAGTTAACTTTTAAGAGTGAATTAGACATAATTTTCTAACATTATGAGATAAAATATTTAATATTTTTAATCATGTTTTGTTATATCTTTTAAATTATTTTTAGTTATATGAAAATAAAAAATGAAAATTTATTTGCATTAGATTACAATTGATTTGAATTTAATAACAAACCAATTAGCTGGTAAAATAAGATAATTAATTAATTTAGATCAAATGTTATATCTCCTTAAAGATGATCTAAATCAGGAATACTTCTAGAAATGATACATACTAACTTGTAAATTCCTTCAATTATTATCAATTTGAAATCACTCGTTTTCTTCGTATTCTTAAATTATTTTGATTAAAAATTATATATAAACAAAATAAATTGTATATCTTTTAAATTCTATTGAACCTAACAGAATACAAAAAATTATCCTCGTGACTTATTTTAAGTTCTTAACATCTTCATTAATTTATTAAGAATAAATGAGAAAAAAGAATAAATACTTAATTAAAATTATGAAATATCTTATATAAAGACTCTTAAATTTTTTTAGAATGTGCCCATAAAAATGTAAAAAAAAGGTATAACTGATTGTGGGTAAAGGTAATTTTGAGTCTTAAGTATTCATTAATTGAACTAATTACATTAATATATATATATATACAACCATAGCTATATAGCAAATAATTAACCGTTCAAAATTGGCGGTGGCACTTAAATTGCATAACAAACTTAATTAATTGACAACTTTGTAACTGTTAGCATTACCATAGAAATATTTCTCTATAGTTATTTATACTTTGATTTCTATGGTTTTAATTAGAATTGCAATTGAACAAACTTTTTAATTAGTAATCGTCTGGTTAAGATTTTTACCATTGTGGCACCAAGTTCGAAGAGAAAACTGATAGGATTTTTTTACTTAAATTCTTATAATATTTTATCCTTATATTACATTATTTATCTTATTACCCATTTTTTTCTCCACTTTGTAAAAATGTTGCGAAAATTTTCAATGAAAATAATAACATTATTTTAATAATATAATGGATCCATACAAGAGAACCGACACTAACCATTAGGATCTGCAAGTCCACGCACACCCATATGTCCATTTTAGCATAACATGTCAAATGACGAAAACAAGAAGCAAAAGAAGAAACTGTTAGATATATATATGAAATATTTGACTTACTAACGTACACTTAAAAGCAAACTATAAAAATATATCTACAGTAAATTACAGGATGTCACATAAATTAATACATCAACAATAATATTAAATATTAAATAAAAATTGTTGTTTATTAATTTTCTTATTTTGAAAAATAAATGCAAAGAAAAGTAAGGGAGTAAAAATGGGTACTAGAGAAAATCTAAGACAAGTTAAAGAACAGTATATTGCATACCATTTATCCAATTCTTGGGAGATTGAAAGTGATAAGCAGCTCTATAAGGTTGATTGGAGGTATCAGAAGACACACTCTGAATATTTCTGTAAACATGATGGGTAGAAGCTCCACCACCACAAATGGCAGAAAAGAGAGCCAAAAGCCAAATAGTTGAAACAGTCATGGTGGCCATGGCAATGTTGAAGGAAGCAATTGCTATGCAATCTATTTATATAGATAACAAGTTTCAGCATACCAATAGAGGGACTTGTTTTATCGATTACATAAATTATTGAGTGAAAATTCAAAAATCATATGAGAGAAGCAACCAAAAAAATAAGCATTATTACAAGTCAAAGTGCAAAAAATAGTATTCAGCGTAGGATTTAGCAGTCAACTATCTAATAATATAAGCCCTATATCTTAAGACACGGAGAAAAATGGATAGATAAATCTGCTATTATTATTTTAAGTATGGAAAATATTTTTTATTCATTCACTAGGTATATAACTTATAGTATGAGTTAGAAATTAAAAAAAATAAGGTAACAAAATGTATAAATATATAAATATTAATTAATATTTTTTTATCACATCGCTCATCTTATGATATTCGTCTCTCTCATCTCTTTCTACATTCTTCTTATTTATAAAAAATATAAATATATAGTATACAAATATAACTTTTTTAACAATAAGATAATTACATGATCTATTTTGTAACAAATAAAAACCATATTATTGATATAATAGATTGATGATATTTTACTTTTTAACACATCAATTATTTTATATTGCACTTTTCTTTATTTTCATATTATTTTCTCTCTGTATAATATAAAAATTATAAATAATAATTGTATTAATGCAAATTTTCAAACAATAACATCAACATCATTGATGGTCTAGATGGCACTTTCGCCAGATAGCAGCACAGACTGAGGTGTATATATATATATATATATATATATATATATATATATAATCACGCCATATGCAATGTCGTTAACACCTTTTAATCCATTTAGCACTCTAGATCTTAGGAATTCAAGATTAATTCTTATTTTTCTTTATGAAGTTAATTTATTTAATAGAAAGTATAATGTTGGAATCTTTAATCTGACATTAGTCACATTAATTAGACTAAAAAAATACATGTATAGAAAATTATAAATTAACACTCTGAATCAGGCGTTACTTAATTTCTTTTTACCTTTTTTAATTAAAGTGTATGTTAAAAAAATTTAACGTGCATTATAACCTTTTAATTAATTTATTATTTAAAATTAACTAAAATTTTAAAACACAAATTAATACCTGAAATTTGATCATGTACAATATTCAAAAGGTTTAGATTAAAGCCTATGTATGCCTTGAAAATTCAGCTATGACATGCCTATGTATACCTTGATAATTAAAGCCAATATATATACAATTGGGTAATGGTAAAAGATTTAGATAGTTTGTCTACTTGGGAAGCTATAATTCAAATTAATTACGTAGTGCAAACTTCAAAGTAAGAGAAATCTATTAGAATTTTATAAGATTAACCATATCATTTTTTTAATAGGAAGTCATATATTATTATTAACGACTGAATTTGAAAATAATTGTTTAAGTGAGTCTGAAAACTACCTCATCTGAAAAAATAAATTAGTATATCTAAGACAATCTTAGATACCAATTCTAAACACATGGTAAATCACTATATCAAAGCATCAGCCCAAAGTTTTGACTTTCTAAACACATGCATGGTAAATACCAATTCACCTCTTGCATAAGAAAGTCTATAGCATAAGATTAACCATCTCATTTTTAAGAAGTCACTATATTGGGAGACACGGTTGCCCACAAATGGAACAAAGAAAAAGACTCTTGAAAAAATGGTTCTTCAGGGAATTAAAGAAATTAAGGGAATGGTGGGTACAACTATTATGATTAGAGAAAAATGAATCAAATTCTCATTGATGAAATAAGTGGTCTTATATATTCAAGTACTATACATTTGTGGAAACCATTAAACCCTTTAAACAGAATAGTTATGCTGATTCAAGAGGTTAATTTAATTGTCTTGGTATTTGCCAGGTTTTTAAAGAGAACATTTGTTACTGCATGCATGATGACGCACAAAATAGTTGATTAAATTTTGGTAGCACCATAATTGACAGAAAGTATGGTCGATCAATTAATAACTTTAAATATTTATTAACAGAAAACTTAATTATTACAATTACAAAATGCATATGGATCAAAAGAAAATCCTTGCTGGTTATCAGAAAATGAAGAAAAAGAAGAAGCAATTAAACATGCCAAGGCATGGATCATTAATGCTCAATGTGCAGTTGAAGTGGAGAGAATAAATGGGGAATTACGTTGATAGACAAACATATAGACAATGTCACATTATACTAGTATATGGAATCATTCTTAAACAATTGATTATTTTGTTCATCTTGTATCAAATAATGTATACGATGAATGGTATTAGTGGCACATTAATGATATTTCGAGGAGGAACTAATAGAAGAATTAAAATAAATTGTGATCATGAACTTTCCCTATTCTAAATCCAGTGTTCCATCTTTCCTCATCTGCTTAATTAACTTCCATTGATTTGTGCTTTCTTCATGCTCCAAGCGCTCAATTCTGTGATGGTAACATCATTAGTTCCATTAATGAAAGCGTACAATTGTGCTTCATCATTGATTGCCAATGTGGGATAAACCCTGGCTGTCATGCAAGCCTTTCCTTTTCCTCCAAAGGACTCTACGACCGAGTGATCAATCTATGAAAGAGACAAACTCACTACTCATGATATATTCTTAAAAAATCCAAACCTCTTACAACGTGAAAAGTATACAAATATAAAAAATAAAAAAACTCTTAAAATGTGACCAAATAACTCAAACAAAAGTTTTTAGCTATTTTATACAATATAAATTATATAAAAGATCAGAAATAAAAATAAAAAAGTGTTGGTAACTAACTTTTAATACATTGAATGTTACTGGTAATAACATTTTATATGCTATAAGGTATTTATTTATTTTTGTTTTTCAAACAATTTTATTAGGTTATAAAAATAATAATAAACTTGTATTATCAAAAACACTTAATATCTTAAGGAAGTTTTTTACTCAATCTTAATGAATATCTCAATGCTTCAAGTGGAACTTACCAAGCTTCTCAACGACAACTTCTCGTGAAGAGGATTCACGTCCACAAAAGTTCCATAAGTGGTCTTATCATTATCTTCATTCAAAGAAGACCTTTCAAATGTGCATTTGTATATCAGAAAGAGTTGAACTCAGGTTTGAGAGAAGTTCAGTAGACGGAAAAATTATGGGTCACATACATACCTGCTTTGGTCACTACAGAAGAGTACCAAATGTTTGTGTTGGTATCTGAATATTCTAAAGAACACTGATGTGTACTCTTCCAATCCCTTTGAAGCGAAAACTAGCAAACCAAACGGTCCCAATCCAATTCTAACGGCTGAACCCTTTGTACTACACAGAATTTGTGGGTCCGTCCAATAGTTCAATACTTCAGCCTCTCCCAACCTATTCACTTCAAATGAAATTTCAACATCAGCCTGCGAAAGGTCAATTTTTATATTAATAAAGCCAAGTACCCATTTTACTATCGGTCTTATATATTAACATCGCATTAGTATTAATTTTAATTAACTAAAAATAAAAGACTTTTATTAAAAAGAATTATTATATTAAAAATATAAAATAGTTTTTCTTATCTGTTTATAAGAAAGAAATAATTAATTTATAAGAATGAATGAAAATAATTGCATGTTATATACTTACATTTTATTTTAAGAATACCTATTATAACAAATGGCTGAATAAAGAAAGTGTCAGTATTTCGTTAATATAAATTTTACTGAGAAAGATGAATTAACAATTGCTTTTACCTGCAGTTGTGCTTGTATATCGATTCTTTTTTAGTTCATGAATTCTAGAACATGCATTTTGTTATTAAAGTTAAATATAAGCACTCTGGGGATCACTGATAAATAATACACGTATATATAACTGTAAATATTAGTACACTTCTAGATTGTGACATCTAAAACTTACCCGTGTTGCTGTGATTCCATTTATTTGAAGCAGCTCACCTCCCTTGAGATTTTTGCTATGCCATTTGATTGGATGAGAACGTAACTGTTCAATTTCCTTCACTGGCCACTGTACTAATTGTTTACCAGTTTTATGCAGCCATATAACCCTTGGGATTGCCTGCAAATACAAGTACATTGTTCATGAAATTTCACACCCACCGTTTAGCTAGGAAATTGTCTTAGGCCAAACTTTATATTTTAAGGGAAAAAAAAAACGTCGTCTCATTTCCCGTTATTGGTCTGAGCTGGCTCATGTTTTTTTATACCATATTTCATGTATCGTAAACCATGCATACCCAATATACTAATTCAAAGTATTAGTCAGGTCAAGTTTTTTTATATGATTCTTATCTCGATTATAGAAAATAAAAACAAACCAATAACAGTTAAGAAATGTTCCTAAAAAATAGTTAAGAAATTTAAATTTACTCACATGAATTCCAGACCATCCTTTCTTGATATCATCCGCAACACTTGAGGATTCATTCACCCAACCTAACAAAATTCTTCTCTTCTTTCCATCGTCAAAGAACGTTTTTGAGGCATAGTATTTTCCATAATCAAATCTTAAAACAAATTCAATATCCTTAAATTCTTTATCTGGGATAAATATATCCTTGGTAGCATTATAAGTCCCAATGAGATAATAGTCATGCTTTTTGTCATCCAAACTAACCTTGAGTACATGCTTAACATCATCACCATTCACCGATGTGTCAAAACCCGATTTGCTCTTATTCAAAACTGGGAAGAAATCAGGACACTCCCACATTCCAGTGCCTAGGGTTGAATATAATGGATGCTCAGCTTCAACCCAATTAACAAAGTCTTTGCTCTTGTACAAAAGTGCCATTCCTATAGTGTTAATTTTGCTCCCAACAAGCATCCTCCAATACCCATCTTTGCCAAGCCAAGCAGTGGTAGGGTCTCTAAATGAACTTGCATTGATCTTGTTAACATCAGTTGGAACTATAAGAGGATTTTTGGGTGACTTAATCCATTCCCTAAGAAATGGGTCGGACAAATTTTTGGGGTAGACCAAATTTTGAACTTGGTGATGCAAGGAGTCAACTCCTGTGTATAAAATGACGGGTTTGCCTCCGTGAAGCAGTGTGGCTGACCCTGACCAACAACCATTGATATCATACGATTGTGTTCGATCGATGGCAGGATCTAGTGGAGTCCAATTCACAAGATCTTTTGATATAGAATGTGCCCAGATTTTATTTCCCGAAATTGCACCTTTAGGATTGTATTGATAGAACAAATGATAAATTCCCCGGTATCTCATTGGTCCTGCGAAATCGCACATACATTACATTTTTAGTTTGTTTAGCCAAAAATGATAAGGGACATATGGTAACAATTATGTAGTTGTTCAGTTTACATGTCTCTTTTATCGTCGTTTTAATTGAAAAATCACACATGAATATAAAGTATATCTTTTTAAATAATAACAGTCATATATATAATTAATGATTTAGCATTAAATTACTTTTTTTTAATATAACTGTCTAATAAAATTTAAATAATTAGTATTAACTATATTTATATAATGTTTAAAAAATCAAATTTTAGTATAATATATATCATAATCTCTAAATGAACATTTTGAATTTCTATGTGAATATATTCTAAAATCATATTGCTATTTTTGAATGGGGAGACATTCATGAAAACAGGGATTATGAAGAGAACTGAACTAACCATTAGGATCTGCAGCCACACATAGACCAATGTATCCATTTCAGCATAACATGTCAAATGATGAAAATAATAAGCAAAGGAAGAGGCTGTTAGAGATATATAAATTAAAATAAAATAGTTCACCAACAAAAGAAAAGTAAGGAAATATGAAAGGTTAAGAGAGAAAATGTAGGACAACTTGAAGAACATATATATATTATGTACCATTTATCCAATTCTTTGGAGGTTGGAAATGATAAGCAGTTCTATAAGGTTGATCGGAGGAATCAGAAGATACACTCTGAAGATTTCTGTAAACATGGGTAGCTCCACCGCCACAAATGACAGAAAAGAGAGTCAACAGCCAAATAGTAGAGATAGTCATCATAGTGGCGCTATGCACTGTGGAGGGAAACAGGTGCTCAGCTATCTGTCTATATAGAATAAGTCACAGCATACCGAGTGTAATGACTTAATCAATGCATATACAAGATTATAGTGAAAATATTAAGTTTTGAATTTATAAATTTTAAAATTTATAAATTAGTTTTTGTTGCTATTTATTTATTGGTATCATGACATGTATCTAATTTTATCATGTTAACAAACGCTTTAAAATAACATGTGATACATCATCATAAGGTAGTAATCGAAATTATTCATAAAAAGTTTAAAGTTTATGAAAAATAAAACTAACAAAAAATCATAAAATTAAAATTACATTACATCATATTTATAAAAATGAAAAGTATATTTATTGCTTCAAAGAAACATGTCAGAGAGAAGCAACCAAAAAATGTATTATTTTTACACGTCAAATTGCAAATAATATATAGTGTAAGAATTTTGAAGTCAACTATACTAGCTACGTATAGGCCTTAAGAGAAGGAAGTAAATACTAAAGAATATACAATATGCTACTATTTTTATTATTATGTTGGGACTTGCTAGCCGTGACGGATCTAGGGGGAGTGGGTATCAGAAAGGTGATCCTTAAAACTAATTACAAATGCTATTTCACTGATCATTAGATTCTACTTTGTTTCTTTCAATAAAATAAAAGTTCGATTTAAATTATTTTTTATAAAATAATTTTATAATTATATTAATAATAAAGATATTTTAAACAAATTCGTTCCTTTACACAGTGAATCACTTCACTCAGCGTAAGTATGAATTAACCGACCAAGTCTTTGAAATTTTAAAGAGAAAATTTTAAAATGAATACAATTTCTATATTTGTGATAGGATAACATGGCACACCATTTATTGTGCAGCAATTTTTCTTACTTTCTTTTTAAATATTCTTTGAAGACAGTGGCTGATTTTCTTAACAAATATTTAGTCACCTTTTATTGATTTTATTAATCTCAACATTTAAAACTAAACGTAAGCATCTAAAAATATTTACAAAGAAAATTTGTTATATTAAAAGTATAATAATATAATAAATATTTTTAATAAAATTTTATTACTATGAATTATTTAAACACAGTTCTGAGAACTGAAATTAACATGTTTCATCAAATAACGTATAAGTATAAGACGAATGACATGCATTATACATATTACTGTCATGTTAATGATACTTCGAGCAGGCACTAATAGAAGAATTCAAAAATTGTCTTCGTAAACTTTCGCGGTTCTGAATCTACTATAGAGTCCTTCTCTTCCTTTCTGATTAGTTTCCATTAATTTATTTGAGCTCTATTCATGCTCCAAGCACTCAATCTTGAGACGATGACATCAGAAGTTCCATTATTGAATGCGTACAATTGTGCTTTATTATTGATTGCCAATGTGGGATAAACTCTGGCTGTGATACAAGCCCTTCCTTCTCCTCCAAAACTCTCTACGACAGAATGATCAATCTGTGAAATGGAGAAATGCATTAGAAGGGAAAAAGGCAATGAAACGTATAGTCACTATTTATGATCCTAAAAGATTCAAACCTAGGCAAAGAATACATGCAAGTATAAAGAAATTGAATCTGTTCAAGTGCGTGATTATGGAGTCTCTTCAATCCCCCAGAAAAATTTAATTAACAGTGAAAAGGAATCTAAAATTGAGCGACTTTAGATTGTTGATACAATAGGCACTTGAAATGGAAATAAATGTAAAAAAGTAAAAAACAGAAACTAGAGATGAAAATCCCTGTAGCATAAATTTTAACTTAGACACATACATTTTTTTTGTCCCTATCGCTCTGTGTGTTATAATTTTTTCATGTTATCTATTTTATAGTCTTCTAAGAAGTTATATTCACTGTTTTTTTTTTCTTTAAATATGATCATGCACTTGTAAGTTTCATGTGAATGCAACCTTTACGAGCAACTACAACCATAAAATTGACTTTGTACATAGTTGAAGAAAGTTTAATTATATCTTATGGCTTCACGACAAAAATTGGAACCCTTTTTTAATTATTATGATCATGTGCTTGTCGTGATTTCATACTATTGCAACTTTTGCAGGCCAGTGTAATCCTTAGAAAATGACTTTTGTACGTTTGAAAAAGCTTGGCACCATATATTCCTTGGACTATGGCTTCATAAATTGGAACCTTTTTTTTTTAATTAATATGATCATGTGCTTGTCAGTTTCATATTTATTCAACTTTTTGGGGGCCACTACAACCCAGAGAAATTGAATTTCAATATTTGGAGAAAGATATATAGTGCATGTGTTCGCGAAAAAAAAGGAGAAAATAATGTGCATAGTAATATCTCATGGGCCATGGCTTCATCAATTTGGAACTTACCAAGGTTCTTAAGGACAAGTTCTCATGAAGAGGATCCACATCCACATAAGATCCATAAGTGGTCAAATCATTGTTTTTATTCAAGGAAGACCTGTCATAGGTGCATTTGTAATTAGAAAAGTTGGAACTCGTGTTTGGAGAGAATTAAATTGAGTTGATGCAAATAAAAAATGTGAAGTAAAAATTAAATTGGATCGATAAAAATAATTGGAGGGTACAAACAAACCTGCTCTGATCACTACACAAGAACACCAAATATTTTTGCTGGTATTTAAATATTCTGAAGAACACTGATGTGTACTCTTGCAATCCCTCAGAAGCAAATACTAGAAGACCAAAAGGTCCCAATCCACTTCTAATGGATGAACCCTTTTTACTACATAGAATTTGGGGGTCCGTCCAATTGTACAATACTTCAGCTTCTTCCAACTTATTCACTTTAAATGAAATTTCAACGTCAGCCTGCAAAGGACAAATGATAGCTCTAATGTTAAGGCAATCATACCAAAAAAAAATTAAAATAAAAGCAATCATACCCATTTTATTATAGGTAAGCTATTATATGGTGTGGATTTCAAACTATTAAAAGTGAGGAAAAAAATGTTAAAATTAATTATATTAATCATATTAAAAACAAGTATATACAATGAATTTTATTTTTAATTAGATGCGTGCATCAATGATGTTTTATAGTTGACAGCTAAAGATACGCACATGAATGCAATAAATATCATATTTTTTATTTAAATACTTAAACTAAATCTAACAAGTTGATGTTATTGTTTTTGGTAACTTTATTGAATAATGACATTTCAATCATAGAATTGCTGAAAGTGTCGTTCTTAGTAAATAAATGTAAAATGTAACCTAAAACAAAACATTCCTAATGAAAGATTGATTATGTTATCAGAATTGTTTTATTATAGTGAATGACTTATCTATATTCCATCTTAATTTGCACTTTTAATATGACCAATTATTAGATGGTGGTTGAGGGAATTTGATATAGAATCAGGTACAGTAATATTAAAAGCATCTAATCTATCATAGAAGTTAGAAATTTTTTAAACACAAAATTGAGATTACAAACATTATCTCTTTTACTTTTATAATGCAATTATGAAACACGTATACATAAAAAATGAAAAATAAAAAATAACCATAAAAAACATTATATACGACATTAAATTGTTTTCATCGAAATAATAAATCTCTAAGACCAGTTCTTCCTATGTTTAACATTTTAATCGCCACGGCACATTGTCCGAATAGAGAAATAAAAGGTGGGCTTTTTGTTTTTTTGGCACAAATTCAAAACGATTTATACGAAGGAGTAAAACATTTCCCATTATCCAAACTCGTATTTGTAGTAAATAGTGAGCAAATTTTATAGCATATTACCTATTAAAAAATATTATTGTGGAGAATATTTGTGGGGAAAAAAAATATTATCTATTGAAAAATAATAATGCTATTTAAATAACAATAATTCTATTTTCCTTTTCAAGCATCTTGGATAAACTTCTTGTTATTAAGCTTAGAGCCGGCTTCAAATTGTGCCCGAATATAAATATAAGGACCTGAGGGATATTTCATACCAGTTAAAAAGAATTAAGATATGATAACTTTTTAATATAAAATTAAGGTTACTTTTTTTTTAAAATGGGAACATTTTATTAAAGCAGAAAAATTAATAGAATATTATCTATTGAGAAAATAACGCTATTTATTACACCTAATTTGATTCTGTATTTATGTATCCGTTCTATTTACTTAGTCCAGAGAACCTTTAATCAAACTTTCTTGTTATTAAACTTATAGCTGGCTTCAAATTGTGTACAAAATATAAAGGCAAGAACTATGTGGATCACAGTATAATAATATGACTACATTGTGTTATATAGTATTAGTGTATTTCTCTTATTAAGTTGTATTAAATCTTACCTGTGCTGCAGAGACACCATTAATTTGAAGTAGCTCACCTCCCCTAAGCTCTTTGGTGGGCCAGTTCACTGGGTTTGCACGTAGTTTTTCAATTTCAACCACTGGCCACTGTTCCAACACTTTACCAGATTCATGCAACCAGATAGCCCTTGGAATTGCCTGCAAATAAATGTGCATTATTGATGAAATGAAACTTCACACCCACTGTTTCATAGGAAACAGTTTCAGGTCAACTCTAATTTTTTGAGGGAAAAAATAAATTGGAGCCTAACTCTGACGTAATTGTCTTAGCTGGCTCATGTTATTTTAAATTATTATAAGTCAAAAATCAAGACTTTGTGATATGATCAAACCTTGTCTTGATTAATTTTAGAAAATAAAGAAACCAATAAAAAAGTCAGAAAATGCAACCAACTCACATGAATTCCTGACCATCCTTTCTTGATATCATCTGCTACACTAGATGATTCATTGACCCATCCCAATAAAATTCTTCTATTTTTTTCACAATCAAAGAACGTTTTTGAGGCATAGTATTTTCCAAAATCATATCTCAAGACAAATTCATTTCCCTCGAATTCTTTATCAGGGATGAAGATATCTTGGGTAGCATTGTAAGTCCCAATCAAATAGTAATCATGTTTTCTATCATCCAAGCTTGCCTTTAGAACGTGCCTAACATCATCACCATTCACGGATGTGTCAACACCAATCGGGCCCTTATTCAAAACTGGGAAGAAATCAGGGCACTCCCACATTCCAGTACCTTGGGCTGAATGTAATGGGTGTTTGGCTTCAACCCAATTAACGAAGTCTTTGCTCTTGTACAAAAGTGCCATTCCAGTGGTGTTTATTTTGCTCCCAACAAGCACCCTCCAATACCCATCTTTGCCAAGCCAAGCAGTGGTAGGGTCTCTAAATGAACTTCCATTGATCTTATTAGCACTAGTTGGTGCCATTAGAGGATTTTTTGGTGACTTAACCCATTCTCTAAGAAATGGGTCAGACAAATTTTTGGGGTAGGCCAAGTTTTGAACTTGATGATTCAAAGGGTCAATTCCAGTGTATAAAATGGCAGGTTTGTTCCCAGGAAGCAGTGTGGCTGAACCTGACCAACAACCATTGATATCAGACGGCTGAGATGGATAAATGGCAATATCTAGTGGGGTCCAATTCACAAGATCCTTTGATACAGAGTGTGCCCACACAATATTTCCCCAAACAGCACCTTTAGGATTGTATTGATAGAATAGATGATAAAATCCTCCATATGTCATTGGTCCTATGTAAAAGTCAAAAAAAGACATTTTTTTAATTTTCAGCACAAAATAATAATTGATAGTCCACACGTATCAGCTTGTAAATTTTTTATGTACTATCATTGGATTCAAATCAGGGTTTTTCTTTTATGTCTCTTTTATTATTTTAATTAAACAACACAACATAAAAAATTATATCTTTTTGCGTGACAACGTTTCCTCTCTTCATTGTTATTCGTTGATAAAATATTATATTTTATTTAAGTAAATGTCATTTAAACTCTTTATTAAAGATATTATTAATATATATTTATTATATACTTTTAACAATTTTTAATATACAATTATTGTAATTTTTAATAAATGTTCTTTTGTTTTTTTTTTATTAACTAGTACCCTTAATTAGAGAACTGTTAGCAAAATATTTTTAAAATTAGATTAAAAATATGTAACTTTGGTTTCGCTACTCAGCATGCGTCATTGGCGTATATAATAATAGAGAAAAGGGGACCAAATGGAAGAAACTTCATAACCAATTAGATGCTCATTTTCTTTTCCTACGGCCCTACTAATATTGATATTGCCTTAATATATTTACGTCGTGTTTTTTATTTCTACGTACGGCCTTGGAAGTGCCGTTAAACAACCTTTGGTAAACTGAATTTCTGTACACTTCCTGGTTTTATTAAATTACACATTTGAACATTTCAACCATTTTGAATTGCTAGGAAATTATGAAATCATATAGTTATTTTCTGAAATGAGTAGATAATAATTAATATAGATGATGGATTGAAGGTACAAAATGAATAAAAAGAACTGAACTAACCATTGGGATCTGCAAGTTCACATACAGCCACATGTCCATTTCAGCATATATCATGTCAAATGACAAAAACAAGAAGCAAAAGAAGAAACTATTAGACATAAAATATTGCACAAAAATAAATGAAAAGAATAGAAAGAAAGAAATAAAGGTATATTATTTACATATATGAGAGAAATAAGTTGAAGAAAATATATTACATACCATTGATCCAATTCTTGGGAGGTTGGAAGTGATAAGCAGTTCTATAAGGTTGATCAGAGGAATCAGAAGACAGACTCTGAAGATTTCTGTAAACATGATGGGTAGCTCCACCGCCATAAATGACAGAAAAGAAAGCCAATATCCAAATAGTTGATATAGTCATGGTGGCTATGTGGTAATGGTTGTGGAGGGAAGCAAGTGTTCTTTGCTATCTATTTATACATAGATTTATACATATATAGAGATAACACTGCTGGCTATGGTGTAAATTTATGAATGGAAAAGGGCATAAAACACGGCACAACAAGTGATTGGTTTTTCATATATAAAATTGTTGAGAGAAAATTCAAAACTTATGACAGAGAAGCAACCAGGAAAGTAAGTATTAACTTTACACGTCAAAGTGTAACTAATCTGTGGTGTCAAAATTTGGAAGTCAACTATCGAAGTGCATCAGCCCCATGACTTCAAGATACGGAGTACACAAATAGTCAAGTATGTTATATGTTACTATTATTTTTGTTATTACATTGGGACTACCATTGTAGTTAAGTAATAAAAATTGTATGATCAATGAGCAACCACTCTTTGAAGTTTGAACAAGGATATTTTAAAATCAATATACAGTAAGGGATCCTTTATTTGCGATAGAAGAACATGGCACCCCATCTCCAAAATTCATGAATTGGGACCGGCCAGTACTACAAATTAATAAACACATATACCCCTTTCATGAATAAAACCATGTAATTTTATCAACCCCTATCAAATATGAGTGTGAGTCTATGTGAAACTTATTCTAAACCCTACGCATGTGTAAATGTGAGGATCATAAATATTATATATGGTCTATTTTGAAATAAGTGTTTCATTTTTAATCCACAAAATGTCTTATAAATTTATAAATAGCTGTAATAACAAAGAAATCTATAATCTGTCCCAAATTCGAATAAAGAAAAAAAAAGTTATGCTATTCTGCAGGCAACATAAAATTTATTGAAATATATAGATAGATCACTAATGACTAATAAAGAAGTCGTATGAGAGTGTTTTTAAAAAGGTTGAATTAATATATACGTGATAAAGTTAATTAAACTGGCTCTGTATCATCAATTGTACGAATATAATTGTAGTTAATGCAATTTTTAGTGCCAGCTTATGCCCCTTTTCTGATCACATGTGTCTGTTTTTCTATTTTTCTTTCTCTACGTGGTTAGGTTAAACCAAATTCGAATTTGAATAAGAGAACTGTGAAAAGGTTGGGGATCATACGTGTACAGTTGGGGATCAAGAATGAAGAAAAGAACTAGTAAATTGGACTTATCCAGAAAATGTGGCTGCAATGGAGCTAGGCATAATAGAATTAATGGAGTATGGATACCAACGAGAAGTTTCAATAAAAAGGTATAAATGATGAATGGTAGGATCATGAATTAATGCCGTAATCCTTTTCAACAACAAATGCTTTTTGCTGAATAACTTTTAGACATTTGTTTAAGAAATTTGTGGTGAAGTCGGCTAGTGCGTGCAACTCATAGTATATATATATATATCTTGTGCTTATCTATAATATATTATCATCACTATAGTCATATACATGCATGCACAGATTCTGCGGGTCATTTCGTCAACATTTGGTTTCGACCATAAACTTGTCAATTATGTTCTTCCACTATCTCACTTCATGTATATCCGTTTAAGCAAAGTCTATAAGTTTCTCGTGACTTCAGCAGCCAAAAGGAGAAAAGGTTTTAATTTCGTGACTTAACTTCAATTTTGTTTCATTGTTTCGGTGAATTTTAATTGATTTACGTGATCAATTTTATATCTACTATTAATTATTTCAAAGTGTAGCTAACTGTTTTGCTCAGGTATTTTAGGAATGCTAATCTGGTGGAATCATTAGAATTTTCAAAGGGCTAGGTTTTACATATATGTTTTCTTATTCACAATATTCGAACTAAAACCCTGTAAAAGGATAATGAAGTTGAGGAGTTTAATGTGCAACAGTGTTTTTTTCCTTTCTTTTTAGATATTTATTGATGGGATTTTATAATGACATGGATCACCTTATGCTGGACTTAGATATCTATCATCACTTGGTAATATTTAACACTAATTGTCATTTATATAAACTTAAGTCATTTATCAAATAATTTAATTTAATAATTGATACAAATGTAATTGGGAACTCCAACAAATAAAGAGATGGTTGTTTTTGCAATGTTTATTAATCTCAATCTTTAAGATTAATTTTAACTATCTAAAAATAATATTTTTTAATAAAAAAAATTATTAGTATTAATCATTTAAGAATAACCTTTAAAATTGTGGTTAACATTTTTTTTATTTTATTCAACCAATGATTAAAAAAAAATTGTACCTGTCCATGTGGTGACTATGCCATAAAGAAAATGAGTACATATATCCATCTTTATTTGTTCCCCTGTATATCCAATGTCTAATTTATGAACTTCTTCTTGGATTTAGACAGATCAATAAAAAAAGTTGTAGTCCAACCCACACCATTTCCAAAAACTTTGTATTGGGCTTGCTTTTAGATCGCCGCGTAGCTTCTCGTGGTCCTATCTATTCGGACTAACCCATTGTTCTCTGGATTATAATTTATATCCCCTAAACTTTGGTCGATCCTTATTTATAATAAGGGCAGGATTTTTTTACAAGTTAAAAAACTTTTATATTTAATTTAAATTTTTTATGTAACTTAAATCTAACATTCAATAAAATAATAAATTATAATATATTAAATTTAAATTAAATAAAAAATTAAAATTGAATATAAGAGTTTTACATTAGTATAAAAAGATTATTTTCTTTTATAATAATATATTTGATAAAATTATAATCAAAATTATTTTTAAACATTATGTTGAATTTTAAAGTACAGTTTTAGTTGTTTTTATAATTAAATATTCAGAAGTCCGGTACTATATTAAAAAATTAAGTCTAAATTATTTTTAAAAGTTAATTCAATAAAGATTGTTTAATTTATGTAAAAGTATTCTTAATAGAGTTTGGTAAAACTTCAAGTAATACATATTAATGTGATTATATATATATAAGTGGAGAAATTGAAAATATTTTATCTTAAATGCAGACATGGCTACAGTATCTAATTTGATGTTATAAACTTTATCTTTAAACATTTATTTTTATCAATTTTTTTATGAAGATCAGCATTATTTATAAATAAACGTGCAATTATTTAACTAATTTGAACCATGATTTACTTTTAAGTCCTTATAGTAAAGATTTTAAGCCTTGTTTAGAAGTTAAGAAGAAAAAAAATTAAAAAAAAAATAAGAGAAAAAAAATGAATACTGATTAATACATAACTCTCTGAATTGAAGATACTTAAAAATATAAAATTAGAAACATTTTTAAGAGTTTATAAATCATCACTTTTTCATTTAAAAACTTTAAAATAAAATAATTATCACATAAATTTATTTTTTTTCAAAATAAACTTCTAAACAAAATTTTAAAATTTATTTAAAATTTTGAGAATGAGTAAAAGAAAGTGTTTAAAAAATAAAGGAGAAAAAATAAAAGTTAATACAAAATTTTTAAAATTAGGGAAATTTAAGAACGTGAGATTACGAAGGATTTAGAGATTTTATAAACTCTAAAAAAATTAGTAAATTGATATATTTAACGTGATTTTGTATCGGGTTTGTTCCTTTATCTCTTTTTTCTCATTTTGGTTGTTAATTTTTAAAAATATTTTAAATAAGTTGTATTTTCATATTTTGTAAAAAAATTGTTAGCTTTAATAAAAATTATTATTTATCTTCTTTATTTTTATAAACTCTAACAAAAAATATTGTGATAATTAACGTGAGCTAGTATATCATATGACTCATAAGTTAGCAAGATAAACTTTTATAACAGATTTTAAAAGTTATAGTATTTATAATTTAATTTTTAATAAATTTTGTAAAGTTAGAATTTTTAAGTATTGTATATTTAAACAAGTCTTTTAAAAGTGTTTTTCCTTTGAAACAAATATTTTTTAAAATATAATTGTAATATATACGAATTTTTTTTATTTATATAAAATTCAACTTTATTCTCTTAAAATCACTCATTTTCATCTTTGTTTATTAAGTTAGTTTAAGTATTTCTTTTGTGTTTCTAATAACTAATTTTTAATGTGGTTGAATTTTAAAAAGTTTGAAAGAGATTTTCAAAACAAAAGATTGAATGAAATCAAGTGATCCTTGTTTGGAACAGTGTTATAAAAATTATGCTCAATTCCTCTTTATCCTACTCTATTTCTTCCTTATTTTCTCCTCCTAAATAACATGCAAAAATATTTCCTAAATTTAATGACTTAAATATTCATATTTTATTTAACTTGTCACACTTTAAATTATGATATTTGTAAATAAAACTAATTAATTTTGTAAATAACATGTACTCATCTCAATATTTGTAGAAATGAACAATTTGATTAGATTATAATAGGGATAATGACTAAAGATGTATGGTTCTAAAAAATATAGAAAAATTTTTGTTGTTGTAATTTTTGCTTAAATTATATCATATTTGCTTAAGCTAATTTTATATAATGATAAATATACAAATTTTATTGATACTCGTTTAAGTCATAATATTTTGGCTTATGCAAAAATATGATACTCAATCTTGATTTAAATCAAACTTTATTTGCTTAAGCAAATATTAAAATATCTTATAAAAAGTAAGAAAAACATGGCTTAAATGAAATTTATAGAAATTATATGAAGTATATACAACCAATGTACAAGGAGAGCATGAAAAGATCTAAAAAGGTATTGAACAATGTATTAATATGAAAATTTATTTTCATGATGAATTAAGAATATAAAAATTGATGTAAAAGTTTTAATTCTAAAAATTATTAACTTCATACATAGTATTTGTAGAGAATCTTAAAAATTTAAAATGATATTCAATATTTTATTTATTCAAAAGTTTTTTTTATTATAAATTAGAATTACATCAATGCATATAAATGTATATCTTTTTAAAATTATCACCTAGATACATGAATTGAAGTCGAAGATATAAAATAACAGATTTTAAAGGTAAAAAAAAAATTGTAATTTTTTATAGAAAATAAAAAATAAAAAATATATAAAAATTAGTATTAGTAAGCTACAAGTTGAAAATATGAATCATTTATATATTTTAAAATATATCTAATAATTTTAAAATAGTAACTCATCCATAAATTACTTACTTTACTAACTCATGTTAGCTTGAATCTAAAAACATAATATATTTTAGAAAAAAATTTACACCTATTTTTATTTTTTATTTTTTCTTCCTCTTATCCTTTCATCTACAACTTTATGAAATAAAAATATTAGCTTTCTCTTTTTTTTTCTTCTTATCATTCTTATTCTTCCTTTTATTTCTCATTCGTGTTTAAACAATTTATTTCTCTCCCTCTCTTTAAACTTCAATAAAATATTTTTTTTTTAAATTTTTTGGTAATGTTAAAATTGTATAAATAAAAAGAACAAAATAGTTGTGACTAACATAAAAGGAAAAAAGTGTATAAAAGATTAAAAAAAAAAAACTAGAAAGATAAGATTTTGATAGGAGTTCACAAAAAAAAATGTCATAGAAATATAGATAAAGAGTAAGAGAAGGAAAAAATATAATAAAAAATACTCAAAATTTTTTAGAAATAATCACGGAAGTGTGAATGAGAAATAAAATAAAAACAAAAAATAAAAAGTTTTTTTTATTAGAATTCAAATGTGAAGCTAAAGGGCCATAAAATGCTATACGAGGGGTTAAAAAAAAAGAAAAGAGAAGAAAATTAGATAATTAAAAAATATAATATTTTTACAATGTTTAAAAAAAAGGGTGATCAATGTTTTTTTTTTTTAACAAAGCTTACACTTCCTGAAGAAAATTTTTATTTGAAACAAATCTTTAAGTTAAAGAATCAATTTATTAATTTTGTTTGAATAAAAAATAAAGAGAAAAGATAAATAGAAGAGATGTATTAAAAAAAAGATAAAGATAAAAAAAAGGAGGAGAGATGAAAAGTTTCAAAAACAGAAAAAAAGAGTAGAAATTATGAAAGTACTAAAAAAAATTTTCATTCTCATGTCAATTATCGTTAATTGAATGATTAAATGTCTTTAATATTATTGAAATTGTAAAGATTTTTTAAATAGTTATATGTTAATTTAAATTTTGTGTAAAAGTAAGTTTATTCATAAAAATAATAAAAATTATAAACTTCATTTCTTTCTAAAATAAAATTATTTGATACATAATGTTGGTATATTTGTATTATAGTGATTTATCGAGTAATTATGTATTAATTTCAATCCTATACAAGAGTGAATTTATATAAAAAAAAATTCCTTTTCATATGAATTAAATATTTTAATTTTTTTAAAATTATTTCATTTTTTATTTATATTTAATAAATTGATTAATCAGAATATAAATGAAATTCAATAATAATAAATATTGATTGTGATGGTTAATTATAATGGTATTAAATGAAGGTAAAATTATATTTAAAAAATATAAGAAAATTAACTAGCTTTATACATATTTTTTTAACTCATGTAATTTAGTTAAAAATACTTTATAAAAAGAATTAGAGGAAGCACATGGTAACATTCAATAAATTATACAAATTAATAAAAATAGTTAAATTAATTTATTTATTTTTAAAATATCATAATATAATAAATTAACTTTAATTAAGCTTATTAAATTTAATTTTACTGTCCATATTTATCTTTGTTAATTTAAATTTAGAATTTCATCAAATTTAAAAATATTATTTTTTTATTACATAGCATTCATTTTTTTCATTAGATATTATTAATTAATATATATATTTATAGCCACAAAATTAAGAGACATGAATCTTAAAAATAAAATTTAAATTAAAAAAATAAAATAATAAGATCATGTATTTAAATATAATAAAATATACATGTGAGTTCGAATCTTTAAATAAATTTTTAAATTTTATAAAATAAAATATTATAAAATTAATAATGTATGATATTTAACAAATCAAAGCTTAATTTGAATGAGCTTGTGAATAAAATTTTAAATGAAAAAATAATATAAAAATAAATAAAATTTCTCTTGTAAGTAAAAAATAATTTATCTCTTCAAATTGTAAAAAATTCAAATAAAATAAAATTTTCAAAAATAAAAAAGTATAAGTCAATTTTAAGTAATAGAAATAATTTTATTTATTTATTTATTTTTATATTTTTATTTATATTTATTCACATGTTCACTCAAACTAAATCTAAATACTGTGAATTTAATAAATATAATCATAAGTTTTTTTTTTAATTTTAAAAGTTTATATAAGACAATAAAAAAAGTTAACAATTTTTATTTTCAAAATTTAGAATAAAATTAATAAAAATAAAAATAAACATAAACTTAATTATAATAAAAAAAAGTAAATTTACACATTATTTTTAAATAAATTTAATACTAAAAATACATGTGATTACTATTATAAAAGGTAATTCTTATTTTTAAGTGGAATATTTTTATTTATAATATAGATATTTATTTTAACACTTTTAACAAAGATATTTTGGTAAAGTTAATTTATTTTATAAAAAAATATAAAATTATTAATTTTCTTAGGATATGTATATTGAATATCTTGTATTATTTTTATTTACTATATTAATTATCTCATTTATTTATTAATTTATTACAATGAATATTTTATTTATTTTTTATCATCTATTAATTAAGCATTAAATATTTAAAAATAGGATTTAAAGAAAACATTAAATATTCACTAACTTTACAATATAATAATAATAAATAAATAATATAAAATAATTAAAATATTAAAAGTAATATTTTTATTCGTTTCCATTTCTTCTTCAATTGTTTATTTATACAAGGAACGAAGAACGCAAAGGCAAAAAACAAAACATTATTTAGAGAGAGAGTATGGTCTTTGGTACCAAAAAGATGCAATGAACTATTGAATTAGAAGCTGGTAGCAAGCGAGACTAATCCATTTCTCCCTTCTCCACGCCTTCATACAAACTCACAAAAAAGCTCTAATTTCTAATTCACTCTCTTCTCAAAGCGCGTGTCTTTCAACATGATCATCTTCTATGGACTTGAGTCAGGTGCAAAACCCCTTCCTTTTTCATCTGCCCATTAATTTCTTTTTTCATTTTTTTAATTAACAATTTGTTGGGTGTGCCTCTGTGTCACCTTTTCAACCATGGATTGGGAAAGTTGCCTCCTTGATTCTTCCTCAACTCCTGAATTTGTTTACCTTGGAAACTTTACTCCTGGGGTTTGTTTGTTTGTTTTTTTGACTTGGATTTGGGAGTCAAGTTTCAAACTTTTTAGTGTGTTTGAGGAGTGGATTTGTAGAAATGATTTTAGCCTGAGAAATTTTGATGTAGAGGAACTGTGGGTGTATGTTAAGGAGATATTTGATGGGTAGGGCAATAATCAATTATTGAAAGAGCCTCAAGTTGTTATTTGTTTTCATGTTTCAATTATCAGAAGCTGTATCAAAGAGATAAACAGAATTTTGTTGATTTCCACTTCCTCTTCAAGGAAGATTTTTTTCCCTGTGTTTGTTGGATGTGAATAACTTCTCTTTTCTTAATAGACTGGTACTTTTTTCCCATTAATTTTCCATTTTCTGGTTTTGTCAGATTCTACATAGAGGAGCACTGCTGCTGGTCACTGTATAAATTCAAAGTTGGAATGATTTGATGGGAATATGGTTGAAAGCTTCAACCGGACTGATTCAATTGAGTTCTGTGAAGCTGAAATGGGGAAAGGTGGTTTTCAGGAATCTGGTCCTGTGTTGAAGAAGTCGAGAAAACAAATTTTGGCTTCTCAAAATGTGGATAATTGTGAAGAGGAAGACAGCCAGGACAGATTTGGTGACATGCCAGACTGTCTTATTCATCATATTTTGTCATTTATGGAGACAAAGGACGCAATTCGAACTTCCGTTTTGTCAAAAAGGTGGAGGTATATTTGGACTTCAGTTCCATGCCTGAACTTCAGCAGCAAATCATTCACGAGGTTGGTTGATTTCAAGAAGTTTGTGCAATGGGTCCTATCCCATCGTGATTCTTCCCATGTCCAATTACTTGTTTACAATCGGTTTGGGGTAGATTATGCAACAGATCAATATCTATTGAATAAGGTTATTGAATATGCAGCATCACATGGTGTTGAGGAAATCAAGATCAATCTTCGGGCAAAGACCTCTGGCAGTCCTCCTGTTGAAATCCCTTTGTCTCTATTTACTTGCCAATCCTTGAAAAAGCTTGAGTTAAAAGATTGTCATCCTACAAATGTGTCATCCCCTTTAGGTTGCAAATCATTGGACGTTTTGCATCTGGAACATTTCTCAATGTATCCTGCTGCAGCTGATTTTTCAAATCCATTTGCAAGTTTATCCGGACTTTTTGGCTTTATGACATTGACAACTTTGCATCTAATTAGCTTCACTCTATGTTATACAGGAACTGACTGTTTGGATCCATTTGGTAATTGTGTCAATTTAAAGAATTTGCACTTAAGTGAAATGTCGTTTAAGTCAGATTTGAACCCTAAGGCTTTTGTGATATCTGGTCCAAAACTCAATAACTTGAGTCTAATGTGCAACCGCTTTAAATGTAAAATTGTAGTTGCTGCACCACAGCTCACCAATTTCAATTACTTGTATTCTACACCTCGTGCCTTCTTTGAGTTTAGTCTTCCTTCTTTGGATGGCTTGATCATTGATATACATGAACCACATCGATTGGAAAAATCTCATCGAAAGAAAAGGGAGGAGACTTTACATGGTTTGATCAACATGTTGCGCGGACATCATAATGCTGAAGCTGTGAAACTATCCTTCTGTACAGTTGAGGTATAGAGAAAATTCTGTGTTTATATGCATTTGCATGTGACTGCACACACAAGTGCGTGTGTGGTTATGTGTGTGTGTGTGTGTGTGTGTGAGGGAGATTGGGTTTCTGCTGATTGTCAAATGAAATTTAGTTTATTTAACCTAAATTAATTTATAAAAGAAAAATCATTTTCATTTTCAGGTTACTTGTGGGACTGCAGCGTTGTTAAAGCCAGAATGTTTGCCTTCTAGTGAATGGAAGTCATTGAACTTCGGAGTGGGATCAACGTATAAAATCTTCATCAACAAGCTTGACGATATAACTGCCTATTACCGCAATTGCTTTCAGGAATCAGACTTTGAGATTTTGACTGTTTAGAAGGTATTCATAAATTCCCTTCATTCTTAAATAATTTATTTTCCCTTCATCACTATAATATTAATGAATTTTAGGATCATATTTATCTCTAATTTATAAATACCATCCATTTGACATCCCTTGTCTCGCTCTTCTTGTGGCATCACATTTATTAGTTCTCTCTCCTTTATTCTCTTTGGGTGTAGACACCCTTTGGGGTGTTTACCAAACATCTTCCTATTTCTAATGCTAATTATATTCTTTACTTTTTGTTCTAGCTGATGATCATATATCACTCAAATAAAAAAAAAATGGTTCAATGATTGGTTGAAGTTTCTAATTAGTGGATAATAGTGAACTCCATTGACTATTTCAACATTAAGTTTCTACCAAGTCTTACATTTACTTTACTCATATAGTCTTTCCATGACTTGAGCAATTTAGACAACGACTATAATCATTGCCTTCTAATTTCTGTATGTAGTTTGGATCTACTGATTTTCACTTTATTTTAATGAGTGTTTACTATGTTTCATTGGTCTCCATTTGCACCATCTCTCTCTTCATAGGACTTGTTTCTTGGCTAAGATAGGGTAGATAGATAGAATAAAATAAGCTATCCTATCCTATTTTAAATCTATTATTTGGTGAGTCAATAGGGTAAAATAGGATTATCCTATTTAGCTCAGCAACAACAACAAAAGCTTTTAGTTCACTGAAGTCTACTACATGGATCATCCAAAGCCACTCAGTTATAAACTAAATTTTTAGAAATATTGTTTACCATGACATAATTTTAATGATTTCCTTAAAATTTCTTGAACTTTCTTTATCCCTTCTCTTTACTATCTTCAGTGACATTCTTTGCATATGTCCAAATCACTTTAATTGATTTTCTATCATTTTTTCCTTAAGGTATTATTCCAATATTTTACTCGTTAGTTCCAAATATGTGGTGTGGCCTAGATTAGACAAAAGTCGAATAGGATGGTAATCTTTTCCCTAAGTTAATGCATAAGTCGAATAGGCTCTCTCTTCCAGGTATTCTTTTGCATGGGCTGAGGGCAGTAATAATGAATGAAGTGTCAGAATACTGCAGAAAATGAACCAAAAACTTCAGTGTTAGATTATAAGATCAATGCTTGGTTTGCCTCATTTAGATGCTAGGACTTGATAATTTCCCTTTTGAATGAAGGTCTGTAGACTTGCCTATTTTCACTTCTGCAGCATACAAAGATAATAACTATTAGGTTTAAGCCTTTGTTTTACATGTCATTAAACCTTTGTTTAGTACGTCTATGCTGTGCCCAGGGCTATACAATTTTTGAATGGCTGTGTGTTATTATGCTTCTATTTATGCTCTCTTGCATGAACAGTCATATATTTTGGTTAGACTATTGATAATGTTTACTTTAGCATACTTTTTGGGGGCTTATACATTTCATCTTTTAAGAGCTTTCTGAATTTGTTTGCCTGACTTAATTTCTTTGTTCTTGCTTTTGTATTGGATTTTGAAGGATACTTTGCACAGGAGGTTTGGCTTAAGCCAAGGTGGAAGTTAACCCAATACATGGATCCTTACGATCCAAACAAGGATTAGTGCTTGGTATAGTTTGAATGGGAAAGGGATTGGGGTATATTTGTATAAGGGGTTGATTTTTGAATAACAGGCTATAGTGAAATAGAAATTTAAAAATATTTTGCAAATTTGTATCTTGACTCTCATTTTGTAGCAATATATCTTAGAAGAGGAAAAAGAAATCATCTATTTTCACCAAAATCGATTTGTGGGAGAAACATAGCAGATTCCTAGATTATTCTTTGTAGCAAGTTGCAATCATATCTTTGAGGTATCAACCTGTGTGTCTGGTGATTCCAGATTTTTGGTTTATAAATATATGTTAAATAATAAAAAATTTTAATGCGATGATCATGATTGAAAAATATAATTAATACGTTAATTTATTAAAAATACGATTATTCCACTTTGGATAATATTCATTTAAGTGGGAACCTTCATCAGAAAATTACTGATGTAGTACAGAACATGGATCATTACTTCTCAGTTTTAATCACCGGCTCCTACACACAAGATGATAATATTTTACTGGCCAATGGAAGATGTATGTTCAAAGGAAGCTGAGCAAATAATATTTATTAAATAAAAAATTAAACCTTTCAAACTATTAATTGTTTTATTCTTTTAGTTTTGTTTCAAAGATTTAAGGGAGAGGATGGTGGACAAGAAAGAAAGGAAGGGAGAAGAGAAATTATTAAAAAAAAGTTTTCAACTTGAAAGAATTTAAAAACAAAAAATTATGAGAAATGTTGGAAGGTTTACAAAAACTTGGCACATTGAAAAACTTCAAAACCAGAATTTATATTGTCCTAGTTTTAATGATGATTTTTAAAGGTTTATAGAAATTCTTTCTAACATTCAATTTTTTTTAAATAAGTATGGATATTTTTTCTAAAACTTAAAATGTAATATTTTTAAAATTTTTTATTTGGGCGATAAAATAATTTAAAGAAATTTTAAAATTTTGTTTAAAAGTTTGGAAGAGAAAAATAAAATAAAATTGGAAGATAAAGAAAGAAAGGAGAAAAGAGAACTAATAATTAATCCTTCGTATTAAGAGAACTTAAATATATAAAATTAGGAAGCTTTATAAAACATTTTCTTCTTATTTAAAAATTTTAAAATAAAAATTATGATAAAATAAATCGTCTTTTTCTCTTAAAAATCAATTTTCAAATAAAACCAAAATGGTATGAGAGGAAAATTACCAGACAGTTATAATCATTGATCCTTTGATTTTTGTTAATTTTTTTTTGTTTAGATCCATTATTTTACTAGTAAGATGAATTTATTCGTCACATTGAATTCGTGCCTAGCTGTTGGTACTATATAAAGGATCTCAACAGTTTAAAGTGAATAATAGATATTTTTTGGTGTATATTAAGAATATTTTCCTGCCATCAAGACTATTCTATTTAAAATATAATGATCATTAAAGCAAATTTTTTTAAAAAATATTTTTCATACACACAACATAAAATTTATTTAAATAATTTTAAATCCTTTTATATTTTATGTCAACAGATCTTCTTAATTATTAAATTAAAAAATATTAAATGTGCATGAACTTTTTTTTTATATAATACTTAATTTATAAAATAAATTAAAAAAAAGATATAATAAAGCTCAATAAAATATTTCTTTAAATAAATGTATTCGTAAAATAATAAATAAATATTGAATTTAATAAATTAGCTTTGTAGCTATGTTTCCCTTTCCCTTGGTAACTAACCGAGACAGCGGAAAGCGGACGAGGAAAGGGGACGAGGAACAAAACACGTTGGTAATTGTTTATGTGACTGACACAACACACTACTCAGAGTCACACACACTGAATCAATGGTTGTTGCCTCCATTCGGCTTCTTTCTCCTTCTTTTCTCTCTTTCGCCCCTTATCGCTCTCCATTTTCATGGCGATCCCGTCCTTCTTCTTCCATCTCACTCCCCTCCACCAGTGCTTTTTCTTCCATCCATTCATGTAAGCACCTCTTCCTTTCTCTCTTTCTTTTTAACAACGTTTCTATATTGCATCCTTAACCTGTGCTTTCTCCATTCGAGGCATACTTGTCCACTGCAAAAATTGTCTGCTCTTGACCAATATATATTGCACACAGTTTTTTTTAGTTTACATTTCTATGTAATTTTATATATAATTAAATTTGTGTTGACTTTTTGATTGACCACAGCTTCTTCCAATGGAGATGGAGGGTTGGAATTGCCTGCTGATCAAGCAGAAGTTGTATTTTTGGGGACTGGAACTAGTGAAGGGGTTCCGCGTGTTAGCTGCTTGACTAATCCTTTAAACAATTGTTCGGTACAATCAAAATAATCATGTTGTTATAATTGATGATTATAATATTATGGAACTGAATGTTTAGGGTTTGTTGAAATTGAAAATTGTTTGTTAAGATTTTATTTATTTACTTTTGGTGGTATTGTTGTTGTAGGTATGTTCAAAAGCTGCTCAACCAGGTAATAAGAATAGGAGACTAAACACAAGCATTCTTATTCGTCATCCTAGCCCCTCAGGAACACACAATATTCTTATAGATGCTGGAAAGTATGTTCTTAATTGCCCTATGTAATATTCATTGCAATTATGTTAAGTTAAGAATTAGGATGAGCTTTATCTTTGTTTTATTTTAATGTTAGTCTAAGTATGTGATTTTGTGATGGTTTTAGGTTTGACTCAGTTTTGAATTTCTTTTCTTTTTTGAACTTGTCAAAACTTTGCTGGAACATGGACAAATTAAGAGCTAGCAACTGTAGCTTGCCTTGAACATGTTGCAAGGATAATTCATATTGCATACTGTAGTAAACCAAGATCAATTTATTAAGAATTGAAAGATTTTCCACCAATTGTGATCAAAGTTAGTAGAAAATCCTTCAATGACTTGAAGTGATGAGCTGGTAGCATGTATAACATGGATGTGTGCAGTATGCATCTTGGTCATGACAGAATTACAATTGTCAACGAGTTTTTTCTTGTTTCTATAAAAGATAGTCTTGCTTGTGTGGACTGGATTCTATTAAAGACTTCGTTGCTCAGTCATGATGTGATATATACTGCCTATTTAGATATACTGATGTCTGAAGACTATGAACCATGGATATATTTAAGTTTTTAAACTGTAAGATGGGATTTAAGGTTATTTGAGTTCAGTTTCAAGTAAAACCCAGATATGATTCTGTCATATGATTTCTTCATTTTGGTGCTGATAACAAGTTAATTTACTTGTCACAGATTTTTCTATCAAAGTGCTCTTCGGTGGTTTCCAGCATTTGGGTTAGTTTTTACCTGTTCAATTCTTCAGTTGTTATTGATGTTGTTACTTGAGATGGCTTCTTCTTCCATATTTTATTTTGATTTTCTTTTCAGGAAAACATATGAAACAATATTGAAAACAATGGTTAGGAACTGGAAGTAGAGTGAAACATTTGACCAGGACATGTGCAAATTAGGAAAAGATACTTGCACATTTTATGTAAGGTATATGCACAATTTGGAACATAAGGTTATCCAATGGCTTGCATGGGAGTATGTAAGGAGTGCAGGAGTGTAAGCTTGTGCAAGTATCAACACCCATGCAAAATGAATTGGTCGATTTTCCACTGCATTTAGATACTCAACAATTTCAGAGACAATAATCTTAAAAGACTTGTACATCAGTAACATTTCTTGGTCACTGTAATGCTTTTTCTTGAGGAGTATAATTTATGAAGTAGAGTGTTCTTACTTGTTTTTTTCTGCTTTTCTTTTATATCTCTTTAACTTCTTGTGTTTCTGTCAGGCTAAGAACCATTGATGCGGTCATTATTACTCATTCACATGCTGATGCAATTGGAGGTCTCTAAGATTAATACTCTTTAGATAATTGATATCAGCATGACATGTATAGTGCTTGGCTGAAATAATAAGAAATCTGACTGGTCATATAAACTAACTCTGCATCCTTCTTCTTCTCCCCAGGTCTTGATGATCTTAGAGATTGGACAAACAATGTTCAACCTCATATTCCAATATATGTAGCCAAGCGTGACTTTGAGGTCATCTACCATGTGCTTTCCTTCTAAAGTTCAAGTTATCAGTTTTATGTTTTGCTTATTGTGATTTAATGGTGAAAGGTCTACATATCTATGCATCACATTAAAGAAATTAATGCATTTAATGAAAAATTCTGAATTTGTGCATGTGGCATTGATGTTCATTCTTTTTCTGGGATTGCCAAAGGAAGGTTTATAACTGATGTTGTTGAAGTATGTAGTTATAGCTACTTAATGCCAATAAATCTCTGCTCCAACATTTACACCACAGAAATTCATTATGCATTTTAAAAAGATTTATATGGCTAATTGTAGTTAAAGTTTGAGGAGGAATGAATGGTTGATTTAATTATACCTCCCTAAACTAACCTACAAAAAAATTGTTTGTGTTGAAACCTAAAACATAATGGCCATCTGAAGAAATCAAATTTTGCTCTTCTGGTATAGCCTGAAGACCAGACAATTGTGTATCAGAAGATCCTGTCAAATAACTCCAAAGCTTCAATCTTTTCTAATTCGCATGATGAAACAATTTTTCACTCTGAGATTCCAAAATCAAACCTGAGAGGGAGGCTGCCTATGCTGCACTATAGTTATGATTGTCTCTTAATAATCTACTGCACTTTAAGATCAGTGCCATTATTTAGACCACTGTAGTAGAAAAGTGAAGAAGTGTTTAGGGGAAATTTCTTTCTACTTCAATAAGCAACTGTTAAGATTTTTTCTAATGATTCAATCATGTATTCTGAAATATGCAGGTGATGAAGAAGACCCATTATTATTTAGTTGATACTAGTGTTATCTTACCTGGTGCCAAAGTCTCTGAGTTGCAATTTAATATCATATCAGAAGAACCATTTTTTGTACATGGATTGAAGGTAAGTATTATTATTAGTTTTAATAGCTTGAAGTGGAATGTTTAATACTTTTCCCTATTCACTCTATCTATTTTCTCACTTATTGCTCAATCAATTAATTTCTGACATGTTTCTCCTTGTGGATGTTGTGGATGGGGCTTTGGCTCTATATTCTTTTTTCTTTTATTATTGTACTTCAGATTACCCCCTTACCAGTGTGGCATGGCAAGGATTATCGGTCCCTTGGTTTTCGTTTTGGTAATATATGTTACATAAGGTAATGTTTCTAAAAGGGGAAAAGTTCTTGGCTTCTTGCTTGTAATTTAGTTAAGCTCTTTTTATCAATATATGCTGATTTTGTGTCCAACCTTGCAGCGATGTCAGTGAAATTCCTGAAGAAACTTATCCTCTTTTAAAGGACTGTGAAATTCTAATCCTGGTGATTCCCCCTTCTATCTTGCCACAGACATGCCTTGTTTTTACATGAAATAACTTGGAGTACAGTGTATGATCTCTCTCTCTCTCCTCTCTCTCGCTCATATGGTGTATTATTCTACAGGATGCTTTGAGGCCTGATCGTTCTACATCCACACATTTTGGACTTCCTAGGGTAATAATAGTCAGTTTCACATTTGTTAAATTTTTCTTGGAGAAATGAAGTTTATTCTGACCTTCCATTTCAGGCCTTAGAGGAAGTGCGAAAAATTCAACCCAAAAGGACACTTTTTACTGGTAAGTTTAGCTCAAGCCTTGTAGTTAGCATAATGCTTCCTCTACTTTCTTGCCTTGATCTACTTCATTGATTAAGCATTTAGGAAGCATTTAGGAAGGGTGATGGAATTTGATAATTGGTAGATATAAAATCAATCTTGTTAAGATTAACCCTTAGGGATAATTTTTAAAAATTACAAATGGAAATTTTTTGTAATAAACAGAATCATTTACTACATCGGAAAAACAAAAACATTCTATTTTTAATTGCTTAAAAAATCTGGGGAATCCAGAATTACTTTTACCATCAATGTACAATGTTTTAGAAAAATAAAATTTGGTTTTCTCCTTATTGGTAATTTGAAGGTATGATGCATCTGATGGATCATGAAGAAGTGAATGATTACCTTACAAAACTTTTAGAGTCTGAGGGCCTTGATGCACAACTGAGCTACGATGGGCTTCGTATACCAGTCAGACTTTAGCTTGCATACAGTCTCATTCATAAGACGACTATTTTTTTCTCAAAGAGATATCATTGATAAACAAATGATATTACAAGTTCATACATTCTTCAGTTTCCTTCCGCTACTCTACCACCTTCCTATCATCATTGATCATTCTTTCTTTTTCTCCTTGTCTGTTAGTGACAAGAAACACCTAGGATGATACCATACATGTAACAAGATTATTTTCTTGCAATGAAGTATTTAATAACTTTTTTACTATGATTGTACTATGTGGTAGCTAATTGGGTAAAATTCAACTAAATCCACATCTAAATACTGGTTAGTTTTTAAGAAAGTTGTGATTGATGACATTAACTCAAAATGGATGGTCTCAAAAATTATAAGTAGAAAACCATTGGGTTAAACTCATTGGTAGAACTCCTCAAATTGATAAGGTTACCCTGCTTGTTATATGTATGATAAATCTGGCCTAATGTCTAACAATGTCGGACGACAGAATTGTCGTGTTTGAATTTTAGTGATTTGGACAATGAAACAGTCAATAGGTTGGAATCAGTACTTTGACGGTGACAAGTACAATCAGACATTTCAAGATATATATAAGGCCTGGGGAGATGGGAGGGAGTTACATATAGGGTACGTTTGGAAGAGTTTGAGAAATTATGAAAAGAATTTATAAATTCTTTTAGACTTATGTTAATAATTTTCATAGTTTAATGTATGATATAAAATTCTTATGTAATAATTTATTAAATTGATATCGAAAACACTCATGAATTGTTATATATATATATAATAATAATAATAATGTGGAGTTGGCGTGCTATATGATAGTTTGGACGTGGATATTCATGTTGGGTTATGGCCTACCATATTTTCTTCGCAACAAGTCAATCAAAGATTAGCAAATAGCAATACGTTGAGAAAAGCTTGTACTTTTGTTTTCTTTTGGTCACAAATTGGATCACGTAATCCCTGCAGTTTTATGAGGGGGCGATAGAGTTTGCAAAGTTTTGAATAGTGTTGCTGACATGTGTCATTTAAAATAACACTTTGGCGTTTGATTCATTTCTATCTTTAAATGATTTAAGAATTATTAGAATAAATATTATAAGTTTATATATAAAATGATACACTATATTGATAGATAATTTCGTTCATATGAAAAATTGATATAAACTGTTAATATATTAAATATTAGTACAATATTGACGAGGACAGCAAACACTCAAGACATACAATTCCCCACTCACAAGAATATGCCATGAGCAATTAACAAAATATATAGAGAAAAAAAGAAAGCATAAAATGACACCAACATTTTAACGTGAAAAATTCTTTTAATATGTTATGGAAAATTCAAATATCCTCAGACCAATAAACCAATTCTTCTGTGATAAATAATAAAAAGGAAAAAAAAAAGGAATGTTATCAACATCCTCTCTATCATACTCTTCATAACACATTTTCTATAATATAGTTTTATTATTGATTAAAATTTATCTTTATCTTCCCTCACCTATTTCATATTTAAAATAGGACGTAAAAAGAAATTTCTAAAAAAGAAACGATTATTCATAGATTCATTTAATCCCTAACTCTATGATATAAAAAAAAAAGGGTGGGGGTGTAGAGTCATTGTGCAGTGGGGACTACAGGGTGAGAGTTTGAGAGCATGTGAGTTGTAATTGAAAAAACAAGAAAAAAGAAAAGAAATAGATTTTGAAAAGTTGGGTATGACTTGCCTCTTCGTTGCGTCATATCACATCCCACAACTCATCTCTTTCCCTATAAATTTTTAAGGCACAATCATTAAGAATGATAATTCAACTATTTGACGACCACTCCCTAAATTATTCATAATCAATAGAATCTTTATCTTCATTCATTAAATAATTTATGTGTCCCAATAAGTTGCTTTAAAACTGTATGGAACACTCTCTCTATGTATGTGTCTATCTATTTATAATAATATAGTTTTTTAGTATTTTATTTTATATTTTTTAATGTACATTCATAGTGTACTTTAGAGTAATAACTTTTTTTAATAATTATTTATACCTTCTTTATTCGCTCATATACCTCTCATCCAAATCATTATTACTACTAGCTTTGAGTGTAAAACATGGAGAACGATAATAAACTACTTGTCGTTTTCAGGCTTCACGGGTGTGGCCTATGTTATGCATATGATGGAGTATAATAGTATATATAATGTAATAGCCATGTGATTCGCAGATAAACATATCAGGTTCGAACACGTGGCCTTGAGACTTTCGAGTCTTCCAAGAATTAACAATGATCAAATATTGGTTCAGTGGTACTATATATAGTAAAATCTGTCATAAATTTTTAACTAAATCGTTCATTAGCATAATTTTTAAAAATATATAAAGTTTAATATATAAAACTCATGAATTAACTCTTTTGAAGTGCTTGGAAACTACTTGTTTTGACAAATCGACAATGGAGTGGAGAGCACCTGAATCCCTTGATGATTTTTGATTGTGGGGGGCCACTGATTTGATGTGTTCATCACCACTTCTGGACTTGGTACTTGCATTTGCATGAGGTGTGTTTCTGTATTCAGAGAACAGAGTTTTGTTTTGGGTTTCACACTAGCACTAGTTTTACTTTACCTTTTGGACAATTATACTCTCATGTAACACATCTTTTCTGCCCATGCTAAGAATGGTTGTTTATGCTTTTTACATACTTAAGTGGATCACATCACCTAATTAAGAATAAAATCAGAGATAAAAATGTGAATAAAAGTAAAAGTTAAGAGAGAGAGAGAGATGAGTTGAGGTTGCAGCCTTTTCAAACCTATAATGAAGAAATATAGATATATGAAAAAAAAAAAAACCTACCCAATGAATCAACTTGTCCCTACCCTGTTAGTGACTTAATTACCTCAACTTAAGGACGGGTTAGATGGATTGGTAATTAATATAAGGTTTAATGTGATTTAGACTTGAGAAGTTAATGAAGTGATAAATTTAATCATGTCATGTACATATGAACTTTTATAATTATTTTGGTTTGAATTTTAATGTGATAGAAAATATGCCATTAATTAGAGATCCTTGCACTATATTTATAAGCAAATTATTCTTAGTCCTAGTACTTAATTTTATTCGTTACTGATTAGAAGAAAGTGGAATTTATTATTGACTGTTTTTAGATTAATTATTACTAATCCTCTATTCTACAATCATTAATGGAAAATTCTTTAGAAGATTTTACTTGCCGGTGTAATATAATAGCATCTTCGGGTGTACGAAAAAAACTTCAAATATGCATGTTTAAAGATATAAATATGATTTGAAATAAAAAAATTATAAATATATTTTTAATTAAATTAATTATACAAAATTAAGTTAATCCAAAATCAATTATAAACATCCAATCAAACAAATGCTATATGTTTGAAACACAAACTAGTAAGCACAAGATATGCTTATGATTAATGATCCTAGAAGCTAGACTGTCACAAAGTTTGATTAATTTGATATTGGAAACGTATGGTTCATGTGAATATCGTAATTACACAACAACATTAAAGTATTAATTAAACGCCATTGTTTCTACCTTTGAGGATGTACAAGTTAAAGATGAAAAATAGCCAATGTTGATAAAACTATATTCTCACAGAAAAACACTTTTAATTGGTGGGTAGTATTAAATTTATCGTGTATCTATGTTTGTTTAGATCCTTAATTATCCTTAATTCTCTTATTATAAAACTAAAGTTAAGTTTTATAATAAAAAAAAGAACAGACATAAGTTAATTAGATTTGTCATACTTAAAGACAGTTTAATAAAATGTATCGTGTATCTATGTTGTTTAGAACAGTATTTATTATAATTTCACTCTATAAAATATAAATAATGGATACACTTAACGTTAAGTACACATTATTATTGGTTCTGAATAATTTTTATTTGAAAAAAAAAAACACTATGCATAACCTTAATATATGGATTTTTTTAGTGTATATGTTTTATACTATTCATGAAGAATATATTTGCAGACGCAGCAACATGCATCACATATCGACCAGAATATCACAACGCGTGCTTTCAAAGAACTTTTTTGCCCACCAACCACTGACCAAAACTATTAATAATTTGGAGTCGCCATTCCATTATTGATATAAATAATATCTATTAAGCCTAAAATATAGAATGTGACTGGTGTTACGTTTTAACCACTGTGATTAATATATGTATATTATTATTAGGTTCACATTTAAATATAGATTATTTAAATACTGTTAATTTTTAAATTTTTAAGTTGAATTTATATTTATTAATTTATTTTCAAACAAACACCTAATTGATTACTCTTCTACTCTACTTTCATATAGACTCTTGTAAATCTAAGTTGCATTGATTGTACTTAGTAAATGAAATGAAGTGTCTGCATTCATTAACAAACAGTGTTTATTTCAAATATACTATTTAAGCAATTCAAATGTCAAACAAAGAGAAAAAAAGGTGGTGCGAACTGGGAAGTACAATTTCAAACAAAGATGCCAGAAGTGGTGAGTTTTTGGATTAAAAAAAGTGAAGGAAAAACTTTGGAGTAAGAGCAAAACCACAAATTAAGAAGACAGATAGTGTAATAAAATAAAATAAAAATTAGAAATTTTATTAAATGAATAGATTTTTTGTTTGTATAATTTTTTCTCTTTAAATAGATAAGTGAAAATGAAGATAACACTAATTAACAAATTTATTTCTATTTGAGCAAAGATAATTCTGACACAAGTTTATAAAGAATGTGAATCTTTCTGTGTAAGAATTGTTGAGGTATGAGATTTTTCAACCTTTACTCAAACAACTCAAAAATCCATTTCCATGTCCAAGTTATAGAAGTATATTATTGAAAATCAAATTCATAACTTAATTTCCTTGACAAATTAACTCTTTTCTTTAAGTTAAAAATCCTAATTCCTTAAAAATCACAATTAAAGCAAATATTAGGTTTTAAAATCCTTAATATCCCTTATCTGTTGATCTTCAATTCTATATCATCCCCAATTATATTGTATTGCTTCATTTTCAATCCCTAATCCAATCTTTCATGATCACTTGCCATTAGAGATCTAATGTCAACTATAAGTTGTCAAACTCATACAAGCTCATTAAAACTAGAACCGAGCAATCAATAAGAGAAGATAAACCTCCATTACAGACAAAAGTTAGATTACACAAGGTTAGTGTGAGATTCCTCATTAATTCCTGAACCATAAAAATCTATTTATTCATGAGTAAGAAAATTGAAAAAGGAAAAAATAAAAAAACAAAAGAACCATAAGAAAACGATAAACTTGTAACTTAATTCCTTAATAAGGAGATGTTTGATTTTAAAAAAAAATTATTTCTAAAAATTTATATAAAAATAGTAAAAATAATAAAAAATTTATTTTCATAATTTCCCATACAACTAAAGTGTATATTTAATACCTGTCAAGCCACAACCCATACATCCACATCCACATATCATCTCACCATAACTTAGAGGCACAATGAATAGTGTAGCCTAAAAGTGAAGCTACTAAAATTAGAGATTTAGGAGTTGTTTGTTTTTGTTCTGTATTTTAATTTTTAAAAATTAAATTTTAAAAAATAATTTTAAGAAGAAAACGAAAATAAAGCTTTTTTTGTTAGTTTAATTTTCAAAATTATTTTTAAGATAAGAAAAAAATTAAAACACCTTAAAGTCAGAAAAATAATTTTAAAAAACTCATCTTAACAAACAAATTTTATTTTGTTTTTACTTTTAAAAAGAAAAAAGTGTCTTTAAAAACAAAAAACTAACACCAATAATTTTCGATATCTTTCTGCTACTTGAAACTGATTTATATTGATATATGAGTGACAATTGTCCATGGTGGCATTAAAATGGAAAACTTTGCATATATTATAATTTAAAAACATTAGAATAGTCTCCCACACTTTTAATAATTATGCTATTGTATTCACTTCCCGGTTAATTCTAAGTTTCTGCTGAGTCAATACTATTGTAATGGCAGAGATGAGCTGGGTGAGCATATTGAGACCTGCAAAAACTTCATGATTGGAAAATAAAACAAGACCAAGACAAAATAAAAATGATTTTCTAATATCAAAATTTTAAACCCCATTCACGATGCAGGGAACACAACCCATCGAAAAGCTGAACAAACAGACAACAATGTAGTTCTACGAGTACCCACACACACATGTAAATGTAATAAAGCTATGCATTTACAAAATTTTATGTTCAATTTTCTTAGAATTAATGCAAAAGGATTCGAGATCATAAAATTCAATATTCAATCATTGAAAATAACTCTTCTGGCTTACCTCAACTTTAATTTTAATTCTTTTGAATGACTGAAAAAAAACACGCCAAATAAGCTTCAGTCATCATCGATTAACATTCGCAACACATATTTGCTTTAAAAAGAGATTATGAATATTTAACAACTCACAACTAAATCACAAATTTTTGCAACTTTTGACTGATAAGTCAACGTTAGTATAAGTGTCAGTGAAGCAACGTTAATCCTCAACAGGAGTCATCAACTTTATGCTCAAAAGTTGAAATTGATATCACATCATAATTTATAGCATCATTAAATTTTCCCTACTGTCTACTGATAATGACAATTTTGAAAAGAAAATGACTAGGGAGACAAAATTTGTGGCTGTTAAAGATATGATGGCAATAAAAAAAAAAAAAGATGGAGAGAGGGTTTGAATGTTAGCTAGGGATGCTGCTTTGCCTTTCTATATCCATAACCTAACAAGATCTATTTTATTTAATTAATACAAAGAGCCATGCAAAAATTGTCAGAAAATTCAGCTTTTCTATAGTCAATAGCTACAATCATAATGAAATGAACAATGATGAAAAAGAACTAAGGATTAAATACTGATTATTCACTAAAAAGAATTAGGGGGAAAGCTTTTAGCCATGCTTGTTAGCATTTAATCAATGAATCAATCATGCCACTGTAAAAAACTGTAGAATTATAGCCATGATGTTAAATAATAGAATTTGAGCTTCTCTCTCTCTCTCTCACACACACACACACTCACTCTATTTAAGCATGTATATATCTACGTGTATATACAAATGATACTCTCTTTTTTGTGGTTGCTTTTTTTGCCCCTTTTTTGTGCTTACTTTATGAGAGAAGGGAAAGGCACGAAGGGTGTATTTGAACAAAAGTTTTTTTAGCCAAAAAACTTGAACTTTATTTTAAAAGCAAAAAAAACATACAATAAAGAAAGAAATGATTTTTCTGGGGTTGAGAAAGAGAACAGAAGAAAAGACAGAAAGCGTAACGTCAGAGTTAGCCGTAAGGTTCCCCTTGTGTTTGTGGCTTTGGACTAGCTGAGGTACACACAGGGAATCCTCTTCTCATCCACACCTCTCTCTCTCTCTCTCTTTCTGATGAGTTTAAAGTTCAAACAACAGGGTCTATATTTTTGTTCATATTTGTGTGGCTATCCTTGGATTATATATTCATATTTTTGGTAATATATATTATCATATTATATCAAGCATGGTTTTTGAACAATGAAGGATAAATGCTGATTGCGGCTACACCACCTTCTGCTTCAGCTCCACTTCTCTTTGTTTCTTCTCTCTTTCAAAAAAACAAAACTTGTCTCTTGGGTCAGTGCCAAACAAGCAACAAGGTTTCTAGTGTTGGATGATATTGCCTTGCTTGCTTCATAGAGATAGAAAATCTACTCTCTCAACTTTCTTTCTCTTTTGTTTATTTATTTTTTTGCTGAACACTCAGAGATATTCCTGAGCTGAATATCAATTTCCTTTGCCTCTTTAATTTGTTTCTGTTTTGTTCTTTCTCTCTCCACTCTAAGCTTTGTAGACTGTTGTCTAGCTTTTTTTCTTCCTTTTTTCTATTTTGGGTAAGGTTTGTCCTTAGATCTTAGAACCCTTCACAGCATAAGAAAAACCAAGATCTATGGTCTATACCACAGCCTTAGGTTGCTAAAACTTGCAAGTGTATGAAGATGAAGGGTTTGATGTTCCAGCAACAAGTAGTGGAGGAGAACATGTCAAATTTGACTTCTGCATCTGGTGAAGCTAGTGCTTCTTCTGGCAACAGAACTGAAATTGGAACCAGTTACCCTCAACAATACTTGGTTCAACCACAAACTCAGACTCCACCAGCAAAGAAAAAGAGAAACCTTCCTGGCAACCCAGGTTTTGTTTCTCATTTTTCAGTTCAAAGTCTAAACTTCATTTGTTTTGTGTGTTTAATTTTCTTTAATTTTTGTTATTTTTTTAAAAATTCAGACCCTGATGCTGAGGTTATAGCCTTGTCCCCCAAGAGTCTTCTGGCCACCAACAGGTTCATTTGTGAGATCTGTAACAAAGGATTTCAAAGGGATCAGAATCTTCAACTTCATAGAAGAGGGCATAATTTGCCATGGAAGTTGAAGCAGAGAACAAGCAAAGAGGTGAGGAAGAAGGTTTATGTGTGTCCAGAACCCAGTTGTGTGCATCATGACCCATCAAGGGCCCTGGGGGACCTAACTGGAATCAAGAAGCACTTCTGCAGAAAGCACGGTGAGAAGAAGTGGAAATGTGATAAGTGCTCTAAGAAATATGCAGTTCAATCAGATTGGAAAGCTCACTCCAAAACCTGTGGCACAAGGGAGTACAGATGTGACTGTGGAACCCTCTTCTCAAGGTAACTAACCTAAATATATGTCGTGTGAATTATGAGTTCAGTTTAGTTAAGGCACCACACTCAAGGCATCATCCATTTATGAAGGATGGGATTTGAATCCGAGGTTGACTAAGATAAATTTATTTACATAGTAATTTTTTATTGGTACAAATATAGTACTCCAATTCCAATAATACTACTTTCACATATTCTTTATCCTTTCTTACATTGGAGAAAATTATACACCAAAGAGACATTCATTACATTGATATAGCAATCCCTCATAATCCTTATTCCCTCCCTAGAGACTGTGGAAATTCCTAGTATGGAAAATTTTTTAATGCACCACCTAATATTCAGTCTTTAAGTAGTCTCTCACAAAGTTATAAAAAATGTTGAAAAGTAAGAAAGAGAGAGAAAAAGAAAGGGAGTCAATAATTATGCACTGTCATAAGTCATAACATAACAGTTTAGTAACATTTGTTGGTTTTGTATTTTTGTGATTGTGGATTGTTTATGACTTTCAGGAGGGACAGTTTCATAACCCACAGAGCTTTCTGTGATGCATTAGCAGAGGAGAGTGCAAGAGCCATCACAGGCACAACCTCACAACCTTCATCCTCTCATCACCATCACATGAATCTCCAAACACAATTCAACCCTCAAGATCTGCATGGCTTCCCATTGAAAATAGAACAACAACAACAAAGTTTCAATCTTAGGCCAGAAATAGTACCTCCTTGGCTTGGCCCACCCACTGTTGATCTCTCCTCATCCTCATCAATCTTCTCCACAAACCAAGAATTTTCACACCAGGAAAACCCTAACCCTAGCCTTGGTCCCACTCTTGCTACCTACCGAGCAGTCCCTAACCCTTCCCCACACATGTCAGCCACAGCATTGTTGCAGAAAGCAGCTCAGATGGGTGCAACCATGAGCAGAACTGGTTCCTCACCAGCAATGATAAGGCCCCACATGCAGACTCACGTGTCTTCTTCTGCTGATTCTGGTAACATTTCCAGTGGTAATTTTGGTTTGAACTTGTCCTCACGTGAAGACACCAGTACTTCAACAACAGCAACAACTACAACTTCTGCAACTACAGTGTTTGGCCATGGCTTATCACCTTTGGGGAATAAAGCTGCTGTGTCTTCTGCTCCAACCCTTCTTCATGATGTTATCAACTCTTTCTCTAACCCTTCTGCTTTTGAAGGAACCCCTTTTGAGGATCCATTTGGTGGCATTCTCAACTCAAAGAAAGATGATAACTTGCATTTGCATGACACCTTTTCTAAAACAAACACCACCACCCATCTTGCTACTGCTGCTGGTGGAAATGAAGGGTTGACCAGGGATTTCTTGGGTCTTAGGCCTCTCTCTCACACTGATATTCTCAGCATTGCTGGCATTGGAAACTGCATCAATGATCAACAAAACCAATCTCAAAAGCAGTGGCAAGGTTAGCTCCATATATGTTATATATGGATATTTTATTTTTCTTTTAATCTCATCTTTATATAACTTTTTTTTTCTTCCTTTTTTTTGGGTTAACTTTTGTATATGATCTTTTCAAAATTCCCAAAGGGAAGGACCTTCTGAATCGAGATCAACATTTTCATTCCTTATGTATACTTATTACGAATCTCAATATTGTGTTCATAGATGAGTTATATAATATATAAAGGTCAGCCAACCAATGTTTTAGAATATTAATTAAAATATTAATAAATACGTTTTTTTATTAACAATAATATTACAGTATATTAGAAATCAAATTAATTTAACTAAAAAAATTAATTACTGCAGTAGAAAAAAAAAAGCTAGGATAATAATTTAGTCTAAATTTTTTTTTGAAAACGTTTCTTTTGAGTAATTAAGATAAAAAGCAAGAGAAATTATTCAATAGTGTCAAGTTCGTGTTTTTTAAGACAAGTTTAGGAAAAATAATATCTGTTCCTGTATATATTATTAAAGAAAAACTATAAATTCATTTTCGTCAAGATAGCAATTTTAATGCTTATTTTCATATTTTGTGAGTTTATTATACTTACACTCGTTGCCTAAACTTTTTTAAAATAGAAAGTTATTTTATATTTTAATGATAAAAAATCAAATTGATAGATAAAATACTATTTTATAATGCATGCATCAGATCATATACGTATAAAGAAAGTAGCTATACAACTAAGTATTTTATAATATAAAGATTTTTTTTAATAAGTTTAATAGGTTCGATCTTTCTCAATTTTTAAAAAAATTTCTCCTTTATTTATTTTGAAAAACTTATTTACTTTCAAACTTTATTATCACCGTGGATCACCTGAAATAGAAGTTATTCCAGAATACTTGAGGCCTAGACTTAAAAAACTATATTACCATCTATACAACAAAAAATAAAAGATTAAAAAGACAAGTCAAGTTATTAAAAGCAATCCCCCTCCCCCAAATGGAGTTATTTAATTAAATATATAATTGATATAATGGATCGAAGATATATCAGTGTCAGAAATCCATTTAGATCAATTCAGCTAGCTATTTATTTATTTTTTTGGTCTGGAGCTAGCTAGTTTATAATGAATGGATTGTGCATGCATGTTTCTGCTTTCAACCAATAGTTAATTTAATATTATTAAAGCTGATAATAAATGATGGATTACAATTTTAGTTATAAACGGCTCTTGAGCGAAAAATTCAAAATAAAATAAAGCAGCATAATGATTGAAATTTTTAATATTGGTGGTTCTCTCATGCAAAAGTAAATACTATCATGTAATTAACTAGTAATCCTAGATAGAAGGGATGAGACTTCTTTAATGGCCTTGAAAATGGAAAGATTAATAAATTCTATCATTAAAAGAAGTCATAGCACTGCTATAAAAAGAAGTTCATATGAAGAGTTGAAATACTTCAAATTAAAGAAATGGAGTTGTCTAAAAGACAAAATAATGTGACAATAAACGATGTGAGAGAGTCTCTTACGAGAGAAGAGTATTATCATTTGTAACTTCAGAATGGGGAACTTAAGTTGGGTAATACATTACTAGGATATGATGTTTAAGAAGTTTGTTCGGATAATTTGTAACCTTTATTTAAGATAATTAATGTTTTGTTGAAGCCTTTTTGTTAAAGGTAAACCATGTAGATGTATGTTTTTTTTAAGAACAATGCTAATAATACACTCTCTAATATACTATAAATTTTAATCAATAATAAAAAATGTGATATTAACATTTTTTTAATGATACGTTTTGTGTATGTTATACTGTTCTTGATCTTTGGCTAGTGCAATTTTTTTTCTTTTTTTAGAGAGATGGAACTTCGTTTACAAATAAATTTGTGTTAATTTTAATCCATCAACTATCGTTTCCAAAATTTTCAGTGTAGTGTCTACCAATTCATCGAGTACATATGCTGTAATTTGACACCATTTCAAACACTACTATTCTCAAGGTGGAATGTTTTCATGTTATTCATGAAGATTATTTAGGCCGTACGACGCATCCACTAAAATAAGGATTTTTTCAAAAAAATTTATAAACAATTTATAAAAATTAGCTTATGAAAGTCATAAACTCTTTTTAACTTATTTTAATAAGTATTTTGATATAGCTTATTAACATAAAATATTTTAAACTTGTTTTAATAATTTTCATCATTAAATTTATGATATAAGTCATCATTTTAAAAAAAAATATTGAACAAGCGTTTAAATAAGCAATTATCAAGATGCATATTAAATTAATGAACTAATTTTTCATAAATTGAACTGAGTCTAAAATGCCAAAATAAATACATTTTTATAAACTAATTGATCTTATGATGTCTTTGACAAATTGAGAAGGTGGAACACTCGAATACAAGATGAAAACAAAAGCATGACGACAAAACGAGACATAACCTGGCCACGACACATGTTCTCAGCAACAATGCATGTTCTCCAAATAAAGTTTGAAGATTTAAGTTCTTGAAAATGTGTAGTTCATTTAAGAGGAAAGATTGATGTGTTACAATTATCATAAAAAGTAAAACAGTAATTTTAAGTAAATTTACCACCAATTATACATGCAAATATTTTTATTATATTTTTTTCTTCTTAATTAAACAAAATTTTCATGTGCTCCCAGTATAGAGTTTCATTCAAGGGATGGGTCTGCATAAAAAAAAACATCGGATTCTTTGTGAATATGATATATAGGCATCAGTGCATGCATTGCATTGTTTAAATAACAAAAAAATTGATTTGTATGCATTTATAGGGTGTATATGCCTAGATATATGAAAAGAAGAAATTTAAAATAAATGAAAGATATGATACTGATATAACGTGAAAAAAAGGGTAAAATATTATATAAATATATGAAAATTAGAATTAATTTAATTATATGTTGTATTTTTGAGAAATTACAACCTAAAAGATGCCCTTTGATACCTGACGTGCGTACTAGTGGGATTCAATCCCGAGGGACGAAACTTTTCATCCACTGGCCAATTTTTTTCGATTTTCTGTGTGGGATTTGTGTTTGTAGACTTTGTTAATTGATATATTTTACTAATTTTGTATAAGAAATATACTATTAATATTTAAATTTATTAAAAATCATATTTTAGCTAACAAAATATACGTGGGATTTATTATTCAAGATATATCAGCATAATGCATGTTTGAGAAGCAACTTTGGAATATGGGAAATGTGATAAAGATGAATGATCCCTACCCTACATTATTTTTCTTTTGTATATGTTAGGTTAATGCAGTAGAGACAGGAATATTTAAAAGGAATCTTTGAAAGTGGCTATGGCGCCTCTAATTTCTTTGGTTTGTAAAGGTATAACATTGAATAATGTTGTGTATGCCATTGGAGAGGACACCCCTAAGTATTTTTTTAATAATATATGTTTGAGATATGCATATAAAAAAGAATACAAAATAAATGAGAGAGAAAGATACTTGTGCAGCAAAAAGTTTCCATTGAATCATTATGAAATCTCCCGATGAAAAGGAGAGAATAAATAAATTACCTATGCATGAATCTCCTCCCTAGACACAGAATAAAAAATTATACTGAATTTTATTATAAAATTACTATTAAAATTTTATTATGAAGTTTAGTTTAAGTGACGAGTAATTTGATATTATTTAAATAAAATTTTAAATTTAAGTTTTTATATATATAAATTTTTTTATGTATAATAAATTTTTTTACCGTATCTAAATGCGTGATTTAGATAAATTTAAATTACACTGAATAAAAAAATATTATTAAGATAAAAGTTTTTAAAAATCAAATTAATTCAGATTCAAATATATTTGATTTTTTTTTTCTGATGAATGAACGTGATTGTACGCTACGCATGTTCAATCAGTTTTGTTAAGGACAGAATGGTTTCAAAATTTGATCGCTTTGGTTTTCTCCTCTGCATGCTCAATTTTTTTGGAATGATTGTCCTGTCCCTGTCAGTCAGTGTCTTATTGAAATCAATGGAGTTTTCCAAGGTGGAAAAAATGGAGATGAAATTAATCTTCCAAATCAAACATAACTTTAGGACTAGTTAAGTCATATAAAAAACAAGGTTTGAAAAATAAAGAAATCATATGAAAAATACTGATGACATGTCATAGAATATAACTTCTAACCTATTTAGATTACGTTTACAAATATACACTTTATGTGTTTATGTTTATAGCTTTGCAGGAAGGAATTTCTTTAGTTTATTTTATTGTAATTAATGACTATGAAGCTAAATGAGATGGTAAATGGATGTTTGTCATTTTGATGCAAGTACTGAGATTTCTGTGTGTTAGAAAAGGAAGGTGCAAAGACAGATAAACAAGGAAAAAGGAAAGGGTGGTGGGCTAGGTAGCAAGCTAGAGCACGAAGAACAAAAAACACACTCTCCCATGGTCACTCACACACACATATATATATTCCTCTACCGTTAGTGTTTGTATTGGTTGTAGATATGCTTTGTTGGGGTGCTTTTTGTCTGGCAGAAGCAGAAGGCAAAGACAACAATATGTAGTGCTACCTCTAAAGCCTGAGAGAGTTGCCAGAATGATTGAAGAGGTTTTGTTTGTGTTTTTGAGTTTTTTAATGATGGACAAATAAGAGCCATAATCCTAGTTGACTTGTCATTGTAAAAAAAGACCAAAAAGATGCTTTCCCTCCCTTTCCTTTGCCCAAAACAATGCTAACTTTTTAGCATGTTTGACTAATCCCTCATCACTTTCTTCTCTCGTCTATCATCTATGCAACTTCTCGGTTTTATCTCCCAATCCATTAGTTCCCTCCTTCAATTGTAATAAAAAAGAGAGAGAGAAAAAGCAGCTATAATTCTCTTGCCAAAGGTTTTGTTAGAAATCGTATAAGTTGATATAGTTATTTACTTAATATATAGTTTACTTTAATATATGTCAAATAAGTCCTTTAATTTTGACTTTGTCAATTCTTTTTCCTAGTTGAACAGTATTAGTCAAAAAGAATGGAGTGACTTCTAATTGCACCTACTGCTTTCTAACAACTTGTAATACTATTTACTCGAGAAATCTTTATCACAAAAGATTTTACAAATTACGGGTAAAAAGGGAAAGGAAAACAAAGGAGGAAAATGAAATTGGAATTAATTCTATAACATTAACCATACCACACAGCAATGTCTCACACCAGTTTATTTAACCAACATCATCTTATATTAGATTACACATATAAAAAAGAGACAAATAAGTATGCTGTTATATTACATACATAATAAAACGTTTCCCTTTTTGCTGCTGTCATCATAATTTTTTTTGCTACTAATAGTGTTTTATTTTAAAATCAATTTTTATATTTTTACCCTTTAAATTTTATACCCATTAGTATCCGTGGCTTCCACCTAGCAAAACCTTTATATATCTCTATTGAACTGGGCCGCAAGCCCAATAACTAAACCTTTTTTTGTTGGGTTTTATATTTTCAAAATCATTTTTACTTTTACAAAAAGAAAATGATATTTCATTATTATCAGAAACTTCGTATTAGTCCCATTAATAGAAGATAGATCCAAATTAATAGAAGATACAAATTAGCATTCCTCTTAGTCAGAATTAAATCGAATAGATGACCGCAATTGACAAGAATGAACTGAGTGAATTCTTATCCACTTCCTCTTAAAAAAAAGCTACAATAAAATTTACATTTTATATTATTTAAAAAAAAGGGTACAGCCTAATACAAAACCCTTTTCTTCAATGTTCATTAAAAATAAACTTATCAACAGTATTCAAAAACTGTAAATTACTTCACAGCAAGCCCACTTCTACATCAGACTTGCAAAATCCAATTCACAGAGTGGTTAGTCTGTCTCTGAAATCCATAATAGCTTCATCTAAAACTTCAGGAACTCTGAATTCTTATTACAATATAATTCCCATGTGGCCTCTTTCTTCCACTTACACTCGGAATATCCAACTAGGCTACATAAACTTACCAACACACAATGTCAAGAGTTGTAAAAAGCAAAAAGAAGATACAAATGATTATTTTTGAGGTTGTTGAGAAGCATCATTTTGCTCTTGTTTTGACCCTGCCACAGCTGCAGTTGCTGCTGCTGTCATGGCAGCTGCAGCCGCACCCAATTTTGCACCACCTGCAGCTTTCATTGCACCTCCTATTTTAGCAAATGCTGCTATGCCTCCAACAAGAATAGCTCTTAATGCAACCGTTGGTTTTACTGCCATATCTCAGTTGGACTAACTGTAAAACGCAAGTCAAACTAATGTCACCTTTGGAACCAAATAAGTTCTCGAATCATGACCGTACGTAAGATGATATTAGCATGCCTCATCACCATGGTTTCAATCAATCCAGCAGCAAAAACAACAGTCTAAATGGACGCCAAGAACTAATTGTGAACATTCATGATTTGAGATGAGTTAAAACCATCATGCAATTAACAGTTATTTTGGTATTACAAAGGACTGTAAACCAGCTCCCAAGGGCAAAAATGATTGATACACATAGATCATACGAAAAACAAATGGCATGAAATAATATATCAAGTCCATAGAGAGAATTATTGAACTTCATTTTCTGAAAGTATGTATTCTAGCCAAACTTTTTAAATTTGCTCAGATTAAGCTTTTATGGAATGATCTGAACTCTGAAGAATGGAATGCCTAAACCAAAAATGAAAATCACAAAAGACTCTTTTAAAGCCTTTCAGATGTCAATGGTCTCAACACAATACTTGAATGAATATAATAATATCATAATTAAAACACATTCCATCCATTCTGATATGTTGTTTTCTTAAAATTTTGGTTATTGAGAGATCTCAGTGGCATTGATTGGTTCATGTATCTCACTCCACCCAGTGGGGTTTGTTGTCGCATCACATACATTCTAATCAGAGTTCAACCACAAGACTAACACATACTTCACATGAGAGAAGCCTCCATAATTTGATATCCGTAAATTATGATCAAAAGCTGGACTAAAACAGAGAGTATTGATGTTGATTTTCTAAATTCTTTATACTTGTTTTGCAAATAGTTGAACTGTCTGGTACAAACATGACTCTTTTACACTTTAATCCTTTCAAACACCAAAACCTTGTTGATTCTGTATGCATGCCTTCATCTCTAAAAGAAATTTCAGAAATAATGTAATTAACTAGAACCTATACAGTTAAAACACCACCTCATGAAGAAGATCCAAAGCTACCAGTTGACAAGAAATGGTGCCCATTAAGAACTGTAAGACAAATAAAAGGGAATAAAACAAAGGCATCGAGAGGAAAATTTAACTCTCTCCATCACCTAATAGGAATTTACTTTCCATGAAACTATCCAATAATAAAATGGTTTACAAAATAGCTTTGTAAGTAATTTTTAAACCTCAAATACATCCAGATTCGATCTATTTGTGTTGAAGGTAGATCAGAATCTATATCAACTAACAACTATGATCCATGGCGACTTTGATTCTTTGGTGGACAGATAGTTGGTATTTCTGTATTCTTAGACTGAACTGACAGAAGGATCACATATCATAAGCAAAATTGGCTTCAATGCAAAAAATATACATTTTCCTTCATCATTTAAATTTTAAAACAGTTCTCAGCAGTCATCAGTCTAATGAGCTACAAATGTAAACAAATCCTGATAATATTGACCTGTGAAACAAACCCTACAATGCTAGGAGAGCAAAACTTCTTTTTTTTCCCCCACTTTTCCCATTGCTTCAATAAGCATTGCAACTAGACTAGAATTTCAGAAATCCTTGTCCTGCAAGGTTTGGACAGGTTTGCATCATCATGGGTAGGCATTAATGGGTGAGAAAACGAACCATGAAGGGCAAGCCAAATTCACGAACATTACAAGGGATAAAAAAAAAATAACATTGTATAAACACCTTACTTTCTAAACTCATTTTTGACATCCAGTTGATAGAAGCATGTGTAGCTAAAACACCTCCTTTAGATCATTAGCAAGCCAAGGAGAAAAATAACCATTTTCGTTCCTCAAATTGTACGCATGGATGATTGTAGTCTTTGACGTCACGAAAATCTCAGTTTAATCCCCAACCACATTCATTTTACTCTTTTTTTATACAAAGGAAATGATGCAACTGTAGCAGAATAAAAATTAAAATGGGTATTTTTTTAAAAAATAAAGAGATACAATTTGGGAGAGTAATAATGGACACTTACTCTTATGGTGTAATAACTTCTGAAATAACTATCTATCATAAGCCCAAACCAAAACATAATTTTCCTTCCTAAATTCGAATCTCGATAAAAAATTTTATAGGAATTAAATAATTATGATTCCAAGCCTAGAACAGAGCCCATTCTCACAGAAATAAATAAATAAAATTGGATGGCATGAAGAGTTAACAGTTAAAGATGAAGTTAAAGTTGCAACGAAAGAGGGGAGCAAAAGGAACAGCAATCGAACCTGAAATTGAAAAGGGAGGATGCACGCCAGAGATGAAAGCTTTAAAATGAATGTGAAGAGGGAAAGAGAGAGGAAGCAATGACCAATGAATCTAAACCTCACCAATGTTTCCCTTTTACCTCGGACCTATAACTAGAAATATAGTCAGTGTGTGCGTCCTGCAAACGACAACGTCGTTTCTTTCTGCGGCTCTGTTTGGTTTCTACAACAAGAAGTTCAAACCCTGGATTATTACACCAACCGGGCCCATCTATTTTTTAGTAAACGACTAACCCCAAGTCATTTTCAAAAATGTATGTTTGTGTATTTTAGTTCTTTTACGTTTTAAAATTTTTTCAACTTACCCATTTTATATTTAAAAGAATAAAATAAATATTTTATAAAATGAAAACAATACAAAATAATTAACATCTCAAAAATTTAAGTACATTATCTTTACAATCTTGAATATAAAGAGAGTGCATTTAAAGTTTTATTTAGTCCTAACTTTATAAAAAGTTGTGCATGTTAATTTTTTGATATTTTTTATTTTTATTTTACATTACAGAATTTGAAGAAATATTTATTTACAAAATCAAGATAGTATATTAATTTACATGTTTTTAAATTTTCCAAAATCAAGTAAGTTATACTTTAGATTTTGAAAATTTAAAAATATATTATCAATATAGGTTAATGGTACTGTAACCAATAACCAGACTTTTTATTTACAGAACCGACATGGGTTACTTTTCACACCCCTTTTATTTTTCTTTCTAATAAAACCACAAAAATAGGGCTTGTATATATGATATTATTCTAATTTTAATTAAAAAAGAATATTTACAACAGTTAAGATATTCAATCTACATATTTTCCTTTGTGAAAATCTATCAACAAATGAAGAAACAAAATTTATGCATAAGAAAATCAAGATTAGAGAATCTATGAAGCAGGTCTTCTACTGAAACAGGATCACCAATCAAAAATAGGGCTTGTCTCTATCAGACTCTGCGACGGAGAAGGGTTGTTTGAGCCACGCCTTGAATTTCAAGCGAAGAAATGAGCACCATGCATGCAGTCTAGTTGTGGAGACTCTTCAGCTGCAGAATGTCACAGTCGAAGGCGTTTAACACTCCTTGGCCCAATAAAGAGAGTGCGTTCATCAAGCTATAAGAATAATCATTTTAACATTGATAATAATAAGGAACTAAGGAGTTCAACATTTTCTACTTTTTGAAAAACTGCACAGTAACAAAAGTAAAAATAGTGTGTGTATAGACCAATTTAGAAATAGAGAGGAGAAAAGACGAAAACAAGAAACGTGCACAGGGTCAAGACCAAGATCAAAAACAAAATATGAACACAAACGAAAGTAAGAACAAGACCAAGAGTAAGAGCAATAACAAGAAAACGAGACCAAAAACAAGATCAAGAGTAAGGAAATGAGACCAGGAACAAGAGCAAAAAAGATCGAGAACAAGAGCAAGAAAACAAGACTCAGAACAAGAACAATAAAACAAGAGCAATGACAAAAACAAAAAATGAACACAAATGAAAGCAAGAACACAACCAAAAGCAAGATCAAGACTAAGAACAGGAAAAAGAAAACGAGACCAAGAACAAGAAAACAAGGCCAAAAGAAGATCAAGATTGAGAACAAGAAGAGAAAGAGACCAAAAACAAGAGCAAGAAAACGAGACAGAGAAAGAACAAGAAGAGGTTCAAGATTGAGCAAGAGAAACGAGATCAAGATCGAGAACAATAACAAGAGAAAGAATAAGACCTAGAAAACTAGACCAACAGCAAGAACAAGAAAACGAGACAAAGAAAGAACAAGAACAAGAAAAAGGATCAAGACATCGAGACCAAGATCAAGAGCAAGAACAAGAAAACAAGACCAAAAACAAGATTAAGATTGAGAACAAGAAGAGAGAGAGACAAAAAACAATAGCAAGAATATGAGACAGAGAAAGAATAAGAACAAGATAAGGATCAAGATTGAGCAAGAGAAACAGGACCAAGAATAAAGATCAAGAACAAGAGAAAGAATAAGACCAAGCAAACGAGACCAAGATCAAGATCAAGTAAACAAGAACAAGATCAAGAACAAGACCAAGATTAGGACAAAATCCTACCAAGAACACGAACAAAACCAAGACCAAGACCAACAAAACAAGAACAAGATCATGCTAAATACGTGAAATTTCATGCAAAATCAGAACACACATGAACCACAATTGAGCATTAAATTAACAAATCCACCAACTTGGGTCTGAACTCCAAACTATTGCGCTGGGTCTGGAATACAGCTACTGTGACGTAACAAAGGAGAAATGACACGAACCAAAGATAATGCAAAACGTAGGATAACGTGGTATCTTCTATCTGCAACAATACCAACCAAAGATTAAAGGAACACAGTGCAGATTCAAGCACCCTCTGGTTAATTGTTTTACAGTTCTTAGTGGGCACCATTTCTTGTCAACGGGTAGCTTTGGAACTTCTTCATGAGGTGGTTTTTTGACTGTATAGGTTCTGGTTAATTACATTATTTCTGAAATTTCTTTAACATTTGAAGGGTTGCATACATAATCAACAAGATTTTGGTGTTTGAAAGGATTAAAGTGTATAAGAGTCTTGTTTGTACCACACAGTTCAACTATTTGAAAAAGAAGTCTAAAGAATAGAGAAAATCAGCATCAATACTCTCTGCTTTACCCAGCTTTTGATCATAATCTCAAACTATGGAGGCTTCTCTCATGTGAAGTAAATGTTAGTCTTGTTGTGTATGTGATGCAACAACAAACACCACTTGGTGGGGTGAGATACATGGACCAACGAATGCCACTGAGATCTCTCAATAACCCAAATTTTAAGAAAACAATAAATCAGAATGGATAGAATGTGTTTTAATTATGATATTATTATATTAATTCAGGTATTGTGTTGAGACCATTGACATCTGTAAGGCTTTAAAAAAGTCTTCTGTGATTTTCATTTTTTGGTTTAGGCATTCCATTCTTCAGAGTTCAGATCATTCCATAAAAGCTTAATCTGAGCAAATTTAAAAAGTTTGGCTAGAATACATACTTTCAGAAAATGAAGTTCAATAATTCTCTCTATGGACTTGATATATTATTTCATGCCATTTGTTTTTCGTATGATCTGTGTATCATTTTTGCCCTTGGGAGCTGTTTTACAGTCCTTTGTAATACCAAAATAACTGTTAATTGCATAATGGTTTTAACTCATCTCTACTTTCTCAAATCATGAATGTTCACAATTACTTAGTTCTTGGCATGCATTTAGACTCTTGTTGTTTCTGGATTGATTGAAACCATGGCGATGAGGCATGCTAATATGATCTTATGTACGGTCATTATTGAAATCAAGTACTATCATAGTATTTTTATTTTATTTTTGAATTACAGTATTTTTAAAATCTCAAAAACTAAAAGTATACCTTTACATCTTCAAAATGTATGGGTTTTATTATACAACCGGGCCCATTTATTTTTGAGCAATTTCTTAAGTTAATTTTTAATATGATATAAATTATAGTTTTAGCTTAAATTTTAAAATTAATTTATTAGTTTTCGTAAGATCCTTCATTTTAATCTTTTGATTTTTCTAATTTATGTTTAAGAATGCATATTAAAAAGATAAAAAAGAATATTTTTTTATTAAAACTTATAATATTTAACATTGTTAATGCATTAATTATTATTTATTATACATGAATTTTTACTGTATGGTAGTATTAAACACATTAAATTTTTAATCTAGTTTTTTTAACTTTTTTGTAATTGAGTTCTTGATAATGTAATTGTGACAAATATTTACATGAAGAACTTCTAGTGATATCGAGTTTAAATAAAATAAATAAATAAACACATTAATTTGGTACTTCAATATTTACTATCATTTTCTATATAAAAAAAAACTAAAATATAAAGTTAAAAAATATTAAAACATATAATTTTTTTTCATCTCAAAACCTAAAATCAAACACCTTTACATTCCTGAAGACTAATTCGAGGCTTTCTGATTTATTTTGTTTAACCGGAAATTGAAAAGAAATGGAGATGGAAAAGCCCAAATTATTAAAATCCAACGCTCTTTCTGACTGCAGCACAGGAACAAGTATTGATTTATGTGTGGATTCAAATGTATATCCCTTAACAGAAGCAGAATAATCGTAGTGAGAGAAAGACAAAGAAGATGGATCATTACGGTTCTTCTGGAGGAAGCTGGACTATGATCCCAACCCACAACTCCAATCTTCAATCCCAATCCCAATCCAACCAAGACCCTAATCTCTTTCTCCAACAACAACAACAACAATTTCTCCAACAACAACAGCAACAACCTTTTCAGCAATCACTACCACCTCAATCTCAATTCCAACAGCAGCAACAACAACACCTTTATCAGCAACAGCGTCTTCTACAGCAACAGCAGCAGCAGCAACCACAGCAGCAACAGCAACCACAGCAGCAACAAAACCTTCACCAGTCCCTCGCCTCTCACTACCATCTCTTACATGTAATCCTTCAAAACCCTATTTTCATCTTCCCTCTTTCTTTTTTCTTTTTTGATAAAGGGAATTGCTTGTTGTGGCATTCACAGTGGGTCGAGAATTTGGCTGAGGTTATTGAACATGGAACCCCCGATCAGCAATCAGATGCATTGGTTTCAATTTTTCCTCTTTTTACTGTTTTCTTTTACCCCTTTTGATTTTTGCTTATAGGGTTATTAAAATTATGTTTTTTTTTTAAATTTTGTTTATTTCGTTGGTTAAAGATCAATGAATTGAGCAACCATTTTGAGAAGTGCCAACAGCTGTTAAACTCAATCTCTGGCTCCATTAGCACCAAGGCTATGGTAATCTGCATTTCTCTAACTTTACCCTTTCTTTTATATATCTTAATTGTTCAATAACATCAAATTATGAGTTTAAAAAATATGCAGGCACTGAATGCCTTTAATTTGGTTTCTGCCTTTAATCAAATACACTATGAACCCTATGCTCCTTAGTTCTAGCAGCATAGATAATCAGGTTTAAGTTTTTACTTATTGTGTGGTCCGTGCATGATAAACAAAATCCATGTTGCTGATGTTGGAAATCTGCTGGTATAGTTCTCAATATGCTTGTGCTCATAAAGTCTTTAACTAGTAGTTTGAAGCTAGCTTTACTTGAGTGCTTTCTGGATGCTGAATGCAGACGGTTGAGGGACAGAAGAAGAGACTAGAGGAAAGTGAGCAATTGCTAAATCAGCGAAGGCATGTACAAATTGAATGTGATATTTCAATTTTATTAAGTTTCTAGATGCTGAATAAATGTGTTTGTTTTTACTGTGTTACAGAGAATTGATTGCCAATTTCAGAAAATCTGTGGAGGAGCTTGTTAGGTCTGACCCATAAGAGCTTGTTGTGTATTCAGATGGGTGAGAAATCTCAAATGGGGTTTTGTCTGTTAATAGACTGTAGCTTCCATGTTTTACTAGGAGTGAATCACCACTTTTTTACCTTGAAATTAAGATTAGCAGAAATGCTAATAATTATTTATACCTGATAAGTGCTTAAAGATGTATATCTCAGTGTGCGTTCTATTATATGCTGATATTAAAGGATGAATGTGTCTAGCTATAGAGGACTTTTATAGAATGCTACTATGCTCATCCAATTTTGAGTCATACTTGCATATGTATGCTCGGGTTGGATTAGTCACAGGAAGTCTCAAGTCAGAGACTTAAAAGCTATTGATGAGATTAATAAAATCAAGTTCATGATTTCTTTGTTTTCATACCGTCTAATTGATTGGACAATTCTCTCTCTTTTAAGTTCTTCCCTCATATACACCGATGTAATGTATCCATTCAAGAGCTAATAGAAAGAAAGGAACAAAGTTGTTAGGGCCTGTATGATAATTTTCATCAAATTCGAACTCAAAAGATGCAGACTTATTGGCATTCTCGTCAAAATTGTGTGCCACCATCTCAAGATATCCTACTTATTGCTTTCTAGTCTCTCTGGCTGAAACTAATCACCAGCTAAATTCTAAAGAGAAAAATAATTTTCGTATCTCCAACAGTTTGTAAAAAATGTAGTTTTATTTCCCTGTTTGAATAATACGGAAATGTAGCTGTGATTGAGGGCTTCAATTCCAAATTAAACTTAATGCAAGAGTGAGAGTGAGCACACTAAAGATTACTTTCTTCCATTTTTAATTTAGATGCTCTTCATTGGTTTTGATTCAATATTCATATGTCAAAAAAGCTTGAAGCTTTTTGGACCTTAAATTTTGATCTTATATTGCAGATCTCACTGAAGATGTGCACGTCTTTAAATTTTTCAGTTCTCAGAGAACATCTTAGGGCTGTTTTTGTTCAACTATCATGGAGATCTAAGCCTATGCCATGATTTAGAATTCAAGAGATATTGTGCAAGTTACTTGTCATGTTTTGGCTCCTGGAGGTCAAGGTAGGTTTAAATCAACAGCAAAATTTTCTGCTGATATGATCTTACCGTGTGCTTCTGTTGCCTGTATTAGGAGGGAGGCAGGGCATTATTTAGTAAGAGAAAACTTTGGTAATTTGGAGGAATATAATGTAACTGATCGATGATATAAAATGGTTTGCCCCTGCATTGTTCTTCGGGCATTTATCTATAATGTTGGATTAAGTGTCTGCTTATTTTTAATTTTGGTTAATTTTACAGTGTTGAAGGTGATTAGGATGTGTGTTTTAATCAATATCATTACATTGTTCGCATTAAAATGTATGTTGTATGAAATTGATTGAATGGATAATGCCATTCAATTGGCTAACCAAAATTGTTTAAAGAACATTTAACACCGTTGCTAGACCGGAAAGGAAAGAAGTGTAAGATAAAAAATGCAGTTTTGGCAACTGTTGATATATGGGAGTTATCTAATTTTATTTTATTGGTAACCTTTGAATGTTGAATTTTTTTGTGGATTGATAACTAGAGATTAATCCAGAAAATGAATTTCTTAATAATCTAATTCAATATTGTCATGAATTTCTTAATCATTGTTTACATGTCTTTAATCTTGGTAAATACATTAAAATATGGTTTTAGCTTCTCTGATGTTTTTTGTTTAATTTTAGTTTATTCTTTTGAAAGAATAATTTCGGCCTCCGTCATGTAATGATCTTAATATTAAGTTGATTAATTATAATTTAATTCATCATTGTCACATGTATTTTAGTGACAACATAATTGAGCTTATTATCATTCATAAATTTTGCTGGGCTTGTAATTAGGAAAGAAGAAACTGGAACAGTAGAGTATGAAAAAGATGAAGTACATAACAGTGACTTGAATTATACCCACTAAACTTTAACATTTAATAGAAGTCATTTAACAACGGAGTCTAGAATATATAGTTTTTAAATATTAAGGATGTAAACAGAGAACTTTTTTTAAAATTCAATAAAAAATTAGCAACTAAAATTAAATTTACAAATAATTTGCAAAACTAAAAATTTTGTTTGTCTTTATATACCATTCTTTTGCTTTCTTATATATATATATATATATATCTTATGATCATACTAAATCTTCCACCCTTTGAACGTGTCTGTTTTTGTTATTTTCAATAATTTGGGGATCAATGTTGAACACACGTTCATTTTTTCTTCTGTTGAATTTCTATTTTTGGCTATGGTCTCAGAACATTATAATTTGTCATTCGGCTAAAAATTTATAAATAAGAAATAAATAATCAATATTATACGTAAAATATTGATTGAAATTATTATTATTATTATTAGTATTTTTATGAATAATCTGAGTCTCCTGATTAACTAGTTGCGAAATTAATAAATATCTTTTAATTAAAAGTTACGTTAAAAATATTAATAAACACAGTAAAAATATATTAAATTATTAACAACATTTATTAATAAAAAAATTATTTTTGATTTACCGGATAGTCCATAATCTGTTATTTAGGATGAGAACGAACAAATACTAATTAGAATTTTGGTTGTTAACTCACAAGTAACAACAATGTGAATCCAAAAATGAAGGTATGAAACAATGCTAACTCCTTATAAAATAAATAAATAATTTTAATTTTTGTGTTAGATAGTTCACAAATTTTTTAACATGTTTTTAAAACAAACAATCTTTCTTATTCAAATGAAACACTGTATTGTGTTTCAAGCATTTTGTTATATAAAAGGTTGTTAAACGGCAGAAAGTTAAGTATAACAAATTTATATTTCAACGAATTTTTAGTTTTATTCTCTCAAAAAAGAGCTTAATAAATTTTTACTTTTAATTTCTAATGTTTATAGTCATACATAAAACTGACTTCTCAACAAATCACATCAGCATTGAGAATTAAAATAATAATTTATAAAAAAACTAGGAACTAATTTTTTTAAATAAAAAAAATTATCCGAATAAAATTTGTATACGTGCTTGGTGTAAACGTAGGCAATTAATTTATATAATGAGATTGATTTAAGTGAATAGTGAGCCATTAATAAATCTGACAACAAACTCTAACCTTTAATCTTGAAGTTTCTCCGAATGAATCGCTCTTTGTTGTTCAAACGGAAGATAAACACACAACAACAATAATAATTAACAAATATCTATAGCTTTTGACTTAGCTTTCAAAACTGAATTACTATGACTGCTTCCTACAAAAAGCAAAGGAAGAAAAGAAAAAACAACATTAACTAAAATAAAATAAACCAAGATAAACTATTTTAAGTTCCAAGTAGTGCTAATTATGCACATAGATAACTCGAATTGGGTACATGCCAAGTTGGAAAAGAAGGTAAAAAAGAATTCCAAAAATAAAGAATTGATAAAAAAGAATAGGTTAAGGTTAAGATAGATTAGTAATGTATATCTATGATCTGTCTCTCCTCTCATTTCTCTCCATCTCCCATTTCTCAATCCTCAGTTTCATCCTTCGAGAAAATAAGGGACCCAGAAAAAGTCCCTTCCCATCAAAAACTGCACCACCTTCCCCGCCGGAGACGCAGCTGAAATCTCACATTCTTACCCCTTTTTTTCTGTTCCACCTTCCCAAAAAACCATGAACAACAACAACAACACAACAAGAAACGGTAACAGCACCACTCAAGCTTGTGCTGCATGCAAACACCAACGTAGAAAGTGTGCACCTGATTGCATTCTTGCACCTTATTTTCCTCACGATCGCCAACCCCAATTCCTTAATGCCCATAAATTATTTGGTGTCAGCAACATCGTCAAAATCATCAAATTCCTTGATCCCCACGATAAGGACCAAGCCATGCGCACCATCATTTACCAATCTGATATGAGAGCCAACGATCCTGTTGGTGGTTGCTATAGGTACATTCAAGATCTTCAAGCCCAGATTGAATACTATAGGGCTGAACTTGAACTTGTTCTTCAACAACTCGCTATTTTTAGAGCCCAGGCTCATCACCAACAACAACATGGTATGTATGCTCCAACAACAAACAATGTTAATGTCTCTGTCAATGGAGATGGTGAAGTTATAAATGGTGATCCATTGAGCTTGTATAACCAGCCACCTGTTGTTTCTAGTAAGCCTCATTATCAGTATCTGCCACAACAGGAGCAGTATGTTATGATGCATGAAATTGATAATAGTAGCCAAAACAGCAACGCCAACCTTTTGCAGGAGCATATTAATACATGGGCCATGCAGAATTCCATGTCCCTTTCATCTTTGTCATTGCAAGGCCAGAGTAGTAATGTTAGTGATGAGTATGATCACAAGCCAGTGCTTGATTTGCATTCTGATGAAAGGAGTGAATTAGGATTCGACTCTGAAGAATTAGTCCATCGCAGGTAATTATATTTATAAGTTATTTCATGAAACTAATTGTTGTAATATTTGCATGCTTATAGAATCTGATTTAATGCTCTTATTATGTAATATGCACTTGTAGCTCATGTCTAGCTTAAGGCATTTTGCATTGGAATTATTTAATTAGAAATTAATGGGATATGTGATGTAGCTAGGATTTATGAAGGGAAAGAAAGACATCATTAATTCCAACAAAGTGATTAATTAAATATTCATTATGATTGGAGTTATGAATTTATATATGATTTACTTTTGTTTCTCATTGATGCATAACATCTAAAATAATCATACTTTTGTTTAAATAACATGCAGTGATGAAGCAGTCTTGTTTAAGATAGATGACGCAGTAATAAAAGCTGAGGCTGATTGCATCCAACAAGCTCAAGACCATGATCTGAAAGGTGCTGCAACTTTGTTTACTCTCACAAATTGAACTAGCTGATGAGGTGCTGATTAGCATAGATTAATGTAGAAGATGCGTCTGCATCATTTTGTTATCATTAGGACATTTCCACTCGGTTTAGAGGTCAAAATTTTGCAACAATATGTGCTTATTTGCGGCTATAGTTATTTATACCATTTCTTTCATAGGATAGTTTTTCTATTACTAATTTTTCCTTCTAATTAATAAACTTAATGAATGCTATTCCCTCTCCTGCATGTCTGAATAATGAAAGGATTGAACAGATAAGGTTTATGTGACTCTTGCGAGCAATGCATTTAATTTTTTAGTAAAGCCCAGGCTTTGGTTTACAGCTAAAGCCACGGGTAGGTATGCAAGAATTACAACATGGACACCACCATGGATTTTTATGGAGAAAAAAAATATGATGAAATACAAGGAAATTATTGGCAATGCCACATAACCATAACTTTAAGAGACACTGAGATGCTTACTTTAATTTATACACTGGCTCTCATAAACGAGTGTTTGTACATACACAGAGCACAAATTAAGGACACAAATACAACATATGGTTTTGATACATTGACATGTAACAGACGAATTCCACATCAAGGTTATGCCTGGTTGTTAAAACAACGCTGGCAGGATACATAGGCTGAATTGAAAGAGACAACAATCATGTCATCTTCACCTTAAAACTGAAGATTTGATTTGCATGGTGTTTCACCACCAACATCCATAACCGTGTCTCTCACATAGCCTCTACTTCTAGACCTCTCTTGGTAAAATCTCTATAGGTCCTTCCTATAATTAAAGTTCTGTCTTCCATTTTCATTAAAATCTCATCTACTGTAGTAGCCGCTGTCACTTTCATAGCCCCTGCCACTTTCAGTGCCTTTTCATTACTAAGGGAAATCACCTAATCTACATTGTTGTGTATAGGCACTTGTAATAATGACGTGCGTTGGTAACTCACTAACTTGTTTTTCTTTTTTTCTTGTGTTTTCAATATATATAAGAACCTTGATGTGTTTGTAGAAGAGGGTAGCAGTGCAATACCAAAATGCTCAGAATTTCCTTGACTTGTTTCTCAATTTCAAAATGAAATATGCTCACTTGAATATCTGATTGTTTAAGTTGCTCCTGCTCTTTGTTGGTTTTCTATGGCGCAAAAAAATAAAGAAAGAAAAAATGTGCAAAATTGTGAGGAGAACGAATAGAAAAAACTCAATTTTATTAAATAGTAATAGCATATTTATAATAATTAAAAAATAGAAACTAATTATGTAACTAAAAGATTGATAATAAATTTAAATAAAAAATTAAATTATTTTTAAAATGTAAAAATTATTATTAACTATAATACTAATATAATAAAATGAAATAACAAAAAATAACTTAAAGTAGATTTATTGTCAACAAAAAAAAATTATTTAAATTTAAACTGTAAATTATATTTATTTTTTTGCTGTTTAAATTTGTTAATAAAAAGTATATTTGTTGTCAACAAAAATTTTGTGTTTTCTTTTTTACTTCAAATTAGAATTAAATAAAATTTTCTTTTAATACGAAATATGATTCATAGATTCTAAGAAAATTTTCATACAATCAACTGAGTCACTCCAATCATTAGAGAAATCAGTCAACTTGAATTTTACTCTACTCTTGAAATTGATACTTGAGTTGTAAGTGTCTTTAAAATATTTAACCACTATTTTTTATGACCTTAAGATATCTTTCATTTGTACTATGCATGAAAATAGAAAATTTAATTTCAGCACTTAAGATATTATGGTGAAATATTATGATATTTTTTTTTGTATGAGATGTTGTTTGCAAACTTTTTTTTTTTTTTTTTTTACATTTTTACTTTAAAAATATCTTGACCTATTTCATCTTTAATTAAACAATATTTGTCTTAAAATATAACTTCAAATCCTCCTTTAATTAGTTAATCAACACTTAACAAATTTTAGTCAATCTAGGAACTAAAAGAATATCACAAATTAATTTCGTGTCTAAATAGCTTGCTATTGCCATTATCTCATTCCCTTGGTAAGATGAAATCACTATTGCCTATTTTGACTTTGGTGATATTAGTCAAAATCAAATCTCTAAAGAGTTTTTTATTATTGGTCACATGGTTAGTGCTATCACTATTAATTAACCAACCTTCATTTGATTCAAAGTCTGAGAAACAAGTAGCAACAAATAAATAATTTTTCTCTTGATCAACAATCTTAATCTCTTTATCTTGATGTTGATTTTTATTTTTATTTTTGCATATAAATTCTTCATGTCCCAGCCCATTTGGTTGCATTTATTGCGTTATGCATTAGGCATCTTCCAACATTTGAAAGGAGGATGACCAATTTTTTTACAATGATGATATGAAAGATAAGATTTTTTTCTTGTTGTATTTTGTACTTTCATGATGTGTGACATGCAAGACTCCCTCAACAACACATTTTTGTCTCATTGCACACCTTTACTCTTATATTTGCAAGACATTTAAGAGTTCCACCAATGTGATTTTGGACAAGTACTTAATATTTTTTAAGGTGGTGATTATAGTCTCAAATCTTTTAGGTACTATCACAAATTTTTTTTCTACAATTCTAGAATAAAAAAATTCAATACCTAATAATCTTATCTTGTTAGTTATGCTAAGTAACCTGTCTGAGTATGTTTTGATTGTCCCAGACTTATTCATTATTTGAAATTCAAATTCTCTCATCAAATTCAACACTTGCATGCCTTGAATTCTTTCATTTTCATCATATTCTTTTTTAAGATAATCTTAAATTGTCTTTATTGTTTTTAAAGTCATAATTTTGTTGAAGATATAGTTGTTGAAACACCAACAAAAAGACATAATTTTGCCTTTATCTTTCGTGTTTTTCTCTCTTTATGACTTTTTATTTGAGCCATGATAAAATTGTGTAGGAGTGAAAAAATTTTGTAATCCTCTTCAATAGTTTTGTAAAGATCTAAAACTTTTAAGTAAGTCTTCATTTTGATATTTCAAAAGATCATAATTTTTTCTGGAGTAACTTATAAGAAATTTGATTTAGTATCTATTTCTACGTATCCGTATGAAGAGTTGACAACTCTTGATACCAGTTGTTAGTTTTTCATGACACACAAAAATTTAAAAAAAAATGTGTAAAATTATGAAAAGAATGAATAGAAAAAACTCAACTTTATTGAATAGTAATAATATATTCATAAAAATAAAATTAGTTTTATAAATGGAAAACTACAGTCTTATTTTAAAATTGAATAATGAGAAGCCTCTCGCCACATTTCTGGCCGTATTAGAATTTCAAGTTTTACAACTTAGCTTACATAATCAGAAGTTTGGCTATTTTTATTTGCGTGAGTAGTTCCCGCGCACCTTAATTATTGAAAATGAATACATTGGTTAAACATGTTTTTATTTGTCAAAATTTTGATTTTAGTCAATGAAAAGTTCTTTTTGGTTTGTCGCTAAGTCTTTAAAAAAATTAATTTATTTCTTTAATTACTATTAAATGATGACGTAATTAATTCAAATGTTATTACTTGTTACTTTTTTTGCGAAACTATATAGAAACATCAAAAGAAGTTAAATTGAATATAACTTAAGAGATAAAAAAAAATTAAATCTTTAACTGCAAAAAACAAAAATTACACGCTCGCAAATGAGTTTATATACGTGCACATATGAAAATTTTAGATAAACAGCATATAATATAAACTTGTCAAACAAATTTTCTTTTATTAAACCTTCTGATTATTAATATTGAAATTTGCAGATCATTCACGCTAAAAAAAATTGAAGTATTTTATTGTAAAAACAGATGGAATAAATTTAAAGTAAAAAAATTGTTGAATTGAAAAAGCAAAAAAGAATATATAGTTTTGTGTGGTGTCAATGTGGCTGATCTCACCAGGGTGACCTCATCAGTTAAGAACATCCAAAGTCAATTTTTCAACCCATTATTATCGCTCAAAGTTACATTGTTTCAGTTGAGTTTGGTGGTTGAATTACTAAAAATTAATATTATCCATAATTATTTTTTATTTTTATATATATATTCTAAAAAACCAACTCAAGATATAAATTAAAGATACATTTTAAATATTTCCTCTAAATATACAAAGATACATGGGGTAAAATATTTTTAAAAATTATTACCTAAAAATGTATAACATATGAGTTAAAATTTAGTGAAAAATTGTTGGGAGACGGGGAGGAGGCATAGCCCACCCTCATATGCACCTATTAAGGAAGATTATATTTGGTAAAATTATTGGAAAGCTTATACTTTTATAACTTAGTTTAAAGTTTACAATTTGTAATTGACTAATTAGTTGATTGAATTATAACTATTTAATAAAATTAATTTTATAACTTGTTAAAATTTGTTAAATGATTAAAAAAATTAATTTTTTTAAAAAAATTAAGCATCAAAATGAATGAAAATATTTTATTGCTGACTTTCAACAAATTGGATGTTACTTAAAGTAGTTTTTTATAAGTTAACTTAATTTTTTTTATTCACCAAACAATTTACATGTTTATTGACTTGAAAAAAATTATAAGCTCCTAAATAAATAATAACTTGTGTTAATTTATTGCATTCAAAAAAATAAAAAACATAATCAATTATATATATATATATATATGAAGCATCAAATAATTTTTATATTTATAAAAGATTTTATTTAATTTGTATGATAGAAAACTTTAAGCCAACTTGCATTTTAAAAAGCTGTAATACAAAGTTGTTAAATGGTGTGAGAATAATTTAAATTTATGTCCACTATAAGCTGATCTCTTTTTATGTGAAGATAATTATTTTGTAAAAAATACTTGAAGTGTAAAATAAATTATAAAATATAACAAAACAAAATATTTGAAGTGTGTCACAATGCCTATATACATCCAGACACGAGATATAACAATAACAAAACTAATATTTAAAGTGCATGGATGTACATGCATTATTACCAATTTGGATCAGATGCTAAGCTAAAGAAAACCACTAGTTAAAGTTTATGTATCATCAAAGTGGAACCAGATGCAAAATGGCCTTTCATCTTCGATATATATATACATACACATATTCAAAACATTTACTAAGGCATTAAAAGAGTGAATTGATATTGAGGGCAACATTTCATAGTGAGTGAAATTAGAGTAGAATTGAAGCGCCATGGATTGCTATTCAAGTAAAAATCTAGGGAAGCAAATGGCCAAGGGTTGTGTTAATACAAGAGGATTCACATGCGGTCAAAAAAATAACTCCATCTTCCTAAATATGGCTAAGATACCTGAAAAAATTATGGTAAAGGTAGCTTGCTTTATTACAAAACAGGCTTGTGGGTGTTGCTTCCCATGCCCTTCCATGCCTCTCCCTCCATTCTGCCATTCCTCCAAAGCTCGTCGTCGTGGTACTTGCTAGCTAAGGTCCAAATATATAAACCCTACACCATGCACCATTGCACTTCCATCTTATAATAAACCAGAAAATCTTTATTTTATTCTTCCAATTGTAAATACTAATCACTTTAGTATTTCATTTTATAAAAAAAATTGTTTTTAAAATAACTTATTTTAGTCTTTTTTAATATTTTGTTTCTCATCATTGTTTTATATTAAAAAGTTGAAATGAATGTTGTTTTATAAAACTTAATATTAAAGTAGAATTTTTAGAAAGTTATAGACTAAAGTGATTAGAATTTACAATTTGAGAGAATAAAGTGAACATTTATTTAATGCTTCTCTTGGAGTGGACCTTGATTTGAGGGATAATAAACTGTTTTTTTATATATGTATATATAATTAATAATGTTGCATTGTGGTGCATGTTACTCTAGGTTTTTTGTTTTTTGTTGTATTTTGGGGGTTAATACTATGTAACCTAGTAGTAGACTCATCATCATTAGGATTATGTTGATTTTGTACGAATTATATGAAATGGTGAAGCATATGATATGGCCTGTAGTGAAAATGGTAAGTCTACTCTATTTTTTTTTTTAATCTTGTGTTTGTTTAAAGAGTTTCAATGATAGAATTTTACCTTTTGTTATCTTACTTTCTGCCTCCTCAATAAAAAGCATTCCACCATGTTAGCAACATAATCTCAAACGTACAGATTTACCTGAGGAATATATTCCCATACGAGTAAAAAGTGTTGGTACCCTCAAACACCAATCATAATAACGATAGTTGAAAGCATAAATCAATGATTGGAAATTATTTTAATTTAATCAATATTTCTAGTTTATGAGTTTTATCATCTTTATAATATTTATAATAAGCTGAAATTGAAATGAGTTGAACCCTTCAATTCAATATTTTATTTAAATATTAACTAGATGTTAAAATAGCATTATTATAAATCTATTTTAACACTAAATTTAGGTGTATATTCAACATCATATGCAAATTAAAAACCAGTTATGTTATAATTGTATAGAATATTTGGTATAAACTTTTAAATTGAGTGATAAAATAATATTACTATCTATTATAATCACTTTGAATTCTTAAAAATTTATGCAATATACACATATTCTTACAACAAAAAGCAAAACACATTTATATTTATTGACTTAAATAATATATTTAATCTCTCAATTTTATTGACTAAATATTCTAAAGATTAATTAAAGAATTGGTTAGTAAAATACAAATAGACCATAAAAATTGTGAATGGCAAAATCCTTTTGTATTTTTAGTCATAGATATATAAATAAATAAATAAAAAAGGCATATAATTATAAGCCAAACTAGACGGGGTGAATTAAAATAATTTTTGTACATTAAAATTTCAAAAGCCATCATTGAGCTGAAAATATTCATGAAGAATAATAGCAACATGTTCTTAATATTGAAGCAGGTAATAATTAATTAGTGGGTAAAACAAGAACAGAATCCAAAATGAAATTTGGCGACCAAAGCAAATTGCATTACCATTCCAAGGCGAGTTGGAAGAGTTCTTAATATTGTTACATTAATTTTCAGTAATAAATTGGATGAATGACACAATATCTATAGAATAAGACCAGTTTTGTTCTCATCTTATCCTATTCATGAGGATAACATGAATGAGACACGATTTCCTAAAACGTAGTGAATAGAAGGTGGCATAATTTAAACCTCACTCCATAAAATACAAAGATTTTGATCTCAACGATTTCCTTAAAAGGAAGGGCAGAATCTGAATATTGATACACAAAATTGTTTTCATGATTTGGTGAAGCAAGTTAGAGGTCCAAATCATCCATATCAGGCACCCGACTTGGAGGTTTATTTTTATCATTTGGATTATCCACCACAGCTGCCTCGGTTGTTGTCAGTAGTAACGATACACTGCATCAAAACAAAATAGTCAAACTAATAAATATACACCCTAAACCCTAAACCCTAAACTTAAGATACACCCTGTTTTTTACTTGTTCACTTTCAAACAAACTCAATTCAGTGATGCTTTTTTTTTTTAACCAATACTTAATGCAAAGAAATAGCAATGAGATGATATTACCTGGCAGCATCTACCAAAGCTGTTCTAACAACTTTAAGAGGATCTATTATTCCGGCCTTTACCATATCAACATAGACACCTGCTTAAGCAGAATAAGCATCATCATCTTTCAAGCACCACCTAAGTATAACAAAAAACTTAAAAAACAGTCTTCTGTATGGTGCATAATAATTATTCAGAATTTTCTTTTTAAATGTCAGGTGTTATACTGCAAAGTAGTAATAAAGGTTGTAGGCTTGTAGCTAGTAACTATAGAACCAAAATAAGCAATCAAACCAACAGGAAGCTTACTCCATTATCTTGACCAGTAGTCAATGAAACCAAAAATAGTAACAGGAGGCAAATAATAATCATAATGGGATTTCAATGTAATTTTATACACGCAAACTGGTTACAAACCTTTAGCTGCATCAAAACCTAAATTATGATCATCTTGCTCCAACAATTTGCTTTGGACCAAAGCACCATGAAAACCAGCATTTGAAGCTATTGTAGACGTAGGTGCCTAAGATATAACATGCATTGTCAGGAAAGATGAAAAATTACCGAGCACGCAAAGAAGTCAAAATAGAGAAGACTGATGCTTTATGCAACAAAATAAAGTAGGTGCAGCAAATGGTATCACCTTGAGTGCATTCTGAATAATCTGTACTCCTCTTTTCTCATCTTCATTTTGAGTTTGAAGGTTCTCCAAGACTTTGGTAGCATACAAAAGAGCAACTCCACCACCTGATTAAAACAATTACATATTGACTTTAATAGATGAAAGTATTCTAAGAATGTAAACAAGAATACAATACCTCTTCCACTTGCCTCCCTCCGTAGACTATTTATCCCAAATCCCATCAGAATTCAGAAAGGAGAATACAATGAGTTACCTGGAACAATTCCCTCTTCCACAGCTGCTCTAGTGGCATTCAAAGCATCTGTTACTCTATCTTTCCTTTCCCCAACTTCAGTCTCACTAGCCCCCCCAACCTGAAGATTTGGTTCCATCTTTCATGTGAGGTAATTAAAAAATAAATTAATCATCACAGACTACTGTTTTTAAGGGTCAGTGACAAACTTTGAAAACAGCCACACCACCAGATAGTTTTGATAGGCGTTCCTGTGCTTTTTCTTTATCAAACGTGGCAGAACTCTTCTCCATAGTTGTCCTCAGCTACAAAAGATATATGCTTATTAAGCATCACAAAATAACCAAAAATGTTTATATTAATTGAATGCCTTTAGACTATAAGTTACATGAAGGCAATCTAAATTCAATAATGACAATTGGCAAATATTGTCACGATATGTCAACCTTTTAAATGAATGCCAGAATTATGTAATTTAAGGTTTACACAAGAGACATTGCTTGTAAGGATTTACATAGCTGCAAAATTAGAAACATTGCAGTACACGCAAAACACTAAGTGGCATGAACCCACTAAGCACATAATAATTCTTTTGTGAGATCAGTATGGAAAAAAATTACAAGACAAAACATTATTGTGATGTAGTGCTGTATGTACACGGGAATAGGATAAAAAATAGAAAAGAAAGTGCTCCAAATGCAGGTTTAGAATAAGGCCTAAGTTAAGAACCTGGTAATTCTGTTCATTAAAATCATTTAGTTAAGCATGAAAAGGATTTACACAAAATCACAGCTAAATCACTAACACATTTTTTTTTAGAAAAGTACAAGTAAAATTATAATACTTCAAAAATAAATAAATAAGATACCTGCTCACATCTTTCTTCAATGAGCTTCTTATCCCCACCACCATGTAGAATAATAGTGTCATCAATGGTGACAGTAACCTGTTTCATATTAAATTAGATTATATAAAAAAGTTTGAAGAACCAAACAGTACTTATGTTGTACTTGGTTCAAGCCACATACCTTCTTAGCAGTGCCAAGCATTTCTGGTTGGACTTTATCTAGAGTAAAACCACGATCTTCTGTGATGACCTGTTTTCAAATTTGTCATAATCTTTTTCATAATATATAACAAGCTGCAGTTCCAATCGCTAGACCTTGAATATTTGAGTCATTATTAAAATCTTGAAAAGAAAGAGTGCACCCTTAACAAGAACCCAAACGCTGTATCTGACAAATAAAATGTAGATGGAAAATCACCTCCCCTCCAGTAAGAATTGCAAGATCATCCAAATTTGCTCTTCTACTATCCCCAAAACCAGGAGCTTTTATTGCACAAACCTAAAATACAAGAAACTTGAAATAAAGAAAATGGAAAAGAAACATTTAAAAAGTAAAATTCCAAATAGCTTGGCATAATAAGGTCAAACACAGAAGACATTTTACAAATCCATAAAAAATACTTACCTTAAAAAAAAACACACACAAGAAAAAGTAAGCATGCTCCAGATACACACTTTAAAATATTACCAGAAAATTCACTTATGGTAACCAAAATCCTTCTACAGGTGTTAAATTTCACTAAATATTCTGAATAAAAAGGACTGGAGTATCTAATAGTATCCACTACATTATGTATGTGTAGTTATAAAAACCATCTGGTCATTTCTAAAGGTTTTGAAGCAAGACTTTTCTCACCTCCAATTAAATAGTATCAACTAAATAGAATTTAGAATGCAGTTGGAATTCAGTATATTTTTCAAGTGTCTTCGGATGCAAAAAGACAATGCACAGTTCAAACTACGTCCTTTATGGTGTTACTTATAGATGGAGAGTATTGCCTTTATTAAGTTTAGATAGGAAAAAACATCTGTTCACTCATCGTCATTTTTTTGTAGTTTATCTATCTAGGGAACACATCCTCATGTAAACTCAACATAAAATGAACGGAAACAAAACAGAAAAAGCTTAACAGGCAGGAAAACAAGACAAGAAAGCAAATCCAGTTGTTGACAGCATTAAAAATCACCAAATATTAGCAAATAGGCTATCAGTTACAACAAAGAAACAAATTTAAAATCAAAGGAGGCAAGAATCCAGCATTAAGTTTGTTGAATAATAATGTAATAGGAAATATAACTATGGTAAAAGATGTGAAATCACCTTAAGCCCAGCATGATGCTTGTTGAGTATGAGCATAGCCAATGCATCACTCTCAACATCTTCAGCAACAACTAGGAGTGGTCTTTTTTCCTGATTAAAATTAAAATAGTAAAGTTAACAATGAGAAAGTTCAATCAGCAAATGAAAATGAGCACAATGAATCAGGATTCGCTTATCCACCGTTACTGCCAGCTCCAATATTTTCAGCAGTGAATTCATGTCTGAAATCTTCTTGTCGTGGATGAGAATAAAGGGATTCTCCAATTCCTAACATAATCAAAATCACCATTATTAATATCACATACATCTGAACCCTCTTTTCCTTGTAACAAAAAAAAAAATCTGAACCCAAATAATGTTAACTAAATTGAATGAAACTTTTTATTTGCATGATTGTGCATCATGTTTGAATAATTGTCAATACTTTTGTCAAATTGATTTTATAGATTAACATCTAGCCATAAATAACAAATATCAACAAAAATTCGTATTGAAAAATGAAAATAGGCTTCGCAGAAAAGAGCTGGAACTCTTTGTCCTTACCAATGACTACATGATAGTAAGTTAGACAACAACTGGGCCTCTTTTATAGAGGAGAGGCATGAACTTAACAGCAGACAAGGGAGACTTTGTAATACATACTAATATAAGAAAAAGTTTGTTCAAAATACACCATCATTAGATGTTAATCGGAGGTAAATCTATTGTAAGACAACATGTTAGTTCATTTTTTGAGAATGTTTGACATATATGTTAGTTACATAAGAATAACTCTGTGCTTACACATTTCTGGCTCTTCTGATCAGTAATAAAATAAGGAGATATGTAGCCTCTGGTTAACTTCATTCCTTCTACCACTTCCAACTCATTATCCAATGTATTCCCATCCTGAAAGCTTTAAAATTATAGATAACCTCAACTGAAACTGTGAGAAGTAATAAGTTCACAAAATGGACAAAATTGCTTACAGCAACAGTAATGACTCCCTGCTTTCCAACTTTCTCCATTGCCCTTGCTATCAATTCTCCAATATCACGCTCCCCATTTGCAGATATAGTTCCAACCTACTAGTCATATAAAAGAAATTAATACCCAATAACCAAAACGTATATACTGGCACTTAACTTATCTATCAGGAAGATAAGTAGCAGTAGTTTTCTATAAAACAATTTATAAATACTTTTCAGAGAATAAATCAATTGTAAGTAGTGGCGAAAAAACTCCAATGTCTATGCTAAAATTAATATTAGGAAACAGGTCAACAAGCATCATATTGTCGATCAATTTTCTCAACCAAAAAGTTCATTAAGCATAGAAAAGTTTTCAAGAGAAGCCCTTGCACCTGGGTTATCTCTTCAGGTGTGCTTATCATTACTGCTCTGCTTTTCAAGTCAGTAATTACAGCGTCAACTGCCTTATTTATTCCATTACGTAAATCCATAACATTTACGCCAGCAGCAATTGATTTGCATCCTTCAGTGAGTATTGCCTGAGTCAAAACAGTTGCACAAGTTGTACCTGAAATCAGAGAAGAAATATTGACTTGTAAGATATGGAGTTGAAATTTTGTTTTTTTAAAAAAAGCTATAGATAAAGGCACACAAAACTAAGATCATCTCTATGTTTTCCTCTCAACATGTATAATAATTAAAAAATATTAATTTAAGAAATCTAATCACAGAGCGATAGTCACCATTGGACATGATCCTGTTCTTTGTTATAGACTTTTCACATCTGTTTGAAAAGCAATTTCAGATCACTTAACCAAGTAATATACCAAACATGTTCTTTTGTAAGACCATCCTCATGGATTATGAGTCGATGACTACTATATAAACAAGTCTTTATTAATTCCCCTGAGATTGAAGCAACTCCCAATTTTTGGATTCATGTATAGCACTAATAATGAATTAAAATTATCAAAGAAAAAAAAAATCCTAGTGAACCCTGATAGGATGCTTTCAACATAAGAGATTTGAGATGAAAGCAATCACCATCCCCAGCAGCATTGTTGGTGGCTTTGGCGACCTCCTTGACGAGATTTGCACCAACATTTTTGGCCTTGTCTTTAAAATTGATACTTTTGGCTACAGTCACACCATCCTTGGTGACCCTGGGATTTCCATGACTTCTCTCAATTATCACATTGCGACCCTAACTCGATCAAATCAAAATAAAGTAAACAAAAACGTTACGCGGGGTAGTGTCAACTTCCCTTGTCAACATTTTTCATCCAGATTCATCACAATCCACATGAACAAAAAACGAATAATTTGGAACAACAAACTATACTAATATCCATTGAGAGATAACATGAAAGAAATTACCAAAAGAAAAGGTTAATTCAACAACAACAAAAAAGTCATAGCATCAGAATCAGGTGCACTAAATGAACAATATAATATACCTTTGGTCCCATGGTAACTTTGACAGCATCAGCAACCTCAGTAACCCCTTGCAATATAGCAGCACGAGCCCCAATCCCAAAGTTTATATCTTTGCTCACATAATTTCTCCTTGACAATACCCCACCATACACCTGTCCCCATAATTCAAATTCAAAAAACGATCCTGTGACTGTGAATCCATGGAATGAAAATAAAAAAATGAAAATGGTCTTACGAGGTTATTTCTGGAAGATGAAGAAGCAATGGAGGAAGCAACTTTAGAAGCTAATCGATACATTGTAATGGCAGCCACAAGCAAATGAAAAATCAAACTCAGTAAGTAGAAGAAGTAGGGCTTTACTCAGGGTTTAAGCTCTGTGCCTTCGCTACTATTTTAATTATTTATTATTATTATCATTATTATTTGGGTTCTAGAAACCTCCTTTTCTGCTGTCTCGGCCCACGGACATCATGGTCCAACCCAATCAGAAAATTCCAAATTCATAATTGAATAAAGGGTACGTTTGGGATGCTAAGGGTATTTAAAAGAGTTTATGAAAATTACTTATGATTGTTGATAAAAAATAAAATTATTTATAATTATTATAATTTTTTATATAAATTATTAAAATTATATATATATTTATTATTAAATTTTTAATTTTAATTTATATTATAAACACTTTATATAAAACAATTAATAAATACAAATTTAGTTAAGTTGTTATCTAAAATTATTTTTTTAAATATAAGAAAATAAAATAATTTTATAGTAGAGGTTTTTTCAAAAATATAATTTTTAAGGTGTTATTTTAGAGGTATTTTTATTAGAGTTTTTTGTGTGTGTTAGAGTTAGTCTATTATAAAGTTTAAAGAGTTTAATTTTGATACATTTTTAAATCAATTTTATTGATATTTTTTGTTATTTTTGAAATATAATTTAATATTTTCTAAATGGATAAATGTTTTCGATTTATTTTATTTTTTCACATCTCAATACTACATTATTTTTATTATTTTGTTATGTATTTAATTTTTAATTAACTTAATCATCATATGCTAGGATTGAATTTGACTTGATTGAAGTACATCATCAAAGAAGTTTTGGAAAAACTAAAGCTCAAAGATACACTTGAACTTAGAGGCCTTTTTATACCCAATCAAAAGTTTTCACATGTTGAATCATTATTAAGAATTGATTCAAGCGAAAAATGGGTCAAGGATCAGATCGAAATATGAGTACGAAGTTGACCAAAAAACTATATGCTACCACTACTTTTGATTTTCATCAAATAGTAACTTTTTTTTTTTTTTAATATAGTACTTAAACCATTTATGATAAAAAGAAAACAGTTTTCATCGAATTTTTACTCAAACTTTTCAACTATTTAGTGTTAACATTGACTAAAGCACAATATGACAAAATAACAATAACTAACTAAATTTGACTAAAGCCGAAGGAGACAAAACAACAATAACAAAATTCACTAAGGTAAGACAACGTATGCTATTGGGAGCCACAATTTCAACTTTATTGACTGCTTGGGGAAGGCTTTCACCAAATAAGACCATTCTCATTTAAAAAATACGGTAATTTTTTTTATAAAACATTTTTAATTAAATTATTCAAATTAATAAAACAATTATAATTAGTTGTTTTTATAATTTAAAAATATTATAATATAATAATTTTACCTTTATTTAACAGAATTAAACATAATTTCTTTATCAACAATATTAACCTCTCTTAATTTTAATTTTAAGTCTCTACTAACTCCATTTATTAAAGGCAAAATAATTATAATAAATACTGCATAAAAATTATAAAATACTTTATAAAAATCATTAAAAACTTTTACAAGATATTTTACAATAAAAAAATAACATTAAAATAAACATAAATCTATTTTTAAGTCAACATGAATCCAAACATTTGTTACTAGTAACGTGTATCACCGTGCACAGCATATCCTATATTCCATGGCTTCTACTTCTGCAGTTGTTGCCAATGCTTCATCCTCTATCAATGTTACAAGAAAATATGATGTTTTTATAAGCTTTAGAGGTGATGATACGCGTGACAACTTCACAAGCCATCTTCATGCAGCTTTGTGCAGAAACAAAATTGAAACCTACATAGACTACAGGGTCGACAAAGGAGAGGAAGTTTGGGTAGAACTTGTGAAAGCAATTAAAGAGTCGAGTGTTTTTTTGGTTATCTTATCGGAAAACTATGCATCTTCAACGTGGTGCTTGAATGAACTCGTTGAAATTATTGAATGCAAGAAAAATGGAGAACCTTATGTTATTCCTGTGTTCTACAGAATAGACCCATCAAAGGTACGAAAGCAAACCGGGTATTACAAGAGAGCTTTTGGAAAAAACAAGCAGAATGGAGAGAAGATGCACAAGTGGAAGAATGTTCTCTATGAGGTCGCCAACTTTTCTGGCTTTGATTCTCGTTTATACAGGTGTGTTCTTAGACTTCTTATAAATTCTAATGTATATGGATTTGTTCTTCTTCTTTTTTTGTCTTTTTAATTTCAAAACAACTTAGTTTTGTTAGATAATAAATTTTTTATGTTAATAGATTAGCAAAGCAAAAGAGAAGTTTTTAGTCTAAATTATCGTTTTTTCTTTTTCTAAGATTAGATCAGATTTACACTCAAACTCTATATCTGAGGCTCATTTTGATAAATTTTTTACAAAAGTATTTATATTAAATAAATAAATAAATTAGCTAAAATATTTTTCATATGTTAAAATCAACTTATGCTCTTTTATTTTAATTTTCTTTTTCAATTAACTTATCTAAAACATAAAGTATATAAGTGAATTTTAATTTATGAAAAAAAATATTTTTTTCTCTAATAAATACTTAGACTAAATTAGAAGTGCTTTTCACACGCCTAAAATAACACAAACTGTTCTTATATGATACGTTGCCCCTATTTCTACTAAGGATTTTTATCACTAGTTACATATTTAGTGAAAGAAAAAAAAAGATAATGAATTTATATATACTTGTTTTGAGAAATTTTTAAGATTTGAATAAATCGAATAAGAGTGAGATATTCTCTAGTAAGGAAGCATACAAGCAAGATTTGTTTGGATTATAATTTGACTTTTCTCAGTTGTGGACGAAATCATGTTGGGTCGAACCATTTGAAGTTGTGTATGTGATTTGTAGCATGTGAAGGAACTTTGATATTTCTAAATGATTAAAATTGTAGAATAGGATATAGTGTTATCAAATAATATAAATTTGTTTGGATTAATTTGACTTTTCTGGATAGGTTTTTTTTTTTTTTACCAAAAGATAATAATAAAAAGAAATAGTCTTACCCATTAAATTTGAAGTGTGATATTTAATAGATTTTTTAATGCTTTTATATATTTATTATCAATCTAGTGCATATTATTATAATCTTGAGCTAAAGTTCTTTTATTGCATGTAAGCAATGAAGTGAAATGTTATTGAATCTATCTGTTATTTCTTCCAATGAAATTTAAGGGCTTTTAAATGATCAATTTTTCTTGAATTATATTTTATCATCTCAGTATTAATTTATATTCATTTATACTTTTATTGTAATTACTAACTGATATATTATGGATTTATTCTCTTTAATTTAATTTTTGTATGCCAGGGCCGAATCTGACCTGATTGAAGATGTCGTTGCAGCAATTTTGCAAAAACTAAATCAGAAGTACACAAATGAACTTAGAGGCCTTTTTATATTAGATGAAAACTACTCTCACATTGAGTCTTTATTAAAAATTGATTCAAGAGAAGTTCGAATCATTGGAATTTGGGGTATGGGAGGCATAGGTAAAACAACCCTTGCTGCTGCTATTTTTCACAAGGTCTCTTCCCAATATGAAGGTAGTTGCTTTCTAGAAAATGTTGCTGAAGAATCAAAAAGGCATGGACTTAATAACATATATAATAGACTTCTTTCTAAGTTACTGAGGAAAGATCTTCATATTGACACTCCCAAAGTGATATCCTCAATTGTTAAGAGACAACTGATGTGTAAGAAAGTTTTCGTTGTACTAGATGATGTGAATACTTCTGAACTTCTAGTTAATTTGATTGGAGTAGAACGTGATTGGTTAGGACCTGGTAGTAGAGTCATTTTGACTACCAGAGATAAGCATTTGCTAATAAGTGGAGGAGTTGATGAAATTCATGAAGTTAAGGAAATGAACTTTCAAAACTCTCTTAAACTTTTCAGCTTAAATGCTTTTAACAAAACTTATCCAGAAAAGGAATATGAGGAGCTATCAGAAAAAGCAATTGTTTATGCCAAGGGCATTCCTTTAGCTTTGAAAGTTTTGGGATCATTTCTTCGTTTCAAAAGTGAAAATGAATGGGATAGTGCACTAACGAAATTGAAGAAGATTCCAAATGCAGAAATTCAAAAGGTGTTGAGATTGAGTTATGATGGATTAGATGATGAAGAGAAAAACATATTGTTAGACGTAGCTTGTTTTTTTAAAGGACAAGAAAGAGACCGCGTAAGAACAATATTAAATGCATGTGGTCTTTCTACAGACATAGGGATAAGAAACCTTTTAGACAAGGCTCTTATAACTATTACATATAATTGCATAACAATGCATGACTTGATCCAAGAAATGGGTAGGGAAATTGTTCGTGAAGAATCTATTAAAAGCCCTGGTCAACGCAGTAGATTGTGGAATCCTGAGGAAATCTACAACGTATTGACAAATGATAGTGTAAGAGAATGTTCTTTGACTGGCCTTTAAAAAATGTGTATCTATATAGACAACGCAATTTTCTACAAAGTACTAACATTAATTCACTTTTTTTTTTATCAGGGAACTACTGCAGTTGAAGGCATACAATTAGATATGTCTCAAATAAAAGATGTAAATTTAAGCTCCAAAGCTTTCAAAAAGATGTCTAACCTAAGGTTACTTGCTTTTGAAGCTCTCAATGGGGACTTTGATAGAATTAATTCTGTGTACCTTCCAAAGGGTCTTCAATTATTGCCTAAAAACTTGAGATATTTTAGGTGGGATGGATATCCATTAAAGTCTTTATCCTCAAATTTTTGTCCTGAGAAACTTGTTGAGCTATCCATGCCATATAGCAATGTGGAAAAACTTTGGAACGGAGTACAGGTATTATGTTTTAGTTTCTCTTTCTTATAAAAGTTAAGTCTATTTCAATTTTATAAGATAATAAGTTATATTAAAAGAAATGTTCTACTTATGTTTGTTTCATTTATTATGTTATAGAATCTGCCGAATTTAGAGATGATTGACCTTAGCGAGTCACGGTTGAAAGAATGTCCAAATTTATCTGGTGCCTCAAATCTTAAATATGTAACACTCAGTGACTGCAAGAGCTTGTCTCATGTGGATCCATCAATTTTTTCTCTATCGAAGCTTGAAAGTTTAGATGTTGGTGGATGTACGTCACTTAAGAGTCTTTGCAGCAACACTTGTTCAACATCTCTTAGAGGATTGTATGCTTCCCGTTGCTACAATCTCCAGGAATTTTCGGTCGCATTATTGCCTAGTGATTCTTCCACGAAACATTTGTATCTGTGTTTAGGAGGATGGGATTTGAATGAACTTCCATCATCACTTCTGCATATTAGAAATCTTGGAAACTTCACTCTTCATATCGGTGATGGTTATATGGATCTTCCTGGAAACTTTTCTTGTCAAGTTACTTTTACTGACTCATGCAAACATGAAAGGGAGACATTGATCCCCTTACATAAAGTTTTGCATAGCTCTACCTTTCAATATGTGAGACATTTAATTTTCATGAATTGTCACAATTTGTTTCAACTTCCAAACAGCATTTCCTTGTTATCATCATTAGAGTGTTTAAGACTAGTTGGTGGTGATGTCACAAGCTTGCCTGAAAACATAAGGCTCCTTCCTCAACTCAAATACCTTGAAGTTCTTGGTTGTAAAAAGCTTCAATATATACCGGCGATTCCACAGTCCATTGAATGCTTTCATGTCTGGAGTTGTGAATCTCTTAAGCTAATGTTAAGTTCAACTAGTGAACCGTCCAAAAAACCCAAGTGCACTTTTATGTTCCCTAATTGCATGAATTTGGATCATCATTCATATGATGCCATTTTGAAATATGCTATTGTTAGTATTGATCTTGGAGCACATGAAGAAGATAAATCATCAGATCATGATGATAATGATGTTTTTACGGTTAAAAAAGTAAAAAGCGGTAAATTTTCCTACTTTTTTCCTTCCAGAAGCAGCAAAATTCGAGAATGGTTCCATTACCCTTCTACACAAGCATTGGTCAGTGTTGAAGTTCCCCCTAATGTGTTAGGTTTTGTTTTCTACTTGGTTCTTTCTCAAGACCATTCATGCTACTTTGGAAGCCATGGAAGTTTTGGATGTGAATGTCTCTTGGAAACTAGTTGGGGTGAATGATCAATGTAACAAGTTTCTTTGTAGATGAAATCACCTTACTCAATCCTGATCATTTATTTGAAATGATGTCAGATCATGTGTTTTTATGGTATGATGCACAATGTTGTAAGCAAATAATGGAAACATTTAGAGAAAGAAAAGTGATTAATGATCCAAAGCTTACATTGAAATTCTTCGCTCAAACTCTAGATGATGGTGAAATAGTGATAAAAGAGTGTGGGCTTCGTTGGATATACCTTTATCCCTCTGCAGATCAAATTGTGGACGAAGGAGGAGGGAGTAAATGCAAGAGAAGTAGGGAAATTCATGAATCAGAAGCTAATGCAATCAGAAATTTTGAAGGGTCTGAGTCAGATCAGTATGAAGAAACTGTTCCTCCAACAAAGAAATTCAAGCATGTCATTTGAACTCCTTTCAAGACTTGAGGAATCTCGCAAGCACTCGTTACACTGATGGGTATAAAATTTTTACACCTTGTTTATTATTTTATAGCAAAATATGTTGATAAATTTTCTTGAAAATAGTACCGTTTTTGAGCAGGCACTTGTTTGACGAAGTCTTGCATATTAAATTTGGTGGAGACCGCATATAATGAGGTGATCAAATTACGGTACGTACTCATGTTATAGTATTCCTTTGCCTTTGATACACAAGCGTTAAATTTGGTACTGTATATATGATTTTTTGTCATATCAAGCATTAAGTCGGTTTTGCATTGAAGTTGAATGGACTTACATTGAAAATTACTTTTGCTTTGGTCATTGAGATATTGGAGATGATCTTCTTCCACTAGCCTTGAAGTTCGTCTAATATCTTCGCTGTTTATTTATTTCTCATGTAGAAAAAAAATATAAATTTAAGCCCTTTTTCTATTAACAAATTATTGACTTTATTTCTTATTTTCAAATATATTTATATGAAAACTAGTGACAAAGAAACGATATTTTTTAATCTTTTTTTTGCTTCCGAAATTAATTTATCATTTAACTATGATTGAATTTTATATATAAAATTAGTTTAACTTATATGTTAATAAAAATTAATTTAATATATATAAATATTAAGTATCATTACATAAAGTTAAACTTTTAATTTTAAAGTTCTCAAAACTAAGAATAAGTATAATTTGAAAAAAAAAGTAAAAAGAAAAACCTCTTAAAGTATTAAAATAAATCAAATTTAAAACATAACACACATTGCTACTTGCTTGTGAAAAAAACTGCATGCGCGCAAATATAATTATATATCACTGATCAGTGTCTCCTGCTAAAACCCGATTCATGTTTCTTGCCTCGGATCGAGTAGCATTTACAAATTATAAGCATTCAATTAATTACAAACAAATTTCCGAAAATTATAGCCAATGAAAATCAGAATTACAAGAATAAAGTGAAAAATGGAAACACAATTAAGAAGAACAACAACGTACATAACGTGACATGCACACCTTTTATCTCTATTTTATGATCATCCAAGAGTCCATTTCCAGAGCTTGAACCTAACATCAACTTTGCACTGCGTGTTCGCGGTGGACGCCATCGCCGGCTTCTCGCCGGCGGGAAGCGTGACGTCGATGCCATCACACAAAACTCTGAGTCCGACACGTGGCGTCTTGAGGACACCCATCTTGGCCTCAACCTTTGTCTCCAACTCCACCTTCAGCGCCAACCCATTCTTGCTCTTCAGGCTCTGTTTCAGCTCCATCGCCACGTCACTCTCAACCGCTTCATCGATGCTCGCAACAGAAGCTTGAAGCAGCGTGGTGTTCTTCTCGCGGTGCTGAAAGGAGGGGATGGTGCCTTGGGCAACGGCGAGGTCGCCGGAGAGGATGGAAACGGTGGTGGGGTGGTAGAAAAAGATGATTTTGTTGTTGGGGTTGGTGGTGGAGAGAGTGAGGTTGAAGTTGGAGGTGAGGGTGGAGGAAGAGGTGAGGTTGAGAGAGGAGAGGTTGAGGGAGGTGAGGGAGAAGGAAGGTGGGTGGGGGCGGTAGAGGAAGTAGAGGAGAGTGGCGGCGCCGCCGAGGAGCAGGAGGAGGGAGAGGAGGGTGAGGAAGAGGCATAAGCAGAGGCTGCAGCAGAATCCGCGGCTACTGCGGCGGTGGTGCGGTGGGGGGCGGTAGGTGGGGCGGGTGGCGCCGTAAAGTTGGGATTTTGTGGGTGGGTTGGTGGTGGCTCCGCCGCCGTTGGCGGTGGGCTTGGCGGAGGGGTGGACTCTGTCGGTCATGGGGACTGGGTGTAATGAAGAGAGAGAGAGAGAGAGAGAGAGAGAGAGGTTTAAGAGATTTTGTGTTATGGCGTTTGGATTAAAGTTAAAGATGGATGGAATGCAGTTATAGTGAATTTTGGTGAAGAGAGGTGAGATACGAATGCAAAGTGGAAATAGATAGTAACGTTTCAACCTCATGTCTCTACCTCGTCGCCTTCTGTTAACTATACATGTTTAAGGTTGTTGTTAACTAGTAATCACATGCTTTTTAATAAGTTCTTTAATATGGATTACATGAATTTTATTAATAATAGAAAATGTATTAATTAAAAGAATGTTTGATAGAAGCTAGAGGTGTGTTCTTACACGCTTTTAAGGACGTAATGAACCTCTATCATTTTATGAAGATTGTTCTCTAAATGTAAATACGTAGAAGTTATGAATTGTATTCCTAAATATTGTGAATGATAATCCAATTAACATTCTTTTAATCATCTTCTTCTCTCTTTATAAATCCATCACTATTTATAACTTTCTCATTATATTATCATGTCATTCAATTACGACAATGATAATTGCTTGTTAGCCAGCATTCCCCAAAGATTATATACATACTACCTAACTGGAGTAGTGTCTTCACCGAAGGTGATTTTATATGCATGAAATTTCCACTTCAAGACTTGTTTTCTCATCACAATATCGTCATTGGCCAGCCAAGATTCATCACACTTCATTAGAACAGTGGTGTATGATACTTGGTGTCTTCAAAGTTCATTTTGTAGACATGGTAAGAGAATTAAACACAAAAAAAAATAAATCAATTTTATTATTTTTAGTGTTTATTTGATAATAGAATATGATAAATTTGTCTTATAAGTTTATCATATCTTACTCTCAAATATAAATTTAAAATCATGTGAAAGAATTTGAGTAAGAAATACACAAATAGGGTGATTTAATGTATTTTTATTTTTTATAAGCATCAAATGTAAAATAAAATGAGAGATTATGTTGCTATTATCCTATTTTATTCTTATCCAATACTCATTCCTTATTTATCTACTAAATAGAACTTTAATGTATTATCAAATGCTCCCCTCCCTCCTCGAAACAAGGTAAGAAGTCCCACTGAAAAAGAAATTGCACGTTGAAGAGTTGCAACAACTACTTCTTAATATCATATTAATTGAATAACGATGATGAACACACTGAAAGTCAGGTGACAAGTAATGAACCAGCTAATGGCAAAGTGATTCATTACCTTCTAATATATATATATTTTCACTGAAATTGATTTCATACCTTCCATTGCTTATTTTAATTTACCTCTTTACCCATGTTTGTGACATTTTTTCACAATTATAGTTTTTTACCAACACAATTGTTTTGCTACATCTTTTCTTTGAATAAAATGTGTTTTGTAGTTTTGTTCACAACTCAATTTTATGAACGGTATAGATGATCTTTTAAGTTTTCAATCAGCCAGTCAAAATCATCAACTTACAAAATCATTGGGATTTTAGAATCAGCAAACATTATTGGCCTTTCAATCAAATTAAAAACAAAATTTACTCAAAATAGCATTACTTTGTATCAAGTGGATCGATGCGACAGAAATTGGTTAATAACAACAATAAAGAAGGAAGTTCTTGAGTCCATTTCAATTGTTCCATATGAATCAATTGACATTTGTGCTGGATCAAAACTTTCACTTCCATGCTTTGTAGGAGTTGCAAATGTTTCAATTCACAACACTAGTTTGCTGATGAAAAAGTGAAAATATTCTGAACCAAGACTCTTATATTGAGCAATGGTATTAGATTGAGAAAATAAAATAAAATAAAATAAAATAATATTTGATTGCAATTTCCAATATATTTGAGAGAAATTTTTTTATTTTGGGCAGGGAAAGGGAAGAGGGGCATAATTTTTTTTAATTTTAAATTAAAAATTTATATATCATTTATATTGATCAATGCATGATTAATACATTAATTTTATATTAACATGTTAATTTATATTTTTTATTTTAAAAATATATAAATGTTAAATATATTTACTTAAAATAAAAAATTATCCTCATCTTTAAAATCCTTTTTCTCAAATAATCGCTAAAATTTTGCTTGTAATAAAAAAATATCACTCTTTTCATATTTTAAAAATTTTGCCAAACATTGATAATTTGAAAGTTTTTTTTATAAAATAAATTTTATCCTTTCCTTTTTCTAGTCCAAATATGTTTGATTATCGTAATTTGGGCTATATTTAGTAAACGTATCTTGTAGCTTATTTAAGAATTTTTAGTTTATTAACTTGATCAATAAATTTGTAGAGTTATTTGGTAAATACAAGATGAAAGGTATTTGTAATATTTGAAAGCTTTCTTTTTAAAATTATTTAAAGTTAAAAACTAAATATTATTAATATTTTTATTACATTTTTACCTTTTATTTTAAAAAAATAACGTATCCATTGTAAAATTAAAATTTGATGTATAAATGTTAATCTTATTGTCTTTTATTCATTTTACATTTACAATATTATCATTTATTTTTTATTTACTCTCCTATTTCTTCCATCGAAATATATTTTATATTAAAAAAATATGACTTAAAATATTTTATATTCGAATATAACTGAAGAGAAGTTTTTTTATATAATTATTTAATCAATTGATTGTAAATAAATAAAAAAACTGATAATTAATTTTAATATTACATTAACATAATATTTCATATCATTTTAAGCCATTTAATACAAAAAAATATAGCTATGTAGTTAGTTTGTGATATAATTTCAATTCTATAAGCTATTTATATAATTATAAATTCAAAATTTTCAATTAACTTTACTGTTTAAACTTCATATCTTTCAGTTCATTTTATGAGCTCAAAAACATACAATCAACGCACAAATGTCAATTCTTAGCTTTACATTCAAAGATTGAAGGATTAAAATAACAAATCTAATAATATCTTTATTTCTATTAAATTTTTTCCTATTTTATTTATTCATTTCCTCCGAAAAGGAGCCAATTCGGTTCAAGGAAGTGCTCATTAACTTTTTAAAAAAAGGGCTTTTTTTCAACAAATATAAGGGCTTGTTTGGAGCACCTCAGAGGGTCCAAGCCCAAATTTGTATACGGCCCATATTGGCCATTAGGAACGGACCAGCCTCCGCTGCATCATGGGCTGATACATAGTACTCACATATTTGATATATAACGGAATTTTATCACTTGTTCGTATACCCTATTTTATTTTATTTTATTTTAATCCTCACGTTCTTGATTTTATTGTATGCAAAAAAAAAATAAAAAAATCAACACACTTTTTGTAACATATCTCTCCCTATTGATTAAAATTTATTGAAAACTATAAAAATTGTGTTCACTATTTTTCATTTTTAAATTAATGATTTCTTATATACTTCATATATTAAACTAGATTAACTCTATAAGACTATAACCAAAAAAAATAATTAGAGTTAGTTTAGGCATGTCTAAAAATAATAATAATTGAGTTGAAATGATATGTTGTTTACATAGTCTAATGTATTTGGAAAATGATGGGGTGGGTGTGAAGGTTATTTTGAATTATTTAACCCAACATTGAGGCTTTGTCATTTTCCAACTTGGTAGCAAAAATGAATTTTGAACAAATCACCGACAGTTGCGAATTGTGTGTGGCCTTAATGCTTATAGGGTCACAGTCAACAACGTTGTTCACTTCTCTCTCATGGTTATGGAAGTTGATAAAGCAAAAGGTAGACTCCGACATTGCATTCTAAAACATTTAACCAAAACTCCCAGTTGTGTCTCTGGTGGGGACACCATCAAATCCATCATCACCATCTCTTACATTCCTCCATTTTCTTTTGCCTAACTTTCTCAATTCTTTTTGTTGCCCAAATTGCTAAATTGATTATCAGTATTATTTGAAAAGTTATATTCATATCTTTTAGTTATTTTGTTTATTTTTTTACAGAAATTATGTGCTAATAAAACAAAATTAACAAATGTAAAAAAGGTTACATCTTAAACAAATAAGACTGACCATTAACTACCATTCCTCCAACTGGCATTCCTCCAGCTATTTCATATTTACACAGCAAAAACTTACAGCATACTTTATAACAAAGGAGAAAAATAAAAGAAATTGAGATCAAATAAATAACGTAATAAAAAATCATAAAAAATTAAAAACATTATAAGAAATTGTTATTAAAATAACATCATTCGTAAAATAAGTTTTTATTTTTGTCAAAAGATAACAGAAAAAAAGTTATATAAACATTTTAATTCAGTGTGAACCGACTTTTAATCAAAGATTCACTAACTGGTGACACCATGAAATAGCTATGTATCTTATTTTAATATTATTCGGTTTAATTATTGTCAACCATGAATATATGTAATAAAAAACAATACCAAAACATACCTATCCAATTTCTAATTTGATTTTAAAAATATTCCAATAAATTTGTCAAAATGACACTGTAAAACTATAATATACAAAAATATTAAGATTATATCTAATCCCAAAATCTCATCATGTTGTAGGTGAATCATTGCCTAGATAAACTGAAAAGGTCAAGCATTAAGTTATTAACAATTAATTAATTCATTAAGTCTTTTACTTTATAGCCAATATTTATGACTCTCGCTCAATCTCTCTCTCTCTCAATCATACACACACATGTCCAACTTGATCAAACACACACACACATGTCCAACCCCACAAACTCTTATGCAAGAGTTACTGTGCTTTTCCTGCTTAAAGTGTACTGAGGTTGTGCTTTTTGGTTTCATCTGTTGTTAGATTTTTCTGAACAACAATGAAAACAGTGTTGTGTCACAACTCTCATGTCTCAAAACCTTAGCTTTAGTTCTGAAAAAAAATAAAATAAAGGTGGGAACACAAAAACCATTCTTGCGCCATTACAGGGCTCTCTTAATGCTTTGCTTCACATTATTGAGGGTCTGCTTTAATTGCAGACTTTCTCATGTTTGTCCTTTGATGTGACAAGCTAGTTTTGCTTCAGCATGTGCTGTTGCTTCCACCGATTTCTCTTCAATTTTATTATCCATGGATTGTTGGTGAAAGCTGAGAGAGATCTTCAAAATTGATCTAGTTTTCTTTCCTTGAGGAGAAAAATGGGACTGCAGCTGATTTTCCTGTTAATTAAGCTACATTTAGTTGTCAGCACTCAACAACTTCATGAATATGCAGGTATGGGCATAATTCGGGTGTTCTGAGTTAGTTTTTGAACATTGGATGAAAATGAACAGATGAGAAACAGGTCCCAAATTTACTATTTGAGTGTTGTATATGCTTATGCATATAGTTCAAAGGCTGTTACAGTGGACATATTCTATGAATTTGGATGTCTATAATCTTTGCTGGTATGAGTTTCTTTGATGATTCTCTTCTTAAGATTATTAATTGAAGGAAATAAGCTTGAGTTAAATTCCTACCTATGCGGTTCATAAAATTCAAAATTTACCTACCTGTAGCTTACCCATATGCTAGGTTCTCATTAGTTCTCATTCTCAGCTCACTAGTTGAATTGGCAAATGTTTTTAGTGTTAAAATGACGACCAAACCTCTATTTTGTCATCGAGCGACTTAAATAAAATAGCAAGTCAGATACCATCTTTATGTTTTGTTCAGTTTGGCATAAAGCAATGCTATAGCTTTGGACAATCATACTGAATTTATTAAAAGTTTTCATTTACGGTGAAGAAATAATGTTTGAAATGAACTTATCACATGGGATGAAGATCAATATAGTTTATGGGTTTGATCTTTGATGACTATAGATCATTTACCTAATAATAACAGGGATTCAATAATGGTATTTAGTGGTAATAGCCTTTATATTTTATAGTGTTAACGTATTTATCATTTTAGGTACAGACCATCTTTTTTGGTTAGTGTATTTGGTGGTGAGTGAGCAACCATTAGTTGGACAGCAAGCTTCGGATTGCACAAGCACTGGATTGCTCACTTTTGGCAGAGAGAGTGTCAATAATTTAGCAACTTGATGATCAGTGCAAGTAATATGTACAGAAATCAGCAAAGAAATTTGATTTTTTATTCCTTTGAATGTTTTACCTTGGCATAGATCTGTGCCAGTTGCCATATGGGCAAGGCATTGATTGCCATTACAAACAAGATCTCGTCAACAATTTACTTCTACATCAATTTTTGTGTCTTGCTATCTCAAAGATATATGTTGGATTTCCTTATGCTAACCCAAATAATGATTCAAATTTCATGAATTTGATAAATATTATAGAGTAGAAATTAATGCATACAATAGATGTTGCTTCTTACTGCTTTGATTTTGGATACCTGCTGACGTGACATCCAACTTGAACCATAGACTGGAAAACTCAAGTGATAGTATCAACTTAAAAATCAGTGTTTGGTTTTTCTCTAACAAGGTTGATATGAAATCCCAATCAGCCATGGCTGTAACAAAATGCATGAGGAAAAAGAAAGTTTCAGTTAAATTTACCTGTGCAGTTACTCTAAGGAATTTAACTTTCTAAGTAGCTAGCTACACCCTCAGAACAGGTCAAAGATCAGAAATAAGGTATGGACAATTAATGAAATAGATTTTATGGATCTTTTGGAACAAGAAGCACAGGCCCCCACCTCCCCAAAAATCTATAAATCTATCTACAATTAGATCCAGCTATCAAATTTTATATTAACTTATTTTATAGTTGTTAACCTTCTCTATAGGAAAGTTGATGCTCATAATCATCCTAAATTTAAGTTTATCATTGCATTTGTAGCTGCCACGCTGCTCCATTCCAGTGCCAGAAGCCATTTTGGCATTGCAATCCCACCATCAAAGTCATCTTCTGAAATTCCTAGTATTGCACACCCACCTTCAGAGTCAACTTCTGATGTACCTGAAAGTATTGCACTTCCACCTTCCAAGTCAATTTCCAAAGCTCCTACAAAGATAAGGACACATGGTTCTGTTGATTCTCCAATATCACATCATAAACACCACTATTCCAGAAGAAAGTCGCACAACCAAACTCCAGCACCAGCATACCCAATCCAGGCTCCTAGTTACAGTCATCAAGGTTTGATTCTCTGATTGAAAGAGGTTAAGATTTGTACACAGTTTTTTACATTTGTTGACATTAAAATGTCATAACTAATTTCGTTTCTGTAAACTTCTCTTGAATAGGTCCCTCAGTCTTAAAGTCAGATCCTCCTTTCTCTTCACCAAAGAGTGGGGATATTCTTGCACCTGCACCACCACCAGCAATTTGGTTAGGTCCCATGGATGGTACAAATCTTTTCATTTTTCATTGCCTTTACTTGAGTTCATATATTTATCTACCTGATTGTTGATTTTCACCTGACTATTTTTATATCCTTTGTTCATCAGCACCCTCTCCTTCACCTAGAATTTCACCTATAGGTTCATCGTTGAAGAAGATAAAGACTCCACCACCAGCATATGAATTGGTTCTGCCACCTCCACTTCCTAATAAGAGTAATCTAAACTTATCTTGAAACTATATTTAGCTTTGAGGATTGTTTAAATTACACTTGTCTCTTCCCTTTCAATCATCTCAAGAAAGCTATTTGATATTGATCCTACTTGTAGATTGCTTGTCGATAACTTGCTCAGATCCCTTGACATATACACCTCCGGGATCACCTTGTGGTTGTGTATGGCCCCTTCAAGTTAAACTCAGTATCAACGTTCCAATATACAATTTTTTCCCTTTGTTTTCAAAGCTAGCTGAGGAAATTGCAGCAAGTGTTCTGCTGAATCATAGCCAAGTTCGCATTGTGGGAGCTGATGCAGCTAGTCAGCAACTAGAGAAAACCACTGTTCTCATAAACTTGGTACCCAAAGGAGTAAAATTTGATGATACCATGTCATTTTTAATGTATAAGAAATTCTGGAACAAGGAGATTCTAATAGATGCTTCAGTCTTTGGTGCTTATGAAGTACTCTATGTTCATTATCCAGGTTATACATTGATTGCAAATTTTTTAATCTGTTTTTATTGTAAAGTGAATTTCTATAGTATTTTTGGTTTCATTAGTTGATATCTCCCTCTAGATTCATACTTTTGGATAACAAACACAGGTCTTCCACCCTCTCCACCTTCAGCTCCCTCAGATGCTTCTAGTATAGATGATGGGCCAAATCCAGGTTATGACAACAGTGGAACGGCAATAAAACCTTTAGGAGTAGACGTCTCAAAGAACAAAAAAGAAGGGAGTAATGGAAGAATGATTGTTATAATTGTGCTGTCATCAGTTACTGCTTTCGTAGTATTCATCAGTCTTGCTTGGCTTTGTCTCTTGAAATATCATTCTTGTGCCAATGAACGTAAAGAAATTCCAGATGGCTTAATTCGATCCTACTCCAAACAATCAAGTAAGTCAATTACCAACCGTCAAAATTTTGTTGGCAGTTTAAATGCCACACTAAGAAAATTCTTGATTTTCTGTAATTACAACTATAAGTATAATAAAACTGTTCGTCTGTTGGACAACTTGATAGCATACATATTTCCCTTGATTTAAAATACTTTTACCCAGAACTTTCATTTATAGATGAATTCTTTTATGTCCTTGAAATCACAATCACCGTTCATTTTAGTCCCAGAAATCATAAAACAGAAACTTCAGTCTTTAACATTGTTAATTGTTGGTCATTTCAGTCCCTAATGTTGCCACACATCAATTTGATCCCACGCTTTGGGAACAATAAGTCAATTCGGTCCCTAATGTTAGGGACTGAATTCGCGGATGGTTGTCAAAGCCAAGTAATTGACTAATTTGGTAATCATAGGGACCAAATTGACTAATGTTGCCAATTTCAAGGACCAAATTAGTTTATGGTTGTCAAAGACAGGATTGAATTTTCATTTTTGTAATAGCAAGGACCAAATTGACCCATGGTTCCAATTTTCAGGGACTAATGCTTTAATCATGTGACAAACATTGGGTAATAATGCTATTTCAGTCTTTGTTCCAATCTATGACTTTTCTTCTTGATATTTTGCTTTGGAAGTTCTTAGCTATTTATTTTGGAGCCCCCATCCATCAATTTGATTTTCCCTCTTTGGTTGTATGGTGGAGTTCACTATAAATGAATAACTAAGTTTATGCTTTGCAGAGACTGCTAGATCAATTACTCATGGGATCACACCGGGTTCTGGATCACAGTCCTTCAATTCTGGTACAATAACATATACAGGGTCTGCTAAGATTTTTACTTTGAATGACTTGGAGAAAGCAACAAATAATTTCGATTCTTCAAGAATATTAGGAGAAGGTGGCTTTGGCCTAGTTTACAAAGGTATTCTAAATGATGGAAGGGATGTAGCAGTGAAGATTCTCAAAAGAGAGGATCGGCGTGGTGGCCGTGAATTCTTGGCAGAAGTTGAGATGCTTAGCCGCTTACACCATAGAAATTTAGTTAAATTGATAGGTATATGCATAGAAAAACAGACTCGGTGCTTAGTCTATGAGCTTGTCCCTAATGGAAGTGTGGAATCCCACTTACATGGTAAAGCAAAAACACAGTTCATCAATATTTTTGGAAGTCAAAAAGTCACCATTGCTTTTCAGAGACTGCCTTTTGAATACTCTATTTTCACAGGAGCTGACAAGGAAACTGATTCATTGGATTGGAATGCCCGGATGAAGATTGCTCTTGGTGCAGCTCGGGGATTGGCCTATCTGCATGAAGATTCAAATCCATGTGTCATACATCGGGACTTCAAGGCCAGCAACATCTTGTTGGAGTGTGACTTTACACCTAAGGTTTCAGATTTTGGATTGGCTAGAACTGCACTTGATGAGGGAAACAAACACATCTCCACACATGTCATGGGAACATTTGGGTAATAATCCCTTTCTATCCCTTTCATGTTGATGCTTTGATAAATATGATAGCTAAACATGCTTGCAATGTTTTGGCAGACTACTGATTTTTTGTTGTGTATGTACTTTACCTTTTCTATGCTTTGCTCTCATAAACCAAATCTCCCAAAGACTTAAGTTATTGGGTGAAGAAACATAAATAGTTTTATCATAACTCTTCACACACCCTCTTGCAAAAGGCCATTCGCTTGGAGCATGGACGATGCACAGCCCACCCTATCTTTGGTGAAAATTCAATTTTTATTTAGAACAAAGGCAACAAGCATTAAACTCTAGATCACTTGGTCATAAAATATTGATCACAATGTCATAACTCATGAATCAACTCTTGCCAAAGCTTAAATTATTAAGTGAAGGAAGAAGAATGGTTTTGCTACAGCTCTTAACAATTCCTCGAGATGAAAACTGAATTCCTTTCATTGACATGTTATCTCACAGCTACTTAGCTCCTGAATATGCTATGACCGGTCATCTTCTGGTCAAAAGTGATGTTTACAGTTATGGAGTTGTACTACTTGAGCTCCTAACAGGAAGAAAGCCTGTGGATTTTTCACAACCACCAGGTCAAGAAAATCTTGTGACATGGGTTCGTCCACTTCTCACAAGTAAGGAGGGTTTGCAGATGATCATAGACCCATTTGTAAAGCCAAACATTTCTGTTGATACTGTGGTAAAAGTTGCAGCCATTGCATCCATGTGTGTGCAACCAGAAGTCTCACAACGTCCTTTCATGGGTGAAGTTGTTCAGGCCTTGAAGCTGGTATGTAGTGAGTTTGAGGAAACAGACTATGTAAGATCGAGGAGTTTTCAAGAAGAGGGTATTCTAACTGGTATGAAAGGAAAGTTATCTGAAGTTTCAGGTGAAAGAGTGGAATTTTCAAAGTATCAAAACACTCTCTCTGGGTATCAATCTGGTAAAGAAAATGTAGCATTATCAGCATCAGAGTTGCTCAGAACTTCAGGTCAGGAATTTGATTCATTCAGAAGGTATTCTACATCAGGGCCTCTTACTACAGGGAAGAAAAGGCAGTTTTGGCAGAAGCTGAGAAGTTTGTCCAGAGGTAGCACCAGTGAACATGGATTTTCAACTAAACTATGGCCTGGATCCCATTAAACTTTCAATAATCTTGCATTTTGAATACCAAATTTATTGTTCCACGAATTGCATGCCGGATTGACTTGAAAGAAAATCTTGTGATAATGATGTAAAAAGTAACAACCTACAACTATTATCAATATAAACTATGTACCCCTGTTGTTTTCTTGGTAACTTTGTATGAACAATAGGTACTATAGAGAATAATAACATTATAACCTTTAAATCGATAGTTTTGTTGAAAGGAGTTAAGTCACATATAAGCAAATAGATAAAATAGGGAGGGAAAGCAACAACTTCTACACAGATTGTGTTAATTGGACACCATGTTTCTTTCCATCTCTACATTCTTAAAAAAATATTCAAGTTTTTATGCCTATTCTACAATTCAATATCTTCCATATTTTAAAATCCCAAAACGACTTTCTATTTTTCCCTGCATATAGAAAAGGTTAAAACAGGTCACTACAGTAACTTTTTCTTCCCAAAAAGCCATGACTTTCTTGACTAGTAATAATCACTGTTTACTAGAAATTACAACAAGTAAACTACATTCATTTCCAATCCTACCACTACCACTTTTTTTACAGATGTGCAACAGTTCTTTTCTTATCTTCATATTACACATCTTTTTATTTTCTTTTTCTTGGATTTCATATGATCTTCACACAAGACATTCCTCCTTATATACCAGCCAATTTCCCCAACCTATCTTTCAAAATCTTCAGTCCCATGTATCTGTCACAAACATAAATAGATTATTGACGTGCAAATCCAAGCATATGTTTACATAGTGTTATGATCCAAGTGTACATACCTGCCCATCATCATCACAGTGGCTTGAGGATTTGTTCCTGGTGATTCATTAAATGTTGAGCCATCTACCACACGAAGTCTATCAACACCAAGAACCTTATAATCAGGGCTAACCACCTTCCCCACATGGCACCCTCCATGATAGTGCCAAATTGTGATCACAGTGTCTTTGCAGAACTGCTCTATTGACTTTGTGTCATTAGGATGCTTTGGTATGAAGTTGACATTAGCCTTGACAGTGAGGTTAAGCAGTTTCTCGTTGGTTTTCCTGCTACACAAAGTGTAGTTTGTGAAGTGTTCCGATTGGACAACCTTAATTGCTAAACGAATCCCCTTAACACAGCGTTGAAGATCATATGGATGACTGAAGTAGTTGAAGGTAATAGCAGGGTTGTCATCCACATTGGTGTTGATCAATTTGAGCTCACCTACTGACCAAGGATTGGCAACTTTTGACAGAATAAAGCCTCCCCTGAATGCTTCAACGGGTATGTCTCGCTTGTTCTTGATAAAAGCTTGAACAGCTTCTGGTGATCTTTGTTTGGGAGGGATTGTGGACAGTTGCCCAATCTGGTGTATCATGTCAAATATGAAAAATTTCTTCTTATAGTTAGTTGCTAATCTACGACGAAGACCTTATTATATGTCATGTCTAATATGCTAAATGCTATGTGAAACTTGGACACCAATAATATGAGTTGACATATAGCAAAACTCCATCCATTCTGAAATAAGTATCATTTAAGAGTGTTACACAAGGATCAAAGAAATCATAAGACTTTCAGTTTTACCCTTATTTTGGGAATTATGTTATTAATATTTTATTTCAAAAGAAAATTTGTGATTAAGCATTAGGTTAAAGGACAAAGTTGGAAAAAATAACAGATAATTGGAAAAAGAGAAGAAAAAAGAAACTTGATTTCAAAATGAAATGAGGGAGTTATTGTTAGGCATTCCAATGTGTTCCACAGTATTTATTCCAACATTTTGTAAATGTAGAGAAACATTGCATACCTCAGCTGACAAGATACCATGGTGACAGTGAATGCTATCATTAGACTGACTGAACCCGCTGCTAGCCTCAATGTAGACACCCATCTTGGTGATACCCACAGTTTCTATGAGTGATTGATGAATTGGTCTATTAGAAGGAACAAAAATTGTGTTCATTGGATTGTCCACCATTCCCTTCCCAACAAATGGGTTGTCAAGGACCACTGGGATGTTCAATTTTTGGAGTTCTGATTTGGGCCCAATTCCACTAAGCATTAACATGTGAGGAGTCCCAATTGCCCCACTAGACATTATCACTTCACTGTGCCTATCATTTGCCAAAATGGCCTTATGCTGCCTCCCATTTTCATCCTTGAATATAACCCCCACAGCTTTTGGTCTTTTTCCTGCAACAGAAGCATTATCTATTTTAGACATTTAAGTTACTTCCAAAGCCAATAACTTTCATATACAGGAAATTTTCTACATGCACTTCATGAAATAACTAGATAAAATGAATTCAAGTTTTTATAAGTTAAAATTAAGTTATGCAATTTAATTTCTAGAAAAGTTAGAAGATAAATAAAGCTTTTCCGTCTCGATTACAGGTATTTTCCACAGAAAGAGATTATGTTCAAGCCAATATATAAGTTGATTTTAACCTATGAATAAAATTTGATACATTTTACTTCTCTGTTTTCTTCTTCTATAAGTACGGATTAAAAAGTTTATCTAAACTACGCTTAATATGTTATGTTATATGTACCTCTTGTATCAAAAACAATCTTTTGGACAGTAGCATAGATCAAAACAGTGAGTTTGTCACGGTTCCCTGAAGCAAGCAGTTCAGCAGCCGTGTGGCGGCGGCCAAATCTGTCAAAGATGGTTCCACCAACCTTGGTTCCATAGATATGGTCATATGTGAAACCATTAAAAGGTGACACACCAGAATCTAGAAGACTGTCCCTCACTGCTCTTTGATAAGCTGAAAATGTTGGACGGTGAACAATTTGCTTCTCAATCCAAGGGTATGACTCATTTACTAGCTTAGTATCCCACCCCACCTTCTTTATAAATCTGCATTCAATACAAAACTTTGGACAGTGAACATTTTTTGCATGGTTTGAAATAATGAACTCTCAACTAACTACATTCTCTAATCTTTTGCATTTTGTGATCAAGTTCACGTTTTTGACCATTCTCTAATAAATAAGTCAAGCGCTTGAAATGCTGAAGTTCACAATGGTAAGATATATCTTCCTGCAATATTTTCTTCATGGTCCTTTTATTACTTTATATTAAAAAATATTGTATAATAAAATTTTCAATGTAAAAGTAATTGCATTAAATTTCTTAAGAACATAAAATAAATTCAATATATTTTTTCTAAAATAAGTATGAGAATTAGGTGCAGGATGCTTCAGAAAATTTTCGAAGTTTTTATATATTAAAGGATATTTCTTGTGTGCCACACGTGATAAGATAAGAGGATTAAAGAATTAATAAATATAAAGTATTTTTCTTAATAGGTAAGTGTAAGTAATTGAGTAATATTAAATGTTATATCTTTCCAACAAAATATTTCACTTTTAATTATGTAAATAATACTTTAAACAGCATTTCTTTATTTAGAAAATAAGAACATTATTAAATCTAATGATTGAATCTAAATCCCACTAAGCATTAGAAAAATCTAACCATTGCCTATGTTACCAATTAAAGCTAAATCCAATCAAATTAAATAAATGATTAGGTTTAATCAGATTTTTCTTTTTGTATAACCGATCAAATTTAATTCATAAACGATCATAAATTTATCTAATATGTTTTATCCAAATTTGTATAAAATATAATTTTCATATATTTTTTTACACGAAAACATAAATAGTAAACTGAAGATAGAACTTCTATGTAAGAAAGTGAAGATTAGATGCAATGCAACAAATAACCTAAGGGGATTTGGTTGTTGTTCTTCCTAAGATGGACCAGACATCTAAAGAGCACCTTAATGACTTTCACCTAATGGAGGTTTCCTTGTAACTATGAATGTCTTATTTTCTTCCCTCTCATCTGACACTTCTACCTAATCGATTCCATGGCATAAAATAGGGTACAAAGGACCACAAGCAGCATTTAATTGTTGAAAAGAGAATTACATATAAAAAAGATGTGACCATAAATGTTGTGAATATTAGAGGAGGAGGAGGAGGGGGGGTCATGGTCAACTATTTCAAACTTCATAGCCTTAACCAATCATTCCCTTCTGTTAGAATAAAAAATCAAATTCCAATATAAGGATTGTAACATTTCCTTCTTTATGGCAATTTTCTATGAACTTTTTTCTTGGTCTTCTTTCCTACTTTGTGCGTGCTTCTTAATTTGGCACATAACTACTTTGTTAGTCTATGATATTAATTATGTAATATCAACATCTTAATCTCTCATCGAAAGCTATGCATATCTGTTTTGAAGACTAAATAGTAGTAACATCCAACTTATTTTCTTTTTAAAGAAAAATGTATGGATAATAATTTAACAGCAAAAGGCCATTCATGGAGGACAATGGAACAAAGCAAACAAATAGATATTAAAACGTTAGCACTTCATTTTATGGATACAATTGCACGTGATACACACGTGATGGTGTAGCAAGGGGATGTTATAATAACTTTAACCCACCAAACTATTTATTAGGTTGTTATATATTAAAATTGAGAATAAATAATAAAACTATTAGTTTTGTATAAAATTTTTATGTATTACTATATCAATAATTATTCACTACATTATTAATATGATAAAAAAATCAATCATTGTTCTGTATTTCCTACTCTCTCTCGTTTTTCCCGAATATGACATGCAGTGGTGGATTAGTTTAACATATAAGGCATTTAATCGATTTAATGGATGTCGTCAAACAGAGTAAATATTTCTATTTTTTTTTTTTTTACAAATCATTAAAAATATAAACAAAATAAAGAAGTTTCATTTTTATAATTATTTATGAAAATTGAAAATAGAAATAAAACATTTTTAAAATCAAACAAAACCCTAATTACACAAATTAAAAGTCTTTAAAGTGAAGTATAATGACAACATCAAAAGGTAAAATTATACCGAAATCTTCTAATTTTTACACTTTTTTCCTGTGGTCTTTTAATTTAAAAGTTTTAATTTGATTTTTAAAAGTGTTTTAAACAGGTCATTTTTTCATTAAAAAAGTTAACTCTGCTTAAATTTTTTTTTACCACACTTATTTTATTTATCTTCTTTAAAAACAGAGGCGACAACCGAAGAAAAAATAGTTATAATATTAATGGAGCCTAAATAAAAGTATTTTAAAGTTGAAACACGTTTTCATGGATCGTCTCAAAAAACATATCTTTCAGAATAAAAAATATATGTAACAGACATTTTTAGCTAAAATACAAAGTTTAAGCATATACCAACAGAGCAACATTTTTATTTTCTTCTCGCGAAAATTAATTTCTTTTTATTTAACAGACATCCAAGAAGTTGTTGAACTTTATTAACACCCTTCACCTGCAAATTAATTAGTAGTGTACCCACAGGTCCACTTTGATAAATTAAATAATAACAGAGAGTGAAAAGCTTTTAGAAAAATGAAAATATAGTTCATATTTAATAATTAATAAAAATGCAAATTTTGTGTGCGGTGTACTTCTTTATTAAACTTTGAAAAAAAAGACAAATAGTTAATGCATCCAGATCATATCTTATATACCTCAACTATATATGCCATGTATTCCATAAAATAATAATAATAATAATAATAATAATAATAAAATAACAACATATTCTAGAAGAAAGGGAGATTTGAATCCAAACTAAGTTTGCATCATTGAGAAAAAATGATGAATGAAAAATAAAAGTTACCTTGGGTTTGCTCTAGTGTAGAAGCCAGCATTGATAGAACTGCCACCTCCCAAGACTCTTGCCCTTGCATTGTAGACTCCATCAGTTGAAATGAAATATTGAGAAGCTGAAGTTGGTGAAATATCTGCTAAGGTAATGTGGAAATTCTCTAGAAATGAAACATTGGGATTGGTGAAAGGTGCACCCCCTCTTTCAAGCACCAGAACACTGAAGTTCTGTGAAAGGGTTGCAGCCAAAGGACACCCTGCAGTGCCACCTCCCACTATTATGTAGTCATAGGTATTACTAGTGGTGGTAGTTGAAATTGATGGTGATGAGAATGAGCTTGCATTTCTGATAAAAGGGTATCTATTTTCATGCCATTTTTCCTCACCTGCAATGAAATTTGCTGGTCAAATTCTAGTCTCATCTTGACTAGTTCAATTATATTTTTAATTTCAATGTTTTCTCAATGCTATATCCAAAGAGATAAGCCCCTTTTCTACAAAAGATTAAATAAAAGTTGAACAATAAATAGTAGTATTATAGACACAGTTTTTTGGTGAATCAAGTTGACCAATGTTCAGAAAGTCCTTAATTGAAGTAAACACACACACACACACACACACACGAATATTTGTGATCATGATCAACAAAACACATTAAACAGTTCACAATCAAGAACCAGCATACTAAACACTTGTTGGTGATCTAGCCATATATATGCTCTTGAAGTGAAACTTCAAATGAAGGTAGAAGAAATCAGAACCACTGGCAACATATTTCACAAGATTTTTTGACAGGGATAGTTGCCACAAACTAAATTCACAAATTCCCGTCTATGTGGCAACTTGCCAGAAACTTAGATGCCGTGAGCTAATAAAAAATTGAGATGCTAAAGGACATGAAAGAGAGAGAATTTCGCCTGTATTTTAGCCTTGAAAAACTGAAAACTCCTCGAATATATCTTGAAAAGAAAACTTTTCCAGAGAAAGTGATCTTGAAAATACAAGCTGAAGAGGAAGAAAGGAACAAAGATGGAACTGAACAATGTAAGAAAGCATAAAGGCTGAATGAAGATGCAAATTGTGGAAAGATAATAAACCTTGACAAGGAGGTAGAAAGTTCCAGAGCCATAGAGCTAAGCACAAGAAGAATTTGACTGCACCAACTGAAGCCATGGAATCTCCCAGGCCAGAAAAAGCACTCACTCAACTTTGCTTCTTCCCAACCTATAAGTGGCTGCCTCTGGTTGGCCTTGTTTTGTGTGTACATCATATAAATATGTAAAATACAACCTTACCGTGTCAAGATTACCGTGAAATAATCTAATAATTAATATGAGAATTGAAGAACTAAATTTACATTAAAAACATATAATACTGCTAACCACATTACTTTCAGAAACACTTGAACGTATAGCATTTAATGTGGAAATGAATGCCGCGGTTAGAGTCAAGAGTTTCTGGCCGTTGGATTAGACATTGTTTTTTCTTATCACGTTCATGAGTTTATACAAGGACAGCTCACTCACCAGCCTACACAATGAGTAGTAAATTTGCATATTAATTATGCCACCAAAAATTTGTAAATTCTTTTCATTTTTTTCACTTTTTGCTGTATGATTAGATTAGAGCACTGCCTGGATTTTGTCTCTTCAACCAACCCTGGTACTTGACTTGGAAGTCATTAATACTAACATTCATTCTCAGCACCTACAAAAGTACAAAAAAGAAAACAAAATTAAAATAAAAATGTATTTTGAGCAATTAATGGCATAACAAGTAAAAGGAGAAAACCAAGAAATTTTTCTGCCTTGTAATTTTTATTTATTTTCTGAATTGACTAGAACATGATATTCTAAGCATCATTGCTGGTGGTGTTTGATGAATCTATTTATCACATTGATGGGAGAATAAAAGGGACAATGAATGACCCATTAGTTTGGTTTCTCTAATAAGATTATGCATATGAAAATACTAACCTCTTTGATTAGATGTTTAATTTTGATGCCAATGGACCAACCCGAACTTCTACTTATACTGCTACTGCTTCTGCAGAGTGTGGGACAAAAGCATTATTTTTTAAGCAGTGAAGGGGTCCATCCTAACATAGAGGCAGGTCGATAACGGTTTTTTAATGTGTGTCTAAGAGAGCATATTAAAAAATTAAAAGTAGAAATTTTTAACTAAAAATAGAATATTTATTATTTTAAAATTATAAAAAGTATTTAGTATATACTTTTGTTGATAATTTAGAACATTTAATAAAGTATATTTAATATTTCTTAACATATACTTTTAGACACGCATTAGAAAAACCTTATTATTGAGAAAGCCACAATTTCAATATGAAATGTCACACACAACATCAGAGGGAGTATGCAACTCACATCTTAATAAATGTAAGATATAATCATTGTTATGTTATTTTCTTTGCTTCTTTATGACTAAGGTTGTCAACTCTAGGCATGAGTTCAAAATTAACCTCTAAAATATTCAAGACTTCTGATGTTGTCTGATTTATCTATAAATTCGGTGGTGAACAGAAGAATCCAAATATTCATTCATCTGAAGACTCGGGATCTGTTGGCATTATGTCAGCTTCTGAAACAGAACCCGAGTCTTATTTCCCAGCCCACATTAGAAAGTTGAAAAAATATAAAATTAATATGAACAAAATGATGAGGAAAATATGAGATCATAACATAACAGTAGTACACAATGAAAGAATAGGCAATATGTGGCTGAACCCATTTTATATTTAATATTCCAAGCAATAGCTCACTTTGATCTCTTTGACAACTGAGAATCATTAATTTGCACATACAAGCATGTCATGAAATACAGCATATCTTTGTTCTTTGTTTAATTGAAATGTATCAATGATATAAATTATTTTTATATTATCAATTAATCACAAATTATTATATTATTCAAATTCTTTCATTTTTATAATAATTATTTTTAAAAATATACAAATAAAAATTTTGTATATATCAAAATTGAGTCATGGCTAGGCTAAAAATAGAAGTGGAAAAGTAGGCCCCATTGTTACTCTCCTATAAATGACACCTAGGTGACCTGGATTTAGTGCAATTTACACGGAAACTGAACCGTGCATTTAAATAAAATTTTATATTTTTGCTTAAGCAAAAATATGTTGGCTTTAGCAAAAATACAAAATAATATAACTGTATGGCACAGGTATTGCACTAAGTCTAAATCCACACCTAGGTTGAGTGTTCCAGGTCTCCCATGCTAAGTTGTAGTACTGTTTATGCCAGTTTTCCTACTGTAGTATTAATATTATATACTTCTGTTTCAAGCTATCTTGGTAAGTTAGTCAAAAAAATTATTATGAAGCTTTAAATCCCAATGGCAATTGAAATGGTGGGTAAGTACTAGGTAAATGGATAACAATTTTCCCTTTTCTGTAAAAGAATTTCCTTAACTCTTCTTGAAGGTTTATTTATGAATTTAGTTCAACTTTCACATTCATCTATTGAATTTGATTTACTAATAATAATTAATAATATTACAAATTTATTTTATTTTCCTTTTTATTGAACATTATCAATTAAGCTTTATTTTATTAAATAAGATTAATTATTATCAAGCATATAAATCAATTAATTAGCAACAGATTATTTTACCTTAATATGTTGTCTCAAATTTGAGTTTCAATAAATATAGTTCTATTAAACTAATGAAACTTAAAATTTCTAAGATATGATGTAATTGAATGGCACTGGAAATTTTTGAAATTGTTGAAATTATATGTGTGTGTTGGTTGTTTTGTCAAGATTTAAAGCTACTGGGGACCTATCCTGTGGCAAATTGCAAAGGACTTCACCATGTCACAGTTATTATGCATCACAACTTATGTTAGGCAGGTATTCGCCGATTTATGGTAGTTACGATTCGTCCTTGACCGAAGTCAATAACATGTATAAATGTCCATCAAAGGTTCATGAAGTTCAGTAACATTAGATCATACAGATAAGACGTGCATGTCTCCAATACGTTATCAAAACTATGCACTTTTGTTAGAAAGTGATCACACAAGAAAAGTTTATGGCAAAATATGTGTCTATTTGGTTGGATTTATTTTATATTAAAAATTGCTTATAATATCAAAATCATGTTAAAAGGGCTTCTGAAAAATAAATGTGTTAGTGTGCATGTAATTTTTACCTTAAATTTGATCTAAGCCACACACATGAAAGCAAGGTAATATTTCCCTTTAAATTTATCCTAATCCAATTAAATATACTATAAATCTTGCCAAGAGCTTCAGCAAAAATCTGGCACTAGCGTATATATCAAATGCTAATGGTAATCAAATGGATTTTTAATGAAATCAATTGTTCTACTTTAATATTATTAGAATTAATGGTACTCATTTACTGCATAGATCAATTAGTACAGGCTTATGTAAAGTTAGTTAATGATCTTGAATTTGAATTGCTATAGAAAAAATATGTGATTAAGACCCAAAATAAATGCCAGTAGACAATTAGGCATCAAATGAGGCTTATGTCTACTTTTGGGAAGATAAAAACTTGGCCACCTAATTTTCATATTCATATTTTAACTATGCAAACAGTCACTTAGACTTCGTGTGGGAGAAAACTGAGAACTAAAAATGCTAAAAGCGAAAGTGGGAAGAATGAATATGTAATTATTTATTATGAAAAATTGTAGAATGTAAATAAATAAATCCAAGAGCAATATGAAGATTAGATTTTAAGTTCTTTTGAATTTTTTTAAATGTGTTTTAATTAAACTGATTAAATAAATATTGTAAAGTATAAATTTAAGCAAGAATAGTATAACGAAATAAAAATAACATCAATTAAACATAAAAGTTTACAGAAATGTATTAAATAAAGACGTAATTGCAAAAATAAAAAGCATAAAATAACTAGAAACTGAAAATAAATTATAGAAAAGATAAACGTCGATTTTAACAATAAACAATAATAATCGTATGCTTCCTGGTAGCTGGTGTATGACTTGGTATATAATTTCACCCTTTTTTCTTTTACTGCGGGCGCTACCTATAACTGCCTTCTGTGTACTTCTTCTCAACTGCTATCGCTCATTATCCATAATCGTGCATTCTCAAAAACCGTTGTTACCCATAATCGTTTCTTCGTGCCCACGATCTTATGGTTTTTTGTCATGTTTCCTCACTTCTTGAACTCCATCTTGCATTTTAGCCTTAAAATAAATTTCTTGTTATATTTTGACAATTTCAAAGAAACTTAGACTTAGAATAATTTTTCTGTCATCCTATGTTTTCAACCAATTTTTAAAAACAAATTGTAAGCTTATTTAGTTTCATAGACTTAGAATAATTTTATTGTTAGTCCCTATTTTTTTTACCAGTTTTAGCTATTTTCAGACCAAGAGCTTGAAAATCTTCAAAAACTCCTCAAAACTATCCTCTTTTCAACAATGAATAAGCCTTCTCATAACCCTTTAAAAATATTCAAAATATGATCTTCTCGACAAAGGATGAGGTTCTCTTCATGATTCTCCAAAACTTATTAAGATGTAGTCTTTTCAGCATAGAAAAACTCTTTTTTAAATCCTCCAAAATTCTTCGAAAGATAGTTCATCTAACAGAATTTTAAGACTTTGATATTTTTACGAGTCTATGGTTTATCGAAGCATAAAAACCTAGAGTTCTTTGATTTTAATAGGGACCTTTATAACTTCAAAAATTTTCCTTTCTCCAAACAATAACACTTCCTTTTTATTTTACAAAATTCAATTAAAAATCTATTTTTTAATGAAAGATGCATTTAAAGAATAAATTAAAAAATTATAATCATTAATTAAAAACTCGTCCATTAAATTTGTAAAAATTATATATAGCCATGTATAATAAAATATATAGTTGTTAAATTTTGACGTCAAACTTTTCAAACAAAAATTATAACTGTGTCTTATGCTTTAAAGAAGCCAAATTCTTAAATTGAATGCGCTGTAAACAAAAATATAATTTTTCATTGTTTGGGATTAATAAAAATATAATTTTAGTTTCGTTTCTATCAGAGAAAATGACTTCAACTCCTGCAACTAATAAAATCTTTGTACTATTATAGTATTATTCATGTATTTTGTATCCAAATAAGGAAATATTAGAATCCTACATAATCAATAAATCTAAAGAGGCCTCTGTTGTCATGACCAAACTCATCATTTAATGCCAAAGTCTTGCATATTTTCCCTCCCTGCTGTTAATCGTAAAACTCTAATAAAACCCATAACCATGGACCCAAACTCTGCTATAGTTAAATGAGATGGAGATTTTGTGTAATTAAATTGAGAGAGAAAAAGGAGGGTAACACGGGTCGAAGTGTCATAAA